ACACACACACACATACACACACACACACACACACACACACACACACACACGCCAACTCCACAACCCCACACAATGGGCGGCACGACAACCAGCAACGCCGGCTCCAGCAGCAGCAGCAGTGCGCAATCCTCACCAACATCCCACGGCAGCGGCAACCAAAAACACCAGAAGCAAGACGACCAGCACATCCTCGTGCCCTTGGACCAGCTGCACGAGGTCATGGGCCTGCACGACCCGCGCTGCGCGGCCACCATGTACGAGCGGCTGTGCGCGAAGCAGGACGCTGCTGAGGCGGCGGCGGCTAGGAACGGGACGATGGGTGGGCGGTAGCTGGTGTTGAGGCTGAGAGCCGCTGCTGCGAGGGCAGCAATGCAGTATGTATGTATGTATGTCGCCCCTGCCCCTGCCGGTCTGTGTGCTGTGCGTGTGTGGCGTGCGGCGTGCAGCTGAGATCCTGGCTGACGGAGCAACGTGCAGCGCGCGGTTTTGGCGCCGAGCTGGGCGTCGGGGGGCAATGTTGTGCGGTGCAGGTGGCCTGGTCAGGTCGGGTCAGCTTGGGTAGGAAGATGGCGGGCTCGGGCAGCCTTTTTCCTTTTTCTCTATTTGCTGCTGCGAACAAGTTGGGCGGTTGAGGCGGTTGGTTCTTTTCTGTGTGTTGTAGACGGACGGATAAAAAAGAAGTCGTTTTGAGTGCCGAAGTACGTTAGACACGGCGATTGTTTTTCGATGCATGAGCATCCCTCCGCGATATACTCTCTTCGATCTCGTCTCGCGTGTACTACGTACCTAGGTACACGCTCCTTCGAGATGCATGGATCTGAAAGATCTGCACCCTGAACCTGGGGTAGTGTAGTGGCCAGGGCTCACGTAAGCTCTACATGGCTTGCGCCACCACCGCCATGCCATTACTCTTAGCACCAGACCAGTGCGAAAAATTGCCGCATAAATGTAGCCTAGCTATGCCTTGATGCTGACTTAAATTTCGTCTCTGATTGTTCTGTTCCCTGTCTGTCAAGTGTGGAGTAGTATTTCGGCAATATCTTGCCGGCGGGGATTTTATTCGGTTCGGTCGGCATGAGTTGTAATCCGTAGTGAAAGCCCCAAAGGCAATCTCGATGGTCGACGCCGTACCCGCACTACTCGAAACGCCCTACTACGACAGGCAACGCCACGTCAACGCATTCCCAAGTGGCGAAACCAGCAGCGTTATTGGTGGCTGGAGAGCATAACAAATAACACAAAGCGGACAGAGAGAGGATGACACGTCGGCTCGTGGCGCAGCGGAATCGCGAGGCAGTGAGCTCGTCTCAAGACTGTGGGGGGATCTAGGCACGACAGGCTGCAGTCCGGTGAAGCAACTCGGCAGCCCATTCGCCCAGCCGGCGCCAAACATCCGGATAGTATCGCGAGCTAGCCACTGGGAGGGCAAGACGCGGGGGCGCTCGGCCCCTGCCTGCCATCAAAGCTTGGCACGATCCCTGCCAGCTATCTGTCCGCTGACGCAATCCAGACCGTCTACTCCTACCCCCCAGCCTCGCTGGAGTACGAGCAGGCGCGCGCAATGTGTTGTGAATGGGTGCAGGCGGAGCCGACACAACCGTCGATGCGGTGGCTGAATTTCTGGGGGCATCGCCGTCTTTCAGCTACACGCTACGCTACACGTACTGTGTCGCCGTGGAGAGCTTAAATACGGGCAGCTGCCGCGGCTGCATCGTCTTCTCTTCCCTATCCATCACCATCTCAAACAAACCTCTGCGTCGAAACAATCTCAAGACTTAGCCCTAGTCTTTTAAACCGCAACTCTTCTTGTATGTACGAAACCTGTCAGCGAGACAAACTTATTCACACAGCTAACGGCATCTCAGAAACCATCCACAAACCCACAGCCACGATGCCCGGCAGCACCACCTCGAGCGTCGCGTCCATCATCAAGCCGAAGCCGATCAAGCCGGCGTGCGGCGAGGAGTGCGACTGCTGCGGCTGCCGCGAGTCGTGCTACTGCGTTGTCATGTAAAGAAACAAAGATACCACCCATCATTTAGACGTCGAGCGAATCAATTAGACTTTTGTTTCTTTCCCATTTCCTGAAGCTCTGCGATGACGATGATGATTGATGCAGTGTTGTGGAGTGGATGTTGTGTTGGATCGAACAAGCACTGCCCCGGCGGCAAAGGCTGAAGCTTAAATGGCTTGGCTTTTCTGGGCGATTGCTTGGCGATGATGACGATGGGTGTTTGTTTCCCGGGGTCGGGTTGTCGGGAACAAGCGGGAATCTTCCCCCCAAAAAAAAAACTTGGCAGGTTTAGGTTCTTTTATAAGAGAGATGTGGGTTTGTTGTTGGATGAAGATGATGCAGCTTGTTTGTTGCGAGCTCGTGAAACAGTCACAGCGGCGAAACGGGCGCACGCGCCGAACCCGCCGCCCACGGGACGGTCGAGCGAGGTGGTGTCACAAACCCACCAACCCACGCCATCACCTTCTGCCGCCTACATCGGAGGTTGTGGGAGTGACTCACCATCAGAATTCCACTTATAGCAGCTATTAGCCAACAGCATCTCGCGAGCCTGGCGTGCCGATGTAGTGACCAGGATGCAGCGCACTTGAGTCGCATGGCTCGGTGAAGCGTTCACGTCGCCGTCGGCGTGTCCTCCACTGCACCGACTCATAACAAAAGCGCAGTCGCCGCCGAAATGCATTTCGCAAGCCATTATCGCACTCCAGCCCTGTTCGAGAGTCTCGTCCGATAGGACTCGTTTCACGTCCTCTTGTTTCGGACTCGCATCAGCCGTTTTGCCGTGCTGCGCGTACCTAGCACCGCCCGCCGCAGCCCCACGATGTCGCAACCCGGAATGGACCAGGAGGCCATGAAGAAGCTCGAGTCCAATGCCGACCACAACTACGCGTACCCGCTGTGGCGCAAGTCGCTCATCGTGTTCGTGACCAGCTGGACGACGCTCGCGGCCACCTTCAGCAGCACCTCGCTGTTTTCTGCGGCGAGCGAGATCGCCAAGGACTTCGGTACCACGCAGGAGAAAGTCAACCTTTCCAGCGCGGGCATTTTGCTTGCTATGGGCTTCTCTTCCTTCGTGTGGGGGCCTATTGGCATTGTTAGTTCTTTGCTTACTGCTTGCGGTTAGGCAAGTCATGGCTGACATGATGAAAAGATAATAGGAAGGAGATTCGCGTACAACAGTTGCATTGTTGTGCTTTTTCTTTTCACGATAGGCGCGGCTCTTGCGCCGAACATGCGGACGTTCGTCGTCATGCGCGTGCTATCTGGCCTGCAAGGAACATACTTCCATGTCTCGGGCCAGGTCATCCTGGCCGAATATTTCCCTCCTGTAAGTTCCCGAGAACTGCCTTTCACAATGTCAGTACACTGATGGATTGATTCAGATACAACGAGGAACGGCGACTGGTTTCTTCCTTGCTGGCACTGTTCTCGGCCCGCCTTTTGGTAAGAACGCTTCACCGATGGCTTTGTCCCTGTAGACCTCGACTCACAAATTGATCAGGTCCTTTGGTTGCCGGCATCATCGTCACGTATCAAAGCTGGCGCGTCATCCTTTGGCTACAAGCTGCGATGGTGGGCGTGAGTTTCATCCTGGCGATGACGGTCATCCCGTACAACAAGAGCCGCGAAGAATCGAAGCAGGCCATGTCGATCCTTGAAATGCTGGATCATTTCAACCCCAAACACGTCTTTGGACTAATGATATACCCCAACATCTTCTTTACCGTAAGTGAACGTACAATCCACGCGTTGCCCTTGCTCTAACAACGTTGTTAGGACCTGGCCTGCGGTCTTTTAAGCTGGACGCAATACTCACTGCTCTCTGCGCCGCGCCACATCATCACCGAAAGGTTCAACCTTACATCGCCACTGGTCTCCGGACTCTTCTACATCTCGCCCGCAGCAGGCTTCCTTGCCGGCACCATGATCGGAGGGAAGTATTCGGACATGACGGTGCGGAAATGGATCGACAAGCGTGGCGGCGTGCGCCTTCCGCAGGACAGGCTCAACAGCGGCATGTTCTCGTTCTTCTTTCTGGTGCCCGTTACTTCGCTCGTCTACGGCTGGTGCTTGCAAGCCGACAAGGGCGGGTTGCCGTTGCCTGTCATCATGGCGTTTTTCACTGCTGGAGGACTCATGGCCGCCTTTGCCAGCCTGAACACTTACTGCGCCGGTAAGTTTGCTGTTCAATGCTTCAGTCCCTAACCATTGCTGACATGCCATTTTAGAAGCAATGCCGCGCAAACGTGCCCAAGTCGTTGCTGCCAAGTATTGCGTTCAGTACACGTTTAGTGCCGTAACAAGTGGCGCATCCGTTCCCATGATCGACGCGATCGGCGTAGGACCAACGTGTACTATAAGTAAGAACTTCATCGATGTTGACGTTGCGATGAGATTCTAATAGCTTGCAGGTGCGGTTTTCGTGCTCATAGGCGGCGTCCTAACGATGACGACGGCGAAATACGGAATGAGGATGCAGGACTGGGTGGATGTGCGGATAAAACGGAAGCCGGAGCCCGAAAAGCCACAGCTCTCAGAAGAAGAAGAGACGGCACCAAAGCTAGATGCGGTAGTTTAATGTTTTAGAATTCAAAAGTTATCCAGCCATCCACTCGTCGTTATGAAGGGCCGGCCAATACAGGCTTTGCAGATTGTCGTCCCAGCTCGGCGTATCAATGAACCGAAGATCCAGATCCGGATGAGAAAGGAACTCCTGCAAGGATGGCTCCGCTAATGCCATCCCTGCCGTTAACAGCGGTCCCACCGTGGGAGGGGCGCCGGGAACTTGCAAATCATTGGGCATTCCAGGCGCTGTTAGAGATTCGAACGAGACCGAGTCGCTGGAGCCTCCGTCTCTCCTCCGGTTCGTCTCTTGCAAACTGACCTTCATTGCCTCGATATGCCGGCAAAACTCTCTGGCGCCCATGCTTCCGTTTTGGCTCAGTTGGCTGAGAAACTTTGCGGCCGTTTCGAAATGGTCGCCGTCGTTCTGCGAGTCTTTTCCTTTGAGGAGACTGGAAATGGCAAGGATCGTGGCCGCAGAGAACAGGTACTGCGTGTTGAAGTAGTCAAACGTAACGAAGGAGCCGTCGACCCAGACATCGGCTATGAGACGATACGAGTGCCGTGCGCACCGGATACAGGCTTCAGCTAATGCCAAAGCAGTGTCAGGAATCTGCGGTTTGGAGTCACTTGTGGATGCCTTCCAAGACTCCCGGTATGTGCGTAGCACTTGTAGAAGTACCGGCCTTGTGGCAAGTATAACACACTGCCTTCATAAGCTTTTTGAAACAAGGGAAGTGGGAGGAGCCTACCTGGTTGAAAGTAAGGTGCAGTGGTACGAGAGACTTGCGGGTCACTTGTTCATCCGCATCCAGCTGCAAATGCTCCGGCAACTCTTCCACCCAAGTGCGAAGATCTCGCAATATCCGTTGTACACGTTGAGAGAATGCTTCTTGCTGCGCCCTTCTCCCGTAGATAGAAGTGACGATATGTCCCGCGAGTTTGGCTAACTTGATGCTGACAACAGTGTAGTCTGGATTTGCAAAGTCAACAGCTTGGGCCTCAGAGAGCCCGTCGCTGGATGGGAAATCAAGTTCGATGTCCTCATCTTGCACAGATACCGGCTGGCCAAGCTTTGATGCCCACATTCTATCGAAAATGTAAGCAGTCCACCAGACTCGCGTCCTGTGCTCTCTTGTCCCTCGATCTCTCAGTTGGAACTCCGGTACAGTAAGATGCAGGCCTAATAGGATACCGAGACGGATCGCACAGCTTGCAAGGTAGTGAGCGGAATGGCGCCTGTTCACTGTAGACGAGTATAACGACTGGAATGGGTCAGCTGGTTAACGACGATTTAGAGTGGGGCCGGTCCCTACAAGTAGTAACATGATTTCGATGGAGTCTATCCTTGGTCGTTCGCTCAGCGCTCGGAGCATCTTGCTGGCTTGTGCAAAATAAACAAGACCAGGGAAAGAACTTCCTGTGTAAGCGGTTCGAGATGAGTAAGCTTCTCCTATCGCAAAGAGGGCCCACAACTTGCAAGTGACAAGAGTATCAGAAGCCAGGGCAGAAGGGTCGTGGACTACTTTTTCTAAAGTATCCAGAACGACAGTCTTGCGAACGATGTGATAGAATCTTTTTAGAGCACTGAGTGCCGCCTTCATCAAGAAGCGAGCTTGTGCTGGGCTCGGCCATGGACAATTAGAATCAGACAGTGCCATTAGGCCCTCGTCGGTCACATAATGATCACGTGGAATATGGGCGTGCGGTCTGTCCGAAAGAGCTTGGCGGAACCGCGTCGCAAACGCCGCATCAGCGGCCTCTCCGATGTGAAATGGCATCTCGGCGATGTTCATCGGCAGGAACCACGGCCGATCCTCAAGCAAAGGATTCCGAACGGATTCGTCGCTTTGAGCTGGACCCCGCGATGGCTCAGTCTCGGCTTCAGTGCTTACAGCAAGAGCAGGGCTTTCGTTGTTGGCGGCGCTGCTACGGCTGCTTTCCCGCAAACGCTGATTTTCTTCGAGAAGCTCATCAATGTAACTGGAGCTGGTGGTTAGTTGATTGAGTCACGGACCATGCCTTTTACCTACTCACCTTTGGTTCACTCTGACTTGACGGTCGCGTTTGGGGTATGTGCATTCGGCAATGCAGTCCGACTGGACGCAAGTCGCACAAGGCTGTCCGCCAGGGCACTTCACTTTGCGGGCGTGACATCTTCGACAGCTGTGGTGATCGTTAGACGAGGGCCCAGCCGAATCCGAAACGCCGTGTTTGCACTTACGCTACCGATTTATTCCTGGGGGCATTTGGGTAGGGCGCAGATCTACTTGTGTAGGATGTTTGCCTTCTGTCGGGGGAGTCGGTCATCTCGTCGTATGACCGGGGAATGGCGGCGAGTGTGCAAAAAGACCGAGCTGCAGAGTGCCGGCTCAACCCCGGGAGAGCGTTACCATGTGACGCCTACCCCGCACGCACGTCATGTCTGTCTCTTTACTCTACTCTCTCGCCTTTGAAAATCTACAGGTCCTTTCATCGAAAACACTTCAACCATGGATGCAGCAGACCTGGAAAGCCGCTACAGAGGCTACATCGCCTGCCTGAACTCACGCCGCTGGGACGACCTGCACAACTTTGTCAACGACTCAGTAACCTACAATAATGCACCAAAGACGCGCGCCGAGTACGCCGACATGATTTCTGCTGACGTCGCTGCGGCGGACGAGCTGGTTTTTGACGTGAAGCTGCTGGTGGTGAGCGGAAACACCGTTGCTTGTCGATTGGAGTTTGAATGTACGCCGATAAAAATGTTTCTTGGCCTCAAACCAACGGGGAAGAGGGTTGTGTTTGCGGAGAATGTGTTTTATCGGTTTGCGGAAGGGAAGATTGCGGAGGTCTGGTCGCTTATTGATCGCGAGGCTGTGAGGGAGCAGCTGAGTGGATGAGTTTGAGATGTTGCAATTGTTCGCTGAAAATGCTTTCTCTTACATTAATTACCACTAGAGACCACCTTCTTTTTCACTTTCGACCTCAGCAGAGATTCAAGTGGAGTAAAACTCTGGTATAATAACAAACAGGCATATGAAATCTTTAAGCGCCCCAGATCTCCAGCCAACTAACTTCAAACTTTTCAGTTTTGTCGGGTCGGACGAGTTCTACGCGCTCCAATCCCTCGGAGAACCGCCAAATTCCCTGGCCCTGTTGAAGCACCAGTCCGTCATGGTCGTGGATTATCTTCGTTCTAACGTTTTCTCCTTCCTCTCTCTCGTGCCTGCTCGCGAAAAGAAGGCCATGTTGCGGCGCCAGCTCCATCGAACAGCTCCGATAATAGCCTGCTTCGGGGTGGATGATGCTGCCGTGCTGGAGATATTCACAGAACTCCTCGCTGCATATGAAAACAGCAAAGGTCCGAGTGGTGTTAGCGTTGCGTGCAGACACCAGAAGAAGGCGATCTTTCTTCGGATGGATGAGGAGACTGGCTGCTTCGGCCGCGTCGTAAGAAGGAGCACCCGAGTGAAGGAGTTCTTCGAAGGTTTCGGGGATAGCCGCATGCAGCATGAAGCGCAGCTGGCTGGTTTGTGGCGCTGAGATGATTTTTGACGAGACGGCAAGCGGCGGAGGCGGTGCCGCTGCAAGAGGTTTCCCGTCCAAGATGCGGAAGCGGCGCGCGATGAAGGCACGCAGAGGTTGGAACAGGTTAGGCTGGGGTCGGGTAAGTCTGTGAGCTTAATGGCGCGGCGGAAATAGATACTTACCAAGTGCTCAGTGACTGCAGACCTAAAGGTTGGCAAGTCGACGTCGGCGTCGCCGAACGAGCGGCAGATGCACTCGGCCGTGACCGGCAGAGACTCCGGGTAAGTTGGTGGCGGAGTTGACATGGAAAGCGACAGCATCAGCTTGACCAAGTTTCGCATGTCCTGCATCATGATGACGCCACTTCGATCACGCGAGCTGCACGGAGGTGCATCTGGTGGCAGCAATGGGGGTGAATAAGGGATCTTGACGCCGTCGTCGTTGTCGGTGAAGTTTTTGAAGACGCTGTAGAAGTCTCTATCGGCATTTTTGTCGTCGTTTTCAGGGTGCGCGACAAAGCTCGGTTGAGCGACAGCTTGGAAGCACAGCCTGATTATGTCTTCGGTGTCACGCAAGTAACGGCGTCCTATGCGGATTTGCCCGAGGTTGTCGGCGGGGTGAGTCATCATGGCAAGAGACAGCAGGAAAGCGTCGCAGGTGAGACGAGCATCTGTTGCCGGGGCGAAGGGGTAGAAGCCGTGGTAGATGGCCAGCCGGTAGAGAATGGGGCCACCTTCGTGAAGCATCTCGGCATAGTCTTCGCCTTCACCTTCGGCCAGCAACTCAACGAAGGCATCCCGAGTCAATGCTGTATCACCAAGTCAGAAGTTTTTCCAATTCAGGATGCTGCTTACTTACTGCCATCTTCCGAGCATCGCTCTAGAAACGAACTGCGAAGAGACGTAAGAAAGTCTTGCGACTGGCCGGCGTATAAAAAGTCGATGAGCTTAGTGCGGATCTCTTCCGGCGTCGTCGGCTCTGAACGTCTCGGTACACTTGGTCCCAGTCCCATTTTTCCGGATTGGAGATGAAGGATCATGGCCGAAGCCTGTGTTTTTATATATCGCCCGGGGTCTGTGGGGGCTAGCACAGCCATGTGGGGGCCACGTGGGGGCCACATGGGCCCCGCGGGGACCACCATCTACGCATTCCACGTCCATCCTATCATCACTTACCATACATTACGACCGTTTAGCTAGTGACCGGGTTTGTTTTGGTCTTATGGTATTTGAAACAATATGGCATTTGTCTATCCCGCCCCCAGCACCTTTGAGTACCATCTTTCTACCGTGCTCTTGGACCCCAAGCCGCCGGGACCTTTCAACGACCGACTGGCCCCAAACCACCTCGTATTTTTAACATGGCAATTGCAGTTGAAACTATTCGCTAGTCATTACGCTATTTTCGTTTCTGCCCTTGGACCCCAGAGGGCAAGAGTCGGGACCTTACAATGACCTATTGGCCCCAAACCACTTTCTACCCTTATCTCTTCCATGCGTTTGCTGCCATCAGCTATCATTATTGTAGCACTTTGGCCTTAGAAGACAGGAAGTCGGGACCTTACAATGACCTATTGGCCCCGAAACACTCTCCCTTCTCTGTTACGGTTGCCGTAGCTGAAATCCTTCCCTTTAGTGTCTGAATGGTATATATGTACCATTGAATGAATCCATTTTATTATCATCATCAGTTCCATCTTCACTCTTCTCCAATACACATTATCAGCCTCGACAACATGAAGCTTTTCAATCTCATTCTCCACCTCTTCCTGTTCCTAACGGCCGCTTTGGCCGCTCCCGCTCCTAACGGGAACGGGAACAACCACGGAAATGCCGCTGCCAGTCAAGATAACGAGTTGGCCAAAAAGTGCTACAAAACTAGCGGCCTTATGCCAGGCGAGCAGGTGAAGCTCAGCACTCCTATGTCGGAGCCTAAGCACCAGACGTTCGCCCCGATGCTTCTCGGTTGCGCTCTCAAGTCCCAGCTGCATTTGGACAAGCCCGTGTACGGCAAGACCTACGTTTTCACCGCCTATAAGGAGGGCAATCCGCTTGAGAACTTCTTCAACGGCGGCGCCCAGTAAGTTTGCGTCCTCAGCCACGATCTGGACTAAGCTAACTGACATCCCTTAGCGCTTTTCTGCTACTCGCTGAGTGGGCTGATCCGTCCAAGGTTAACGCGCATACTCCCGCCTTCCAAGCCTCCACCTTTGACCTGATCGTCGACTGGCGCCCTGAAAATGAGCGTGGCCCGCCGGGTAGCTGGCTCATTGACTCGAAGCAGATCGCTGAGCTCCGCCGCAAGACCTTTAGCGATAAGAGAGCACAGGACTGGGCCGAAAACCTCAAGTACAACATCAAGGCTCTGGGAATTAGTAAGGCTGGAGAGGGCAAGTCATTCCAGCAACTTGCCCAAATAGTCGAGGACCAAAGTAAGTACTATACTTAGTAATTTGTAAATTGTAGCTGCTAACGAAACTTACTAGGCGACGCGTACTTTGAAGGCGAGGGTAGACACTATGAATATGTGACTAAGAACTGCGGCTCTTATGTCAAGAAGATGCTTGGTGTTGTTAAGGCAGAGAAGGCATCTTAAGCTCTGATTTTAATTCGGTAAAACACCGAGAAACGCGTCGCATATTTAGGGGTTGGTATACTTCGAAAAGATGTTAGATTTTCATACTAGTAGTGTTAGCAGCTTGGGGATTTTATTTCGCATAACAAACTCTTTTTCAATACACCCTTTCGTCCGTCTACTATTCTAGGCGAACCTATCCGCTTTCGAGCTCATGTTCTTTAAGGTTCTCATACACACTGATCGTATTGTGTATAATTATTATCGGCGTCAGCGAGTAGAAAGGTCCGTGTTAGCATATTTAGCGACAGACACATATATTTGGTCCGATATCTTATATTGTTTTCCACCTAATTTCATAGTACTACTATTTTCCCTCTTACTTAAGAAACTCGTAGATGCCCTTAATATGCCTCCTCTTTATTCCTCTTTTTAGGATTTCGCTAATCTAACTTCATACAATGCGCATATTTAATATAAGCAAGAAAAGATGTTAGAAAAGATAATTTTAGGACAACGCTAAATAGCTAAGAACTGGTGTAGTGGTTACTTTTACATCCTAGTTCATCCACTATAACCAAGGGATTGATAAGTTTCTATGAATCTTGAAACAAAGGTATTTCAGAATATGTCAAGCCTTGTCTAGGAATACCATGGCCTATTATTCATTCATATGTCGAACAATCTAAACACCTACCTGTACACATTCCTATGTACGGGTGGTAGAATTCCAGATTCTTCTTCGGCAAAACAAAGCATAAGGCTTTCGTCTTCTTTCTTTTCGAGTACTCCGGGATCACTGGGGATTCTCTCGCTCTCAGCTACGTCGCTCCGTTGGTGTGAACGTTCTCGATAAAACTGGTCATCATGGGAATCTCCGCTAAAAAACGACCCACGCTCTCGTGATGGTGATCTCTCTTTAGGAGGCGAGTCTTCTTGGCCGGGAGTAGGGTGTTCAGAGTTTTCCCGCCTGACAGTCCAGTTATCCTCAAGTTCGCCATCGTTCTCAAGCCAAATTCGTGCCCGGCTAGGTGTCTCCTGTGTATCCAGTATCGGCTTCGTATCGTGTAAAGGCTTGAGGGCCGTGGCGGCTCCATAGCGGACTCGTTTATTCCCGATAGCTTTTAGTAGACCGTTTATGTCTTCGTTTGTCCCAGCCTGAGTTATCAGCGGACTCCGAAAAGCCTTGGCGATTTCTAGGGGGCTCATAGAAAAGTTTCGGCCCAGGTGCCACCATCCGAAGAATAAGGGGAGAATGGCGATGACGTTAACAATCATGAGACATAGACCGGGAACAAGGTAATAGTAATTGACAGTGTAAACTGTTCGATCGATTCTCTCTGTGGCTTGAACAGTTTGGAAGGTGGATGAATTTGAAAGCCCGATGGATGCGCGGAAAGCCAGTTCACGAATCATGTCGCGGACGTCTGGCATTGGATTCGAGTAGGTAATTGTGCAGTTGTTGTAGTCGGCGCTACTCAAATGAGTGTATGTCATGGATCCGTTCCCGGTAATAGACCACTGAGGTGGAGCCGGTGTCATGGTGATGTTGCTCTCGAACTGCTGGCGTCCGTAGAGAACGAATCCTCCAATCGTTGAAAAGAACGTGCTTATACTGGGAAGCTCCGTGCCTGGATAGTGCACCTCGACCGTGTCGTTTTCTCCTGCGGGGCGGAGGCTAACAGAGCTGTTGGAAATAGTGACTGGATATGAGACAGTGGCTAAACGGAAGGTGCAGTCCACTGTCCGAAGCATACCAACGCAAGCCGGATCATCTTTGTACCTCACGCTAGTGTTGAACATGCTAGCATTGGCTTCCATGCCGTCAAAAGCAAAAGATATCCCTCCAATATTCGCAGTGGTTGCGTCTGCTGTGCCGTGACTTATCGTTTGTGTTAGGTTGTAAGGTGCAGAGCCTTCGGAACATTGTACATCAAACCCGGTGCTAAGAAGATTCATATCGCAAACACCATTACAGCCGCTTGTTTCCAATTGCATGTCATTTCGAGACTGATATGCCTTGGTCACTTGCGCGAAGGGTAGCTTGAGATACGTTACATCCCGGCTTCGAATGCGATAACCGCCAGAATAACCGTTTGGCAACGGGTCGTGTGACAATGAAGCATTTATTGTGGCATTCCGGATAATAGGAACTGTAGTTACAGAAGAGGAGCGTTGAAGAAGAGGTCCGTCGATCGATACCAGAGTTGTTATGATGCAGGCCAAGGCAATCGTGTTGAACTGTCTTCCTGAGAAGAAAGATTGTTTAAAACTAGTGGCATATGCCCAAGAGAAGTGCAGTTCTTTCAAGCTTCCTCCGCTTAAAGCTTTTCTCCACCACAATAAGGTGAGGCTCTCGGCTAAGGCGTAACGGATGGCGGCGTTCGCGACGGCGGTTAAAATGGCCACGATAACGGTAGGTTGTAGAGGATGATTTTTTGATGGCCACAATTCGATGTCTTTACCCTTGGAGGCAGCTAGTGTTGCGAGTGATCCGAATGCGCAGACAGTGGCGGTCAGTAAGGCCAATACCCCAAGCTGAGGTAGTCTTTTAAAAATCCCCGGTAGCCACGGTTTTCCGGGCTGCAGTTGGGTGTAAGTTTGTTTCTCCATTGCGACGAAGAAGAAGCAGATAGAACTAAAGATGGACCTCTACTTTTTAAATACGCAGCTGGACGTTTTCTTTTTCTTTTTCTTTTTTTAGATCAGTGGATGTAACCCGGGGGCCAAAAGACGGAGTTGTGTTACGTGAGCTACGTGGATAGATATGCGTGTCATCGTTCTCTGAAACATTAAGATCCTTGCATGTTCCACTTAAGATAAGCGAATCGACATATTTTGTATGACCAAGAATAGCTACCTTGTCTACCTACCATTTTAACCAATTTTCCGAGAACATATAGAGATAACCTATATCTTTTCTTTTGCGCAATCTCTTTTATTTGTAAAATTAGGCATTATAGTCTCTAGACAGTATTAAAGACGTTATCTTAATATCTAACATCCAAAAACTAGTTTGCTCATTGGTTATACCCAACACGCTAACCAATTATGTAAGTGTAATAGATACTACAAGGGCAAATCTTCTTCTTATCCCTCAAAGTATCTATTATAATAACAAAATAGCAAATTAGCAGCATTGAATCTACTGGAACCAACTGGCAATCGTGTTTGTCAAACAATTTGTTCCACGTTTCTACAACCATCCAGCGCGAAACAATCACCGATATACGGTGTATAAATAGGCATTGGTGCCGATCTAATCAAGATGTAAAATTCCAAAATCTCACGCCAGAGAGCAAACAGCGAGCGAAATCTTCATTTCCCCATATTTAAACCGCAGCCGTTAAGCTTTAAGCTTTCAAGCACCCACACAAAGCAACATGTCCATCACTTTCTGCAGTACCACTGATTCCATAGCAAAGCTAATCGACAATATCGAGGATTTGCAGAAAGACGGCACCGTTTTGTACGTTGACTTGGAAGGCCGTGACCTTTGCCGCCATGGAACCATTTCTCTCATCACCATTCTCATTCAACCTTCCGATCTCGTCTACGACCTGGATGTCCATGCTCTAAAGCAGAGCGTCTTTTCGACAGCTGGCAGAAACGGATACACCTTTAAACAGGTGCTCGAATCCACCGAAATTCTCAAAGTGTTCTTTGATGTCCGCAATGACTCTGATGCACTTTTCGCACACTTCGGAATTAAACTGCAAGGGGTTGAAGACATTCAGCTCATGGAGAACGCCTCGAGGACTAGCCGGTCCAAAAAGTTCCTCTGTGGTCTGCAGAGATGCGTCCAGGTCGAACTCTCTAAGAACCAATTTCCAGAAAAAGACAATTGGATGAACTTCAAATCGAAGGGAGAAGTGGCCGGATACTATGAGGAGACTTTCACTCGACCATTGAACCCTGACATCCTACGCTATTGTACGGGTGATGTAGAAGTCCTTCCATTGTTACGCAAGTCCTACCTTGGTAAGCTTAATGAGTTGTGGAAGACTAAAGTAAAAACCGAAACGGAGAATATAGTTAGACTCTTAGAGCCCGGGATACCAGCTACATGAGATGGATAAAGCTGAGGGTCCTTGGTTTAAGAAGGCCTCTTCCGTCCTCAAGAAGAATTGAACAATTCGTATGTTGACACGCTATATTCCTCTAAAATCTCTAAGCATTAATAGCTAGAATAGCGTCTTTTCAATGAAAATCCCTTGCACCAAGTAACAGACAAATCTACACGTGTGGATAGAAATCTCTCGATAGCTACCCGGATACCTAGCGTTTGATGGTGGCGAAGTTCGGCCGCGGCGCGGCGCATCAAAAATCAATTTTGGTCAAACTGAAAACTCCTAACAGCTTTTTAGACGTATTATTCTCCCTTTGGCGCTTTTGCTTTTAAAAGTAAGTCCATAGACGAAGACAGAATGCAAGAGAGTCAGCTTAAGTCAGGTATTGATATGCGCCAATTATACAAAAGTTGGCGATTACAACCAAGTCGTCTTATTGTCGTCTTAAATTAATAAGCGAGCTATTATACTGGCTCTACAATCATTCCGGCCGGCGAGGATTTATGAAGAAGCTAATGGTTTGTATATCCACGCACTCAGCTAGTTGCTGAGTCAAGGGATCAGATTTATAATAGCCGGTGAACTTACAACTACTTACCAGAATAGTAACTAGCCAGGACATTGACCAAACAATCTTGATAGTCACAAAAAATTTTACGTTCACATTACCAATAACGTAGACTTTTAAGCAAGGAGAATATCCAATCCTAAAGAATTCATAACTTCCTGACGATGAAGCGGCGAGCACTCTCCTGTAGCATCTCGCTGCTCCCAGACCTTCCTTACCACCTTTGTGGCATGCTTCAAGCTGCCAATACCAAAATGTTCCCCCTTAGTAAACAGATACATGAAGCGCTCTCTCAGCTCCTGGCTCTCTGCATCGCAAGCGGCGATGTACAAGGGCCAGCCAACACCGCACACCCGTGCAGTCTTTTCGAGACGGTATATCGTCTCGAGGTGCTCAGCGCATTGTTGCACGAGGTGCTGGATGGCTGGCAGGGGAGCGGTGCGGAACTCGCGTTGGAGCTGGATATGCGCCGCCAGGTAGAATGTCATCCTGTGGTGGTGCATCAGAATGTCGCTGAAGCCGCCATGCTCAGTGAAGAGACGGTCATCAGGCACTTTAGCCTCTTCAATCAATGCTTCAATATCGTCCAGCTCCTGATTTGTGGGCTCAATCAGACTGTGCCGGATGTCGTGCATTCGTTGAAGAGCCTTAAACACAGCGATCGGGAGGCCAAAGAACCTTTCGAGGTAGTATCCCTGTAACCCGTTCTTCTGATCCTCTTTCGAGAGATTTGTGTAGTAGCCGTGTGGAACGATACTCGTGTACATACGCTTCGTGTCCTGCGTGAGGGCGAACATCTCTAGGCAGCGGAACAGCTGGTACGTTATGCCGGCGTGCCAGCTGTTCTGGAAAGATATTCGCGTGGCTCGGAGGAAGTCTCTGCCACCTTTCAAGTGTATCCTCCAGTTGGCCGAGTCGCCGACTACCAAGTAAATGCTTGCCAAGATTGTTATGGTAGCGAATATTGTTCCAGGATCCTCATTTGGCTTAGTGAGGCTCTGGTGAAGTAGCCGGATGCTGACTTTATAGTTCCTTATTGCATGTACTCGGTATTCTGGCTTTGGGGGATATTGTTCCGTAAGGTTGAAGGCCGCGATAGCATAAATACCGTGAAGGAGAGCGAGTGAAGCGAGTGTATCTGTATTACTGAGAGCGAGAGGTATCATGACATCTCGGTAGGGGTTATCTGTTATTGGTATGGGCAGGATGATACCACTAAGATGAGAAGTCCAATGGTGAAACAGCACCCGATCTTCTGGGGGCAGTGAGGGAAACACGAACTGGAGTGGATCCGTCGTAAGGGATGGTATTGAGCCCAGCAAGTTTGCTTGAGATAACATCGGTGAAGTGAACGCTCCCGTCCCAACGATGGTATGTGGTGTAGTCGACAGTGAAATCACCCCATGATTTTTGTTGTTGCCGTCGTTGCAACTACGCAGTGATATAGTCGAGTTGCTGCTCCCGAAAGCTCCGCTGTTGGTATCATTCCGGGCTCCAGAGACAGAAAAGACGCCAAAAGGAGGGACTTGGTGGTTACAAGGGGCAACCAATCCGTCCAAGGATTCGATAGCGTGTTCAAGAGACGCGTCGTCGTGGACAGGGGGTTGGCGGCCGGCCTCTGTGAAAAGTCGTCTGGACTGCTCGTGGGGAGCGTGGTCGTTCTCATCCAGCCACACGAGACGAATTCCGTATCCTTGACAGGATTTCTTCGATTTCGCACACGTAGCACAGTGCGGCTTTCCAAGGTCGCACTTAACACCACGATCCCGACAGGTCCAGCCTGGGTGGCCAATCAGCTTCGAGCGCTAAGAAGCGGAGGGAGAGGCTCACAGCCAGTGAAGGTCTTTCCGCGTTTCTTTTGCTGGTGGGGAGTCGGCATGCTGATTTCGATTCAGACGCAGGTTGAGAAGGAAGGCAACAGCGAGACCGATGGAGTGACGGCATGCCACGTGCGGGAGAAAGAGGAGCAGAAAGAGCTAAACATAGGCGACAGGGCGGGTCGCACACTAGTGCTACGGCGGGGACCCGTGCGTGCCCGATTCCCCCCACATTTGGCAGGTCACGGCGAGCCTAGCCATCTAGACTTCCTTCGAACCCTTCCTAAAGCATCCTTAGGTCTGCCGTCTTAATTCTGATTGGTGACGAGTCTGCACCTCATGTCGGGCTTGTTTTCACCACCTCTGGTTATCAAAAGTCATAGCCACAGCACTACCAGCGTGACTTGGTTGCATTTCGTTTCATATCGATCATGTCTCGTCATCTGAAACAGGCTTGCTTCAAGTTGGCACCACGTGCTTTTATTATTTCTTCTGACTGTCCAGTAACATAACATATTCAACCAATAAAGCCTATTTATCTAGTCCTTGAACGGTACTAAATAAGAGAATGCAATCGTACTTCTTGACCTTCTACTTCTCGTTGCTACCTTTCTCTTCTGTTAGCTCCCTGAAACCCTTGGCTAAATCGTCTCTCAAATCCTCCCAGCGTTCAGCGCCGATTGAAAACCGCAGCAGTGTCGCGTCAACATTTTGATCACTCATCCGGCGCCACTCAACCAAGCTTTCAATGCCACCCAAACTCGTAGCATGGTGAAAAAGAAGGAGCTTGCTGGGAAGCCGACGAGCATCCTGTTCCGTTTTCATCCATAGCGAGAACACAGGATTGAAACCGTTGGGCATCTGCTTGCGCAGCCACCCCTGTTCAAGATCCTCGGTCTGCAGGCTCGCATGGGAGACCTTGTCTACCAACTCAGCAACAAGACGAGCCTTCGGATCACTACTCGTCGCACCAGAGTTCATGTTCTCATACAACCAACTGACGAGACGCTCGACATTGAAGCTCTGAGTGCGGACGCGTAAGTCGAGAGTACGCAGGCTGCGGATTCCCAACCAGCTCTCCATGTTCCCCATGACGCTCCCGAGACAGCTGCGCTCATGCCAAAGGCCCCAGAACCAGTCTTCGCGCTGCACGGCCAGGACACCGCATAGTAAGTCACTGTGGCCGCCGATGTATTTTGTTCCGCTGTGCATGACGACATCGGCGCCAAAAGCGAAGGGATCCTGTAGGCCTGGTGGTGCAAGAGTGGAGTCGACAGACAGATAGGCGCCGCGCCTGTGTGCCTTTTCGACGAAAGCCGCAATATTGTAGGCTTCTCCGGATGGATTGAGTGGCGTCTCAACGTGTACAACGTCACCTTTGCCTAATCCAAGCTCGTCCCAGGTTGACTCGTTGTGGAGATCGGCCAGTTTAAGTCCGTACATTTTAGTGTGCAGCGCTAGCACACCGTGGCAACCATGGTAGCCGCTCAGTTTGTCGTGACCAATAGCAACGACGTTGGGCCGCAGGTACACCATCATCGCGTTGAAGGCCCCAAGGCCGGAAGAATAAGTGATGGCACGGCCATTAAGCAATTGTGACAGCAGTGCTTCGAAGCGTGTCGTGTTGGGCGCAGATTCGCGGCTGTAGATCGGCGGAAAGTCTGTTGACTCAGGCTGTCCGGCTTCGTGTTCTGGTACCAATTCGTCCGGGTTTCGTGTATAACGGAAAGTAGTAGAGACGTGAAGGGAGGGCGCGACATCTGATTCTTTATTTAACCAGTCATCGCCGTGGATGCCGATAGTAGCAGCATGGTAAGCTGGAGTAGAGTTGTTGCCAAACGACATCTTTTCGGTGATAAAGAATGAGGTTTTGTTTAATGCCATTGGCGAAGATACGCCTTTATATACCTCAGCCGGCTAGCCTGATGCGGCGACTATTGCAGGCGCCATCCGCATGACGACATCTGCAGTCCGCACTTAACCGACGGTGACACTAACAGGGTCCACAAACCATCCTTACTCCTAAAATGAGTGAGCCCATGCGGCCCCGCTTTTTAGTAATTAGTAATAATAAAACAGTTTGTCGTCCTCCGGATGCTCGAGTCTTTCATAATGGACCAAGAGTACTAGAGCAGGACGTCATAATCCTGTACAATAGCCCGGTCCACCACTACGTAAAGCCGAAGTTCTACACGGAGACGAAACCAACGACGAGCAGGGTGGTACTAACATAGAACTACTTGGCCGTCTAGACATACGGACATGCTAAGGTATAATTCGACAGTAAGAGCAGAATGTTGATAAATACCTGCCCTTAAGCTTGGTGAAATTTTGTTACTATCACTCATTACTTTCTTTTAGCAAGCGAAAGACAGTTAAGTACTACCACATTAATACTTAGTTTCACTATTTGCTTCTACACTGCACAATAAAGATATAGAAAGGTGAAAAATACAGGAAATAGGGGAAAAAGATGCCGAGATCTTTGTGCAGTAACTTGAAACGAATACTAAATAAATCGATTTCTCCTTTACACTTAACTACTAATAAAACCGTAAGACAACGAAACACAATCGCAGGTCCGCCGTAGCTCTACGGTAGGTCGGAGCGGACCTAATACGGCGAACCTCCGGGCAGGAGATCTCGGCCGGAGGCGACGTCGAGGTAAATTATTCAACCTGACCGCATTAATGGCTTCGCATAAAGATAGGTCTAGTCATATCATATACAACCTCAGCGTATTGAGACCAATAAGAGGGTCTTGGCTTTATAGTATCTCCATTAACATATACATACCTTACAATTCATTGATTGACTTATACCCGGACCAGATTACACTTTTTCAAAGACGGACATAGCTGTTTTATTAGGAATTAAAGAATCCTGCCTTCCACTTGGTTAAACGAAAGTTCTCTTGAGGATATTTCGATAGTTTTGGTTGAGAAAGATGTCATAGGCACCTCTTTATTTCCAAGATTTTATACGTTCTTTGTACGCGATATCATCAATACTCAGACAGCGACTTCTGTGACCAGAACAACTGGAACCTCAACCCCTCTTTTTGCACTCAATAACTCCGACAGTTGTGGAAGGATGCTGCCAGATCTTCACAACCTCCAGTTCAGCCTTCGCCGCCAGATTGTGCCACTCATCTACAGTTCTTTCTCTAGCTCCAATTTGCATCATCAACACATCCGTAGACGTTGCTATGACAGCTGGAGGATCAGGGATGACCTGATCAGTGATGAGAATTCGTGATTCAGGAGTCATTGCATCGCGAATATGCGAGAGAATTTGGACATTATACTTGTCCGACCAGTCATGCATGACGCGACGCAAGTAGTAAATAAGGGCTCCTGGATTAGTGTTCCGTTAGTTTTTGATGTTTTCAATAAACCATAAAAACATACCTTTGGATGGCTGCTCCTTGAAATAATCGATCACTTCTCTCTTTACACCACGCAGCCCCGGTTCATCCTGCTTGTTACCATCCTCTATCACCATTTTCGTATCCTGAAGCACCAGTCTCTCCGCAGGGATAGCCGGGCACTCTTCCATCATGCGTTGCAAAGCCTGGCCCCTACCGCCACCGACATCGACAACCAATGGTGCGTCGTCGGCGACGAGGTGCGCGTTCTCCGCGATCCATTTGAACGGAAACATTCCCCTGACTGGAAGAATTTGGTCAGAATTCTGCATGCTGAGATTCATTTCAAGCTGTCGTTTTTCGTCGATTACGTCCCAATAGTTCCACTCGGGGTGGCCCCAGGCCAAGTTGTGTGGGTTGTGCGTTGGCTCGACTGGGTCTATGCGGCCGTATTTCTCGAAATATTTCATCCAGTGCGCCGAAGGAAGTCCCACACAATCATAACTGGCAGTTTATGCGTTAGATCAGACATAAGAACAGCGAATCCTACATTGATAAACTTACCAAACCCCGAAATAGGCTCCCTGTGAATTGTCGGAGGTGAACATTTTTGAAAACTTCGTGTGCGCGACTTGATCTTTTCCCGCTCTCTTCAAAACGTTCGTGGACACAAGCAACCGGCCAAACCTCTGGATGAGTGCTTCCTCGGCGTTAAGTTTTGCTGCCAGGTCGGCATAGGAAATGCTTCCTTCCTCGGGAATAATATCGAACGCCTTCCACTCTTGGAACACCCGTACGACCGGAATCTCGCCCATCTACAACAATTAGGACGTGTTCAAATCCATCAAAGCCATAAGAACGTACTTGAATGATGTATTCGTAGGCTCGTTCCCTTGGCTCTTCTACCTCATCTTTAATTTGCTTTGCTAGCCGCAAGATGTTTTGGCGCTTCAAGCGACCCTCTTGGCTTGAAGGATCATCGTAGCCGCTGATGGCAGTGGAAAGGTCTCTCACGATACTCTCGAGATCTGAAGGCATCGCGATGGAATATATGTTTTTTCTTGCAGTGTTTGAACTTTAAGACCGAAAAGTTATAGGCAGACCTGATGCTTTAAGTATGTTGATAACAATCTTTGAATGAAACTGATAAGATGGGCGGGCTTTTATAGCCGGTAAGTATGATCAACAAGACACGCGTATGATGAGACATGCCCCTCTTTGGGCTCTTATACCTTGTCTCTTTGTCATTTAAAAGTGGGGAATTGCAAGCGGGGTTAGCTGAGATGGCGGCACCGGCTATTACAGCTCTTATACATCCGCGATATGATAATTAGTGGGGCGCCGCTATTTGGCCCCCATGGCAGATAAGAAGCCGGATTTCCCTAATGCCGATAAAGGTATATCAAAACCATCACTTTTATAGTCATGGTATCTATTGGAATTTTCATCAATACCATATTTAAGTTCGTCTGCAATAGGCTGCTCACTTCCAGAATACAAGACCATCTAACACTGATACGTAGTATACTAGTGAACTCTGGTATTTCCTTATAAATCCTAAAATCTCAGTTCATCGATATAACTCAGATCTCGCCGTTAGATCTACTAGACTTCATTGTTAGAATATAGAGGTTAAACAAGCCGACGCATCAAATGCGCGGGTCCTTCACGTGTTCTTACATTCAGTATACTCTTCTCACTCATTACAAGTTGTTTTATATTTACAACATGCTCTCGTTAACTGCTTATACCAAATCCTACCGGAACGAGCTACTATCTGATGCAAAGCTTTGTACGACTCTCAGCCTTGGCTTCAATTCATCCCCTCCCCGTTTCGTGCCTACCATGTCCAACCCCAATATCTTAATACACTTCTCCATAGCTTCTCCATCCCACGACTTCATTGCTTCCTCGACTCCTTCAAGCTCCATGAATCTCTCTACCCTATCGTTCGTTTTGTGCTCAGCACCGTTCTGAGCTACAAAATATGCGTTAACTGTTCCGCTTTTCTCATCCAAAGCTGTACTGCAGATGCCACTCCGAAGGCGCGTGATGTTGTAGTCGTATGTTGATGAGATTCCCCGTTGTCGTTCATTATCACGTATCTCTTTGAATCTATCGGCCTGTAAAGACCAGAAGTGGAGTCCAATGTCGCCATGGGTGAAGTGACCAAAACGGGAAATGTGCACAAAAAACGGATCAGTAAAATAACCGACTCTCCAGTTGTTGTCGGTGAGCAGGTTGTCATATGGACCTCCACGGGCGGCTAGGACAAGGCCGAGGCTGTCCTAGTGATTGCAACATCAACAATCAGCTCTAGCGGCATAGCCGTTGTGGTGTGACGTTGGCAGTTGCAGCTTACCGCAAGCGTACCCCATGCTCGCATGGCATTTTCAGTCATAAATCTCTCCCAGTACAGGGCCGGATGTTTTCGCCTCCAAAGATCATCCACGCGTTCCCATGACTTGGCAGTTGGTGCCCAGTAGTGGTCAAACAGATCGTCTTCAACAATCTCAGCAATCTCGGCGGGTAGTTTCCTTTTTAAGGTTTTATTGGTGAGCATGCGGGCGAATAATCGCTTCTCCAGGCGAGAAACGCCCCGCACGAAGCTGCGCTCTGTTGCAACGACGCTGTAGACGGCGCGGGTTTCGATGAAGAACATGGCGCGGTAATCGAAAGAAGTGATGTGGGATGTATTAATAGAATGTACAAAAGGCTTTGGGGTTTAGAGGTATAAGGCTTTGTTCTGCCAGCTGTTATTAAATCAACTGTTGTTGCCTAATTTGGTCCGACCACTAGCGCGATGGTCATGAGCCGATGTAGCACAGCCTCTAAATCAGGCAGCTAAACTAAAAACAAAAATGAGTTGCACTACTATAGATCAAGCTGATGTGCACTAACTATGCTAACTGATATTTGGACCATTTTCCCTATGTAGTAAGCGGGAGACACTGCAATCGGAAGCATTGACACACAATGAAGAAGCCCGAACGACAGAAGAAGCGGATGGATCCGGAAGTTTTAGGAGGTCTTTCGGAAGCGGGAATGATGCGCCTACACGCACAATTACAGCCCCTTAACAAAGAGCAATCAAGGAAAACGTAGCTCCGGGTCGGTAGTACGTGGGAATTGGACATGGTCACAGCTTTTCACCGTATCACCACGCTCATTCTACAAGTAAACCAGCTGTATTATTGTCCTATAAAAGGCGGAGCAAGTACACCAACATAACTGGCTAACCCTCAGGGCAAATACCTGTACTGTTACAAGACGACAACGCGCCCCACCCCCCACGCCATACACCAACAGTCCCCTACACCAAACTCAAGTAAACGCACCACTCCGCTTAATATACTCTGTCCAAGTCGTCGGTTTTTCCTCCAAAAGATCCAAGCTCGGCTGCAAGCTCTCGCCATTGAAGTACCCAGGATCATCAATGAAGAGGTGATTCTCCAGCATCTCCTCCGCGATATTCTTGGGCAAGAAGCCCTTGTACTTCTCCGACGAGACGCGCACATAGCGCGCTTTGTGCCCTGTCGCCTTTTCGAAATCGGAGAGGATCTGCGGCGGCGTGTAGTAGGCTGCTGCGCCGAGGACGTGCGCGTTGAGCAGCTTGTCGCGGTTCTTTATTATAGCTTTGACGAACTTGCCTGTTGGTTGTCAGTCCGTGGGACGAGGCACAGCTCAGGTAATAGTGGAAGTGTAGAAGGAGGAACAATTCCCAACCGCACTCACCCGTATCCTCCGCAATATCTACAAGCGGAAACCTCGCGTCCTCACTAACCGGGTACGCAAGGATATAAACTCCATCCTCATCCTTCTTGAGCATGGATCCATAATTGCTCATGAAATAGCCGGGCAAGAAAAACGAGGCCGGGACGCCCGACTCGCGGATATAGTCCTCGATGTCGGCCTTGCCGTCGAAGTGCGGGACATGAGAGAGACGCCCGTTCGTCGTCTTGCTGACATGCAGCAGCGACGAGAAGATCAGGTGCTGCACGCCGGCGTCCTTGGCCACGTCGGCCACGTTCTTGCCTTGTTGCACTTCGATGTCGTATTGTGCTGCTTCCCAGTAGTTGGTTACGAGGAAGACGGTGTGGGCGCCGTCGAGGACGGCGTGCAGGGAAGCTTTGGAGTTGAGGTCGGCCTGGCGTGCAGGAGCTTGGTGTTAGTTTGTCTGCTAGAGGTGAGTTGAGCATGTGAGGTTTCGCACCGTCTTCATCTCCACGCCTTTTTTGGCCAGGGACTGGGCTGCTGGTTTGGACACATCGCGCGTGATGCCTCGGATCTTGAACTCTTTGGAGAGCGCCGAGTCGGAGAGGATGTGCTGGATGACGGAACCGCCCTGATTACCAGTAGCACCGAAGACGGTGATGAGTTTCGACATTGCTGCGATTTCCGAGTCCAAACTTTTTGTTATCGTTGAACACGTTGATTGTGAAAGACCCTGTAAGTTTTCGAATCGCGGGGCAGGCCCTCATTTGAATGATTTGAGACACGACGGCGGGTCAATGGCATCATTCGTAAGCCAGATTCGAAAGCGAGCCATCATGCCTGTTGAGCTCGTGAGCAGCCTGCGAAGGAGATCAGCAACTGCGGGGCAGGATAGCAACGCGGGGCTGGAAGCTGGCATGCCCCGCTGGAGACCTTAGCTTAGATTTAAGGTTGGATCAAAGCGTCACGCCTCTAACCGTTCAGCCACACGGATCCCACGGCTTCGGTTTCACTAGCGGTGGTTGGTTCGTATAGCGGCAGCTAGAGGGACCGGAATGCCGTTTGCGGATGCAGCCATGCGACCTAGAACGATCTGGAACAGTTGGCTTTGCACGTGTCGCTGGATCACCTAAACGCTCATATCATCAAGTACCGGTGTCAAATGCGGGGAATGGCCCATCGCTGCACGTCGGCGATGTTGTAAGCAAAGTGGCATGATTTGTGAGCAGGGAAAGTAGGGGTTCGGAGGACGGAGGGCGCAAAGGCTTGAGCTAAACTCAGAAGTCTGGAAAGACTGGTTGACGGAAATCAATTCAAAGTGGCATGTTATGACCTGCGAGGTAGAATGGCTTTTCGCCAGTTTGAGCAAGAACTGTGATTGTCTTTTAATCTACATTCTTGCTTCAGCCGTGAAGGGTTGTTTCAGATGAGTGACAACCACACAAAGGTTGAGTGAGTCCGAAAGCAAATGAATCTGAAAGCAACTGATCATCCTCCACCGAGAGTTTGCGATGTACTGAGTGACGTCCGTCTTCGATACTTGTGTCATACCGGGGCATTGGACCTGGGCACTAGTCGGAAGTAAGCTGTGACTGGTTGTAAGTCTTGTTGCAAGGGCCGCTGTGCAAGACGTTGTGGTTCGGGGCGATATCGTTCAGGAACGGCAGCTGAAGACTGATGGTGGGTTCGTCGCTCGGATACTGCTCTTTATGGCCACTTCCCATCATGTCACCGATGACAATCAGGCCGTTGGAGCCACCCATGATCCAGGCCTGGTCATCGTAGCCAGTGGAGTGAGGAAGCGTAAAGCGAACCTTGCCTGACGCGATGTAGACAAACCTGGTGTAATCAGTGTTTCTCGTGAGTAAGTTGACGAAAGGCTCACTGTTGGGCGGGGGCATTCTGGACACCGGCGTCGAAGCGCGGCGGAGTGACCGTGTACTGCGAGCCAAGGCTGGAGAAAGTAAAAGACAGCGTCAAAGCACCGGCAGCGTCACCGGATTCCAACTTCGACAGAGGAGTCAAGAACTTCCAGCACTGAATGACCGAGTTGTTGGTCTCAGAGTTGGTCACGATGGCGGTAGCAGTGAAGGTAGCGTCGTTGCTGTCGGTCGACATGGTCGAGATCGCAGCGGCGTGGCAGCTGAAAGCCAACACGAGGCTAATGAGGAAGGTGTAGACGTTCATCATGAAAGTTGTAGTTCAGGTAGGTGGAAAGTGAAGGAGTAGTTGGTAGGTGAAGAGGGAATGGTCTAGATGTCGGATTAGAAACCCTTAAATTGCCTGCCGACACGGGCACCGAGGGGTCTTACGTCATCGCCGCGGTCGAGTCTCTTCGTCTTTGTAAGTTGCCCTCGAGTCTTAACATATTTAAGACCAGGCTGCGCCCGCTCTTGACGCCGTGTGAATTCCAAATCCTCTCCTCAAAGCCCACCAATCAAGTGCGCGACAGCCGAAACCCACCTAAAGCATCACCCACGGCACCATGGCTCTCGCCGGCAGCATCCAGTCACGAAACCTGCCCGTGACGCAGATTCCGCTCAAAGACATCCTGCGGCCCATTCCTCCCGTTATCGATTCACCCAAGGTCGACTCCATGGTCCAGACGCTCCGCGGCGAGGCGTGCAGCTACGTCCCAACGCCAGCACCCGAAAACATCGAGCCCGGCAAGCTGCCGCCCGTCGACGTCCTGCACTACCACTCCGCGTCGCAGAACAAGAACTATTATTTCGCGTTTGGCGGGTGCCATCGCATGCAGGCCTACGAGAAGGCGGGCAACGAGGTGGTCGACGCGCGGGTCATGAAGGTTACGAAACCCATGTTGAAGGTGTATCTAGGAGGCAGCGTGGACCGGATCGTGGGGGAGGAATGAGGCGGGCCTCCAAGCGGGGACCAGTTGTACAATTAATTTTAGATAATAGACGGCCAGCGATGGTCAATGATACCCTGTGATAGATGTCGGGCGTCTTCGTTGCAGGCGAGGCGAGAGAGCAATCCATGGTGCCGCAGTGCCGCGATCCTGAGCGGCAAATTCTCGGCATCTTGCGCGATCGAGACGCGGTGCAGCGCGTTCCTTCTCCGGAGACTCAACACCATCAACCAAGGCCTTCTGTTTGCCATCACTGGATATACAGCAATCAAAGTTGACCGCTTCCTAGTATTTCGTGGCAAAGACCTCTTGCGCATGGATCGATTCCCGTCTTCAACGCTCACCACTCTATGACTGACGTCCGCTCCTCCGAGACCACCACCACTAGGTCGCAAGGCTGTGTGGCTGCCTATCATGCCCTATGCAGAGAATCTGCTCACTTGTCACACTTCAGACCTCGATCCATGTCACCGACTTATGCGCCAGACTCCGTCAGTGGCTTGCTCTCGCCTTGCTTCAGCTCGCGCTCTCCGACCTGTTGGTGGCGCACATCGCAGCATAGCACACAATAGGACGGGCGCGGTGTCAAGTATCAAGAACGTGGTTTGGGGTAGTGTATTGCTGTAGAGCGATGATAATGGTGGGTTAGGTAAGCCGGTCGTGCGGTCAACCTGGTGCACGGCGGAGATGGAAAGAGCGAGGGAAAGCCAGCAGGACCTCGGCGAGCCAAGGGAAAGGACACCCCTGCCGTCTATATAATACGGGTGCACCGTGTTATCAGACGTAAGCCTTGGACGCACAAGAGCGGGTGCAGAGCATCAATTCGATTCTATGACATCTTGTTTCCAAGAAACGAGCACCTTACACATTTATGATTTATATTATAACTGTTTCACCGGTTTATCTCCTGGCGAAATGAGTAAGCAGAGTTGCATATTGCAGGCATGTGGGCTGCGGCGTTAGCCGTGATATGCGAATGTTATTTGAGAAGCGGTGGGGCTTCTTGGTGCCGGTTTTATATTTTCTCTTCACCTTGTTCAACGATCTCCAAGTTGAATTTTAGCGTGGGTTCTACGCTGCTATATCGTTGCAAAATGTGGAGGCTACCGAATTATGAACCACCGGCGTTATTATACTACTAAAACCAGATCTAGAAATTATACGTCTGAGATAAAGGCGTTCAAGGACAGTACTCAAAAAGCTGGGACAGCGTTAGTGTGATTTTGCCTTGCAACTGAGGGTCTTTTGTGACTGCAGGATAATTGTAGGTAAGCTAGGTGTACTTCACTCTCGATTTTCGATTCAAGGGATTGTCATCCTAAAATCTATATTTTGATCGGACTTCTGCGAATGGAGTCAAGACAGCTTACCGCAGGAATAAAGTTTCTATTCTATATGTCGCAGAAACCCGTCGATGCGATGAACATATTCATGACTGTTTAGTGGCAGTTCCGAGGTGAGTTCACTCCTTAGCTTGCACTTCTATTGGCCAACAAACGCCTAAAGTCGGTTGCAATCCTCTCCCGCTTTCTGTGGCGTTGAGCGCGTGCTGGTTTCGATATGGAGCCTGCAGCGTCTTCCGACTTCTAGACCCATTTTGTCAGCCTTGCGTGGCCATAATCATCTGTTGTAAGTGAATAGGCTAGCTTTTTCTCGCTGACAATTGGACAAATTAGGGTTGTGACTTCTAATCTCCACCTCAACCAGATTACAATATCTATTACCCATCCAACCTCTCTTTTTCTTGACTTTCCTATACACATCTGATGCTCCTCGATGCACTCATAGGCGGTTGTGTAAGCAGGGTATAGCGTGCTTTATCACATGGTCATTTTTCATGGATACTCAGCTGTGGCTTGCTGACGCCTTCGCACATTTACGGATATTGCATCAGCCTCGCGATAATCCAATGCAGAATCGGTCCAAAAGAGATTTTGGCTACTGCACGGCACCTGCAATATGCTATGTTCAATTCAGCCTTGGATGGCCACCGAACCTTTAAGAACCAACTCTTTTACCTATGGGCACAACTTCACGCTGTCCTTGCATGATCTCCCTATTTTTATACTATTGATCTTTGTCGGTAGATCCACTTACCAAATTTACAATGCTTAACATTTTCGGAAACAGGACCGATACCGTATTCTGGGTCCCCGAACCAACCCAGCGAGGAACCTTTGGCATACTTTCATCCTGCATCGTTACAACTCTATTATGCGTCTGGTCAGCGGTGCATCTTAATATCCCACAGAAGGAAGACGAGGAACGACCGTGGTATGCAAAGCACCAGTTTTGGCGTAAGATCAAGTGGTTATTCCTGGCACTGCTGGCGCCGGAGCTTGTCGCCTACGGGGCATGGAGGCAGCGGCGACAGGCAAAAAACTTACTTAAAGACCTAGAAAATGTCAAGGTATGAAGAGATTTCTAACTGGTTTCTTATTTAAATAAAAATCTTGAGGATTACTCTAAAACTTTATTTAGCGTAAGGAACAGGCATTAGCGAACAAAGTCAACGTACCAGCGTCCGATACCGAATGGCATAGTTGGAAAATGATGCACGCATTTTACGCCATTATGGGCGGCTTCGTACTTGAAGACCCAGGAAATGACCCAAGCTTCTTGTCCGAAAGCTTCACAAGGTTAACACTGTCCGGTCCCGAGCTTTCTGAAGTTATCCAGTTGCGACCGAATCTGGTACCGAAGATATCAGAGGGCGAAATCGACGACAAGAGCAAAGCAAGTCGTGTGGCAAAGGCCATTGTCTGTGTCCAAGCAGGCTGGTTCATCGCACAGTGCATAACACGCATGGCGCAGTCGTTACCGATCAGTCTGCTTGAGGTTAGTTATGCGCTGCGCCGTTACTCCGTGTGCATTTGAACTGACTTTCAAAGTTGAATACATTAGGCCATTCGATTTGTGCACTGGTTATCTACCGCTTCTGGTGGCATAAACCGCTCGATATAGAGCAGCCTACCGTGATCAACGGCGATGGTACCAAAGAGATCTTAGCGTACCTTTGGATGTGCTCAAACAATTCAAAGAATACCGAGAATCACGGGAGGTCTGAGGAGTCTTGGTTGCGTTTAACGCTTAAGGAGTACGAAAGACTAATCGACGTCACTGACCTCACGCTCGTTTCCACCGTACCCGATATACAATATACCAACAACAACGAAGAACCAGCTCCCTCAAGCCCTGGAAATTCTCACTCAAATTCGGACCAAAATCATGTGGAAGCGAACGAACCCCACGGGAATGATCGCCAATCGTCGAACCCTTATTCATCGGTAGATCCCGACCTTGCCCTGCAGGCAGAAGAAGAGATCTTTTCAACAGGCCTGCGATTAATTGACGATCCTGATAAGATGAGTATCTCTATCACTAAAGCAAAAAGATGGAAACTTGGATCCACACTTTTAAAAGAGAAGGGATGGCGAATAATGAAGCAGAACGAAACCTTTCCGGATGGCCCCGACAAGTTTCGGCCTTGGGCAGCAGAAGGGCTGCCTGGAAAAGACAGCGAATTTAGTCCTCGGGTAAAAAACTGGGATATCCCCTGGGACGATTTGACGTTGGAAATGCCACTGAGCATGGTAGTGAGCCTTGCCTTCGCTACCATACTCTATGGCGGCTTACACACTCTGGCCTGGAATGCGCATTTCCCATCCATGCGTCAGAAACTGCTCTGGAGAATCTCATCGCTGGCTGTTATGAGTTTCGTCCTGGTTTTCCTGCTGAGAAACAAGATTGAGAGTGTTATTTTCAATCACCGGCATAGCAACTTTGCTTTTGTTATCTACCTACTCACGGGGATACCCTCTATCCTGGCGCATCTCATGGCGCGATGCTACTTGGTAGCTGAGTGCTTCATAGCACCTTCTCATGCCCCTTCAGGCGTCTATAGTATGCCGGAGTGGACTGCGTATGTTCCCCATGTTACCTGAGCTTAGCAAGGCTATGTATGTGGGCCGACGTAGAGTGGTCAATGTGTCGCGAACCCTGCTTTAGACTTTCCTTCCTTGTCAGTCATGACGAATTATAAATGTGACTATATTTTTAAGTTCGCTTTACTTGGCTCGTATATGGAACGAATTCCAGAACTTCTTATAATTGCTTTTGGATTCCCTTAGTATGATTTCTTTTGGGAGGCCGGACTTTGCTGCTATGCAAAATACGGCGGTGGATTGCACCTTGTAAGTTTTGTTTTATTTGGAGCTACAGTTAGTGATGCAAGTTCAAGGAATATACATACTATCTAGTCCGATTTTCCCGGTCTAACAGCCACCACCCTTGAGGGTAGATATTTTAATGTTTAACTTGCCTTTGTGAGCCACATTGATAAGCGTACGATTTAAAACCATGATCGATTTATACAAGAAGTTGATTGTAAAGAGCGAATTAACCTGTTTACAGGAACACGTATACTCAACTGTAGTATCTTTAATGTTTGTTCTGTAGCGACTTGATACCTTCTCCCTCTTATTAATAGCCCAAGCTAAGGTCATGAAATAAAATACATTTGGGCACAGAGCTTCCTATCTGCTACTCAGGAAGTACGTAGTAACACTCTTCTCCACTAGCTTCATCTATACCGTCCTCGTCTTCCATTCCAAAGGCATCTCCAAAAACGTCTTCCTCTTTCACCCCTTCTACTACAACTTGAATCTTTGCATCTTCCTTCGCCAGTTGTTCTTTTTCTTCGGATCGCTTATCTGTGCCAAAGAGACCTCCTTTGTTGTACGACTTGTGCACCACTTCTCCGCCTCTCTTTACTTTGATTTCTCTCAGCCGATATGCAAATACAAAATCATCCGAGGCCAGTGAGCTCAAGCCTGTTTCCGTTTTCTGTCCGAGATGAAAATTTGGTCCGGTGCTAACTGGCGCGCCAAATGGTGTTGCGTCCACACTCAAGCTCACCCCTCCACCACGCTCTCGTCCAATGCTCGTAGAAGTCGAGGCTCCGGACGCGATCATGGTGCCCGTGACCATGTATACCTTGTTGCGGAAACGATGCCTCGTAATAAAGCCCTTGACAGCATCTTCCGCGACCCGAGATTGGACGAACCCAAGGGTTGGCGTAAACCAGCGCGTAGTCATGTTCCGTACGTCGAATTCACGGCCATGTGATTTTTCCCAATTGCCGTACGCGTCGACTCCCAGGCCCAGGATTGATTGCAAAAAACTTGTCAATATACCAACCCGTCGACTGTGAGATATGATGTTTCGGAACTTGAAGTCCTGCTCTTCGTAGGTTATGACTTCTTCAGAAGAGGGCAGTGGCTCTAAGGTGCTGGAGAGGGGTTCGTCCAAGAATTGGGGGTCCGTTATGATGTTGCCAAGCTTGATGGGACCGTTTGGGGGGTATGCTCTGGGGGCGAGAAACCAGCAGGGCTTTGGTGCAGCCATGATTTGAACTTGAAGAATGGGTTTGCTTGAGAGTGACGACCGAGGGAGGGCGCCATACCTTTTATTATTTGTTACTCCAAAAATGCCCCATTTCTTGATTGTGGCGTATATTTAAGCTGATAGGCTACAGGCCCCTGTCCCTGGCACTTAGTTGATCTTCATGGATGAGGCTGAGTCGGTGTAGGTGTATCTGAGCCATGTCACTGCTGCCTGACGCGGCACGGGCGCGAAAAGTCAATGGAATATGCTGTTGCTACAGCGCTTTCGGTATTAATTCGTACTTCTACAGGGTTTGTATATAATTTTTATCGGTAGGACCGATGTCGGAATGGTCACATGCAATGCCTTAGTGCATCTCATTCGGCTGTGCCGCACTGGGTGGGGCTTCATTCCAAAGCCACATTGTCAGACGAGGAAAAACTTAGCCTCATAGGTATAACTTGCGCATCATCTATACACCCTCAAGTTCATTCGTTCATGATGCAAAGCTCGAATCTCTTTCCAAAACCAAGCTTCTTTTTTAAATTAGGGACATCGCACTCCCCTACTCCACAAAATCAGTGGACGGTTTAAGCTCTCCTCGTTCTTGTAAACCTTTCTGAAACGGTACTGTCCCTACAAGCATCTTCTACCAAGCGTCTGGCTAGGAAGAGCCATTATTGAGACTCCAAGAAGGAAAGAGACGTATTTCTTTATAGCGTTGGGTTACGAGTCGATTGTACGTACTCACAATGCATGCACTATTCACATAGCACTAAATGATACCTAGGAATATGAGTGAAACCGACAGTTGGTTGCAGCGCTTAGAGGCACACGTACATTCGGTGATTGACAAGCATTATTCCGACAAAAACGGGGATGATATCAAGATCGCGCTTCTAGACACCGGAGTAGCACGCCCAATAAAACTTCATATGGAGTCAGAAGATCTTAAAGACAATATCATGGCCATGAATCAGCGAGTAAAAAGAGGAGTGGTACTCGGGGAAGGGTTGAAGCCAAACGAAGACATTGACGGTCATGGCACAGACTGCGCTTACCTCCTATGGAAAGTGTGCCCATATGCAGAAATCTACCCATACAGGATCTGCATGAGCAAAGAAGAACCCGAGGTCAAAATAGTCAAGAAAGCGTTGGAACATGCCGTCCACGAGCACAAAGTCGACATCATAAGCATTTCCGTTGGCTGGGATCGGGCAAGCTTCCAGCTTCGGGAAGTCTTCAAACAAGCCTCGAAATCCAGTATACTGCTTTTTGGGGCCACCTTGGACGACGGCAGAGGCATCAAATACCCGGCGCGCGATGATGCAGTCATTGCGATCGATGCAGCCGACATTAGGGGCGAGCCTCAGTTGACGAGTCCAAAAAGAGGGCTCAACCGGCAGTGCTACACCGCGGTTGGGAGGAACATCACATCCATTGCAAACTTTCGCGCAGCGCCCAAGCCTCTCGATGAACTACAACAGAAATGAGGAACACCTTTTGCCACTGCTGTGGCCGCTGCCACGGCGGGATTGATACTCGAGTTTGCGAAGCAGCCGCCACTGTGTTTCAGTCCGGGGGTTCTTTACTGGCTTTGGTCTAAAGACGGCATGGAGCATATACTCACTGAGTTGTTCTCCAATGTCGATGCTGATAGCTGCCGCCATATTGACATTGCGTTGTATTTTGAATTAGCTGGCCGAGCTGAGAAACGCCTAGACGGAGGCGAATGGAAAGATTTTGCTTCGCAGCGGTACAACATAGCTCACCGCATAGCTTCTAGCCTAGACCCCTTTTTTCAATACGGCGATCGTTCTTTTCTGTGCGGGATGACTGAGGCTGCTTTAGCTGCATACCGGGAGGTCTGGTCGGAGGGGTCTCAACACCAACGCAGTTCAATACAGGACTATTAAGCGTATGTTAGCAGCATACAGACGGCAGCTGGTTAGTTAGACTAGCTACATTTATCTCAACAGCATGTAGCTCTTTCATCCTATCTATTCTCATATTTATCCGAGTTAAATTAATCTGCCCTCAGTTATAACCCTAGCTTCACTGATTATTCCCAAGCAAACCCCATAAAACAGAACACTCTTAACAACACACAAGCACCAGCACATCTTCTTACACCCTCTCCCAAACACTCACACCCTCGCACCCACAAGCGCCTCCTCACCCACACACACTAACCCAGCTACGCCTCCCACACCAGCCCAGGAAACACCATATCGCGATCCCCCTCCCAGTCCTCCTTCCTCACAACCAACGCATCACCCACATCCCTAAAGCCCTCCTTAAGATACAGCTCCTTACCCTCTTCCGTAGCCTCCAAATACGCGGGTAAGCCCCTCTTCCTCGCCTCTTCCAGCCCCCACCTTAAGAGCAGTGTCCCGGCGCCGCGGCGCTGGTACGCCGGGTCCACGGCCAGGATGGCGCACACTGGACCGTACGTGCGTGATTAGCAGGGCAGGAGAGAGAGAGAGATGGGTACGTAGTAGTGTGTGAGCTTACGGCAGTGCGGCCGGCCCGCCCACAGCCTTTCGCGCAAGGCGCACAGTGGCTCCACGACGAGCAGGGCGCGGCGCCTGGCGTCTTCGTCCGCAAACGGCACGTCTTCTCTCCGCTTCCACTCTTCTTCCCCGCGCTCTCTTTCGTAGAAAGTCCATTTCGCGAACCCGACAATGCGCTCACCAGCCCCGCCCGCTTGGCTGTCGACTTCGTCCCCAGCAAGCTCAACGCACTTGACGACCCTCAGCGCCGGCTCCTCTTGCAACTCGTGCAGCGCGCGCGCCACAGCCACCGCAAGCGAGTTGTCGGGGTACAGCCACGCGTGCGAGGGCTGCGCCGCAAAAGCCGCGAATTGGATGACCAGGAGGCGGGGCATATCTGCATGGGGGTCTGTGACGGGGAGGACGCGGAGGGGCATTTTTGTTTTTGTTTTTCTTTTTTTTGTCTTTAATTGGTTTGGTTTGGGTGGAGCGATAGCCGGGTTGCGCTGGTGTGGCGCGCGTTAGCAGGTTTGAAGGAACGGGCAGAGAAAACATGAGAATGGAAAACAGAAATCTGAAAGAGAGAGAGAAAGAGACGATACACCCCAGCCCTTCCTTCTCGGAAAATCAACCACGCCCAACCCCCGAGCCGCAACACCTCCGTCGCCGCTGTGCCACACACCAGCTCAAAACAGCAACATGCCCACGCGACGCTCGGCAGTCGGCAACCATGCCCCGTTCGGGCTGTGTGCCCGTGCCGTGTACCGTATACTGTCGGCATAGTTAGAGGTTCCATGTTAATGTCTGTTATGTCGGGGTATTGTAGAGGAGCCTTGCGCGCTGCTCGCTGTTGATGTCTCTTATTGTGTAGGATTACACAGTTACTGAGTACAGTCTAACCCACCTACCCACCCACGACCCACCCACAATCTATCCATCATCCATCATCCATCATCGTCATGATTACTCGTTACCTTGCGCAACCAAAGGAGGAGAAGATTACCTAAGTAAGTAAGTACGTAGCGAACAAACGAAAAAAGCGACTAAACCCAACCCAACCAACATACAACATAGCAAAGGTATCATATCGTAACAAACCAAAACAAATCACAGCGCGCGTCCACCTCCACCGAAATTCAAAATCCCCCCCTCGGAGCCCACCGACCCCACCGTCGTCGTCGCTATTTCCTCTTCTTCCTCTTCTTCCTCGGCCTCCCCCTCGACCTCAACCACCACGACGCCGTCCTCCTCTTCCCTCGCCCCAGCCCCAGCACCGGTAGACGTAGACGTATCGACATCACCATCGACATCAACGCCAATACCGCTATCGCCCCTCCCCTCACCTAGCCTCTCCTTCCCCCTGCCCTTCCCTTTCCTCCCCCCCACCCCCACAACTTCCCTCCCCACACCTCTCACCCCAACCACCCCTTCCCTACCCGCCCACTCTCTACCCACTCCCGCCCGCCCATACGTAGTGCCCCTCCCACGGGCCCTAAGCGAAAAATCCAGCATCCCAGACGCGGCGTTATCGACAAAAGGCTTCAGGGCCGGGAGGCAGGAGGCGATGACGGCGGCAGTGGCGTGCGCGAGTGTGGCTAGGAGGGTGGGGACGAGGTCGAAGGTGGGGGTTGGGTTTGGGTTTGGGTGTGGGTGAGGCGCTGGAGAAGGAGGGGAAGGTTGTGGTGGTGCGTTGTTGTTGGTCTTCGTGCCGGCAGTATGCGGCGGGTGCAGAAGGTAGTGCAAGCGGAGAGCGGCGGCGGCGATAGCGCTGTAGCGCGTGGTGCGGTGTTAGGGATTTGTTTTGTTTTGTTTCTTATGGGGGGGGTGAGGGGACACACGGACAGGAAGCGCAGCGCGAAGAGCGACACGACGAGGCATTTCTTGCGGAAGGCGACGCGGATGCGCCAGAGGATGCAGATGGGGAGGAGCACCATGGCCGCGTCGGTCAGCATGTCGACTGCGGCAGAGGCTTTCCAGAAGGCGATCTGCGCGGGGAGAAAAAAGCAGGCATAAATCAGTATTGCTTTCTTTCTTTTTTTCTTTTTTTCGTTTTTGCTTTTTCCCTGTGCCGCGTGGCTGGGATCAGGTAGATGGGTACGGATTATGTATGCACACACGACTTACCGAGTCGAAGCAGCAGCTCTCGTCAAACGTCCACGGCGCCGGCATAGCGCAGCGGAAGGCGAAGCCCAGCACGCTCGCGAGCGCCCACGCCAGCGTCAGCGCGCCCAGCGCCCACGTCGCGGCTAGGTGGGTTTTCGCGGCCGCGAGGCGCGCCAGGAACACTATCACCGAGAGTTTTGCAAGGCAGAGCGTGAGAAGGTACAGGATCGTTGCCGAGTACACGTGCTGCGGAGCGTTAGCTGGCTGGCATGGTCTGTATGTGGCCTCTGAGGATCTTCGTGTGGATACGAGTGTCTGTGTGTGTGTGTGCGATGTGCGATACGATACGAACCTTCTCCACGGCCGCGAGCCGCCCCGGCATGCGCTTCCCCAGGCCGTCGTTCACGGCGAGGGAGAGGGCGATGACGACGCCGACGCCCAGGAACTGCGTGTAGCAATCGTATGTGTCAGTCAGCGTTCTTCAGCGAAGGCATTGAAGGCATTGAAGCCGTCTGTCAAGAGAGAAATGCCGTGCAGCGTGCTCACCATGGCAGCCAAAACAATCCAGTCGTCCAGCCCCGGCGTATGCGCCGAGATATACCTTACAGCCAGCCTCGTCGCCGTAAACAACACCATGGCGACCATGAAAATCCACGCGACGATCTGGACGACGGGCCCGCGGTCGTCGGGCGACACGACGCCGTGTCTGCCGGCGGCGGCGGCGGCGGCGGGAGGCAGCGGCATACCGAGACGCTAGTGGTGGTGCTGTTACTGCGGGCGCGGGAGTCGGCAGGCTTTGCTCGCTCGCTCGCTCGCGACGCGGAATGCGTCGTCACCGCAAAGAAGTATGTGCAATAGGTGGCTGCAGCAGCTCCCGGCGTACATATTGCGTGCAAAAAGACCACACCACAGCACTTAGCCCAGCCCCCAGCCCATAGCATAGATAGGTAGCATACGCATCCTCATCTTGCCTCAACAACACACCTCCCCAAAGCAGGCACGCAGCACACGCCCGCCTGAACCGTCCCGGCGGGAAATTGGTCGTTGTCCTCGCTTGCCCCGGCTGGTTCGCCGCTGCGGCACGGGCGGGCAGTGGGGCAGATCCCCGCCGCTGCGGCACGGCACACCTGCCGGGCTAGGAAGGCGAAGGAAGAACTTCAGCGGAGCCCCCGACGGGCGCCTGGCGCGAGAAAGAGAGAAAAAAAAGGGTGTTGGGTGTTGGGTGCGGTGAAGAGAAGCTAGCTAGCTAGGCGACGGCGTTTTGTTGCATGTCGACCGCGCCCGCGCCACAGCGACGGTCCTGCGCGATCGGATCGAGAAGGCGCGCAATAATAAGCGTGAAACGCGACAGCCGGCTGGCTTGCCCGGCGCGGGTACATAGGCGGGAGTGGCGTAGGTAGGCGGGTGGCGTGGAGAAGCTTACAGTAGCGGATCGACGGCCGCCGCGGTGCGAGCTCCATGGACCTATGCAACGGTCACGACCAAGGTGCTTGAAGCATGCGACTCTGCTATGCGCGGGCGCGGCGAAGGCGTCGTCGCTGGAGGAGTCGTCGGGGGTTTTCTTTCTTTCTTTCTTTCTTTCTTTCTTTCTTCTTTGCCTGTCTGCTTTTATGCGTTGTGAGGAGTGAATATTACTACTGTTGCTTGCTTCCTCTCTCTCCGCTAGCAGGCACAATGACGCTTTCGAGTCGGGACGGCAAGGCCAATGGGTTTGTGCACAGCGCGCTGGAGCTCGACAATCTCAGCCAGGATGAGCAGGACATGATTCGGATGGGCAAGGCGCAGCGGACAAAGGTGAGTTAACTGCTTTATGTGGTGGTGGTGGTTGTGATTGCTGATCCGGGTGGTGTGTGTCTCAGAGGCGGTTTGGGCTGCTGCCGCTATTCGCCTTTACCACGACGCTGCTGGCGACATGGGAAGCGCTGTTCCCGTACGCCTGCTCCCCGGCATTCATTCTCCTTGGATAGAAGAAGAAGCTGACATTGGCTCCCCCCTCCCCCAACCAGACTCTTCAGCAACACGTTCATCAACGGCGGCCCCGTCGCGCTCATCTACGGCTACATCTTCTGCTTCTTCGGCTCGCTGGCCATGTGCGCCTCGATCAGCGAGATGGCGTCCATGTACCCCACCTCGGGCGGGCAGTACCACTGGGTGGCATTGATGTCGCCGCCGCGGTGGGCCAAGTTCCTCAGCTGGTTCACGGGGTGGGTGTCGGTGCTGGGGTGGCAGGCCAACTGCGCGAGCGCGTGCTACCTCACCGGCTCGATGATCCAGGGCCTGCTGGTGCTGAACGACCCCGGGTATCCGTACAAGCGCTGGCACGCCACCCTCATCATGTACGCCGTGCTGCTGTTCAGCCTGTGCATCAACACTGTGGGCGTCCGGTTCCTGCCCGCTGCTGAGGGCGTCATCCTTATCTTGCATGTGCTGGGCTTCTTCGCTATCCTTATCCCCCTCGTCCATCTTGCTCCGATCAGCTCCGCCTCTTTCGTCTTCACCGACTTCATCAAGACGGCCGCTTACCCCGAGGGTCTGAGCTCCGGCTACCCGGACGGCCTGAACTGGCTCGTTGGGCTGCTGACCGGCGCCGCCGTCTTCCTCGGTGCGTATTCATGATCTCCCCCCCCCACAAGGCCGTCTGCTTTTTGGACACTGACACATATGTACCCCAGGCTTCGACGGGTCCTGCCACATGGCCGAAGAGGTGAAAAACGCCTCCCTCAACGTCCCTCGCAGCATGTTCTTCACCATCTTCCTGAACGGCGCCCTCGGCTTCGGGATGCTTCTGACGATCCTATTCAGCGTGGGCGACTGGGCCAGCGTACTGTAAGTCCCCTCCGCAGCACCCCACCCCACCCCAAGCCAAGCACCTACATACCTAGCCCAACTAACGCACGCCCGCACCCCCGCAGCGCCTCCCCCACCGGCTGGCCCTTCCTCGAGCTCCTCCATGCGGGCGTGCAGTCCCGCGCCGGCGCCACCGCCATGGGCAGCATCATCCTGGCCATGATCTTCTTCGCGACCTTCGGGTACGTCGCGTCCGCGAGCCGGCAGCTCTGGGCATTCGCGCGGGACCGGGGGATGCCCTTCTCGCGCAGCCTGCGCTACGTCGAGCCGCGGCTCGCGCTGCCGCTGCCGGCGATCGCGCTGACGGCCACGGTGACGCTCGTGTTGGGGCTGGTCAATGTCGGGTCCTCGACGGCGTTTAATGCGTTTGTCAGCCTTATTGTCGCGAGCCTCTTCACGTCGTATATTATCTCTATCTCGCTGCTGTTGCGCGCGCGACTGTGCGCGGACGGGCCCGGCACGATTGCTGGTGGGACGCTGCCTGCCGCGCCCTGGCGCATGGGGCGGCGCGTCGGTGTCGTGGTCAACGTCGTCGCGCTCGCGTACTGCGTGCTCATCTACGTGCTGTCGTTTTTCCCGACGGCGGTGCCGCACACCACCGAGGACATGAACTGGGCCGTGGTCATGTATGTGGGCGTGATCGCGTTCGGGCTGGTGTACTATGCGCTGTGGGGGCGGAAGCAGTACGACGGGCCAGTGATGGAGCGGCAGTTTGCCGAAGCGGCTGGAGCTGGGCGGGCGTCATGAGGTAAGCATGCGGTAGACGTTGTTTCCGGGTAGTACTTGCCTACCTACTTCTCGAGTAAATATTGTATGTGAGTAGAACTGCAAAATATGGTGTTACATATACACAATCAAAGCTTCAAAGCTGTTTTCCGTCTGCAGAAGGCAGTGTTTGGGTTTTTGAATCCTTGTCTGTCGTTGGCGTCTTGCTACTTACATACCTACCTACGCAGCCGCGCGCAAGAAATGGTGAATTACATACCCGAAGGAGCCAGGCCTCTATCATCAGCCGCGCCTCATGTTGAAGAGGCAGTAGTCTACTCTAACCCAGAAAAGAAAAAAGAGAGCGTAGTCGCAACACAACACGCAGCACCTACCACGCGCTTACTTCCCCTCTGGCGTCTTCTCCAGCCCATACCCGCCCTTTCCCTCTAGCGACTCGTACGTCTTGACCTCGGCCGGCGGCGCAACCGCATGCTCTGCGTTGCGCGGGCCCCGCTCATCCAAGTCCTCCTGCAGCCAGCGCAGCACCAGCTCGCCGAGAGCGCTATTCCCCGTCCTGGGCGCGACGGCCGCCGCATCACGCGTGAAGTCAGCGACGGGCCCCCACTTCTTGACGCGGCCGAGGCTCATATGCACGAGGTGCGAGGGCCACTCGGCGAGGTTATCGAGGATATGCGTCGCGTACACGACCGTGGCGCCGCGCTCCTCGGTCTCGCGCTTCAGGAACGCCAGGAAGTTCGCCCGGCTCAGCAGGTCCAGGTCCACGGTGATTTCGTCGAGCAGCAGCACGCGCCAGGGCCGCAGCAGCCCCATGGCGAGCTGGACGCGGCGGCGCTCGCCGTCGCTGACGGCGTGCAGGCGCCAGCGCAGGTCGATGTCGAGGATGCGGATGAGGGCGTCGCGGCGCGCGGGGTAGGCGTCGCCGCCGACCGAGGCCAGCAGCGTCGGCACGTCCATGTCGGTGCGCACGATGGGGTTCAGCACCCATTCGAGGCCGAGGTAGGTGACGCCTTCGAGGGAGGTGAGGAAGGGGTCGACGCCGCCAATCGAGACCGTGTTGCGCGGGGCCATGCGCTTGCCGGAGAGCAGGCGGAGGAGCGTGGTTTTGCCCGCGCCGTTGGCTAGGAACGGTGCGCGTTAGTCGGTCGCGCTGTGAGGTTGCAGGGCGCTCCTACGTACCCCCGATCAGCAGCGTCCTGCTCCCCGCCGGCAGCGACAGCGCCACATTGTGCAGCCCGCTGCTGCCGTCCGGGAAGGCGTAGCTCAGGCCCGAGACGTCGATGCCGACGCCCGAAAGGGCATTGGGGTCTGAAGGCGCGGTCATGGCGGGCGGAGGGCGAAAGTGCGGTTCGCGAGAGGGCGGTGGTGAAGGGGTGTAGTAGTAGAGGTGGGAGAGTGGGCGAGCATGGCGGCGCAGTAAGAATCAGCTCGGAATTCCGATTGATGATGTGATGCGGTTGGTTGGTGGTGGACGCGCCGCGCCGCGCGAATGACTCAAGACGCGACTCGTACATAGCTGCAGGTACCGTTCTATGACCATGTCCTCCGAAGATACATTCAAGCTCGTCTGCCGAGAGAAATGGCAAGGACTTCAGAGGGAGGCTGGCCCTCCCTGAGAGAGGTAATCTATATCACCATAACATTATCTACGTCTCTTCTGTCCAGGCAGTAAGTATTTATACGTTATATATGCATACATATATATCCCCATACTTTCATACACAGTCAAACAAACAAACAAACAAGCAAGCAAACAAATCAAAACACATCAAAGCACTCCTCCCTCCTCTCGCCCTCTCCATCCCCCTCAGCAAACCCCTCCCACCCCTCTCCATCCATAACCCCATGCACATACGCATCCCCCACAAGCACGTACCCACCTTCCCTCACCCCTTCCTCCCCCTCCCCGACCCCCTCCCGCACCCTCTCCCTCAAAACCACCGGCGCCGCACCCCCCCTCAACAAAACGACTCTATCCCCGCTCCTGACGCCCTTAGCACCCAGACCCAGCCACGCCCTCCCATCCGTGCGGAACAAGCACCGGTGAGCGCAATACGCCCTTGCCATACCCTGGTACCGGACCCACATCTCCATGCGCGCCGCCTCTTCGACGTCGTCGTCCAGCCGCGGCCGCGAGTCCGAGTACATCCCCGGCGGGGACGTGGGGTCCGGCTCTTCGCGCAGATGCTGCAGCCAGGCGACGAACTCGGCCCTCTGGGGACCCATGCCGGAGGCGGGGCAGCGCAGGGCGAGGACGGCCTGGTTCTCGATGCCGCCGCTCGTGAGGGTGAGGGCGTAGGCCATGACGACGTCTTCTTTGCTGGGGTATGCTGCGTTGGCCGCCGTCACGTCGTAGGGGGTCCAGGGCGCGTGCGGCGTGAAGATGGGTTTGCGTAGGCGGTCCGGCGTGTCCATGTGCCAGGAGACAATGTCGCAGACGTCGACGACGGTCGCGAGCGTGAGGCCTTGCAGCCGAATGCCGCGCCCGTCCGGGCCGAGGCGCGTGATGCTAGTGAGGGGCCGGGAGCCGTTGGCGTGGAAGAGGGGGTCGTGGTCGCTGCCGAAGAGGACGCTGCCGTGGGACTTGCGTTTTTTCTTGTGCCAGCTGGGGACCCACGAGGGGAGGGAGTCGTCGCCGTCGTCGTCGGGGTCGCGTCTCGTGTGGCTGAGCAGCGCCACGCTCTTCGTGCGCTGCATGGCCTTGAACGCCACGTCCATGTACAGCGCCTGGAAGGGCTGCGTGTAGTCGACGCGCAGGCCGGGCAGCACGTGTTGGAATGCGTCAAAGTGAATCAGGGCGTAAATTTTGTCGCGGGAGTCGGTGGCGTCGAAATTGTGGCCCTCACTCAGCAGCGACAACACAGACAGTCGCTGCGGGTTGTTCAGGTGGTAGCCGCGCATGCCTATGACGTTTCCGTAGCGCTCCTCCGTGCCGTAGTTGGGGTTTTGGGCGTCACTGTCTCTCTTCCGCACGAACCAGAAAGTTTCGATATTGAGATCGTATGAGTTGGTCAAGAACCAGTCGGCGGCATGGTGGACGGGGGCCCAAGTCGTCTGCGCGGCGCCGCAGTACACTTTGACGGCTCTGGCGAAATGTGCCTCTTGGAGGACCTTCCCTTGCTTGTCAACGCTGGCGCAGTCCATGTGCCGGTCAGCGGACACTTACCCACATCCGAGAGAACCACTTTCGCTTGAATAGCCGGCCGAGACTGACCCACAGCGGTGAGTTCGGCGGAGGCAGGTTGTTGAAGCCAATATGTTTCGCTTGCAGCATATCTCGGCCATTTTCGTCAAACTCGCGCTCGAGGTCTTCTGGCGCGATGCCTTTCCGCTTGCAAACCTCGGCCGAAATATCACGCATCAGCTGCATGGCAACGTCCGTGTCCTCGTCCGACGGGCCCAGCCAGATCAGGCAGACCCTGGCGCTCTTGTACACGCAGTCCATGATCTGGACCTGCTGGGCTCGCTCGGCCAGGTCGCCTTGGTTGATGCATATGGCATCTGCCCACAGCAGGCGGGGCTCTTGCTCTCGGCGGAAGCGGCGCAGGGCGTCGTGCAGGCTGCGGGTGATGCTCACACGGCCGTCTCCGCAGTTGATTTCCTCGCGGGCAGTCGGGTCGCCCCAGACGTAGGAAATGGCATCATACGCCGGCGCGGTATCCAGTAGGCAGTCCTGCAGCACGACCGAGATGCGGGCTTCCGGCGGCCCTGGGAGCAGCTCGAGCAGGCGGATGTAGCGCGGTCCGGGCAGAGACTGGTAGTGGTAAGCTTGGTCTTCCATGAGGAGGATACTGGCGGTTAGCTCAGACAGGACAACGGCATCGACATGGGCATCAGCTCCAGCTTCAACTCAGCATGGCGGAGGGCTGTCTCTCGGCTACAGTACGAGGCGGCTGAATGCGCCTGCATGCACCTACTAGCGACTTGGCTGCATGGGGGTGCATGGTGAGAGGCTGTACACCAACAGGATTGTCTAGATACATGGTTGTGGGTTGTAAGGTTAATCAGTTGTAAGGACCACACGGCCCGTCTCCGGCATGACGCCAGGGCAAAGCGCTCACCCCTCCAACAACTACAACAACCACCACCACCAAACCACACACACCCATAACCAACAAAACAATGTCCTCCACAACCGCCAACATCCCGCCCCACGCGCACCCCCCAAACCTCTCAGACAAGCTCCCCCGCCTCGGCAGCCCCCGCAAAACCACACGCACCCCGCCCGAATCGCCCATCCCAGCACCGCCAACACCCGCGCTCCCGCCCCCGCCCTCCCTCACAAACTGGACCTTCCAAACCCCCTCCCGCCGCATCCTCACCCCCCACGACCACGCGCTCTTCCAGGCCTCCCCGACTTACACCCTGCTGCTAGCATTCGTGTTCCACCTCTCGGACTCCGCACGCGGGACGCCCATGCGGGCCGTGGCGCGCGAGACACCCGCTCGCGGCGTCGCGGGCGTGCTGGCCGTGCTGGACGCGGCGGAGGAGGTGCTGCGCGCGAATCCGCCCGAGGACGCCGGCGGCTCGCGCTTCGGGAACAAGGCCTTCCGGGGGTTTGTGGGGGGCGTCAGCGCCGCGAGCGCGGGGTGGCACGCCGAGATGCTGGGGGTGAAAGACGCAGAAGCCGCAGAGGCCGGCGCGTATCTGTGCGCGTCGTTTGGCAATGCCGCGCGCATCGATTACGGCTCCGGGCACGAGCTCAACTTCGTGCTGTGGCTGCTGTGCCAGTACCAGCTGGGCCTGCTGGACGGCACCGCCTTCGCGCAGCTGGCCCTCCGCGTCTTCCCGCGCTACCTGCGCCTCATGCGCGCGGTGCAGACGGCGTACTACCTCGAGCCGGCGGGGTCGCACGGCGTGTGGGGCCTCGACGACTACCAGTTCCTGCCGTTCCTGATCGGGGCAGCGCAGCTAGCGGGGCACCGGTACATCCGGCCAAAGTCGATCCATTCGGCAGCCGTGCTCGAGGAGGCCGCGCCCGACTACCTGTACTTTGAGCAAGTGGCGTTTGTGAACAGCGTCAAGAACGTCGAGGGCCTGCGGTGGCACAGCCCGATGCTCGACGACATCAGCGCCGCGCGCTCGTGGGACAAGATCGAGGCGGGGATGCGCAAGATGTTTGTGCGCGAGGTGCTGGGCAAGTTGCCCGTGATGCAGCATTTTCTGTTTGGGTCGCTGGTGCCGGCGGTGGAGGGGATGAGCGCGGAAGACGAGGCTGAGCAGGGCGGTGATGGGGAGGATGGGGACGCCGATGCCCATGCGGGCCATAGTCATGGGCATGGGGAGGAGGGCGTCAATAGCTGGGGCGACTGCTGCGGCATCAAGGTCCCGAGTAGCGTGGGCGCGGCGCAGGAGATGAAGAAGCGCATGGGCACTGAGGGGCTGCGGAGACTGCCGTTTGATTGATTGATTGGTTGAACACGGAGACGAAACAAGACCAGCGAAAGACAGTAGTAGTTGGTTATCAAAATAATGAATAGACGAGAGTGTTACTGAAGCATGCAATCTGCGTCGTCGTAGCCGTGCCAGGAAGGCAAGGTAGTATCCCGAGCGTGAAACCCAATCCATCCACCATCAACAACAAAGCAAAGAAAGGAAGAAGGGAGAAGGAAGAAAACCGACGTAATATGCATTCTGTCCCCCACCAGCAAAGGGTATTCCATCGCCCCCACCCATAACCACACACGCTCAACTCTCCCTCTACGCCTTCCCGCCCGTCAGCTCCTTCTCGACAACCTCCTTCAGGCTCTCCGGCTTCGTGGTACTCGCCCAACGGCCCTTAACAGTGCCATCCCTGCCGACAAGGAACTTCTCAAAATTCCACTTAACGCGCTTCAGGCCCATCAAGCCAGGCATCTCCTTCTTGAGCCACTCAAACACGGGCGCCGCCTCCTCGCCATTGACATCGATTTTCCCGAGCACGGGGAAGCTGACGCCGTAGTTCAGCTGGCAGAACTCCTGGATCGTGTCGTTGGAGCCGGGGTCCTGGTTGCCGAACTGGTTGCAGGGGAAGCCGAGGATGACGAAGTCGTCGCCGTACGCCGCGCGCGTGTCTTTGTATAGGGACTCGAGTCCGGCGAATTGCGGCGTGAAGCCGCATTTGGAGGCGGTGTTGACGACGAGCACGACTTTGCCTTTGAGCGAGTCGAGCGGGAAGGGCTGGCCGCGCTCTGTGTGTGGTGGTGCTGGTTAGCGCGTTGTGCGTGGATGGCGAGTGCGGTGGGGTGGTGATGGTGGTGGTGGTGCGATGCGAGCCAAGGCGGTGTGCGAGGACGCTGGAGACACTTGCAGCGACGGCAAACGTGCATGACAAGGCAACGCAAGAAAATCAAGCAGATGGACTCACTATCCAGCGGCTTAAAGTCGTAAAAGCTCGTCGCAGAAGCCATGGCGGCGGTATCGGTGTTCGCGGCGCTCGTCTCGCTCGTCTTTTCCTTATTAAGAAAGCTCAACCGGCGTATCTGGCTTCCAGAAACCCAGCAACAAGACCTCGACGTGGAGGTGATGGTGGCGGTGTTGTTGTCGTTGTTGTTGTTGAGGCAAAAGTGTTGGCGGTGTTGGTGGAGGAGAAATGGCGGCACAGGCGGGCAGAGACTTGTTCTTGTTGGAGGATTTCCTGGATCGCACTGGCGCAGGCGCAGCAGCAAGACGTCAGCGGAGGAGGGCGGGGGGCGAGCGATGCGAGCGATGCCGGCGGCGGCGGGCCGCTTCTTCTTATTATCCTCGCGGGCGCGACTCCACGACCACGACCACTGCCGCGGTACGCGCGTACGAGCGCGGGCGCGCGTTAATGCCAGCAGCACTGGCGCTGGTTTCGGCTGTAGTGCCATTTTGCAGCTTGGGATGGTTTAATTTGGCTTGGGGGGGGGGGGGGGGGGGGTCTGGTCTGGGTCTTGGGAGCGAGTCGAGTCGTCTCGATTCGGCTTGACTCGTTTGTGCGAGGCATGAACATGTTTATTGCGCGGAATAGAGTGGTGTCTTACTCTAGACGCAAAAACGCTCATCTACTGTACATAGCCTCTCTATTGTCTCCCTCCTTATGTAGGTAGTACATGCGCTACGCCTCTAGAGTACCATACCTGATCCCTCTTCCCTCTATCCTCCCTAACCCCACCACCAGGCGCAAATACTATCACGTACATACGCACACATGCACGCTCACTAATACCCCCCCCCTCACCTACCCTCCTGTATCTACTCCTATACCTAGTTATGCACCCGCACACACGCACACGTCCTCCGTCCTCCGTTCCGTATTCAAATTACCCACCACGGAACGCCCCGACCCCGACCCCGACCCCGACAAAAACCGACAAACCAATGAAACGCACCGGACCCAAGCCCACCCGGAAGCGCGCCCTTCCATCTTCCGGGCTGGCTGGCTTCCATTGTGGGCGACCTAAACGGTTTGCGAACGGCGTTAGCACGCCCACCTCTTCTCCGGCCCGTCGGGGGGTCGGAGCTACTTCCTAGGGTCGGAGAGTCGGGGGGTTTTGACACTTGACACTTGATGTTTGGCTCTCCTGACAGCCAACGGTCAACGGTCAAGTCAACGGTCGGAACGGACACTTTTACATGCACCCACCGATATGTATGTATGTATGTATGTAGTAAACTCTCCGACCCCGATACCAACACCACCACCGACACCGACCCCATCTTATCCTCCGACTCCAACCAACAAATCCTCCGACTCCAACACCAACCACCGACACCGACACCGCCACCGAAACCCAACGACGTCCGGCCTCCAACGTCTCGCACATATACAATACCTACCTACAATATCTAGATATACAGTACAGTGTGCACTGTACGTGCGCGCGACGTGCGAGTGTGCCGTGCCCGACGATCCCGTGTAGCGTAGTGAGCGACGCGAATGTGGAGACCAGACCAGACCGTCGACGCACGCATGCACGCATGCGAATCGCACACACGCTCGGTCGGCCAGGGCAGGTCAGATCAGGGCAGGGCGCGGGCTGCCCTCGACAATGCAACAGCCGCGACGACCACCGCTTTCTACAATACCCACCAACCATACTGATCACCGCAGCTAGCGATTCAGTAATGTTACGACGACGACGACGACGATGATAATGATGACGAGGCAACACACCTAATCACAATAGCGTGCCTCAAAGATGATGATAGTCCCAACAGCCAATTTCATTGCCAGTATCCTAACCCAAACCAAACTAAAAACAAAAACTAAATAAAGAGCACTGCACCAACGACGATCAACTACGACAGGTAGTAGTAGTGGACGCGTCCCCCTCTTCCCCTCTACCTAGGTAGTCTAGCTTCGCGATCCCAAAAGGGAAGAAGAAGAACGAGAGACAAGACGAAGAGGGAACAAATTGCCCTACTCCGCCGCCTCTCACAATCCCCACTCCCCAACGACACCGTTAGCTCCATCCCTTGCGCACCAGGCGCACCGTGAAAACATGCTTGCTTCTCCCCATCCGTCGGCGAGCGACACAAAGGCGTGCCGCCGCGACCATTCCTTACCGGCATAGCGCCAGTCAATGTACCTGCAACCGATTCAATCCAATCCAGTCCAGGCCTCGGGGCGAGGCAAGTCAGAAGACCCCAACACAGCAACCTCCATGGGATAGGATGGGTTGCTGTTGTTGCTGTCCCCTGGTTTCATCCATTGGGAACCATGTCCGGGAAAGGAGCCAAGCCGGATAGCAATGGCGAAAATAGTCCATTCCATCTCAGAGTCCGTCGGGAAGAATGGAAGTTGGTAGTTTAAAAGAAAGCGCATGGTACTTGCCATGCATTCCTGGAGTTTGCCCGGAGTCCTAGGAAAGTGTTGTTTGTTGATTATTCTCGAAGTTGCTGTTCATCTGTTAGCAAGAGCAATAATTGACTGTGAAGGCAAGTGCAACTTACAGATTCCACAAGTGAATTCTTCATTCAGCCCATGTCAGTCAGCTGGAGGACAATCTTCTGGAGGGCAGCAGCATCGTCAATAATCTGCTGGTGGCCCTCAATGTCCTTGGGCTCGTCCAAGCCCTTGAGACGGTGCTGCAGCATCGCCATGCGCTCAGCCCAGTCGTTGCGAAGACGCTCCCTCTCGAGGTCCTGCTTCTGACGGGCGAGGTTGGCCTGCTTGGTCTGCGCAGCCGTGGTCTTCTGGCGCTTGTCGTTGGTCTGCTCGGCAGAGCCTGCAGACTTGCGCTTGCGGCTGGCAGGACGCTTGGCCTGAGCACCACCCTTGGGCGAGCCAGGTTCCTGAGCGGGGCTGGTGTAGTCGTGCACGCGCTTCATGTGGTCGTACAGGTTGTAGCGACGCGGGAAGCCGTTGCCAGGGATGGCACGCTCGCAGTCAGGGTAGGCGCAAAGGTGAGGCTTGGAGCCGTGACCGTGCATGCCGTGGGCCTCACGCTCGTGGCGCAGCAGGCAGGCGGTCGAGGAGAACTCGACGTTGATGCAGGCGGTGTTCTTGCAGCGGAAAGGCTTCAGGTGCGAGTCAACGTACTTGTCGTAGTTGCACTTGAGCTTGGTGGGGCGGTGCATGCAGTTGGCCTGGCCCTCGTAAGGGCAGTGGTACATGTCATCATCGTCACGGGTAGTGGCTTGGTAGAGCGGGTGGGTGCGGGCCAGCTTGACCTCGGCCTCCTCGCTCGACCGGTTCTCCTCATCGTCCTCCTCGGCAGTCATGGTGCTGCTGTTGAGGATGTCGCTGGCAGTGTTGTCAAGGAAGCTGTCAGAGCTACGGGCACGTTAGCCGTTTGTGGCTCAAAAGGCAGTCATGGATACATACCCAGTCATTTGCATGTAGCTCTGGCCCTCGCCTTCGTACTCGGAGCCGCCCTGGAACATGGAGAAGGGTGCGGTCATGACGGTAGAGGCAGGGGACATGACATCGGAGCGAGCCCTCGACTCAGTCGATGCCTGACGCTGCATGAGGGGCCTCTGGACTGCAGAGGGAGCGGCGGTGGGCTGCTCAAAGTCGACCCTCTTGGTGCGCATCCTGCTCTCTTCCGCGCAGGAGTTGCTGATCATGCTGTCGATGCCATACGAGTATGAGGCGAAGAAAGGCTGAACCGCACGGCTCGGATAGCTGCTCTGACGCTGAGACATGAAAGGTGCCTCGACAGAGCTGGCAGCGAAGGGCGTGCTGTAGCTGGGCATCTCAGTGTTAGCCCAGCTTGACTGACCGCTCAACATGGGCTGACGGAAGCTGAAATCAGTTGGGGACATGGTCTGAGCGTGGCTGTAGTTAGCAAACTCTGACATGTCAGAGCTAACTGCCGGAGGCAGCATGACGTGGCTAAGGTCCGGCTGGGATCCTTGGAAAGTTCCATGGCTGCCAGTGCTAAGGGTTGGGGAGTAGACAAAAGGCTCCATAATGTGGCTCCTGGTGTCCTGAGGAACTTGAAAAGCAGCTTTGTCATTCTTGTGGCGCTTGCCAGTGTCAGGCTGGCTCATGTACGCGCTGTCGCCCATGCTGGACGAGATGGACTGCTCATCATCCTTGGGGAGAGAGAAGAAGTTTCGGGCCATCTCCGAGAACTCCTCAGATTGGTCAAAAGAAAAGAGATCGCTTCCGGAGCAGGGGACGCCAGAAACGGTCTGCGTCCACAGGGCAACGTCCACTGGGGCGGTATACTCAGAAAAGTCACTGACGGGAAGGGTTAGTTTCTGCGCAAGAAAAGAAAAAGTGCATACGATGAAAGAAAATGAAACGAAACGCGAAAACAGTGCCATGGTTAGTGCAGTCTGCACGATAAGTCAGCAAGGACAAATAAGGCGGAACGGGTGTCAAACAAACCAGTGAGAACGGTGAGCAAGTGGGTCCGGTTGGGCGGATCCATGGTTAGGTGAGCTGTCAAACGTTGCGAAACCAGAAAGCCAACATTGTTCAATCCTTATTTGCGACCTGCGCACAGGATGAGACAGGTCGAGAGTTTTCCTAGGGCAAAGTTGCAGTCCAGAGGCCATACAGATCCAAAAGCTGACGCGAAGAGTCACATCATGCAAGACACTTTAATTAGCACGGCATAAGTTAGTGTACATTCCGGCAACAGCGAGTTTAGATGGAGGTAGTATCGGCAACATAAGCCTGTAGGTACGTACTACTGAGGCCTGGCAGCCTTTCCAAATTCCAACTCCATGGGGATAATCCTGATGTGGCCTGAATGTGGACAGAAGAGAAAAGAGAAAGCCAGGAAAGCAAACATTGTTCGGGACCAATCCCCGTGGTGTCCAACTGCGGATGCAGTATGATATCATATCTAGGAGCATGCTCCTCATTGCTGTTGTCGTATCGCGTCGAAGTAATCCGATGACCCCCGCAACCCAGCGAGAGAAGTCGATCGTTACCAGACCGAGCTGATACACTGTTGTCGATATATACGAAGTCTACTATCCTGGCGTTGTTGTATGATCCAAGGGCTTGTCCATGGCAAAAGATCCTGCGGCAATGTCCGGCTTGACTCCAATGGGAAAGATGTCGAAACGCCAGCGGCAAAAAATCCAGAGAAAATAATCATTGCAAGCTCAGCGAGCAGTTGTTGTGTCGTAGTCATTGTTTGTCATCGCTTGTCATCGCATGTGCTAGGCCAGAAGGCCAAAGCACGGCAGCGCACAAGGCGCAAATGCCGTCAAGCGGCACGATGAGTTACAGTCCTGGAGTAATCCTCGGCGTGGTCCTCAAAAACGGAAATGTCCTTGTGGAAATGTGGTCCAACGGCAGACAAAATCCTATCCGGGAAAAAGTGGAGATTTCTGCTCAAAGCCGGGCGGCTGAATTCCTGTGGCTGTGACATACCTTTTATGGCAACAAAGGAAAGAAACCAAAAAAAATAACAAAAAAAAAAAAAAAAGGGAAAAAAAAAAAACAGTGCGTGTTTACAATGTGGTGCAACCAAACGACAAACATAGTGACTTTGAAAAGGGACCGGCTGGGAAGTACCTGGTAGTGGCTCCTGATTCGCGGCTGCGAGTTTTCATTATGAGGGGAGCAGAGTACTGCTCAATTGCTCCCAATCTCCTGTGAGTCTGTTTCTTTCCCTTCTCTGAATAGATGCTTCGGCTCAAGGCGACAAAAGAAGATTTTTTTTTTTTTTTTTCGGGCGAGCGAAGATGTTGCGAAGGGCGTTGATTGAGTGAAAGGTGAAAGATGGGGAGGAAAGAAGAGAGAAAAGAGGCGGGGAGGGGCGGATAAAAAGCACGGAGGGGTAGCGAGGCTGGGAAGTTGGAAGGTGCTGCGTTGTTGGTCATGCGGTGGGGCCAACGCGTGCTGGACAAGGGTGTCTGCGGTCGCTTTCTAGCGGGATTGGCTGAGGGAGGCGCCGCAGTTAAAAGAACCTGCTGCTTGGTTCCCAGCGGCGGGAGAAGGCGGGTCGGTGAGAGATTAGTGTGCATCCGCCATGTGCGCCGTGGGTGCCAGTGTCGCACTAGCGGACCGCGCCATGCTCGGTTGACGTGTCAGGGAGCGAAAGAGCAAAAGCAAAGTCAACGCCAGCGTGCTGCGCCCTCCTCTGCGCCCTTCCAGAGCAGACGCTTACCACCGAAATCCCAGCTGCTCTCTGATCTGCTCACCGACGCCTCGGCCTCTCTGCGTCGCTGGCCGTCTCAGCACGCGCGCTGCCTCTGCGGCATTTGCAACACCTTGCGGCGATCGAGCCGGTTAGATTGGCTTTCCGTGCTTTTGTTCCTCGCGCTCGGGTCTGAAATGTAACGCGACCTCTGCAGCTGGCCGACAGGGGAACAGATCGCCAGTCCACTTACGGGCGTGGGCCTCCCGAGCAGCGCTGGCAGATCCTTTGCCGGCGCTGCCACCCTTCTGCCGGAATGATTGCGACGAGCATGGAAGGCGGCATTTGGCGACCAGTGGCATTGCAGGCACGAGGTCTCGGTTACACAGCAGATCTCTTGCCAATTTCCGGTCAGCACCTCCTCGGCGACGTGGCACAGGAATCAACGTCCCTTCTCCTCACTTCGACCAGGAAAAACACTGCAGCAGACGCTGCTTCGCTCACGCCGGTGAGAAGGCCCTGTGCGGGCGGACCTCGACAATAGGCCCCCGCAACGGCTGGGTTGCCTGAACGGCAGTCGCCTGATCGTCAGGTCAAGTTTTTCTGTCCGGGCTCCCCTTACCTAGACCCTAGGAGGTTTTGGAAATAGCAACCACCATGATTATGCACCCGCGAGGTCAGCTTGATAATCCCGTATTCCGGAAAGAAGCGAAGACCGGCGCGCGGCCTTTCGGATCAGCAATGCCAGTTGGAACATCGCTTGGTAATGGATCATATAGAGGGACCTGATTTGAGGGGTGCGCTGCGTTTGAGACTGCTGATCAGACAATCAACCGACTTGTCAGTGTCAGCCACTGTGCAAATTCTACGAAACCCTTCATTTGTTTCCACAGATTGGTGGTCAGCCTTTGCCCGTGGGAGCGGAACCGGTGAGCCGCAGATCTCTGGCGGGCGGACCGAGCAACGTCAAGGGTCAATCTGAAGTCATTCAACTTCTTCGCGACCCGCAGGCGTGCGATCATGTCCCGAAAAGCGACGTGAAGCCTGGCTGATGATTGCAACACTGTATCCCGATCGGCAGGCACTCCGACGCGGTGGACTCAGCCCAGGTGATCCTGACGTGCTGCTTCGGAACAGGTGATGGAACCTTGTCTTCTCTCATGAGTCATTAAGTATGCTACCGCCGTCGCTCGACAAGGTAATTGCTCAACTCGGAAAGCCATCAAGAGCGGTCGCTTCTCCGTGTATGATGTTTGGTGGAGGATAGGTGGTTACTTTGCAGTATGCTCCGTACGTCATCGCCTTCTCGATACGAACGGCCAGGGACGAAAGGATTTCCAACCGTGCGGGCTAAGAGGGGTGAGAGCGCCCAGAGGTGCGAGCGCGTGTTGGCAAACGACAGCGAGGCGGAAAAGCACCAGTTGCTCATCAAAAGGAGACGGTCAGCTCTGAGTTGTCAGTCCGCATTGGTGTCCCGAATTAGAAGCTGGTGACCGCCAATGATGCTCGGTCGGAGGAGGCGGAGTGAACGGTACGTGGAGGCAAGAGAGACCTTGTTGGTTCAATCAAGTCGCATGTGGGACGTTGCTCTGAGGGTTGTCGGAGAGCCATGGCCGGTGACTTGTAAGACGAGATAGGAAGGTGGAAGTGCGAGAGAAGATTCTTGGATCTCAGCTTGGAGAGTGGGTCGCTGTGCCGCCCTGCAGCATGCCAAGCCGCTCACGTGCAAGCCCCGGATTCACGAAACACACGTCAGACCAGTCGAGCTCCGACACCAAGTGGACAACTACGTTTGATGACCATGAAAATGATATCAACAGCGGCCGCTCCGTTATACGTCCTTCTCTTATATGCCTCATGCGCTTCTTGAACCTCTTGGGGCATGCCTTACCCGCCACTGGAAAATTAAGCGCCTTTTATTATTATCCCGGTAATTATGTTCATCTTGCGAAAACTTCAGTGGCACAAGTATTGTTAGTTATGATTTGGCGCCGCCGCATTACATGCTGCAAAATTATATTGTGTTGAGACAGCAGCATAAATCTAAAACCGCTTGCATAAAACCCAAGCCGCCTTCCAGCGCGATCACAGTAATCCGCCTTCAATTCTTGCATATATGTTCCCACGCCATTGAAATGCTCTCATATTACTCCATGGTCTTCAGCCGGCGGCATGTTCTTGCCCTCATGCTACCATGCTCAGCTAGCTCGTTTGGGTCTATTTTACAAGAATCACCAATTTATCATATAACCCGCGCTTTCCGCTCATATCCAGCTTAAGCCTGGACCTTAGGAGCGTACTTCGCCTGTGCCGCGTCAAAGGCCTCCTTCTTGACTTGCACGTCCACGAAGAACGGGTGCTTCGGCTGCACCTCCGCAAGGTTCTTTCTCAGCTCCGTGGTATCTTTGCCAAGGATCGTGTTCAGGACAATCGTGTTCGCAATGACATCGCCGTTCTTGGCGTCCAAGCCAATCGCCTGCTGCAGCGCAGCCTCAGCCTCAGGCAGCCGACCCAAGTGCATCTCAGAGATGGCTTGGCCAAGGAGCGACTGCACAGCTTGCGAAGCGGGAGCCTGCGCCAGCTCCTCGAAAACGTAGAATGCTTGCTGGTACTTCTCACCGCCCTATTTGCACCTGTCAGTCTCGTTACATCGGCATGGAGCCGGAAGTGGCAGTGGGGACAAACCTCGCGCAGTCCGACCCACGACTCCGCAATGTTGACGAGCAAGCTGTCCTGCGCCCATTTCCGCGCCTGCTGCGCCTCCTTCGCAGCCAGGTCCGCGCGGTTCTGCTGCAGATGTATTTGGATAATCATAGCCACTCTGTATTCGCGCGTCAGCCCTATATGCCCAGCCTATCAAGCGCAACGGCAAACTTACGCGTCCAGCGACCCCTGATGCTTCGCCAGCAACGCCAGGGCCTCTTCGTTCAGTCCCGCGTTGCTCAGCACGCTACCGGCCAGCAGTTGCACGCTCAGGCTGTCGCCCTGCTCACTCGCCAGCTTCCGCGCCGCCGCAATCGCATCGTCGGCGTCCCAGGGATCCTTCAGGTACTGCGCCAGCGTCTTGGCGGCCGCGAGGTCGGGGACCAAGGACTCGGCTTCGGCTTCGGAGATCACATCGTCGTATTGGCCCAGCGCGATGCGGGCGCGCAGCTTAAGGATGCGCGCGGGGAGCTCGTTGCTGGCGGAGAAGGAGGACGTGTCGAAGTCAACAACTTGCTGGTACTGGCCTTGGTGGAAGGCATTGTGGATGTTTACGAGCTCTGTGCGATAGTTAATGGGGCGCTCTTTGGGCGCAGGGGACATGTCCAGGGTACCGACCTCCTTCGGCGGAGTAGGGATCCATCTTCGGAGGTGGTGGTGCTTAAGGATTGGTGAGGGTTGTGGCGGACGTTAGGGCTCAATTGGTGCAACGGTCGCAGATAGAAAGAATGCGCCGCAGCTGTTCTGCAGACGAGCGAGACGAAGTTTGGATTGCGGGGTATGGTGTAAATGCGGTCGTATTCTCTTTGGGCTTCCCCGTGGTGTTGACAGCTATGTCCGGATCTGCTACGGCGGCCCTCGCCGACCAGCTGAACAAGGCTGTATGGGCCACCGTAGAATTGGATTTCGGACACTGACAGGACAAGACTTGACCACAACCTCCAACTCCCAGGTAAAATGCTTCTTTCATTCAAACTTCAGGCAGGGCACCGCTCAATTCACTGTCTTGAGTCAAAGCCAACTTTAAGTGGGATGAAGTGTGGCTCTGAGTATACATGCAGCTCACCCCTACCCGCATTGATATTCATAAAAACATCCTCCCGGACCCAGTCCCTGTTCCCAACACAATGGACGCCATCTGAAGCCACACTGACACATGCATTTTGATCCTTGATTTTCAAGAGTATTGGCTTATGCAAATCCGGTCATCACGTGCGATGGCGATTGCTCGGTTCTTTGACTACATATTATGTCTCCGCTTCTTTGAGAATCAGTTTCGAACCCTTCCGCTACTTTCGTGTCCAACTTCAGCATCTATTCACGTTGGGTTTCCGACGTCTATCATGACCGGTTCTTTGGACTACCTGTTTGGCGCTTCGAGACATGTGCATTGAGACTTCGCTTTCTTATGGACAACCTTCTACCTTACACATAACGCCCTGCCTCTATAAGGAGAGGTCATTGTTGCTGATCACCCTCAGAAATAAACGACTGGTCCTCAAATCCAAGGAAGCCTCAGACGCCCCCGCTGAGGCATGTAGTATAACGCCCCAAAAGCGATAACAGGAGTCAGATACACCAACCACCGCTTAACAGCACGCATGAGTGCATCTTGTCCCATCTGTTGCAAAAGCTTGTTGAAAGCTTCGGCGCCATGTCCACGAGGATAAGGCTGGTCGGGAATCGGCTTGTCCAGAAAGGTACACAGCTTCTCCCAAGTAAAGCCATCCTCCAACTTCAGAACAAGCAGCTTCTCCGGCGGAACGATAGCTTTGACATGAGCGACGTGGTCGATGTACGCCTGGCGGGCTTTGTCCCCCGTGTCGAAATTCGACCAAACCTTCATGAACATCTGGAGCGACTTGTCCATCGGCCAAGTGTACTTCCAGTCAACCCACTTTTGGTACCAAATCGCCCTGTTGGTACTCGAGGCAAATACGGTTTTGTGCATCGACGCCATCCATGCGTCCGGATCACGGTCTGTCAGGATAAATTTGGCATCTGGATATGCTACCAGCAGCTCATCGGCAAACAATGATGCAGGGATATCGGCAATCGCCTTTATATCACGGTCAGCGCACCACACTATGTGTCCATGTCCATTGGGATCTTACATCGTAGTCGCCATACCACTTGTCGAACTCTTCCCGGCCATACGGCTTGCACGTGCCGTTGAACTTGGCATCCCAGGCCTCGGTCACCAACGGAAAGTCGCGCTCTCCATGCAAGAGAGTCTCCATAAAGTGGTAGGGCCGATACCCCAAGGTCTGGAGCGCGGAGTAGAGCGACAGCGTGCCCGTCCTGGCTTCTGGTCAATCAGGCCCGCAATGCGGTCGGTGGCGCGTCGGCTTACCTGCACATCCCAAGACAGCAGACTCGCATTGGCGTCGTGCGCACGGCATTTTCTTGGTCAATGAGGCGCGACATGGTGTGGGATTTTCGTGGACAGCAATGCCGAGCAGTCCGAGGCGTGGAACCACAGATATCTATAGGATATCTTCAATCGTGAGACTCTCCCATCGCTCCATCGACCCCTGTGATCTGCACAAGGTTCTATTGACATGCAAGGTATTCCGAGCTGACAGGAAAACATTCTCCCCAAACGAGACTGCGTCCACTCTCGGCATTGGCGGTGTAAAGCCGCTAGGCCGGCGGCAAATTTGTTGTTGCATACGAGAAAGCATCGGCTTGCGGTCCGCCTGTGGCGCATGACGAGTCGCTTCATCACCTCGCAATCGCATGCGAGCCTGCGTGATCCACATTTACCTTTTCTCGAAGACAATTTAGACTCTGACGCAGCAGGTCTGGATTCTGTGTGCTGTGGCCTGAGAGTATAACAAGCCATTAGGCGGGCTATTTAGGCGCTCTGTGTTTGCCGCCAGGATTTAGCGGTGGTTTCCATACCCACACTATGGAGGGAGGTTGGGAATCTAGGCAACACTACGCGTACGCAGTAGACTGGATCCTGGAGAAAGTAGGCACTGGGTGAAATCAGCACGTGCGCAAAAGCCCTGTGGACTTGAATCTATGAAGACGAGTGATCTCTCAACAAATATAAAAATATTTGAACAAGAAGATTTCAGCATAGCACTACGCAGCACGACTGCCGTCTCGCTTCAACAATAAGCAAAAGAATGGCAAACGAGATGTTGGATTACCACTACCCCAACCGCCCTCCTAACCAACGCTTCCCCCCCCCCCCCCCCCCCCCCCCCCCCAACACCACCCAAAAAGCAGTCTATCCAACCCCAAAACAAAAGATAATGATGAGGGTGGGACTCGAACTTTTTGTCGTATTAGTATAAGGCATATAACAGAGGGGGATAAAGGTAGAAATACCCCACGAGAGTTTCCTCACTAGTAAACTCCTTTCGGAACCCTTTTCAGATGTCCTGAAACTAGCGCCATAACCACTCGGCCACCTCACCGGTTGATGAGTGTTACAACCACACTTTGGTTTATATTGTGTGCACGGCGGGCCAGCGCAGTGTGCCGAGAGCGGCCGGCACTGATTTGCTGCTCTACCGAGCCCAAGCGTGCGCGGCTGGCCACAGCGTTCCGTCGCATCGCATCGCGCACTGCGAAAGCTGCTCGTCTCACTCATAACGACAATAAAATTCAAGTACTGACTGGAGCATCTAAATAATTTCGATATCCATTTTCTCTCTAACTTTTGATATCTACAGCATTTCCAAGTGCCTGGCTTTGTTCACCCGCGCAGAGATGATTGCCTTCTTGCAGGCAGCTGGCTCAAAAAAAAAAAAAAGTGGATACCGTGTCATCACCTTTCCGCAACCACTTTCGGGTGCTTGCAACTTGTTCCTCTTCCGCTGTATCGGGCAAAAAAGAAAGTTTGCCGGTTGTTCTTATGTTGATACATGAGCAAAAAAGAATGTTGACATGGACGAGATTCGAACTCGTGCAGGTTTCCCTAGTAGAATGCTGACTGCTTGAAGCAGCTAAGAACGTGTCTTGAGTCTACCGCCATAACCACTCGGCCACCATGCCTTGGAATGAATTTTGTCAATACACACATAGTATATGTACTGCATTTTGATAGTCTTGGTTAATCATACAATTTTTCCGCTGGAATCTTTGCTGATCAAGTCTTGGCCGGTACTTGGTCAAAAGTAAGCCCTATAACCATGCAAGAAATTAGCTTTAATAGTGCCAGGTTGTCGTCCTCAAAGGCAGCATGTAAGACATTAATGTTTCTCATGTAAATAAACATACGATTTGCCTTCTCGTGTTCTTAAATTAAATGCTATCTATAGTCCTAACTTTGATAAACATCATACTCTGAAGCGGTATTAATTAAATCTTATGCAAAGATTCTCGAGCCAAAATTTTAAGATAGCTTCCCTATTGAATATTTGAATTCGTTACTTTTAATCCATGTTGAAAGAAATAATTCGAACGTCATTCAACCTCTAATCTCGTTTCTAGTCTGCAATGTTCTGTCCTGGTCCTGGGTTTACGTTTCCAAGGAATACTACCAGCACCGCAACGTATCTATAGCCTTAAAAATCAGATCTGTCAGGTGTTTTTACGGCCGAGATACTCACGCTGCAGCCGCAGCCAAGACTTCATGGCGCCTTGCCCTTGTAAAAAGGGATAGAACAGCGGAGAAGGCAAGAGTGAAGACGAGGAGGACGCCAATGATGATGGCAGTGGTCCTGGGTTCTTGAGGGAAATCGTTGGTGAGATGGTAAAGGACGTAGATGGGGACAACGAGAAGCAGCAAAATGATCATTGTGATAATCACCAAGACAAGTCGATCTATCCGGCTGCGAGTGTAGTATACGGTGCTTCCTTTCGTCTTGCGGCGGGTTTCCTGTTCACATTCAGCTTACAGCTTACTGGAGTGAATTTAGTTGGAACATACCTCTGAGCAAAAGATGTACTACTCAAATTAGTGATATTTTTGAAGAAGGGGGAAAGCATTGGAAACTTACTTCAATGAAACTGCAATGAAACATCTTCAAAAAGTGCTCTATAGCATCGTCGAGCCACGCATGCTCGCGGCCAGCATGCAGCGTCACCATGTCTTCCTTGCATTCGATCCATTGCTCATCACTCTCGCAAAGAGGAGGATCTTCGACGTCGAAGTAATTGCGAAGGCTACCGTAGTCCTTTTCTGAGGGCCTTTGCAGGGACATGATTTGGTGTGCGGAGTTGAGCAAGGCAGCTGGGCTTCCATTCAATTTCCAATGTGGTACAAAGGGTCAAAGATCGTCTTACAGTATTCAGTGAACTTGACTTCCAAAAGCCTCATCAACTTCTTCCTCTCGCTTGGTTCGCCACTAAAAAGTCCAGTGGTGTCACCTTTGGAGATTTTCTTTGAAGTTACCGCTTCGGCGAGGTCGATTCTCTCGAGTGCTCTTTCTAGAGTTTGGAGTTCGTTTTGTTTGTCAAGGAGAAGTCTTGATTGGATATAGCCGAAACGGCGGTATATCATGAAGTTGTCGTCGCTGTCAAGAAATGCTGCCAATCTGGGATATCCCTGAGGGTTGTCTTCCACTACAGTTTGTTAAAACTTATATGGTTAAGAGATTTACGAAGGATGCTTTTGCTTCTTAATGCTTTTATTAGAAAAATCACTTACACGTTCTAACATTGACTGGCAAATTGCTTCGCCAACCGGTAAATGCATCCGGTACCCCAAACTGAACCCGTTTCGGATTTAGGAGTTCAGAAGCTACAGTGAATTGAGTATTCAGTGTTAAATTCAGAAATGCGTCATGACATACTATTGGTGAGTATGCGTTTGATCAATGGTGTCTTCGAATCATTTGTCGATCGTTTTGCCGGCGTCGATTGTAAGCATTCTTCTGACTTAACCGCGTTTGTGTCATCAAACCCCGCATTCCGCTCGATGTCGGCATTCATCTTTTCTCGGTCCAAATATGGTATGTCTGTTTAATGTTGTTAGGACTCTCAGTGTCTTTGGAATATAGAAATCTTCAGTTCAATTGCTTTGCTAAATACTCAAGCTCATACGTGAGGTTTAGAAAGATGTTCAGGGCTGAGAAAGCCTTGCAGGCTCCAGAATGGCGCCACGATAAGACATAGGTGTAACCAGCTGAACCCCGCATACAGACAAGGATGCCGTATCAGTACTAGTTGCTGAGTTTTGACTCTGCAACCCACTCCGCCCCCGCATGTGTTTTGTTCACCGGCACCCCAGCAGAATCTTTCAGCTGGTAAAGCCACCGACCGTCGGTATCTTGCCTCCTATCGGTTACAGTCACATCCATGGCTGGCCCGAAGACTCCTTTCGCATACCACGCCGTGTCGCCTCTCTTGAATCCCGGGTCGTACTTCACACCGCAGATCAGTGAGGAAATGTTGAAAAACGGCATCGACGTAGATGAAAACGTACGTTCTTCTTCTTCGTCCCATCGCGCCTCCTCGGCTGGAACGCTCTATAGTTGTCCGGGTCACTAAGCTGAGCTGATAATCAGTGTCCTAAGCTCTTTCAAGCGAATAATGCGTGCACTTTACATCGTCCACTGTAGAGGTAGTGACTTCAGCAGTCTCGGCTTCGTCACTGACTGTAGCGCCTCCAATTTTGTCGTTTTCTGTTGCTGACATAGCTTGCTCTATTGGCGGAACAATGCGGATTGTTTGTTAGACGCTTCCGTTTTGTCGGTCGGTGTGAGTCTGTCTTGATACACACTTGCATAGCCTTTTTATGCCCCAGGGATAGAGATTTAGTGCTTTCGCAAGGCAGAACGTTGTGGGCTGTGCAGTCAAAACACATGTACAGCCCATGCCGACCGGTCAAGATAAGATGCACCCGTGGACGTCGCAGTCAACCTGCAGCTAGGCATATTCGCAAAATCGCCAATCAAACTGAAATTCGCCACATGACTGTCAGACAGCGTCGATCCAATATATTATGTTGTGGCCTTTGTGTTCGACCAAGGCTGAAGATGCTGGCACTCTCCTCTCAGCTCAGTCAGCTGTCCAATGAAATCGAATGGCCTCCTGCAGGTATCGGTCCACAAAACTTAGCCTTGCACTATCCGCGTACAGTGCACAAACGAACCCAGCCGTAATCGCTTCGGTACTATTAAGTCCGACAAGGCAACAAAAGGCAAACATCGTCTGATGTCGCACCCTGGGGCTACACTGTGGCGAAGCTCTGAACCACCAGTAATGGTCGTTCTTGGCAAATGAGGCTCTGGCATACCCTTATCGACTATGGTCAGCTGAAAATGCAGCCTTAAAGGCCGAGTGGTCGATTCCCTCTAGCCACTTGCCATGCGCAACTTCGTCCTCCCCCAATGGATCCGAAAGGAAGAAGGACACCTCGTTCTAAAAGCCCTCTCCCAGTCCGGGTTGGTGGTTCGCGAGAGGGGAGGAGGGAGGCTACTGAAACGATGCCCGACTTGGTCACCGAACAGTCTGAGACCAAGAGCTACCCTTCAGGGGGCAACCTGGTTGGATCTCCTATTGCGGATAACAACAAACTCAGGAGCGTCTTTGAAGACAATTTTGGGGCCTCTCCTCGGCCAGTGAAATACGATCAGGCTGGGGTCCTCATGCTATCTTGGGACAAAGAATCTAGCGACATGGACGTTTCGGATGAGGTAAGTACAGTGTGTCTTGATGACCCTCAAGGCTCTTAGCATTTACAATTCGGGGCTGCAAACCATGTTGACGTAGCCTTCATGTAGGTTCGCCGATTGAGAACTGTGTTTGAGAAAGACTACAATTTTGCCGTTGATCATCAAACACTGAAAGCCACGGATTTCCCAAAGCCAGAACGCCAAATTAAAAGGACACTGGAAGAGTTTATCATGAAATACGAAGGGCATAAAAGGAGCCTCTGTATCATTTACTATGCTGGCCATGGCTGGGGTGATGAGACACCAGGCAAATTGTTCATTGCTGGGTGAGTTCTTTGCGTCTCGTAAGCATAAATTCAGGCTAACAGTGTCAAGGGACACCTCTCAACCAGCATCGGAGCGCGGTTATAACAAAATCGCGTGGCATACTGTGGAGCATTCTCTAATGGAAATGGAAGCCGATCTACTCCTCATTTTCGACTGCTGTTACGCAGGCGCCCTCAACAGAGAAAGCCGCGGCCCTGGGCACAGTTTCGAGTTTCTCGGCGCATGCGACTATAACGAGAAGACGCAGAAACCGGGACCCGCTTCTTTCACGTCTGCGCTGATATCCGCGTTGCAAAAACTGAAAGATGGCGTGGGTTTCGACTCGGCGGAACTGAGGCGCACTATTCGCAGTATGAAGGGGTTTCCTAAGGGAAAACAGCAGCCGGTCCTGTTCGATCGTTTCAAACGCAACGCCGAGCACGTCTGGATCGCCCCGCTGCGCGATAGCACAGATGTTATGGAGGAGACGTCCGAACGCACCGAGGAGGTCAGCGTTGCTCGTGAATACGTGGACCTGCGCTTCCATTTCAGTAAGCCGCAAGATGCGGATGCGGTAGCCAAGCTGGCGAAAGGTTTGAACGCCGTGGCTCACAGGAATCATTACAATTCACTGGGGCTTGGGCGTGTAACGTTCATGAAGAAAGGCTCGCTACATCAACAAGTCCAGCAAGCGGCCCAACGTTGGCTTTTTATAACCCGCAGATCGGCTATCGCAGAAAAAGTTCATCAGCAGCGCCTTTCGAGGGGATTGAAGTCGCCGCCTGAAAGTGACGGGGAGAAGGCAGATGAAGCAGTGGAAGAAGCAACTCCTCAGGAACGAAGCTCGAAACGGAGGAGAACAGATAGTGACTGATTAAGCAACGTATCATACTTTACACGTTACCTTCGCTTTCTTGGGTAAAGAGCTTCGTACGTTTAGGTAGGGGCGTTTAAAGTATTGCTGCAAAGCTTTGAGTAAGAGAAGAGTGCTTTGGAATATACCTTCCATGTACCTACCAAACTGTATCGTGAGTAAAATTGAATGCACGCCGAATTTTGAATCTCATACAGAGAACACAAACACGTGCTCGCAGATACTATATTTTGGAACAAGCAAAGTCTTAGAGAACAATAATATAAAGGCAATGGATAAATCCACCACCCCTTTCAGCTAAATCCACCACCCCCGACCACCGCCTGCCTGATTAGGTAATACTCCTAGTAGAAAGCGGCTTCGTCGCAATATAGTAGGCGGGGAGGCGATTTATTAATAAACGTCGCTTTTTCGCGGGCGCGAATGCTCCTACGCCTACCTCTAGTTCTCTACTACCTACTTACTTCTCTACCTACATAATGCTCGATCCTCCGCGTGTTTAGTTACCCGGCTAATACTTATTCTACCTGCGGAGAGTACTGCGCTACTATAAGAGCTAAAAGCTACGTGCCTAGCGGGTATAAGTAGGTAACGTAGGTGGGCGCGAAGAGATATTATGCGAAGATGTGTCGCGAGGTCGCGAGGTTGCGAAGATAACTTCCTGCTGGGCGAATTACCCGATTAGGCAGGCGGTGGTCGGGGGTGGTGGATTTAGCTGAAAGGGGTGGTGGATTTATCTAGTGCCTAATATAAACATCTACTTAAAGCTTACGAAGATATAGAGAGCTGGTTTTGTACTTCATGACGTGTAATGTTTGCCTAATTTATTTGCGTTACGTTCAAAGGAAGTCGGAATGCTTAGGGCTGAGTTTAGTCGTGCAATACTCATACGTGAATACCGAAAGGCTGGAGCCTGGGCTTAATATAGCGTGGTAAGCAATACTAGTATAAATCTCCTGGACAGCCTACTGCAACATAAGGAGCTAAATTGTAGTTTACAGTGTTTCTGAGATGCTGGATGGTTAGGCCTTGGCTGCATAACCACATGTGATTGACTGCAATTTTGAAACGTCCGAGGTTCGGGACTCCTCCGCATATCTCATTGCTGTCCGCATACTCAAGCGTCAGCTCCCTGAGATTAACGCACCACAGTATGCGAGGAATTGCATCGTTCTATTCATCTCGAGCCATGGCATCCCAGCCACCAGGACGTGATTATTGGAAAGAAAACGTATGTTTCCCCTGTTTCAACACCATTGTCCCTTTTTCACCTTTCTGACCCGCTGTGTAAAGTATGGCTATACTCCAGTCTTTGAGAAAGGTCAAGTGTTGTGGTACCCAAAAATCTTCGCACCAGCTATTTCTGTGACTATAAACGATTAAGTCGAGGCCACCGACGGCCAGTGGTATTACCAACTAAAAGATTTTGTTGGGGCGCCGCCCAAGACACGCGCGGGAGCAGGATGGGTTCGAGAAGACTCGCTCTTAGGTTCTTCACATCGCGGCGAGCTCAAGCAGTACAACACTATCCAGGATGCTCTCGAATATCAACAGAAATGGAGGGTAGTGAAACTCTTGAACGACGATTTCGGAAGGATGACGGAAGGAGATTATAACTGGCTTCGAGAACTTGGTTCTGTGGGATACGCTCATAATGAGATGGCCACGTTACTACTTAATGAAGCAAAGGACGCACCGTGGATCGTCTTTGAGCCGCACAACTTCGAGAAAACTGAGCCAGCAACGTCATTCCATTACGCTGGTTGTGCGCATCAACAGACCGGGCCGTTTTCCAAGACTACTCAAACAACTCGGCCATATGATACGGATCTACGGAACACTGTCCAAGAGCTTTGTGTGTTAGCAGGTATCCTTCCAATTTCCAAAGACCGAGAGGATTGGAACGGCGCAGTTGTCTTTGGAGGGGATAGCCGTATCGCCGTGATCTATGGAAGTCCTTTCGAGAAAGCAAAGTCAGACAACACAGCTCTATTACGGATATATCATGCTCTGGAGAATTTTTGCACGGCTGCTCGGTATGCTCAGGAAATATATATATGCTGCGACTCATTCACATTCATCAAAAAAGTCCATGGAGACTCAAAGCCAAACAATCTTGAGCTCGTTCGAATCAAGTTCGACTTGGTGCTTTTCCTCAAAAACAATATACTAAGCCTCCCGGATGAAGTGCAATCATCAACAAAACAGGGGAATTTCAGCTCCAGGGCGGCTGCTGCTGCTGAAGCGATACTTCAGCTGCTGGAAATACCTTTCACCGGCTTAACAAACCAATCAAACTTCAGAAGTGCGGGCCTGAAAGCTGCCTCTTGGGATTTTAATTCTGAATGGGAACATGCCCTCCATATCTGTGCACTTGCTACTCAATTCCTTTGTGTGGGCCTTGTTTCATTTACACAGGCTCATTTGGGAAAGTTTGAACCGTTTTTCATCGACACAACAATACAAGAGCTGCTATTATCAGGAGCACTTCCATCGCCATCGGAAGAACAAGCAGCTCATATTCCCTTAATACATGTTTCTTTTGCTGAACTCACCTGCCTTGCGGTAATGACACGGGGTCCAGTACTCTCGTTCAGCATCGTATACCGAAAACCCCACGTAATTTCTTCGGAGAATAAAGCCAAACATGACTTGATTTGCCGGTTGGATGACTTGCTGGAGATATGGGGACCCGGACACTCTATCCCATCAGTGGGTAGTGAGGAGCAAATCACAACAGTCGAGATTGGAGGAGGATTGCTCTACGTCGTGGATCCAGCGAACAGCAAGTTCCACTGGGGACCCGTCAGCGATGTTAGCGACTCAACAATACCCTCTTTCCCACCAACTACCAGAATGACCATAGGAGCGGTGACCATAGTCAATCAAAACTGCATCAATGACGAGGGAGACCGGAGAGCCTGTTCCCAAGTTCTAGTGAACTTGGGTGTATGCCAAGATTCGTACGAACTGAGCCAAAAACAATTCGGCTCACAATTCGGCCAGACTAATGCCTTGTTTTCTTACAACCAGACCTACACCAAACAAGCGGGAATTCCACTCAAAAAGGTAGAACTGGAAGCCACAGAAGGACCAGCCCTACTTCAAGTCCTGGATTGTTATTGGGGACTTCAAGTAAGCTTTTGTACAGGCATAGCTCGGGGAGTCCCGCTGAGAGAACTCGTCGCTGATCTTCTCCTTACTTGGGCAGCGGCTCACGGCATGGAGGTTGAGATAAAAACTTGGGAAAAGAAGTACCAAGTCCTGGGTGCATTCTCAGCTTCTACTAACTTTCAGGAATGGGCATTGCAGCTTCGCAAAGCTGACAAAGGTGTCTATAAACACCTTATGGAATTTGCGAAGGATATACTGAGTACCCTGAGATCAACTGGATATTGATCACCGCAACAAGGGCCTTTTTGTGGCTTGGCCGCATAAAACAGATCTTGCGCGGGGCGTCATGATACCCTGCATAGATCACAGCTATTGGACTCGGATCCTTGCGGACTCTCACCAGTGTGCAACTTATGCATACATCACCAGAAACTGCCTCAAAGCAAGCGGCCACTCCAGCCCATGTTCAGAGCGATGCATGGGCGTGGCTGCAGCCCTGGACACGGCCATCAGCTTCTATCGAGTGCGCCAGGATCTCGAACCGTACGATCTCGTAAACGGAGAATCCTACCATATTGAAAATCTAAGTTCCTTGATATTCTTGACAGCGTACAAGGATGCACAAGGGACTAGGTTCGTCGTAAAAGAAAGCATTATCCCCCGAATGTATCAAAAACAGCTTCGTTTGATACCCGGATACAAAAAGTTTCATATCCGCGAGAAACAAAGGTCCGATGACAGTGCCGAAGATGTGTTAATATTTACCGAATGAGTCCAAGGATGGTATGAGAGGAAAGGCGGGATTTATCAAGTAATAAGTGATGAGGGGCTGGACTGAAATGAGGAATGGGATGGAAGAATGATTTGGAGGAATGATATGGGAATCGAACGGAGAAATACAAAGGCGTACGGTGAAGCGTCTCCTATTTCTCTTTGTAGCTATCTCTTTCCAAATCTTCAGAATGATTGTAATCGGTCTCTCCCTCAAACCGCCGCCTTCTTGTCAAAACCCGAACGTGATATGACATAAAACCATCAACACTACGCCCAAGACAACACTGACGCCTATCAACGACAACCTACCTGAGATCCATACAAGGAAACTCGTATGGATACTTAACTAGCACCGTCACATCCTTAAAGAGGCATTCGTCCATATACGCGGCTAGGTTTCGCGTAGCCATTTGCACACCTTTACCGTTGTTACATACCACTGTCCACGACCCCTCCACCACGGCAATAGGGGTAGCGATCTTAACATACAAACCGCTATGAGCTACTTACCCAGCTGCACCAGCAGGCTCTACATCCCTCTATGAATCAATCCATAGAGAGCAGTTTGCTCTACCTACAAGGACACATGGACAAGATTTCAGTGTTTGAAATATCTGTATTCGGGGGGACTTGGTACACTTACGCTTCAGTGAAGCACTCCATTCACCGACGCGGAGATTTCTAAATTGCAGCATGGCTAACCGTAAACACGAGGTCCACACCCCAGCGACATCTAAGCGCCACCTACTAATCACGTCTCGGCGTCTGTCGTTGTGTGCGTTTTGTGCCTGGCCTTGGGGTGCGGTGCGGTGTTTTCGTCCGACATGGTGGGAGAAGAAGATAGTGCTGGGGATGAAAAGGGGGGCGTGAGTGCTCCGCTGTGCTCTCAATAGTACCTAGAGTCGAGTACAAGTGACTGTATAGATCGGCGATGGTGCTGTACAGAAGTCTGCATGGGCAGGCCAAGTGGGTGGTGACGTGGTGGCTATAGTAGTTTAGGGTCACCGGTCAGAACGCCACTCTTTGCTCTGCGCATCAGCTTACTACGGCTCTGTTTTTAGGGTATAGAATCCAACTTAGGGCATTGTCCTATGCAACTACGGTCATCACTGGCTACAATGTTATATCGGCGCGGCTATGTTTTCTCTTTTCGCTCTCCGAGCTGCGATACCATTGGCAGTGTCAATCTGCATCAATGGTTCTCTAGTATGACTGGCTCTAAGCGATAAGTGACTGTTAAAAACCTTTCGTATATCTACTGCAACCAGAAACATCGTCAGTTGTTAAATGCAGTGAACCTCACTTGAGAATAACATGCGGTATCACAGCGTCAAAGACACAAGCACCAGGCATCAGTCGATCAAGAAAGTCGTCCCGTTTTTTTTCGGTATCAAAACCTCTTCTATCATACCTCATAAGCCCCAATTCTTATGGGGAAGCTCTAGCTCAGCAAAATGCATTTACCGCAGAGCCTTGCGAGCAAAAGTGGGCAGGACGAAGGCAGCCTCGTGGATCTCCTTGCTGTAGTACTTGCACAGCTTCTCCTCCTCCTCTGGGCTCCAGGAGCGGACGGGCTTGGTGACGTCGCGGTCGGCGTCCTTGCAGCAGACCATGAAGCCGATCTGGCCCGAGGGGTACGTGGGGATGGTCGTGTAGGCGTACTCGACCGTGGGGAAGACCTCCTTGCAGTCCTTCTTGAGCTTGGCAATGAGCGGCATGTGCAGCCACTGGTTCTCGGCTGTAGAGGAAAAAACGGTTAACAATGAGGGGTTCAAGGGCAATTCGGGAGTGGCTTTTTTAAACAAGTGTGTTGTGCGTGCACGAAGCGTGCTTTGGGGAGATGCCGTGGCAGAGAAAAATAGCATGATGAATGTGTCGGGGAAGGAGGGGGCTTACAACCTTGCGTGGTGATGACACCACCCTCGCGCAGCGCATCGTTGAGCAGCATGAAGTAGGGCTTCTGGAACAGGCTCTCGGCGGGGCCCTCCGGGTCCGAGGAGTCGGTGATGATGACGTCGAATTCGTTCTTGCGGTCCGCAAGGAACTTAAAGCCGTCGCCGACAATAGTCTGGACAGCGGGGTGCTGGAAGCCGACGGACATGCCGGGGAGGTACTTCTTGGAGAGACGGATGACGGCCTGGTTGTGGGGTCAGTGGGTGTGTTGACATAATGGAAACTGCATGTACGTACCTCGTCAATGTCGCAGAGGATGGCCTCCTCGACGCACTCGTGCTTGACGACCTCACGGAGGACACCGCCGTCACCACCGCCGATGACGAGGACCTTCTTGGGGTTGGGGTGCGAGTTCATGGCCAGGTGGGTGATCATCTCCTGGTAACTGCGACCTTCTCAGCCCATTGTTCACACATGTGCGCGCCGTTTGCGCCGTTGTTTGGGAGGAAACGTACGAGAACTCATCGCGCTCGGTGCACTGGATGACATTGTCGAGGACGAGGACGGTGCCGTAGTCGGATGACTCGAAGATGAGCACGTCCTGGTACTGCGACTTCTCGTGGTGGAGGACCTGGTTGACCTTGAGGGTCATGGCCTGGCCGGGCCACATGTCGGAAATCTCGCGGAACCAGCCATCTGGGGAGGATTGTCAGCGGGCGGTTCGACAGTCTGGCGGCGTATCCGGAGCCATCCTTGCTGGGGAAAAGCTGTCTTACCCTTGATGGTGGGGTGGGTGATCTCGCTCATTTTTGCGGGTGAGGTGACGAAGGTGCGGGGAAACGTGCTACGACGGAACGTGAAGGAGCTGAAGCAGAGGCCGCGACGAAGAAAGAGGTTGCGAGAGAGAATAGTGGTGGACAGCGCAGGTGTTTTTTTCAAGCAGTGACGCCTGTCTTAAAGTTTGGCTCGCTTTTTCTGCCGCCTTTCTTCCATGCTGCCCCGCCGTTTTTTCGCGCGATGCTGCAAGGCGCTAGTGCCCGATGAGGCGTGCCGTGCCGAACACTTTTCTTCACTTCCGATCCGCCGCCACAGTCTGGAGAAAATTTCATAAAAAGACCATGCCCGAGGCGGACACACTGCCTCCATCCAGCTATCGACACAGAGCGCTGCCGTCTCAGAAGACTCGCAAACCTGCTAACCCAAAAAGGTAATCTCCCGGTCGAACTTCGGCAGTCGGGCCAGCGGTGACGCTGTGACGCGGTGACGCGGTAACGCGCTTCCGATGCTTAGGTTCGGGAGTGTTGGTCGGGTTGGGCTCGCTGTTGAGAAACGTTGCAGCGAAAACTGCGAGTTTGGATGTTGTTGAGGGATCGGCAGGGTACCAGTGACTGTGTGCACATTCTGGACCATTCTCGATCTGATAACTTTTCTTGACTCGAAGATTTCTGCGATTGTGACCCCGCATCTACGGGAAAACGTCGGTGCACACAGCTCCAAGAACATAAGCCAATCAACGAATCCGTTTGCTTATCTTGGTGAGGTGGCCGAGTGGTTATGGCGTTAGATTTAGGTTCACTGTTTACTATCTCTAATGGGCAACCGCGTGGGGTAAGCTAAACCACCTTATTATAATCCTCAGAAGTTCAAAAAACTAACAGTGCCAAAGTTCGAATCCCACCCTCATCATCATCTTTTTGCTCTGCTTATGGCTGAGCAAGTGACGCTTTTTGCGTGTCTACTTTTTGTTGAAGGGCTGTATGTACTGTAAGAGGCAAATGACATTTTGCGAGTTCAAACATGAACCGAAATGTTTTTATTGCACCGGAGCACTTTAGCAGTGAACACGCGAAAGTCGAAGACCTTTGGCCTGGCAGTCGAACGTCATTTTCCGAGGATTATGCGACCGTGTCTTTCAGGCTCCGCAGTGGACGCCTTATTACCTCCTTCATTCAACCTCTACTCATGCATCAATTGCACAGCGAGTGAATCGCTGGGCCTCTGTAGCCCGGCCGTCTACTTGACCCACAGCTATATTCATTTGATGGACGACCGTTGTGGATACAACTGCGAGGATTGCGAGAAGGGAGCGAGCTGTCAGTCAGCAGCTGCAACCTGAGTCTGTCAAATGCAGACCAGTCCCTCACGATGCTTGGGCATCAAAGAGTGATCCGACAGGGCAGGCGCAGTCTCAAGGTGCGTTGGTTACAAAAACGAAGCAGTGGTCCAGGGCGGCCTCGGACTGGGATGTGCCGAGGTTACTGCACCTTCAGCTCGCACCAGATCGTCCCCCCGCATCGCTCCAATTCAGCCTCAATAATCTCCCAAAACGAGATGCAACGGAGGTGGAGGGCCATTGGTGGATTCTGGGGTGTAAGCGCTTCCAAGGACACGGCTGTGGCTTCCCCGCAACTCCGCAATCTTCTCCGCCAGACGTCATTCCATATGGGGCGTCTTTCCCCGGAGACTAGCAGCAGGATGTGGCAGTGTCCGATGCCCGCGCGATGGGCGTTACTGGGGCGCCGCTTGACGCTGCCGGTGGCGCGGAGCTAGCGTACTCCGTACCTCGAGGGCTGGGGGAGGGTGTGCATGACAACTGCATAGCTGGCTTGCAAGGTAGGTACCGTGATACGCATTTTACAAACTGCATTTCCTTTTTCATTCTCGTCTGCCAAGTATCAATTTTCAGCTGTCACGATTTCTCGGTCAAAAAGAGCAACAGAAACAAAAGATGCATTTCCTTGCTTTAGTCATTGCAAGTCTATCATGTCTGGCCCGAGTGGACGCCCTGCCGCATGGCGGGTCGCCCAAAGTGCAGCCAGTGGTCTTCCAAGGTACCGAGATGAAGCATTTGCTCGCGTTCGGCGACTCCTACACTTATGTCCAGGGAACACAAGGCCGCTGGAACTACAGCTTCATTTCCGACGCCTTTAACTATTCTTACACCCCCGCGCAGCTCTTCTCGGACAAGATAGTCAAAAACACCACGAGCTCCGGCGGCCCCAACTGGGTCGAGTATTTGACTGGATGCTATGAGGGGTTGCCGGTGGAGTGTCCGGGGACGAAGCTGTGGGACTTTGCGTTTGCGGGTTCAGATATCAGCATGGAGTAGTATGTTTGCTTCATGCAATTGTCGAGGAGATTTCAGGCGGTGCTGATTCGCATTGAAGCTTGCCGCTCCATCACAACTACACCGTTCCTCTCGTCGATCAAGTGAAGCAGTGGGATCGTTATGCTCGACAGCCTCTCAACTTGACGTCCAAAGACACGCTCGTTGCATTCTGGATAGGGTAATTTTACTTGCCCTCAAATTTCAGATTCAAGCTGACGTGTAGTTCTAGAATCAACGACATCAACGATAGTGCGAAGTTTACAAATGTCAGCTTTCCCGCTTGGTACGATACGCTGGTCGGAGCGTACTTCCAGTCTGTGGTCCGTAGATCTCCTATTTGCGACCCAGGCGAAAAATCATAATTGCTTACATTCCGTGCAGGAGCTCGTGTACCAAAGAGGCTACAAGAACTTCCTTTTCGTAAGTTCAAGCCATTGAACTTAACAATTTAAAAGATATTGACAACGTTATTCAGATGCTCCTCCCACCGCTTGAGAAAACGTCGTCCAACCTAGCCAGCTCGAATCCGCAGCCCAACACCACGCAGGTAGCGCAATTCAACGCAGCCATACGCTTCCATGCCTCCGCGTTCCAAAAGCAGCACTCAGACGCCAATGCCCTGGTCTTTGATACCTACACCGTCCTGAACGGCGTCCTCGAAAATGCAACCGCGTACGGGATCACCAACACCACGAGGTACGTCCATACTTCGACTATACCCCCTCCCATCACGCTTCGCCGTCGCTAACACCGCGCACTCGCAGCTACTGCCGCGCCTACGACCAGCCAGACATCCTCTGGAACCACGCCGCGTACGGCTGCCAGCCCATCGCGCAGTATTTCTGGCTCAGTGCGCGCTTTCCTCCTCCCCGTCTCATGATGATCCACACGCTGACCGCGCGCGCGCAGACTCAGGCCACATCACCTTTACAGCACACGCCGCCCTCGCGGCCGCGCTCCGCCGGGAGCTGGCCGCCGCCGCCGCCGCCGTTGCTGTCGCATGAGCGGGCGGAGCGCATGCTCGCCGTGGGCGCCTTTCTTGGCTCGGATCTTATCCCAAAGAGAACACAAAACCCTGTCGTTCATCATCGCTCGCTGTTTCTTTCGTTTCAACTGCTTCCGTCCCAGCAAAACGCATGTACATACCCGTTACCGTACATGCCAAACACGCGCACAATGCAAAGCCGTACACGCTGCCATCCAACCCAGTCCAATCCAATCCAATCCCACGAGTCAGCACCGCAGGCAAAACACAGCCCCTCCCTCCCCTGTCACCCGCCAAGCCACGGCCCCCTGCTAGCGAGTGTGGGGAAGGGGCGCGCATGCAGGGACGCGTTTAATGACGGGACGCGAATTCTCCGCCACTCCGCCCACCGCTCGCCCCAGCGAGGCCCCTACGGCCCCTCGTCCCGCAGCGACTCTTGCCCACTTGCGACGGCCGCTCGTGCCAGTCCCGGGCTTCATGCACTCCGCTGGCCGACGCAGGTAGATGGGCTTGGCGGCGGGCAGGCGGGCGATATGCATGCATGCGCGACGGCGCGACTTATTATGCTGGCGGCCTGGCTGGGGCTTGGCCTCGCGTGAGAGGGGTGCGGAAGGGAGGGCGGGCGTATAAGTAGGCTGCTGCTGCTGCTGCTGGAGGCGGGAGTGGAAGGAAAAAGAACGGAAAGCTACGTGCTGGTTTGCTGTGCAGAGAGAGCGAGCGTTGCGTCGAACCCCCAATCCTATTAACCTAATCTAACCTACCTACGCCTTCCTTCGATTTCTTCGTCAACCACGATGAAGCTCGCGGCCCTCACCACGGCCCTCGCCACGGCGCTGCTGCCGGCCCTCGCCTCCGCGGCCCCAGCAGCAGGAGCCTCAGCCGCCGAAGCGCACCAGCCCTACTCGACCTGGATGGGCGACTCATTCATCGCACACGGCGTGAACAAGACGCGCAAATACCAAGAAGCAGTCCTCTACCACGCCTACGACCTACTCTACACGGCCACGCAAAACCGGACCTACCTAACCTGGGTGCAAGAGCAGGTGGACGGCGTCGTCGCCGCCGACGGCACTATAGACGGGTACCCGGACCCGGACAAGGACTCGCTGGACGACGTGCTGCTCGGCCGCGTCCTGCTCGACCTGTACGCCAAGACGAACGGCACGCGCTACAAGGCCGCGGCGGCGCAGCTGCGCGAGCAGCTCAACTACCAGCCGCGCACGCCGGCGGGCGGCTTCTGGCACCGGCGCCCGACGTACCCCGACCAGATGTGGCTCGATGGCATCTACATGGCCGACGTCTTCTACGCGCAGTGGACGGCGACGTTCGATGCGGACAATGCCACTGCGTGGGACGATGTCGCGCTGCAGTTTAGCCTGATCGAGGAACACACCAGGAACAAGACGAGCAACCTGCTCGTGCACGGCTACGACGAGAGCAAGACGGCGGTCTGGGCGGACCCGGAGACGGGCGCGGCGCCGCACGTGTGGTCGCGCGCGCTGGGCTGGTACGCGATGGCGCTGCTGGACGTGCTGGACGTGCTGCCGGCATCGCACAGCGCGCACAGCTCGTTCCTCTCCTGGTACCAGACCCTGGTGACCGGGCTGCTGGACGCCCAGGACGCCGCCACCGGCGGCTGGTGGCTCATCATGGACGCGCCGTACCCGGGCAAAGAGGGCAACTACATCGAGAGCAGCGCCGTGGCGATGTTCACGTTTGCGCTGCTGAAGGGCGCGCGCCTCGGCTACGTCGAGAGGGAGGACGTGCTGCCTGCGGCGAAGAAGGCGTATGAAGGGATGGTGGACATGTTTGTCGCGCGGAATGGGACGCAGGAGGGGACGCTGAACTGGGAGGGCACGGTTGAGGTGGGGAGTCTGAGTGGGAATGCTACGTATGAGGTGAGTTTGCCTGGGTGGGTGGGCGGGCGCGGGGGTGGTAGTGGTGGGTTGGTGGTGGATTGATGGAGTGATTACGCTGACATTTCCACGCTGCAGTACTACACGAGCGTCGACGTCGACGAGAACGACCTCAAGGGCGTGGGGCCCTTTATCTACGCGAGCCTGGAGTACGAGGCTTTGCAGGGCGAGGAGTCGACGTAAGGTGGGATTTTTTTTTATTATGGATGGCCGTGCTGCGGGATGGGTGGGTGGACGGATGGACCAATGCTTCATGAATGAACCCACTTACCACTCTCTTCTGGACGCTTTCGTTGGCATGCCATTGAGTTTCTGATGCCGAAAATCACTCGCAGGACTTGCATCCGTCACACACGCGCTACCTATCTGATGCACACAAACACGCAGGAAATCATCACGCACGCGTCGAAGCCTTAACACACGCAGGATATGCATCACGCATGGAAGCTTTAACAAAATCATGAAATCGTATAACTCGTGGTGGGTATAACAACTAGCCAGCCTCCATCGCCATACCGCGCCTTCCGGCAGTACCGTCCGTCGTACTCAGCACTGAGCTCAGCAGCAACCAACACCATGCTTACTTCTGCTCAGCCTCAGCCTGCTTCTGCAGGTCAGCCTCGACGCCCCTCTGGGCCGTCTTGCCGCGATCATGCTGCTTCTCGTACTCGCGCTTCGCGCTCTCATTGCCCGTCGCGCCAGCAATGGCGCCGCCGACGGTGCCGCCCACGCGGTCAGAGATGCCCGAGCCGAGATCGCTCAGCTGGCCCTGGGCCTCCTGGCCCTTGCCCTCGCGGTTCTGGCGCGCGCCCGCGGCCTTCAGGTCGTCGGACCCGATGATCCCGCCCAGTGCCTCCTTGCCCGCGCCGACCGTCTGGTTCCAGCTGCCCGCCGTCCGGTCCGGGTCTTCCCGCTGCACGCCGCTCGAGCTGATGTCGAGAGGGCCGGCCTTGGCGCTGGCGTGTGAGAGGTCGTGCTTCGCGTTGGCGTCGGCTTGCTTGTCCGCCGCTTGTTGCTGTGCCGCGTGTTAGTACTAGGTATGGAGTTGGCGTGGGGTGATGGGGGTGAGGTTGAGGTGAGAATGCAAGGTGAGACGTACCTTGTCGGCCGTGTTGCCCGTCAGCGAGCCAAGAGCGGACTGGGCCGCGCTGGTGGCCGAGTCGACGTACGACTGGAGAGTGGAGGTGTTCTTGTCGGACATTGTGGGAAGGGTTGTTGTTGTGGTGGCAGTCAAAAGACTAGAGTGGTGGATTTGTAGAGTCAAGAGTTGAAGGGTGAGAGAGTAGATTCGAAGACTGTTTGGGTCTGCAGTGGAGCGATGAGGATGGTGCAGTTGGGGGCGGGCCATGAGGGGTGTTTATATGGGTGGGAAAGCTGGGGAAGCGGCGAGGGGCAGGCTACAGGCGATGACGTCGACGGAGGGGTGTCTGGCAGTGGCAGGGCAGTGGCGCGGGGGAGCTGGATTGGACGAGTTGGGCAACTTGAGGGACTGGAGAGGCTCAGGGAAAGCCCGGGTGGCGTCTACGTCATCGAGGTCACCTCGACTGGTGCAACGCCACACTTCCATCGCGTGAATGCATTCTTGTTCCAGGCCTCTGGTCTATTTCATCATCGCATTCTTTGTTGAGTAGGTGTAGTTACGTCGTCGTCGTCTTTGTCCCCGTGGTCGCAGGTCGCAGTTCCCAGGTCACGGTCACAGGCCACAAAGGTCACACAGGCCTTTGTCCATTTCTGCCTGAGAGCTGCCTGAGGAAGATAGGCATGCATCTATGTACACACCTAATATTACCTATTCGACAATCCTCTGCCGCTATCCGACCTGCCCCGTCTTCTCAAACCCGGCCGTGATTTGGATATTCATGCGTCGAAAATAACACCTCCGCCCCACGCCCCGTGATGCGGGGATGGCGCAGCGGGCGCATCAAGGAATCTCGCTGTCGGACATGGCGGCGGGGGCAAGTGTTGGTGATTACTCTAGCACTGTCGCATCCAGAGAGGCTTTTTTTCGCCAAATCTCCGACGGGCAATATGGCCGGAGTGGGAACCCCTTTGCCCCATTCTGAAGCACGGTGGGTGTCAGGGCACGGCCGCCCGCGACTCTAGCTGGCGTCGCGACCAGCCCTGGAGAAGAGACGAGCGAGACGAGGCACGACAAGAAGAAGATTATTTAGAAGAGGGGGTTCGGCGCTCCCTTTTGCCCTACTCATCAGCCACTTACACTTACGAGTACTACTTCGCCCTTTTTTATTTTCAGCTCTAATTCTTTTTTTTTTTTTTTCTTTTTTTCCCCTGCACACCCTCGAGCTGGACTCGTCGTGTGCCCCGTTCGCTGCCCTTTTCCTAAAACCAACGCTGCTGACTACACTCCGCACCCGCACCCCCACGGTCCGCCCGAGCTGCCGAAACAGTCATGCCCGCCTCGACAAGTCTTCGCTCCCCGTCACTTCGACACGGTGGCGCTTCCGCCGCTGCCGCAGACGCCCGCTGCCCGCCGGCTCCGGACTGCGTCGGAGATAGCCCGCCATATGTAAGCGGCACGCCAACGCCGTTGGGATCGTCGGCCAAAACTCCAACGCCCGGCTGCTACGATAATACTATCCCTCCTGCTGCTGCTGCTGCTGTCGACGATAAGCCCGACCTCGCTCCTCTTCCTCCGCCGTCCGCCTCGCTCGTTTCCCACCAGCCCCACCATACTTCGTTCCGCGAGCGCCGACATCGCAAGAACGCCGTCTCCATCGACTCGGTCCCTCGCCAGACGATCCTTAAGGCTCTCGCCTCGCGCCCGCCGGCCACGTCCAACATGTCAATTGCCCAATCCCTCAACGGCCTGATGGGCGCCAACGTTCCCACGACCCCCGAAAACACGGCCACCTTCCCTTCTGCCCACCACGCGCCCGCGCCGCCCGCCGCGCCCATTGCGCCCAGCAACCGGCGTCTGTCGGGAGCTGTGCCTCAGCTTACGCTCGATCCCGAGAGCCTGTCAGCTTCCAAGATGGCCGCCCTTGCCTCGCCCTGCTTCTACCACAAGAAATTCGACGCGGCCGTCAACATTGACAAGGTGCTGGAGGAGATACGGGACAACGAGGGCATGTCGCACTCGCGGCTGGTGCAGACGGCGACGGGCGTGCGCGAGGTGTCGAAGCAGCTGCAGCGGCGGCCCATGAAGATTGCGGTCAAGAACATCATGATCGTGACCAAGGCGCGCGACAACGGGCTGGTGGACCTGACGCGCGAGCTGACCGAGTGGCTGCTGAGCACGCCGCGCCACGGCAAGGACGTGGGCGTCAACGTCTACGTCGACCACAAGCTGCGCAACTCGCGGCGCTTCGACGCGGCGGGCCTGCTGCGTCGCGACGAGCGCTTCGCCGCCATGCTGCGCTACTGGACGCCCGAGCTGTGCTTGGCCGCGCCCGAGAAGTTCGACCTCGTCCTCACCCTCGGCGGCGACGGCACCGTGCTGTACACGTCGTGGCTGTTCCAGCGCATCGTGCCGCCCATCCTGTCCTTCAGCCTGGGCAGCCTGGGCTTCCTGACCAACTTTGAGTTCTCGGCCTACAAGGAGCAGCTGTCGCGCATCATGGGCGACGCGGGCATGCGCGTCAACCTGCGCATGCGCTTCACCTGCACCGTGTACCGCGCGAACCCGGCCCACGACCCCGGCGACGCCGACTCGCCCTCGCACCACGAGGCCGAGCAGTTCGAGGTGCTCAACGAGCTGGTCATCGACCGCGGCCCGTCCCCCTACGTGTCCAACCTCGAGCTGTACGGCGACAACGCGCTGCTGACGGTCGTGCAGGCCGACGGCTGCATCTTCAGCACGCCGACGGGCAGCACGGCGTACAGCCTCAGCGCGGGCGGGTCGCTCGTGCACCCGGACATACCGGCCATCCTGCTGACACCCGTGTGCCCGCACACGCTGTCGTTCCGGCCGATGCTGCTCAACGACAGCATGCTGCTGCGAGTCGCGATACCGCGCAACAGCCGGGCGACGGCGCACTGCGCGTTTGACGGCAAGGGCCGCGTCGAGCTGCGCCAGGGCGACCACGTCACCATTGCCGCGTCGCAGTACCCGTTCCCGACGGTGCTGAGCCGGCCCACCGAGTGGTTCGACAGCCTGGGCCGCACGCTGCGCTGGAACATGCGCGGCGCGCAGCAGAAGGCGTGGGATGGTGGGGACGGCAAGGACGAGGACGAGGGCTTCGACATTGACATTGACGATGCTGGCGCCGACGAGGCCGCCCGTGATAGCGGCTATAGCGCTGCTACGAGCAGTGCGGGCGGCAATGGCAGCCCTGTGCCTCGGCCGCTGGGGGGCGCGTGGGGCTGGGGGTTGTAGCTACTGGCTCTCTCCCTCTCACCCGGTTTCGTCGGCTCTTTGCCCTATTCTTTTATTGTCTGCGGTTTTTCTTTTCTTTTCTCCTCTTTTCTTTCTTCTTTTTTCGCTTCTCCTTTTCCGTTTCGCTTCCATCTCGCCGGCTACCTACCTACCTATATGGTCTGATCCAGGATGATCTTGGGTTGGTTAGTGGGTGATGGGTGACGGATGATGGATGGGGAGGCTTCTCCTTTCTCCTTTCTTTATCTTTTCTCCTTCTTCCTTCTTGGCTACCCGGCGCACGCAAGGCGTTTGTTTCTCTGATGTAGGGAGGGGGCGTTTCCTTTTTTTTTTTTTTTTTTTTCTTCTTTCTTCTCTCTTTTCTCCCACCGTCCGTTGTTTAAAAGTCCTGAACTGGACTGGACCGGACTGGGACTGGGATGATCTGGATGGGTTGGGCTGGGCTGGGCTGGGCTGGGCTTATGGCGCCATGATTAGAGCGTGCGTGTGTGCGGTATAGAGCTGAGCAGAGCAGAGCGTAGATGGGGTGGATGTGGATGTGAGTGTGTTGTTGTGTGTTGAGTTATGGGGTGGATGTTGTTGTGTGGTGGATGTGTGGTGATAGGAGTGAGAGGGGCATAGCATAGCGAGGTAGCTACAATGTACGTGGGCTGCGCGAGCGGCGTGTTGGTACCTGATTGGTTGGGTGCTTGGTGGCTTATGCTGTCCTGTGTCTGCTTCTCTTGATGTCTTGCTGGTGAGTGCAGTGCGCGAGAGAGAGTGCAAGTGAATGAAAGACCTACGTTGACCGGGCCCAGCAACCTCACGCTTAGCGAGAGGAGTGCGAGGACTGTTAAGCTGTCAAGTTGTTAGGTATGAGCGAGGGAAGTGGTGGAAGTGACTGCTGACTGCTGACTGCTGGACAGGTGCGTGGTCACGAGGCGGGGCGCGCGCGGGGCGTCTCACTAGGTCGTGTACATTGGATGTGCGCGTGGTAGGTGGGTGGGTGGGTGGGTATGTATGTACATCGGGAGGTAGGTAGGTCTGGTGCCTGGCCAGCAGCGCGTGCGTGCGCGATGAGCGTTGAGTGCGTATGTGTGTGTCTCCTCTAGGTAGGCAGGCACCAGACTCTGACCGACCCACCTATGTCTAGGCATGTGTTTCAGTTTCCGTCACTTCGGCTCTCAAGTCATTTCCTCCTCTCGCCTTCTTCCCGTCTTCCATCTTGCCGGTCTCTAGTTTCGTCGCCAAGTACTGTACCTACGTACCTGAGCTTGCAGCTATCGGTAGGTACATACGCACGTGCGCTGTGTCACTCGCTCGCTTGGCGTGTTGTCCTGTGGTGTGGTGTGCTGCGCGTCTTGTCAGGCGCGGTGGGCGTGTGCTTGTGCTTTACGGTACCGTCAGGTCAGGCGGGGCGCGATGAGGGTATTTATCGAAGAGGTAAGTATGCTGGGAGGACGTCGTGGTGCGAGCTAAGTCATTTTGGTTTCTTTTTGAGCTGTGAAGTGTCCGTTTGCTGCTGCTTTCTTTCTTTCTTTTGCAGTCAGAGCTAGAGGAAGAAAGAAAGAAAGAAAGAAAGAAAGAAAGAGTGTCTGCCTCGGCGAGAAAGCAAGCAAGCAAGAAAGAAAGATGTGCTGGTTCTCCCTCCCCGGCACGTCGAAGAAGAAGAAGAAGAAGAACAAGACCCATCACCACCACCCCCGCTCCGCCTCCACAACATCCAGCAGCAGAACCCCGCTCCTAGGCCCGCGCCCCGCGCCCCACGCCTCCTCCTCCTCCTCCTCCTCCTCCTCTCGCACCCGCCGCAACCGCACCAACCGCACCAACCGCACCAACCGCACCCGCGTCGCCGTCCCAGCCTCTGCCCGCGGCAGCCACAGCCAGAACCACAACCACAACAACGCCCTCCACGGTGCAGGCCGCAAGCGCGCGCCCCCGCCCCCGCATCCCGAGCGCCACGTCTGCGCCGCGTGTCCTTTCCCCCACCACTATAGCAACAGCCAGAGCTACAACCCCTACCCCAACCCCAACTCCAGCTCCAACTACGGCAACGCCTGCGCCTCCGCCTCCCCCCGCCAGCACAACGCGCCCAACTCGTCGCGCCGCCGCGCCGCCGCCCCCGCTCCAGCCCCTCAAGCGCCACCAACAACGACATTCGCAGCCCGCGCGGCCGCAACCACCGACGCTGCGCGCTGGGCGCAGTTACGGGCGGATGCGTTCGCGGCCGCCGACGTCGTTGCTAGGCCTGGTGCGCCTGCGCCGGGGAGGGGGAGGAGGGTCAGGTGGGCGGATGAGCGTGGTGGAGGAAGTTATGGGGGATTGGAGGCGTGGGGGTGGGGTTAGGCTGGGGTAGGGAGTAGAATAGAGGGAGGGTAGGGGATAGAGATGTGGTGGTTTGTGTGGATGTAGCGGATATACCCATCTACGCACACAGCGAGAGAGCACTGCGACCTCTACTGCTCAAACCCAGACGCAGTGAAAAGAAAACCCCTTCTTTACCAACCAAACACGACCCATAAACACCACGCCACACCACGCCACACTACAGACTCGACACCGGCGACAGCGGCACCTCCTCCCCCTCCCCACCATCCCCACCACCATCAGCATCACAACCCGCACGCCCTCCCCTCCCCCGCCGCCGCCGCTGCGACCGCCGCTCCCGCCCCACACCCATGCCCATGCCTAGCCCCAGTCCCAGTCCCAGCCCTAGCTCCAACCCCGACCCCGGTCCCGCAGCCGCTTGCGATAAAGGTGCAGGTGCAGAGTCAGCAGGCGCGCGCACGACGCCCCCGTCGACCTCGTACTGCCCGGCCAGCGGCTGGGTGAGGCGCGCGCTGAGGATTGGGTGGGCGTCTGCGTGTGTGTCTGCGTCTGCGTTGTCGTCGTTGCTGTCGTTGCTGTCGTTGTGGTGGTGTGCGAGCGCTTGCGTGCTAGGGTAGTCGTGGTTGTGGTTGTGGAAGTAGTTGTGGGCGTCGCTCTCTGGGCTGCCGCCGAGCGGGCTCTCCGCGCCCGTGGCCATGGGCATGGACATGGGCATGGACATGTCCATACCTGTATCCAACACGACAGGGCACGCAGCGCTGTCCTTGGGCTCGAGCAGCTGGCTGTCTCCCTCCTCATCCACACACCCACTCACACGCACACGCCCACCCCCCCGCGCCTCGACATCCACATCCCCATCATCGCCACCCCTCCCCCTCCCCCTCCCCCGGCCTAGCAGCCCCTCCCCCGCCTCCCCCAGCACCACCAACCGCGGGTGCCTCACGTCCCTGACATCCAACAAGGCGAGGCGATCGCCCCTGCGCGTCACAGGCGGGCACTCGTCCCCGCGACACCAGGAGCCAGCGCCGAGCTCCTCGTGCGCGAGCCGCTGCAGCTGGAGCGTCTCGTTGGCGGCCCACTCGAGGCGGCGGTAGAGGCCCTGCGCGGGGCGGCCGGCGCAACGCTGCCGCGCTTGCAGCACGCGCAGCAGGGGCTCGATGCCGAGAGAGAGGGCGTTGATGAGGAGGCCGAGGGCTAGGGTTAGGCCGAGGCCGAGCGTGCTGAAGGACGTGTAGGAGGGGCTTTTGACTTTCTGGGAGGGGCGTTAGTGCGTGCGTGTTTTGTGTTTTGGGAGGAAGTTGGGAGAAGGAGGGAAGTACCTGGTTCGCGCAGCGCAGGTGCTCGGCTTCCGTGCTGGGCTTGACAATGTAGCGGAACATGTCCGGATCGGAGGGCCCGGTGGCAGCCTCGACAAGGATGCGCTGAAGCTTGGCCATGGTCGAGGCATGCCAGTGGAGGACCTCGCGCTGCCACTGGTCGCGGGGCAGCGGGCCCTGGATGCCCTGGACGAGCGTGTCGCGCGCCGTGAGGGCCGACACGCCCAGGTTGGACACCATGTCCGGGATCTGGATGCCCAGCGACGTGTACGTGTCGGCCCAGAAGGCAAACGCCGCCTTTTGCGCGCTGTTGTCCCAGAGCCGGCTGGAGGCGCTGATGCCCGCGCGCCAGCCGTCCAGCCCCGTGCACCCGTCTTTCTTCTTGTTCGGGTTGCAGAATTGGTGCTGCGTCGTGCAGGCCAGCACACCTGTGGCTTGGTCTTTGTGGAATGCTGGCATCGACCCTGACAGTAGGGTGGCCCCGTGAAGGCCGTCGCCAAAGGGTGTGTGTGCTGAGAACCAGTCGTCGTCGACTGGCTTGGCGAAGAAAACATTGTTGGCTGATAGGAAGAAAAGTGCTGTTTCGGCGTCTTTGCGTTCGAGTTCGGCAATAGGAGTAAAGGTTGAATCGTTAAGGCTGGCGGCAGCCAAGGCAACACTAAATCCAAGTCATGATTGGCTTTCTTTTGAACGGTTGGTTGGGTTGTTCTTACCCGAGTGTGTAGTCCGCGTTCATGTTGTAGTTGTCCTTTGAAGAAGCGGAATATACGTAGGTGAAATTCGCGTCGTCATAGGGTAGCCAGTGCCGCCTATCGCCATAGTAGTACTCGATTGTCGCGTCTTGTGTCCTGTTGTCCGAACCGTTGCGCTGCCTTGCATATCCCTCCGTTACCAATGGGGCACAATCCACCACTCTTCGGAACGCGAAGCGGTCTGCTGGTGCCGCGTTCATGCCCAGATCGTCATGCGAGTCGATCAGACCAGTATCAATGCGAAGGTTTGTGGAACTCTGTAGACAAATCTTCTCGTTTCCAGGAAAGGGACAACTCATGTTGCTGTATATTGTCGCCGGCAGCTCTTTCTTGACATAGGTGGAGCATTCTTGCGCCGTCCCGTTACCTTCGTAACACTGCTTTGCATAGGATGCTCCCGTTATGGTAAGCTCCGAGGTGTATCTTCGAAGATACGCAAAGTAGTCATAGATGTTGCTATCCAAAGTCGCATCTATGCGTCCGCAGTTGGGGCTCGAAATGAGAACTTCATTGCCAGTCGCAGTAGATATCTACCGCGCGTGAGCACTTCAACAGTCAAGAAACAAAGCATCCAAAGACTGACCCGTGAAGAAAAGATACTAGCAATGGAGAAGACAGCCATGATCAATGCCGTAAACCCAAGCAAAGGCAATACCCGCTTCCATGGATTCTGAGCGTGTTGTCGCCAGGAACCTAACAACTGAGTAAAGTAAATCACTCCAGTAGTGGTTGTAGCGGCATTCCGCAGAACAGCCTGCATCTGGTGGTACAGCCCATCCTGCGGTCCGGATCTGTTGGAAAGCGCAAAATGCGCAACGAAGCAGAAGAGTCTCCAAAAGCTGGCCCCGGTGGTTGTAACAAAAAGCGCAAGGAAAGCTATGAGCAGGCCGCCGTCCCGCTTGGTCAGCGTGATTGTAGCACCTTGGACAGATCCGTGCGACCAGTTAGTCCAGGCTCCCAGGTAGACCCCGCCGTTTGCTATTGTATCCGTCACGGAGGTACTCATGTTGTAATGGTGGATGCTTGCAGGCTGCCTCTCCAGGACTTGGGCGTCTTTGATTTAAGTGACTTGAATCCTTCCCGCATTTCATCAGCCGGGAACCGTTTCCAACGGGAGGAAGCGTTTTGGGTTGCACCTCTCCAGACTGTGCTCAGCCTCCTAGACGCAGCTGAGCTGCGGTGCTGATCCTGTATCCCACGTTCCATGGGAAGCAGAGAATCACTGTGGAATCATTTGACGAGCTCCTAAAGGCTAGACACTTGTGGATCTACATCCGTGACAAACCGGGGAAAGCCACTGACGGGACTATTTTTAAGAAAAACGATGAGGCTGTTTACATACCTGTTGCCTGCCCCAGTTTGGTGGCGGGTCACACATCGGGCCGTCGCTACTACAGGGTGCAAGGTGGGAGGAGGCTGCTGTGCAGTAAAAGATGTCGTTGCCGGAAACCCCGTCGTTCTTCACGGCTCCGGAGGCAAGGAATTACGACTCAGCAATCAGTCACTGGAAGCCGAACTTCGCTCCGATGCGTATACCCTGCAAATTGCCGGAGTGCTCTGCAGATCCTCGCCGAAACCCCACCATCCACCGGCTGCAGAGTTATCCACCCGTGCTATCAATAGGAAGGCTGGCATGCATCTGTCAATCACTCGGGTAGTGCGATTCCAGGGTCCACCACTGTCCCACAACGGTATGGAGTAGCACCCGCTCTGTGACAAAGCTTATTAAACTAGCTTGTCAGCTTAATGCTCCTGCAAAGACGGAGAGTATTTCAAAGGCCGAAACCTTTGGCAGACCAATCACGATTTGGAAAGAATGTCTGGTCTGTTAGAATGCCGATTCATCACGGGATATCAGGCTTATTTTTACTCGCATGCAGCCTGCAGTTGACCGTTTTGGAATTAGATTGCCCTGTTGCATCGGCACGCGCTGCCTCGTTGTGTGGCCGTCAGCCTTCGGTTCCTCCCACCCGGGTCCTGCAAGGGCTCCTTGTCTGCCCACATCGAGCCACGATCGGCGTTGGCTGGGACTTTGCGACTGGACAAAACTTGAAACGGTCGCCCTAAATGCATAGCTGACGCAATAAACTCACAAGGTCCAGGTCCTTTGTTGGGGGCGTAAAGGAAGTCGTGGGATTGGATGTCGTTACAATTTGCGTGTGGGAACACCATATCTTTCTGCGTCCTGGATGACATCCGATGGTAATATTTGCTTTTGTGCTAGTTGCGTGCTCAAGTGCGGGGCAGTGTGGATTTTGCGGAGAAGAAGGCTATGGGACGAATGTTGTGTCGTTCTTGCGTCGAGATGTGAAGCATAGGATAACTTTGGTAGCTAGGGCATATTCTTCAGGCACAGATAGGCCCCAATGGCTTTCGTGGCTGCGGCCCAAAAGCCCGTTAGGGAAAGAAATACAAAGGCGGCGGAGATGGTGCATCGAAGGAGGCTGTGCAACAGGCAACCCTGGTTTGCGGCTGACGGATCCGGGAAAAACGGGTGTTCCCTTGCTCAGGATCGAATATTCCATATTGTGTGCTTCGCTATTTTTGTGTGAGGTATTATCTGGTCCGTATCTGTCAGTGCATCACCCTACCTTACCCGAATTCCGGGAGTACTATGCGAGACCGCAAGGTCTGCACCGAGCCGCACCGTTGTTCCTTCAAACCCGACCTTCAATTGTTCTATCACGTAAAATCGGATAAAGTCGGAATATCCGAGTCAACTGAGTCGAGAGAAATTCCTGGTAGCCCGTCGCTGCCTAAACCTGCAATCAGTATTTCACAATCGGCCAAGCTCTGGCAACTCTGGATCGTGATCCTTCTGGATTAAACCGAAACACTGTCAGATCCATGATGCCTCTCCCCTGTAGCAATTTTACTGACGTCGGTGGGCATGAATATGATCGCACACCTTCTTGGCTTCTGCCTGCTGACGCTTCTTTCGGTATCTGCCGGTGCCGGTGTCGCTTCGTTTTGGTCGCTGGGGGTGAGGCCAGAAACTGACCAAAAAGCCTGCCAAAACTGTATAGCAGCCATTCGGCTTTGCACCAGGGGTCGATACGTCCACCACAGACCCACAGAAACACTCAAAAAGCCCGAGCAAACAGTAGTGAAGATTAGGAATATCCTTGATCAAGACGTGACGCCTTGCGTGCTCGAGTAGGTTTCCAATGCAGTGTCTCTTAGTAAAATGTTAAGGACGGGATCAATCCTTCGGTGTTGTAATACTCGAATTCTGCGTTTCAACCATCTCTTATGACCAATGTCTTCTTGTCTGCTCAATTTTCTTCAATTTTAGCTTTCTTAATCTTTCCTTTACTGTTCATCTCGTGTCGATCCTGAGTAGCAGAAAGTAAGCCACTCTGGCATGTCAATCATTTTTGTACCGGCCTGTCCAACGACGTGACTAGGCCCACGTTCTCATCCCGCAGTATCGGGGAAGTACCGATGAGTGAGAGAAGTCAGGCGTTGTGTACAGTTGATGCAGCTCAGCAAACCATGCGCATAGTTTAGGGATGAAGAAAAACCCCAGTGAACCAGCATAACAACCGAGCAGACGAGTGAGCAGTTCTTGGTGGAGAAACCGGGAAACACACGGGATGGAGGTTGGCCTCCAATCGGCTTTTCGTTTCGCCGAGGTCGAGCAAACCTCAAAAGTTGCCCGTCCAGCATCATCATCGAGTCTCTCGGCCCAGCTCCCAAAACCCATCACCCGCACGCCCACCGCCCTCCACCACCAACCCGCGCAACCAACGCACCTCGCCCGCGCTCCTCCGCATCCTTCAGCTAGCAACCCCACACACCCGCCCGCCACAATGGTCAAGCTCGAAGAAGGTCCGTCCGTCCTACTGCCTCTGCGCTCTTCTCTTCCTCTTTCCGCATTGCCCGCATTAACGCGCAGGCAATGCCCTTATACATTTTTGCCTGCCCTCCATTGCGATGAGCAGCGTCCTGTTTCCCTCGAAAACCCCGCAAGCTAACCACCACGCCGCCACGCAGTTCCCGACGAGGACCTCTACGCGCCGCAAACCGGCCCGGAGGAGGACTGGGACACGTCGTCGGAGACGAGCGACGTGTCCGAGGCCAGCGACGTGTCGTCGGTCGCGCCGGACGAGACGCTGTACGAGCGCCTGACGGCGCTGCAGGACATGGTGCCGCCGGCGCAGCGGCGCTTCATGGCGTCGGCCGCCAACAGCGTCACCAGCTGGGTGCAGTCGGGCTACCGCATCAGCACCAAGTGCCTCTGGGTCGTGAGCACGAGCGCGCTGCTGCTCGGCGTGCCGTTTGCGCTGGCGTACAATGAGGAGCAGCAGGTGCTGGAGATGGAGCGCGAGATGAAGATGCAGCAGAGCGCTAATGAGGTGAGTGCTTTTTATCTTCCCGTTCTCCGTGTGTCTATGGCACAACGAAAGCCTGACGCGGCAACGCTATCTGCGCTCCCACTCCCCAACTCACCAGCAACCAAAGCTAACATCCTACTCCCACAGCTCGTCGCCCCCGGCAGCCAGACCGCGCAGCCCGAGACCCGCCCCGCGCTCTAAACGGCCCGCAGTCCTAGGCACCATGCTCTGGCCGGCCCGTCACGCAGACAGTCGGCCAGGGCAAAGAGACAGCCCAGCCTCCAAGCATGACCAGCAAACCAAAAAAGGACAGAGAAGCAGAACAGGAAGCAGGCTCAGCTTCTCGTCATCATCAGCGAGCGGCGGCGGCAGCAGCAGCAGTAGTAGTAGTAGTAGTAGTAGGAGCAGTAGTGTACGATCCAGCGACGTGCCGCCAACAACCACGGCGTAGCAACAAAAGACGACTGCTCGTGGCCGTGGACGGAGGTTTCTTTTTTCTTCTTCTTCTTCTTCTTCTTCGTCTTCTCTTATTGTTCCACGTTGCGCTAGAGCGACGACCAGACGGTTCGAGGGGCATGTAGTATGTTATGTACGTTTTTTTTTTTGGACAGATGAAAGGATGGATGGATGGATTGACGGATGTCTTGTACAACTACTTACTCTCTACCTACCTACCTACCCCATTTTCTCTACTCAAAAAATTTCATCAATGCAAGATTAAAAAAGAAACCTCTGTTATGTATCTTTCCATCCTTCGTGCCCACAAACCAATCAATGCAATTCTTCCGTCTTCAATGCCTAGGCAGGCAAGGCTTGTACTCCAGCCCATCCGCCCGCACCCGGCCACGATTGAGCTTTCAGCCCGCACTTCCAGACCTAAACCCAGCCATTACGTCATCGCAAAAAACACCAACGGCAGGAAAAGCACGGAGCACCACCACCACCACCACCACCACCACCACCACCAAGGCCAAAGCCAAACCCAAATTTTCGAATCCTTTTTTCAATTTTAACAAAGGCCTTCTCTCGCTCGCATGGCATGGCGCGCGCGCTAGCTAAACTTGCCTACCCTGCCTACTCCTACTTTACTACATGTACAAAGCCCCGTATCCACAAGCCCGCGCCCCTCCAGTATCGCATCGCATCGCATCGCATTGCATTGCATTGCACTGCGCCGTTCCAACGCGCTGCGTTCTCCTCCTTTGCGCGCGCTCTACATAACTCCCCTTCCTCCATTGGTTAGGCCAGCTTGAAGGCGTGTCAGTGTCAGTCACTTTGACAGCGACTTTGACAGTGACAAGACGGGCCCTGAGCCAGAGCCCGAACCTCTCAACTAACCTCCACCATGCTTTTCTCCTTGCTAGCAGCAGCAGCGACGGCGGCAGCGCCGGCGGCGACAAGAACAAAAAAACACCCCACTCCCACCCCGTATTTCCCATGGCACAGCATACTTTTCTTTTCCCTCCATTACCAGGGCGACATTTTTAGCGAGACAGACAGACAGACTCTTTCGAGGACGAGACGACGATAGAGGCGGAAAAACAAGGAAAACCAAGATGCCAAAAACAAAAAAGTGGGGAGGAGAGCGTGACGAAACAATAAGGGAAAAAAACGGAAAAATGAAAAAAAAAAAAACCTGGGGAGATACTTCTCATCACGCGTCTATCGAGAGCTCCTCTGTGGTGTGTGCGTGTGTGAACAACTACGACCCCATAGATATCCGCGCAACAACAACGACGACCCGTAAAAACCCCGCCGGAATCAAGAAGAAGAGCACCCAGTGGACAAAAAATAGCGCGCGCCCGATGCAGGTAGCATTGGTAATACAACCCGTTGCGAAGAGAATGGTATGATGGTGTACATTTAAGCCTTTTTTAGCTGGAGAGGAGAGACATTCGTTTAGAAGGGAGGAGGAGTGGACGCGAGGGCCGAGGCCGCGGTCTCCTGCTGCATCATGGCCTCCTCGTCGGCGGACTCAATGGAGACGGCAAGACCAAGCTTGGCTTGTTGCTGTGGGTTGGTTAGCATCAAGTCAATGGTGTAGAACGGTGAGGTAACTTGCCTTGGCGTGGTCAATCTCACCAGAGAAAGTGAGCTGCACCGGCGGCGCAACGCGCTTCTCCAGCAGACAGCCGAGCTTGCCCTTGCTGTCGACCTGGGCGCGGAACGTGCTGGCGCGGAAGTCGTACTTGGCGCCGAGGGTGGCGACGCCCTCCTTGCTGGGGCCGCCCATGAGAGCGGCCATGCCCGGCGCAAACTCCAGCTTGACGTCGACGCCCGCCTCCACCTTCTCGGTCAACCGCCGCCAGTAAGAGGCCTGGACGCTGCCCTGCGCCATCAGCTGCGCGCTCGCAATCCAGTCCGTGCTCTTGTACCGCGCCGCGTAGCTCATGAGGAAGTCTGGGCCGTGCGTCATGGCCGCGCGCTGCCACACACCCTCCACACCCAGCGCCAGCTTGGGCGTCACCGACTGCAGGTAGCTGCCGATGAAGATGCCGGTCAGGCCGCCGTCGAGCAATGAGGGGTTCATCGTCTTGATCGAGGCGCTGAAGTCGTTGCCCGTGTAGTCGTTCTCGATCTGCAGCATGCTCTGCGGCGCGCCGGGCGCGACCTGCACGCTCGTCTTGGTAACCAAGCCAGGCGTCCAGCGGTAGTTGAAGCGGCCAGAGAGCGACATGTCATTGTCGAGGTTGGCTTGCATGAAGACCTGGAGGAGCCGAGTCAGCTTGAAAGTTGCGGCGCCGGAGGCACCGGGCTTCAACGCACCTTTGGCGAGCCGTACAGGGCGGCGTATGCGTAGGGCGGCAGGCCTTGCGAGCCCATGGACATCGAGTGCGAGACCTGGAACAGCGGGGCGACGCTGAAGGCCTTGGTCATGTCGGCGCGCAGGCCCGAGAAGCTGAGGTTGTTGAGGAAGACATCGCGCTGGACTTCCTTGGAGATGTTGTCGATGGTGCCGGGGTTGGACAGGCCCAATGCCTCGCGCTTCTCCGAGTATGCCGTGTAGATGCTCTCGAGCTTGCCAAAGACAGAGTTGTTGGTGAGGACGTCAAGTGCCTTGTTGTCGGCCTTGTGTATCGAGTCGAGGGCGGACATTGTGGAGGTTTGGGAGAAGCTACCCTCGGGCACGCGAAAAAGGAAGGCTAGATGGGCGGCGGATTGGGCGATGGAATGGAGGGGGAGAGGGAATGGGCGGGCGGCGTTGAGGGAAAGGCGTCGGGAAGGACGATGATGATGATGAGGTCGTCGGCACTGGAGCTTTTTTCCCAGATGCGCGCTCTGTCCAATCGGGACTCGCTCGGGTCACGTGGGGGGTCGTCACCGGGCGGGCAGAGCGGCGCCTTTCTTATCAGGCATCACGATAGCTCCGTGGCTCCAGAGTCTCAGACCACGAGCGCGCAGTTTAAAACCAGCCAGCCAGCTTGACCTCTCTCTCACGCACATCTTCACCCCCTCGTCGCATTAGTTGCCCGCATCCTGGTTGCCTGTCCGCATCCGACCCTGCTGCCCGGCTGTTTGCTTGGCTTTCCTTCCCACCGGAGCGTCATCCCCGCTGCGCCACTCCACGCTGGACATTTCTTCTTGCCCATCTTGATCGTTTATTCCATTGTTTCGAGTCATCTTTCGCTGCGACCTTTTTTTCACGATGGACACTTTACTGTACGTGCGCTCTCGTGATCCCGCACCACTTCCTGCGCCTCTTGCCACGTGATTTCCGCGCTGACAACCGCCGCCCTGGCGAGGGCATGCGATTTTTTGCGCGCCATGTGTGCTGATTGAACAGACAGGACGGCCGAGGTGGCGGCAAACTCCCCCAGGTATCGCCGGAGGTCGAGTACCTTCATCGATGCCATCCATGACTTGCCCGAAAAGGAAGAGATGGCTCCGGCCCAGCTGTACAGCACCGAGTCAGGCCGTCTCTTCCACTCGGGTCGCATCGTCATTGTCACCGTGGGCCTGCCGGCCAGGGGCAAGACGCACATTTCTGTTGCCGTAGCACGTTACTTGAGATGGCTCGGTGTCAAGACCCATGTATTCCACCTGGGTGACTACCGGAGAGCCACGCTGGGCGCTGGGGGGGATGTCCCGCACGATTACTTCTTCCTAAACGCATCGCCCAGCTCAGTTCTTCTGCGCAACAAGATCCTGAAAAAGTGCCGCGAGGACATCTACCACTTTCTGGAGCACGAGAACGGCCAAGTGGCCATCTATGACGCCGTCAACGCCATTGCGACCGGACGGACAGCGCTGGCGCGAGAGTTTGCAAAGCGCAACATCCAGACGCTCTTTATTGAGTCTCACTGTACAGACGAGAAAATCATTGAAGAAAATGTTCGAAGCGTGAAGATCTCGTCGCCAGACTACATTGGCTGGAGCGACGAGGACGCCATCAAAGACTACCTTGCCCGCATCCAAGCGCGGATACCGCACTTTGAGACGATGCACGAGACCGAACTTCACTGGATCAAGATGATCAACGCCGGCGAGCGTGTTATTGTCAACCGCTGCAACTTTGGCTACCTTTCACAGCGTATCGTTTTCTACCTGCTCAACCTACACATCAAATCGCGGCAGACGTACTTTGCGCGCGCCGGCACGACGCTCGAGCAGGACTCGTACAAAGCAGATGCTTCATTGTCGCCCGAAGGCGAAGACTATGCACAGAAGATGACGGAGGCGCTGCTAAATCACCGCGAGGCAGAACGTAAGGCTTTGGTCGGGCAGGGAGCGTCAGACGCGCAACTAAAGCCTCTTACCGTGTGGACATCGACTAGGCGACGGACCGTCGAGACGTCGGAACCATTGGCAGAACAGGGCTACCGCGTACGGCAGCGCAGCCAGATGAGCCAGCTGAACCCAGGAGTCTGTGAACGGATGTCCGAGAACAAGATCCGGATAGAGTATCCGGTGGAGGTGGCCAAGCATGAGGCCGACCCCTATCATCACCGTTACCCGCGGGCTGAGGTACGTGCTCCTAACAGAGACGTAAACCACGCACCATCTTAACAGTATAACAGTCATACCACGATCTCGCTGTGCGACTCGAGCCCATCATTCTCGAGCTCGAGCGCGAGCAAAACGACCTCCTCATCATTGCACATGAAAGCGTGCTGCGCGTCCTGTACGGCTACTTGATGGCCTGCAACGCAACCGACATCCCCAAACTCGACTTTCCCCGCGACGAAATCATCGAAGTGAGTAATCAGTAAAACCAACACACCGCTCAGACCCTTTGCTAACACTCTTAGATCATCCCCGCCTCATACAACAACGAAGCCAAGCGCATCCACATCACCGGCCTGCCGCAAAACATCGTCCCCGCCTCGCCCGAGGACATCTCGATCCCGGTCCCGACCACCGCCACTGGCGTCATGTCCCCCAGTGTAAACCTCGGCACGCCAGCACTGAACGTCAAGGACGCGGACGAAGGGGTGCCTGCGTCGATGGGGGGGCCGGCGGGCCATGAGCCGGCGGCGGCGCCCGCGCTGGAGTCACTAAATGCCGCCGCGGCGGCGGCCGAGGCGGCGCAGCGCCCGAACATGCCGCGCGGCAAGACGGAGCTGGGCCTCACGGTTACGAATGCGGGGATGCCGGTGGGGCGGACGCGGTCGGGGACGCTGACGCCGCAGGATGGGCGGATGACGCCGCAGCCTTTGAGCATTAAGCCTAGTCATGTGGATCCGAGCTCTTAGAGGTGGGTGGTGGTGGTGGTGAGGTGTGGGGGGTGGGGAGTCAGGAGGTGGATTTGTAGATGAGTGAGTGAGTGAGGGAGGGAGGGAGTGATGGATGCATGGATGGATCATGAGCGTACGGACACACTCCTACGGACTCCCAGACGGACTCGGACGCGCCAAGCTATTGCTACCCACCTACCTACCTCCCGTCGTGGGTCCGTATCGGTGCAGTGTGTGGTATGTATGGTTCGGGTTGTTGGATGGTTTGGTTTGACACGACACATTACTGAGGCTGGCATTGATGTTTTTTTCTATTCTTTATTCTTTCTTTTTTGGTCCGCATTGGATTGGATTGGTATGGCTTGAGGGGGAGGATGCAGACTAGGAAGTAGAGAGGTAGGAAGATAGGTAGGTACCTAGGTAGGGACGCGCACACGCACGCTTTTATGCTTATGATGTTCTTTGTTTTTATTTGTTTGGGCCTTGGTGCTTGTGTGTGTGTATGTGTATGTGTGTGCGGTGGGTTTGTGGTTGTGTCTCCGCGTTATGTTGGCAGTGGTTTCTCAGTGTTGAGACCTGACGGACTCGCTTTGCCCCTCCCCCTTCACTGCTCTCTGCACCCGCCTCGTTGTTGAACGATATTCCATTGGTTACGAGTGCACTAGTGAAATTTGTGGATTTATTGCCAATTGAATATGGCAGTGATCGGATCCCCAGGTAAAGATGTTGAAGATATTCCCAATTTCCTGCTTCTTCTTCCTATCTCGACTATCTCCAACCCAACTCTAGGTAGTCTCGCAGCAAGCGCCCCTCCCCCACACATCAGCACCAATCAACAACCACAACCGCACTCTACCAACGCCCCCGATCCATCCTCTACCAACCCAGTGCCACAGCCAGATCCACGCCTCCTACATATCACAAACCAAAAAGCGCCCAAACCCAAACCCCCTACTTCTCTTCCCTACCACACCCACGAACTAGCCTCAAGAGTCCGGATTCTAGCTCTAATAGTCTGGAGGCTGGGAGTAGCGCCAATATCACTAGTGGCCACCGAAGTCGGCAGCGTCAGCGTCGGCACCAGCGTCGTCGTCGTGGTTGTCTGCGTCGTGATCACGGACGCTGATGGCGTTGACGTCACGGTCGACGACAGCAGCGTGTTTGTCGTGGTTGTCGTCTCTGTGGCAACGACGTTGGTGGTCGTGGTCGTGCTGGCGGCTGTCGGAGATGAGGACGAGGTGTGTGGGCGCGTTGAGCGTGTGACGGTGGTGAAAGAACCGGTGCCGGTGCTAGAGCGGGAGCGCGAGCGGCTCGACGTGCTTGTGCTGCTGGTGGATGCAGAGAGTATGTCTGACGCTACGTCGTCGGTGACGGGCAGGAAGTAGGTCACCGGTGAGAAGTAGGTGACTGGTGTGAAGTGGTCGGAGAGAGTGGCGGGGCCGGTGGTGTGGGGGTGCGTGTCGGAGTGCGAGTGGGAGTGGCTTGTTGAATGAGTGTGTGTACGGCTTGAGGTGTGCGTATGAGTGTGAGTGTGGCTGGATGAGTGCGTGTGTGTATGGCTCGAGGAGCGTGTATGCGTGTGGCTCGAGGAGTGAGTATGAGTGTGGCTTGACGAGTGACTATGAGTGTGACTCGACGACGAGTGTGTATGGCTGTGGCTCGGGGAGTGCGTATGAGTGTGGCTTGTAGAGTGCGAGTGAGGATGGCTTGAGTGACTCGAGGTTTGCTGTCGAACGAAATCCGAACCAGACGTCCAAAACCAAACGGGAGAAGTAGGAACAGGAGCAGCAGGAGGCGCAAAACTGGTGCCATGGCCATTCCTCTTCTCCAGCATGTCAATGGTGGTGTAAACCGTGTAAACATCTCGAGCTTGGCTGGACTGACGCGCCGACACAGACCCTGCCCTCTCTGCAGAAGCGGCACTCAGGACCGACGAGGCATGCAACAGGAGTGACGTCGGGCGCGACACCACAACCCGATCACGCCGCGTCAGCTTCTGCAAAGGCTCTGCTGCCTGACTGGACTGGGACTTCATGAAAGATGTCGCCCACAACGACTGGTCTTCAGTCACACTCGGTGTCGGGTTTGCTTCCGCCAACAACTTTGCCGCCTCCGACGAACAATCGACTGCTAGCTTCTCCGGCCCGGCAGTGGCTGACCGTGGCGCCCCAGGGAAATGTTCCGCCGCGACCAGCTCAATCATTGCAATCATCAAGGACCTGTCATGGGTGCAGGCACGGCTCGTTTCACTGGATCCTGCAGGTTGCATCGAGGACGACATTGTGGCTGGATCCAGCTCCTTAGAAGCCTCGGTTGTTTGGATTGTCATTACAGATGACAGAAGCGTTGCCGTGGTGGTTGGCGTTGCTACCGCTGTCATTGAGGTCAATGGCACCGGTGGCAGTATTTCCGACCATGTTGAGGTGAAACTTCTCTGTGCGCACGCACCGAAGTGAGCGAAGTAGAGCGCCATTAAGACTGCTAATATAATGGGGAAGATGGCCATCGCGTTGAAGGAGAAGCGGATGGAAGGAAAAGGTAAAGGAACTCGAAACAAAGGGGTCCTGGACAGTACACTGACGGACGGACGACGAGGACAGATGATATATGCGGGACACTGCCTTCAATAAGACCTTGGGGTCGAGATCCACAGGATGAGAGTACACGGTAGAGCTTACCTACCCACATGGCTTTATGGGATGACCCGTCTTGGTGGTTGATGACCTCGACACTGTGCCAAAAAGGCAGAAAGCTGTAAACCATCAGGACCCTTTTGGAGATGCACTATGAGGACTCACTATCGCCACGATCCAGCCACCAAAGCCCTCTCGTTTTGTCGAACGAAAGAACCTACACATCTGAGGCACTCTGCCATCTATTGCAGCGTCGCGACCCGGCACCCACAAACCTCAACACTTGCCTAACGTCCACTGTGCGTACCCAAACTTCCAAAAACATAAAACAACAGTGTTTCCCGACCCAACAGTCAGCAAGCTCCCGCTTCAGCCACCCACCATGTACCTTTTCGCTACTCCGGCTTGGACAGGACTTGGGCGACAGACGTGGAAAGAGCAAGAGTGCCTGTTTGTGGTGATTGGCCCTCGGCCTGGATCATGGAAGAAAGATACCCGTGTGCGTTGAACCTGACTGTTTGGTGCTCTGCTCCGAAAATGGAGGGTGTAGAGCAAACAGGATTGTGCATAAGAGCAGGCGTCGATGCTGGAGGGAGAGCAAGAAACGCGCATGGCATGCGCGATCCGGACAAATGGAGGAGGCAGCTCTCTGTCTTCGATGCAGCTGCAGCCCCAACGTCGCCGCCTCGCATGGCAAGTCCAACTCCCATGCTCGCAGCTTCCACTCAGAAAGACCGTATATATATCTCAGAGCAGCCCTGGCCGCTCTTCTTCCATCTCATCAACCATTCATCCATCAGCAATTTCATCAAGCTCAAGCGCTGCCCAATTACCACCATCATTGTCTTTACACTGCAATTACTAGCAATCCGACTACCACAACATCTCCCACTGTCATTAGCCGCAGCGCTAGCTCTTTTGTCATCGGACGACGTCGACACCTGCATCGAGCTAGTCGTCACACCCAGTGCTTTCGTTACTGAAACCACAAGCAACAAACTACACGAGGAAGGAAGAAAAGATGAAGGGAATCAAGCGTGCAACAGGGAATAAGCTCAAAAGGCTTGGAAATAGGTGGGCACCAGATCGGACGGTTCCTCCAAACACCAACCAGGACGAAGACAACAACAAGACACCCAGAACAAATGTAACCGAGGAAGACAACAGAAGGCCTAGAACACCGCGAACCCCTGAGGCTCGGGGATCCACTGGAAATACGCCCCGCCAGTCCGTCGGACGGCCACCCATCGTGTTGCCAGTCCTCATGGTCGACGTAGACACAGGCGCTGTCACATATGCCCCCATAGGAACCCAGCCACCACCGCCCCCTCCGGGACAACAGTTCATTCAGGCACCACCGCCCGGTCAACAGCAACCCGGTCACCAACAGCCCGTTCAGCAGGGACAAAATACAGGACAGATTGCTCAGGAAGCCGTAGCCGGAACACAACAAACTCCTGGAAACCAACCTCGGCCTGAAGACGAATACCCTCCTGAAGAAAACCATCCTCCTAAAAACCAAGACCCTCGTAGAGACCCTCCTGGTGGTGGAGCCTCTGGCGGGACTTCATCTGGTGGCGGCACTTCTTCTGGCTGGGGAGGCACTTCTGGCGGTGGTGCCACTTATGGTGGTGGAGCCACTGGTGGCAGTAGAGCGCCTACTCAAGGCGGAAGTGGTCGTACCGGCGCAGCATACGAGGCAGAAACCACAGCCCCCATCACCGAGGCGACCAACCAGTCTTCTTCGATAGGGCAGAAAGGGAACAAGCCCATGCAGAAGAAGGCCCAACGCGAAGCTCGGAGGGACCGCAGAGCCGCTGCCTCCAATACTGGTGAAGGGCCTTCCATCGGCTCCACAACCAATTCACCCAGAAGACCTCGACAGAACTCTGCACCCACCGACGACAAGACTGGTGCCGGCTCTGCCACAGGCACCAATGTCTTCCAGCCTCCTCGCGGTATAAAGCTGGCGAAAACTCAGCAAGTGACGGACTCAAGACCCTCGCCTCCGCACACATATGTAAGTTTTCCTCCGTTTGAGGACGCGGTTCATGAGAAAGAGGACTCGACGAGGGCTGACCGTGGTGGTCCGGTGTCTAAGAACCCGCATGGGGTCCTGAGGCTAGACCAAGGAGGACCATATCCACCGCCGCCGCCGTTCAAGGCAACGCTAGCCACGAACGAGGAAATTCGCATGTATGCGAGCAACGTCATCATCATGGATGCAGAGAACGGCGCGGTGGAGGCTGCCCTTGAAGCCGCTGCCGAATCAGGCGTAACCATTCCGCCTTCTCAATTGGCTTCGGAGACGACGCCCTTGCCCCCGCCCGAACCCCCTCCCACGTACGCTGCTGCGCGCGCCGAGGCAGAAGACAATGTCGACTTTGCGGTCGCGGGCTTTGAGAACATTGACCTTGCCACGTTCGAACGCCGCGAGACCGAGGCAGCAGCTCAGGCCGAAGCAGCTCAGGCCGAGGCAGCCCGGACAGAGACCGCACAGACCGAAGCAGAAGCAGATCCGACGCCAGGACCGCCTCCTGCAGAGCTCGTGGCACTGACGGAGCTTGCAGCTGGTATGGGACCGGCAGCAAGATCAGCGGCGGCACAGATACTCGCGCACCAAGGGCCTTCTGTGTCTGTTGTCGGAGGCACGACGGAGACGGGGTATGCGTACAACCGTTCCTTGGAGGAGATTTCGGAGGCAGCGGAGGATGCTGATGACGAGGCAACGCTTGTGGAAGGGAGGACTGCGAGCAGGTGTTGATGGCGAAAGACTATTTGGGTCTGGGTTGTGTCTGGGGACTGGAAGACGGGTTTACTAGGTGTTTAGGATGGGTGTATGAAGGATGGCAGGAGCAGGGATGGGATGCCTGCAGCCTGAGCGCGTGGGTTGAAGTATACGTATAGGTGTTCTTGCGTTAGTCTTAATGTTGGTGTTGGCAATTCATACAACTCGTTGAGTTGTTGACATGATACGTACTGGACAATTCATGTCTCTTGACTGCTACAGCCAGCCATCGATGCTTTCGTGCTCTTGTTCCCACTCACACGCCCTACGTATACCGCGCAAGTGCCAGCGTCAATGCAGCAGCGCTACGTATCTAGGCCAGGCTAGTCTGGTGCTTGTGCTGTTGCGGAATAGTGCGGTACCGCTTGAGCGAGACGGAAGAAAGAAATGACGCGTCTATTGCCGTATAGGTGTGGGCGTATATTTGATATCCTACCTATTGAAATTGAAATTGATATTGATATTGATATTGATAGCACTATCGATAGGCAATAATATCAATAGGTAGCAATAAGTAGCAATAGCAATATCGATAGCAATAGGTACCAATAGCAATAGCAATATCGGTAGTGAACGACGGGATGGTGGAAGTCAGGAAGTCAGGGAGTCTACGCCACACACCATGAGAGGACTACACCTAGGCACCCTGAACTACCTAGCAGTGGAAACCTTGGGGGGACCAATCAATGTAGTTGTATTATTGTTTTGTATTGGTATTGGGGTATTGGTATTGGCGTTAGTGCGTACCGTACATACCTACTTAGCTTAGGTAGGTAGGTAGGTGGGCGCTTTATTGATCGATATCGATATCGACGTCGGATGGATGGATAGATGGACGGATGCCGGTACTCGGTTGTCTGTTGGTTTGGGTATTGGTTTTGGGTATTGGTACTGGTATTGCTGGTACGTACGTCCGTACGTAAGAGGTGAGGGGAGCGTGGGTGTATTTATATCTGCTGTGTGTGTGTGTGTGTGTGTGTGTGCTTGTTTTGAGCGTTGAAGGTTTGAAGTGCCACTTTGACGGATAACTGACGGACGGACGACGGGACGGACAGACGGCGATTGGTTGACGATTTGACATAGCTTAAGGCAGACAGAGAGACAGAGACAGGCAGATAGAGAGAGAGAGAGAGAGAGCAATGGCGGATGCGGACGCGGATGGGATTGATGGGGGCGTGCTGCCGACTGTGGAGGTGGAGGTGGGGACGGAGACTGAGACAGAGAGGGAGAGGGAGAGTGCTGGTGCTGTTGTTGGGGAAGAGAGAGAGCATGAGGAAGAGGGAGAAGCGCCATCTTCGGGCTCTGGAGATGGAGAAGACGAAAAAGAAGAAGCAGCAGCAGCATCAGCACCAGCTCCTCAGCCTCATCCGCAGCCACACTCACGCCCACACCGGCGCCCGCGCTCTGCGTCTTTTCCATCCCTTGGGGGCGGCGGCGGCGGCAGCAGCAGCAACGAGGACGACAGCAACAACCACGCACGCACTCCCTCCCCTTCCCACTCCCGCTCCCGCTCCCGCTCCCCCTCTCCCTCTCCCTCTACATCCCAACCCCCCACGCACACGCCCGCTTTTGGCGGCTGGGCGCACTACAAGCTGCCGCTGACGTCGTACCCGCCGAACCTCGACGCGTACGCCTTCACGCGGTGGCGGCACAAGACGTTCCTCGCGGACACTGCAGCAGCGTACCACGCGCACGGCATCACCAAGACGGCGCACGGCATCTACGCCGACTTTGTGCGGCTGCGCGACCGGATGCTGCGGGCGTACGCGATCGTGCTGGGGCGGCCGGTCGAGGCGTTACGCGTCGAGGACGAGCTGCAGCTGCTGTGGCCCGGGGATTATTTCACGCTGCTGGGGTTGAGCGAGGACAGGCTGCTCGAGGAGTGTCGGCGCGACGTGAGGGTTAAGGGCGGGTGCATTGAGCTGGAGGTCGGGGAGCTGTGCGATGAGTTTGGTGGGTTTTTTTCTGATCGGTTGTGTGTGATGAGGTGTGGTGGGTCGAGGCTAACTCTCTGGATGCAGGCATCGAGGAACAGCACGGGAGGAGCGTGCTAGCCCGCCTGCAAATCCCGCATCTCAAGGCGCGGTACGAGATGCTTGCGCGGGAAGGGCGACTGCGCCAGCAGCTCGAAGCCGAGACGGCGCGGGCGGGCAGCGCGGTGCCCATCGTCGACCGCAGCCACATCAACAGCGACGAGGTCGACAAGGACGTCGCGGCCGCGGCGGCACATCTGGGCACGCTGCCGCCGGGCCTGGCGCACAGCACGGGGAGCTTCCGGCCGGCGACGGGCACGGCGCCTGACGGCGTCGTCGCCGCCAGACAGCGCGCCACCTTGCTCGACCCGGACCATCCCGACACGCGCAAGGCCAAGGCCAGCCTCGCCCACCATCGCCAGATGCTGCTGTGTCGGTACGGCGGCGGCCAGGACCCCGCCACCAGCCCGCTGCGGCACGTCGCTAGGGCGCATGCTGAGAACATGGACGTGTATAGCAAGAGCGAAGCCGCGCTCCAAGAACGCGCGCACAGAGTCCGGTGGGAGATGACCGTTTGGCGGCAGCAACAGCAGCAGCAGCAGCAGGTTACTCAGCCGATGTCTGGTGCTGTTGCCCCGCCACCAGGCCTGCGAATCAATCCACAAGCTGGGAGGGTGGTTCCGGAAGCAGTGGAAGACGACGCCCGTTCGCCCACCGACACCACGACCACCACCAGTACGCGGATCGAGACGACGAACCCATACCCCAGCACGCCAATGCTCAGCTCTTTCGACCCGTTCGGGGGGGAGGAGCATTACGGCAATCTGTTTGCTCGCCGGCCGGATCTGGCGGCCGACCTGCCCGACCTCAGGTTTTGGTCCATTGGCGGTGACGACAATGACAGGACGGTGATTTGGGACCCGTCGGCAGAGCAGATAGCGAGGCGATTTCCGCTGCCCAGAAGTGACAGCGATTCAGATAGCGACAAGACGGTAGTGAAAGCGGGGGCAGAGGTGGAGGCGGAGGCGGAGGCGGAGACGGAGACGGAGAAGTTGGAAAAACGTGACTCCGTGGCGGGACCCCAGACTCGCGCGACCGAGTCCGAAGCAGCAGCAGCAGTGAGTACAACACCAACACCTCCACCTCCACCTCCACCTCCACCTCCACCACTGCCTCCTCGCTCCATTGCCCGTCTCTACGCGCGCCGCAATACTCCTCCTCTTCCACCTCCACACGGCTTACCAACCCGCCGCGCCCGAGCAGAGCAACGACAGCCTGCCGCCCCTCGCGCACCGCAGCAGCAGCCGCCGCAGCAGCCGCCTGCCGCGCCCGCGCACAAATTGAGCGCCACAACCACAACAACGACACTAACACACCACGCGCAACGGCACGCCCCCTCCATGAACAACTTCCCCTCGTTCCTCGAAGGCGGCCCCGGCGGCCCCGGCCAAATGAACATGAACATGAACATGAACATGAACATGAGCATGGGCATGAACACGCCGGCAGGCCTCGCGCGACAAGGCCCCTCGCCCGGCGCGTCGCCCATGCACGGCGGTGGTGGTGGCGGCGTCGGCGGCGGCATGGGTCAAGCGAATGGCGCGCCCGGCCCCGGCGGCCAGGCCCAGGGCATGCCGAATCTGGTCAACGGGCTGCTGAGCGGCGGCCACCAGACGGATATGAATCATCTGTGGCAGGTGGTGCAGCAGCTGAGCGACGTGCTGGCCGAGAACCGGAGCCAGACGGCGAGTATTATGGGCCAGGTGCAGCAGATGCAGGTAGGTTGCGCGTGAGAGTGTGGGGACTGGCTGCGAGTGTGGCAATGCGGTGCTAACGCGTGCGTGTGTGGATGCAGAACCGCGGCCCCTCGGACAGCAACAACAACAGCAGCAGCAGCGCCGCACCCACAACGACGACAACAGCCGAGAGCGCAACCAACCCCACTCCCACGACGGCAACAAACGGCGAGCTGCCCTCGCTGCCCCCCCACCTCCAGCCCGCGCACGCAGCCAACGCAGCCGAGCTGCACGCTTTGCGCACCCAGCTCGCCAGCACCACCACAGCCCTCACATCCATGGAGACGCAAAACGCGTCCCTGCACGCGCTGCTCTCGGACTACGAGACCAGTCTCGCCCTAACCCTCGAAAAGCTCCGCCCCTTTGCCTACCGCCACGCCGAGGCCCTGCTCGCCCTGCACGCGCACTACAACGCGCTGCTGGACCGGGAGCGGCAGGCGAACCTGGCGCTGCGGCTGGAGCACCAGGAATGGCAGGCGGGGCTGGGGCGGGTAGCGGGGCTGGCGAGGGCGGCGCTCAAAGAGGGCGTGGATGGGGGGATGGGGTGGGAGCGTAGGGAAAGGGAACTCAAGGCCGAGAATAGGGTGCTCAGACGGTTGGTCGGGTGGGAGGTTGGCAGTGAGGATAGTGAGGATGAGGGGGACGAGGGAGAGGGGCTGGGGCTGTAGGGGTGTGTGTGGGTGTGGGGGTGTAATGCTGATGATGCTAGTGCTGGTGCTGGTGCTGGTGGCGTTTGTTTGGTTGGTTGGGCGATGGCAGCCGGTAGGAGGACCTACATACATACCTACCTACCCACGTTACTAATGCGGACCCGCTGCTTACGGGAACTTATTATTGCTGGCGGAGTCGGTCGGTGTCTGCCTGCTGCTGCGAGGGAGGGAGAAACCATACCTAGGCTAGGTACATAGCGTTGGGCGTTTTTTTCTTTTTTAGGATGAATGGACGGATGGGCGGGTGGTGCGGTGCGCTTTTTTATTAGACGCAGATGAATGAATGGGGGGGAGAAGCAAGCAGATAGGCAAATAAGCAGCCAGTCGAATGAATAAACAAGCAAGCAAGCAAGCAAACAGGACATGCCGCAGGCGATGAGCATGAGTACGACGACGTGTAGTATCCACCATCTTCCACACCAACCACCACGACCATCTCAAAACCCCACCAGCACGCCTCTCAACTTCTCCGCCTCCCCCAGCACCTCCTCCTCCCCCTCATCATCCCCCTCCTCCCGTCCCCCCCTACCCCCCTTCCACCCCCCGACCCTCGCCCCCACCCTCACGCCCAGCGTCCTCGCTCTGCTCAACTCGTTACCCAACGCGCCCTCCCTCGTCGCGAGCCCGGGCTGCACGTGCTCCACCGGCCGGCGCAGCGGCTCCAGCGTCGCGCGCAAGCGGCGCAGGCGGCGCAGGCGGGATTGCTGTGCGGTGCGTTTTGCAGCTAGGGCGGTGAGGTTGCCGAGGTGGGTCGTGTAGGCTTTTGATTGTGCCGGTGTTGGGGAGGAGGGGAAGGAGGGAGGGGTGGGTGGGAGGAGGGCGAGGGCGGTGGGGTGCGTGAGGTCGGCGTCGCCGTCTATGTCGGTGTGGTCGTTGGGGTTGGTGTTGAAAGAGTCGGGGTCAGAGGGGTTTGAAGAGGGGTTTAAAGAAGGGGGGAGCAAGAGTGCCGGCGCGCCTGAGTCGTAGTAGAGCTTGTCGAGCTGCTCGGCGACGTGGCGGGCGGCGAGGGTCGAGTACGCGGCTTTGGTGTGGCGGCGGGCGAGGCGGTTGACTTTTGTTGTGTTAGCTACCTTTCCACACACACTTCACTTCATTTCATAAAAGCATACATGATTTTGTTTTGGAGAAAACAAACAAGGGGGATAATGAGAGGGTGAGTAAGAAAGAAAGACAAACGCACCTTCCCTCAACACGTCATCAAGAACCCGCTTCGGGATGTCGATGTCCCCCGTGTCCGTGTTGTTGTTGGTCGAGAGCGGCCCGGTGTCTGGTAAGCGCAGCGGCTGCGACAGGATGCGGGTTTGGGTGCGCAGGAAGGCCGTCTTGAGCGCGATGACTGTGGTGCCTGCGTTTTTGGTGTCATTGTGCTGGGTTTGTTGCTGTGGTGGCATGGTGCGGTGCGGCGCGTGGTGCGTGGTGTTGATGTATGTGTGCGCTTGGGTGTGGTGTCGAGTGGGAGAGGTTTTTCTTTTCAATTTGGTTGGTTGGATCGTGGGGATTTGGTTTTTTTTTTGGAAGATTTCCCGGGAATTGTGGTTGTTGGGTTGTTGCGGTTGTGGATTTGTTGGTTGGCTGGTTGATGGTGGTGGTCGTGGTGGTGGTGAGGGCGAGCGCGTGCAAGAGACGCGGTATCACGTGCAGAGACAGACGATTTGATATCCCGATATGATATATATTTATTTACTTTGCGCAATCCGCCAACCTTTCTAAAAATATCCTCTACATCCATGCCTCTCTCAAAGCGCCTCGCAATCAAGCAAGCTCTCTCTCTCCCTCCTAAAAATCGCACCCCTCAGCCAACAACGCCGCAATCCTCTCCAACCAAGTCTGATCCTCCGCATCAAAGCCTTCCAACTCAGCGCAATCGATATCGATAATCGCGACGACTTTGCCCGTCTGCACAACCGGGACGACAATCTCGCTGCGGCTGGCCCCATCGCACGCAATATGCCCGGGGAAAGCCTCGACGTCAGGCACCAGCTGCGTCGTCGCGCTCGCGGCCGCCGCGCCGCACACTCCCCGCCCGAAGCGGATCGTCTGGCACGCGACGTGGCCTTGGAAAGGGCCCAGGATGAGCTGCTCCGCCTTCGTGGGATCCAGCACGTAGAAGCCGCACCAGTTGGTTGCGTTGGAGGGGGCGGGGAGCGCGTGTAGCGCGTGGTAAAGCAGCGAGGCGACGTTGGAGAGGTTGCTGCGCGGGCGGTGCGGTCAGCGCGTGTGCGTGTGTGATGTGTGTGTGGTGCGTGGTGTGCTGTGTGTTTCTATCGGAGTCCGTACCAAACCTTGAGCCGTGGCGTGAGCTACTCGTCCGTGTGTCTGTCTACGTCGCCTCACGTACCCAGTTCCTCTGGCCGTCCATCAGGGCGCGCGCCTGCTCGAGGACCTGCTCGTAGGCCTCGGCCTTGGAGACGCCGGACGCGAAGGTGGAAGACTCGGCGTGGACCTGGGGGAGGAGTCAACCATCAATGGCGCAATGGAGCGGAGGCGCAGGGCCTGACCATTGTTGTCGGCGTCGAATTGGTATTATTGCAGCGCGGGGTCGTGGTGTTTTATTTGGCATCAAGAAGAGAGAGAAAGAGAAATGACACCATCTTTGCTTCGCCAGCGACAAACTCCGGCGCTAGCGGCTATCACCGTCGAGCCATCCATTGGACTTCATGGTACTTTGTAGTACAAGCTTAATCCTGACCCCGGGTCTAGACAAAATGCTGCTGCGCCTCAAAAGCAACCTTAAAAGACCGTACTCCTAGCTAACCCTTTCCTTGCTTGCCTGCCCTACTTTCCCATCCTCACCACCACTACTATCACCTCTTCTCCAGCCATGGTGTCCCAATGCTGCGCCGCAGGTGAACTCCACACCGGCACGCCCCAAGGCCAAGTCACCAAAATCCACGGCCTAGACTGCTACGTCGCCGCGCCGCCAGCGGGCACCGCACCGCAAGGCGTCATCGTCATTCTTCCCGACATCTTCGGCTGGACCCTGCCCAACACGCGCCTGCTCGCGGATTCCTACGCCGCAAAGGGCAGCTACCTCGTCTACCTGCCCGAGGCGCAGTCCGGTACACACACCTACACAAACCCCCACACCTCTCTCTCTCTCTCTCTCTCTCTCTCTTCCTTCAAGCACTAACCACTAACGAACGCACGCACGCAGGCATGGCATTCGCGCCCAGCCTCCTAACCTCGCTCGAAGCGCTCGAGGCGCCCGGCCTCTACGCCGCCGTAACGCGCGCCTACCACCTCGCGCGCGTCGCCGCGTCGTACGCGCCCTTCGCGTACGTCAACACGGCCGCGGCCGTGCGCGCGCGCCTGTACCCCTTCCTGCGCGCGCTGCGGATGAAGGAAGCGCAAGCCCTCCCGCTTGGCGTCGCCGGCTTCTGCTGGGGCGGGTACTGGTGCTTCCAGCTTGCGCGGGCGGACGCTACCGTAGCGCATCCTGATGCTGTGGGCGCTGAAGGCGGAGCTGAAGGCGGAGCTGAAGGAAAGGAAGAAGGTGCACAAAGTGATGCAGCGGCGCGCCCCCTCGCCGACGCCCTCTTCACCGCACACCCCTCGCTGATGGCCATACCGACGGATGTCGACACCGCCACGCGCCCGATGAGCATCGCCGCCGCGGGCATCGACGCGCGGTACCCGGCTGCGGACGTGGAGACGACGCGTGCGATCCTGGCGCGCAGGACTGAGGAGTCGGGCACGCCGCACGAGGTGCGTGTGTACGAGGGGTGCCATCATGGGTTTGCGTTGAGGGGGAGTCGGGAGGAGGGCGAGGGGGGTGCGGAGGCGGAGAAGCAGGCTTTGGCGTGGTTTGAGGGGCGGTTTGGGGAGTTGAAGGTGTAGGGGTGGGGAAGTGTACCTATCTAATGTTGTACGGAACTAATAGCTCGTCGCTTTAAACAGCGTCAGCTTAATCAGCCACCACACCAAACCTAGACTGCAGTAATCCAGCACCCATCAAACCAACAACGATATAGTAGCGTAAGTAAGCAATACCGCCACATTTGACATCTCCCCATCCGCGCATCACTGCCTTCTGTCCCAGCTACAGTAGTATGCATGCATGCATCACTGAGACGACACACTTGAACGATAAGCGTGGGGACTACCTATGCGAGTGTGTTCGATTTGCTTTAGTAGTTAGTAGCGGCGGTGGATGTGGTATGGTGTATATCCCTCCGCTCCCAGCTCCAGCTCTTCTGCTCTTTTCTTGTAACTCCACCTCATCATCATCCACTCCACACCCATCCATCATAGAGTAAAAACATAGAACGCGCCAGAGTTGAAGCGGCTGTGTGGCCTACCCGTCCGTCTATTAACGTATGTACGTACGTATGCGGTACACGGCGACGGGCGAGGCTTGGGTAGAGTTGGCGATTCGTGGGGTGTGGGTTGGGAGTTGTGAAATGAGGACTGAGTGAGTAGTAGTATAGATAATGGACTCGTTTTGCTTTTTTTTCTTTTGTTTTCCTTCTTTTCTTTCTTTTGCTATCGATTTCTCGTCGTCGCCATACCTCTCTCCGCCGCCGAACCTTCGTCGCCCTCCCTCATCCCTGTCATCCTCCTTCGTCACCGCACCTCTACCGCATCCACTCCCACCCCAACTTCCTCAACTCTTCTCCGCTTCCACCCCTCATCACTACACTTCCTCTTCCTCCTTACCCCCACCACCACCACCACCACAACCACGACAAGCCTCCCGCTCCCGCTCCCGCCGATCCCCACCACCAAGAAGCAGAAGCACACAGCCTATACGAGCGCACCGACCCAGACCCCCGGCACCAAAAAACGCATAGGATACCTCCGCCCGTCCATCCGCTCGTACAGCACGGCGAAAGATACGGAAACGAGAAGAACGTCAACAAGCCTACAATAGCTTAAATGCAAGCATAGACACATACCCCTACCTACAATAATCAGCCAAGCAAGCAAGCAAGCAAACCAGCACCTTCCCAATCCAGCAACCCGTAACCCGTAACCCGTAACCCTCCCTCCCTGAATCCCAAAAACAGCCAAGCGCCCGCACCGCGCGCAAGGACCTGCGCCGCGTCCGTGAGCGTGAGTTCAAGCAGACGACATACGACATAGTCGTCGTATTGCACAATAGCGACGATCAAGTACAATACAATGCAATGGGTAGGTATGTTTCTCGTTGCCATACCTGGCGTCGTGTATGTACAATACTATGCCTGCCTGCCTACCTGTCCGCCTCATACTACACACACACATGCACACACACGAACGACAGCACCGCAACCTCTGACGCCACGACGCGTACGCCTATGCTTACGCAGCTCCCGCACAACTTCCTACCCGCACTCAAGCCTCCCCAGCCTCCCAGCACCCCACCCGCACGCACATCACCATACGAACCCACAGCACGCGCCCTCCCCACCCCCTAACCCCGCGCATCCCTTCCCTCCCCATCCATCCTCTTTTCCTTTTCCCTTTCCCTTTCCCGTCCTATCCCGCCTCACCACCCCCAAAAATAGCCCCGGCCGCCGATCCTGATCTCAGTCCCGACGGGTGCAGTAGCCGCTAACGGCTATCGCGGGGAGGGGAGATTGCGCTTCATGCGTGCGGGTGGGCGCGGGCCGCGGGGTGGGTGCGCGGGGATGGGGACGGGGACGGATGGATGGATGGATGGATGGATATGGTTGGTTTGGGTTGGGTGTGGGGTGGAGGGGAGAGGTTGAGTTTGTTTGGTGGTGAGGAAAGAGTGAGGGAAGGGAAGGAAGGGAAGATATGTGTGCAAGAGAAAAGAGGAAGAGGTGGGGGATAGACGGACAATGAGAAGTGTAGATACTACCTACCCACCGACAAGCAGCATAAGCCAGCAGGTCTGTCTATCTAAGACACAAGCAAGCAAGCAAGCAAGCAAGCAAAATACCAACCAATCAAACCACACACAAGCCACACAGCTTACTCACTTCAACTAGCTAGCAGAAAAAGCAGAAGAAGAAGGAAAATGAAAACCCCAATCAAAAAAAAAAAAAAGCAAACACATAGATAGCCAAAAAAGCGGTGGTAATTCCCTTTCCATACCTACTACGTACGTACACGCAGCCCCCAACAACGACCCATCACCGCCATTGCCATCACAACATCACCACCATCTATCGCAACAAGCAAGCACAAGCAGCAGCAGCAGCAGAAGCAACACCGGCACCAGCACCGACGAGCAAGCGAGCAAGCAAGCAAGTAAACAAGCAGACAAACAAGCAAGCATCCCCTCTGTCTGCAACACACTCTCTCTATCGCCCTCCCCCTCTCATCAACACCGCGAACGAACGAACATACGAACGGACGCACCCAAAGCGAGACAGAAGAAGACAGAAGACAGACGACGACGACAATGACGACAACGACAACGACAACGACAACGACAACGACCAAAACGACCCAAACCGACCGAAAGAGAGAGATCAAAGATCAAACAATGAAACCTCCCCGCCGACCAATCCGTCCCGCCTAGGCCCAGTCCGCCGTCCCAGTCCCAGCCCTAGTCCCAACTCAACCCCGCTTCGAAACAGAAAAACCGGCCAGCCATCCAGCAGCAGCAGCAGCAGCAGCAGCAGCTTGTCGTAGCAAGCACTTACTCACTCACTCACTCACTCACCCGCTTCATCCCTTCTTAACCCATCCTTCCGCACCGACAGACAGGCAGACAGACAGTGCACTGGCTGCCCCTATCGACTGCCGCCGCTCCCGCACCCTTCTATTCTGACGTCCCGCACACCATCCACCCGCCGCAAGGACTCGAGCTGCACGCGCGCCTGGCCTACCTGCGTGCACGCACGCACGCTCTACCGCATCCTCTTTACCATGGTCTTCAGTGTCGCGCGCGCAGACGACTCTCTTCACCACGGATATATGCGTGCGCGTCCGAGAGCGAGATGGGAGCGGGGACTCTACGTTCCCTCGTCTCCTCTCCTCTTCTTCTTCTTCACGCGGAAGCAAGCAGCTGAACCAGGAAAAAACACAAAATGAAAAAATGAGAAGCGCCAATAGCAGTTGGCACGGACTAGACAAGGAGAGAGAGAGAGAGATGGAGAGAGAGAGAGCAAAAGGAAAAGGAAAAACACAGACAGAGACGCAAAGGAAAATGCAAGCCGACAGACACTAATTACGCGAGATTAAGCAGCAGGCAAGAGACGACAGCAAAAACAACGGAAAAAGACAAACCACAATCAGGTATCATGAGGCCCACCGGAAACCGCGGCAGTAGCAGAGGAATGGAAAGGGAAAAAGGAAAAAGAAAAACGGGAAATTAAAAGGGACATATGCAGAGAAGTTGGAAAGGCTCCGACTGGGGGGTTTTTTCGATAAAAGGAAATCAGACCGGGGGAGTTTTGATGGTCTTTTGCTGGAAATATTCTTTAAGGCAAAAGTAATGGCAGCGGCAACAGCAGCGGCACATCGCTTCGGCAAGGTGAGGTGGAACGGAGGAAAGAGGCGGGAGCATGATGTAGGAGGAGGTACGTGCGCGAGGTTGCCCGTGATTGCATGTGGGGCTCCATATCAGCTGAGCTGGTATGTGTGCCCGGAAGATCGCAGCCACATGTGTGTGCGGGTGTGGTGTGATGGGGTCTGGGCAACGCCGCGGACGAGAGAGGAAAAAGTTTCGAGAGAGGCAAAGGGAAGTATCGTGGGTATATCTAGCGAGAGAGGATGACTGACGCCGAGCCGATGCTTTTAGAAGCGAATGCCATGGACAGGAAAAGGAAATCGACCGCCGCATGCGCGACGAGATGGTGCCTTGTCAATCGGCAGCCGCTCAGTTGGGCTGCGCGTTGATCTGCTCGCTCAACCAAGCCTGGGCGCGGGGATAAGTCAGTAACTATTCGGGGGAGGGAGGGGGGTTAGATGCGGGGGTGGGGGGAGCCGAGCATACCAAGCCCTCGAAAATGCCCTCGCCCGTCGTCGCGCAAGAGGGCTCAATCTTCCACTTGTGCTCGCGCGCAATCTTGTCCAGCTGCAGCTTGTCCTTGACCTCGTCGGGGCGCATGGCGGAGCCAACATCCTGCTTGTTGGCGAAAATGAGGAGGCGCGCATCCTTCATTTCGCGGTCCGTAATGATACGGCTCAACTCAGTGCGGGCCTCCTCGATACGGTCACGGTCGCTGCTGTCGACGACGAAGATGAGACCTTGGGTGCCTTTTTGGAGAATACAACGTTAGCTATATACTGCGCGACACGGGGAAGAAGGGGGAGCGGGGAGCGGGGGACGGGACTGGAGGCAGAACGACATACCGCTGAAGTAGTGGCGCCAGAGGGGCCTAATCTTGTCCTGTCCACCAACGTCCCAGACGTTGAAGCGCGTCTTCTTGTACATGACGGTCTCGACATTGAAGCCGACGGTGGGGATGGTGGTGACGTCCTTGTCAAGCTTGAGTTTGTACAGGATGGCTGGGGGCGCAGGTCAGCTTCACAGTCGGGCTCTCGCAGCGGGCGCAGCAGACGTACTGGTCTTGCCAGCGGCATCAAGGCCCAGCATGAGAATGCGCATTTCCTTGGTGCCAAAGATTTGCTTCATCATCTTGGATATTGAGCCACCCATTTTGGCGGTGTTGGCGCGCGGCGAGCACTGGGATTAGAGGGCTTTTTGGAGCGGTAGGGCGAAGGAGTGGAAGCGCTGTGAAGAAGAGCGTTTGGGCGACCAGGAGGTGCCGGGATGTGGTTACGAGGTGAAACGCGGCGGGCTTCGGGGCGACGCGACGGCGGGAAGAGTCGTGATCGCGTAATGGGCGGGAGGTGGAGAGGACTTTTGGGAACGAGGGAGAATGGCTGACGCTCAGTGACTTTTGTCCCCACGCGAAAGGGGTGGGCGAGTGGGATGGTGCTTGGATAATGAGGGTAGTGCGAGGTGTAGGGCTGCGGTAGCATAAATTAGACTCAGGAGAATGGATCAACGCGCGAACATTCCCGGCCTAGCATGGCCTGAATTGGCGACATTGCGACAATTCCTCGCCCGTTGCCCGCTCTGCCCGTCCGCTTTGCTGCTTCAGTACTTCACCTCGACAAGCCCGCCACTCTCTCACCGGCACGATCCGATCTGCCTGCGATACGGACGTGAGGCGCGAGATCTACCTGCTGACGGCATTTCCGCCGCCGCCGCTCCCCAGCACGACGACTCCTGCTCCTGCTCCGGCTCCTACGTGCGTATTCGTAGGCAGCACCGGCTTTCCCGCATAGTAGCGCGGACATCCATATATTGTACCACCGTTCTCCGCACTACGACTTTCTATCAAAGCATATTTGCCCCGGTCTGCTGATACGAGGCGCCCGTCTCTACAAATATATCAAAACCCGTCATCTATTCCCCTCGCCCTCTCCCCCTTCCACCGGGCCTCGTTAATCTCCCACCACCACCGATTAATCTCCGCCCTCTCGTCTCTCGGCCCTTCCCTCACTTCCCTACTCTCCTCCCACGGCTTAGGCGACAGCAGGTAGTGCACGTTCTTCAGGCATTCGTCCCGCCAAATCCCATCATGCAAGCCCTTCCACCGCATCGTCTTGAGCGCGTTGTAAATGTACGGCAGCGCCACCCACCGCCCGTGGAACAGGTCCGACAGCAGCGACTGGTCGGCGAAATCGTATTTCTCCGTGCTCGTCGACCGTAGCGCCTGCAAAATGAGGCTGTAAATGGCTACGGATGGGTTAACGACCTGGAGCCCGCCGTTAGGCATCCCAAGGCCGGCTGTTGGCGATGCGCCCTCGGTTTGCGCCCTCTCCGGATCCGAGTGCTGCGTGGTAAAAGCGCAATTGGCAGGTATCCTGCACAGCCATGAAGATTAGCCCGAGGCTCTCATCAATCATGCATGACCGGACTCACCAGTCCGCGGGATAATGCGACTTCTTCATCGGGTTGCAGACGCAAGCATGGCTTGCCGCAAACACGCGATGGCCCTTGCCCTCCATCTCCGCCGGGTCCAGCTCCAAATCCATCAGTTCATCCATGTTTTTCACTACCAGCATGTCCGAGTCCAGCTGGACGACGCGCTCATACTCGACCAAGCTAAATGGCGCAAGCTTGCTCCAGCAATCGTAGAAGCGGGGGTCATTGGTGTAGTCCTTGTGCGAGTTTGGCAGCAGGTAGGGAATGTGCTTCTTGGGAATGCCGCGCGCATCCAGAGCGCGGTGACCGGCCTCGGGGAAGGCGTCGGTGTAGAGTGCGATCAGCGGGTATTTGGACGCGGCGCGCTTGAGCGAGTAGTCTAGCGCGAGGAGGCCGGGAAGGTAATCAGTGTTTGTGATGAGCGTCGTCCATACTGTCGCGGGGCGTCAGCTGCTATCGTGAGTGTCCGGAGGGGCGCAGGCTCATCCCACCCTTCGCAGAGTCAACAACTCTTGTCTGGTCAGGGTTGACCTCGCGAAATGCCTCGGCATGATTGGAGCCCATGTCTGTGCTGCAAGGGTCTGGTTTGAGATGGATGAAAACAGGAGCGAGCGCACTCGACTTCAAATTCAAGCGCCGGTCGAAGTGACGCGCCGACCCCAGGTACTTACATCCTTTAAAGGATTAGCAAGCAAAAATGTCGTGATGACTTGCGACCGCATCTGGGTGGGATGGACCCTGGCGGATCGAGCCGATCGCATTCCCCTCTGAGATTCCGGGAACTTGTCGTCTTCGCACCCAGCGCGGGCCGCATCCAGGCACCCGCAGAACTGCATCTCGGCTTACACTAGCGTGCGCTGCTACTGGTGACGTCCTCCATATCGCGAGCACTTGCCTCTACATAAAAATGTCCGCCGAGCATGGAGTTGAGGGTGCCAGTCCCCCCAAGGAGAAGGTGGCGCCTATTGCGCCCGCCAATTACAAGGGCTTCGTTGCCGGCGTCTTTTCTGGTATCACTAAATTGAGTGGTGAGTTTCCATGCTGCTGTCCTACTGTACTTTCTTGCGCCCCGGCTAACACATGTCTGCGCAGTCGGACATCCGTGAGCCACATCCGTCCTCTCTCAGACACGACAAGCGACTGACTGGTTGTGGATCTGAAGCTTCGACACAATCAAGGTTCGCCTTCAGACCTCGGAAACTTCGCACTTCCGTGGACCGCTCGACTGCTTGCTGCAGACCATTCGCAAAGAGGGTGTCCGCGGTCTATACAAAGGCGCCTCTCCACCGCTTGTAGGATGGATGGCTATGGACTCTCTGTGAGTGCCTACTAAGCATTGCTTGGCGGATGCTTGTTTTGCTATCGCACTGTTCTGACGCGCCATTTAGGATGCTGGGGTCATTGACCTTTTATCGCCGCATCCTGCGCGAACACGTCTTCGAGCCCGTTGCACCCCCGCGCGCCCTCGACAATCCGGCTTATAAGTTGCCGACTCTTGGACATGGCATAGCGGGCATAATGGCTGGTTGGACGGTCAGCTTCATCGCTGCGCCAGTAGAGCACATCAAAGCCCGTTTACAGATTCAGTATTCGGCAGACAAGTCGAAGAGACTGTATAGCGGGCCTATCGACTGCTCGAAGAAGCTGTACCGCAGCCACGGCCTTCCTGGTCTCTATCACGGGCTCGGCGCCACCATGCTCTTCCGCACTTTCTTCTTCTTTTGGTGGAGCTCCTACGATATGCTGTCCCGCTACTTCTCTGTGAACACGTCTCTCTCCACGCCGGCCATCAACTTCTGGGCCGGTGGTCTTTCAGCCCAAGTCTTCTGGATCACTTCGTATCCCTCCGATGTTATCAAGCAGCGCATTATGACGGATCCTCTCGGGGAAGGCAGGCGCTTTCCCCGCTGGCGTGACGCGGCAAAGACCGTGTATGCCGAGAATGGCTGGAAGGGTTATTGGAGGGGTTTTGTGCCGTGCTTCCTGAGAGCGTTCCCCGCGAATGCGATGGCGTTGGTGGCGTTTGAAGGTGTTATGAGATTATTGGGGGCCTCCCATTGAGATAGAGGGAAGGCGTTTGCTTATTGCGCATAGAGGGGGTTATGGTAGACCAGGAAAGCGGGCTGTTAGAGCATGTGAGGGAGGATCCCATGCCCCGTCCGGTGAATATGTTGTACAAAAAGTAGGTATGAACGACATGAGAACGCATTGTAAAGATTAAGAACAGATCGATAGACAACCGAAGCAATCCCCACGAACTCAGCCGGCATCGGCGCATAGATTTTGAGAAAAGCTCTGGGGTCAAGCAGCGTGTGCACTCTGGGTCGCTCTTTCTTCTTACAGAACAATCCCACCACCACATGCACTAAGATTCTTTTGTCAACAAGATTCTTTTTTCAATAACCACCTTCATCTCTTCTCTTCCACTCCTCGGTTTCTTCCTGCACCCTTCCACCTATCTCATGAGGCCCTATCTTACCCTGTTGGGTACAGGCCTTGTCTCATCACGTCTTGAAAATTCCTTCGCTCAGCTCCTTCATCCGCGTTCACACTGCTTCAAACCTCAACCCCAAACTGGACGGCCTGGCACCTCAACCAAGCCCTTCCTCTGAGATCCAGGTTATGAGTGGTTTCGTCTAATTTGTTCTCACTTGCTGAGTGGGTTGGACAACTCGGCACATTGGTCTGTCAGAGACAATTCAGCTTCACCTGTGAGGCGTGAAACCGAAGGAGGGTTGCAAATCACCGGCGTGTTTCAGTCACCTTTCGGACAAGTTGACCTCTAAACCCAAGCTTGGGTGGGGGAGACCAACTGACACTAGCTCTGCATACACTGAACATTGCGTGGCTCCGTCACCGCAGTTCGTATAGCAGGGCCGGCGAAAACAGCGCGGCATTCAAGGTTCGTCTTCATCTTCTCGTGCGCACACAAATGCTAACAAGGATACGAGCTACTAGAACCGCGTAGAAAAGCCAATTACCACCAGTCTTTGGCGCTGCAGATGCAAGCATCGAAGCGGGATCGTACACGTCTTCGCTCAACGCTCGATAAATCACCTCGATACCCTCTCACGACTTACATTTCAACTTCACCATGAGCTCAACCGGTGAAACCCCCAACTACATATTCCGCGCTTCCATGGCGCAGCTTTCCAAGAAAGATGCAGGGCAGCAGGAGGGTGCTTCTGGAGGACTGTTTGAGGGCCCCACCATAGACATCAGTTCTTCACAGACGCAGAAGGACAAACACCTCCATGGCCAAGAAGGCAAAGCAACCAAGCTTACCACAAATTACCTCACTCTCACCTTCGACCAAGGACAACCAATTTTCGAATATGACATCGAGTTTCCTTCCAATATTCGCAGCAAAGCCGAAAAGTTAAGGGTTCTCGATGCTATCAGGAGACGGAACATTATACCCAAGGACATTCCCTGGGCTAGCGATGCGCAGACGGTTTGGTTATTGAAATCCCTATTTGCTGACTCAAAACATCATTATGGAGCCATTGAATACACATCACTCAACGGTTTCTCAAATGGTGCTTGTTGGGTTGAGTTGAAGTACAAAAGAACACTGAAAACCTCCAATATAAGGGAAGACATGCTTAACCAGGAAAATCCCCATCCAGCTATTACTGCCATCAATGCGTTTATTTCGCAGAAGATTGAGGAATATGCTGCCGACAAGGTCATGCGTGTAGGGCAAAACAAGTTCTTTTACAACGCAGGATATAAGGAGCTTGGTCCTACAAGACATGGTTCTGACAACTTCAAGGGTGGTCTCTTGGCCATTCGTGGATACTACGTCTCTGCTCGTCCAGGAGAGAATCGAACGTTGCTCAACATCAACACCGCAACATCTGCATTCTTCCGGCCCATGCTGCTGTCGGAATGGATGATAGGGATGATGAAAAGTCCTTACAACTACACAAAGAAAAATCTGGAAGTTGCATTGAAGGGTAAACGAGTGCAACTTCTTTACCATCGTCCTGATGTATCTAATGACACCATAAGAAGTGTCTCCGAGATTGGTGATCCGGTCACCGACCAGGTTTTCAGAACTGATCGTGGCGAAAAACTCCTTGTTTGGCGTTATTTCAAGAGTACGTACAACTTCTTCAACCGATTTCGGTAGAGGCACTGACAGACCTGTAGAAGAACTCAGTGACTACACTAACCCTCAATTGCCTTGCGTTAATATCGGGCGCGCCACCAACCTCAGAGGCGAAAATAGAGCTCGATGGGTTCCTCCAGAGTTCTTGGAAATTGAACCGAACCAACTCTTTACGGGTAGCTTGACAGGATGTCATTTGTCTGAAATGATCAATGCCGCATGCCGAAAGCCAGCTCAAAATGCTTATATGCTCTATAATGAGGGCATGGCCTTATTCGGGATCAGGGACAACGCAGCTCACTTCGACCAATCTGGCCTGGTCATCGGCCAGGAACTTGCGAAAATTGATGCGAGGATCCTAAATCCACCTATCTTGCAATACCAGAAATCAGAGTTGAAGTCTCAGAAAGCCAGTTGGAATCTTGTGCCGAACTCTTCACCTGTCAAGTTCGCTATTTCAGCACAATTCGATCATCTTCATATGTTGAGAATCAACTTCGACAGCTCAGGCAATGCAATTGGGAGCATTTTCAGGGCATTGCATGGCGCCTTAACAAAACATGGCGTCAAAGGGCCTAACCGAGAAATGGTCAAGACCGATTATTTTTCGTTGAAAGACATTTCTCGCTGCAGTAACCTCGGAGAATTCCCAGAATTGGAAACTCGACTGAATGTCAAGTCATTAAAATTGGTCATCCTACCATCGAACAACCAAGACTGGTACCCAACTATCAAGAAATTTGCAGATTGCATGTACGGATCACGTACAATCACTTGCATTGCAGAAAAAGCAGCAAGGGCCGACCCTCAGTACTGGTCCAACATAGCTCTGAAGTTCAACTTCAAAGCCGGTGGTCTTAACCACCGCCTTAAATCCAAATGGATCTCATTACTGCTGAAGAAAAGGAACACGGACAAAACACTCGTTGTTGATACACTCGTCTTAGGGGCAGATGTGACCCATCCTCCTGGACGTGGCGGGACTCCAGGTTGTCCGTCAATTGCTGCTGTGGTCGGTTCCGTCGATGAAAACTTTTCCAATATGCGAGGTTCTATGAGGCTTCAGACAGCACGCCAAGAGGTAAGTGTGATTGCACTCAAATGTTTGTCAGCAAAAACTGATGAGGTGTGCAGATCATGGAAAGCCTTGAAGACATGGTTGTCGAGCTACTTCTGGCATACTTCACCCATGATAAAAGGAAGCGTTTGCCTACAAAGATCCTCATGTACCGCGACGGCGTGTCGGAGTCCCAATTCTCGGCGGTTGAGAGCAGAGAACTTCCTGCAATCAGGCGTGCTTGCGAGCGAGCAGTCAACGGTGCCGGGATAATTGTACACAAGATTGAAATCAACTTCTATGTGGTTTCGAAGCGCCACAATACACGCATATACCCAACCAATCTCCAAAGCGGCCGAGGTCGTAACAACAATGTCACTCCTGGGGCTGTAATTGATAGAGACATCACTCTCCCGAAGCGATTCAACTATTACCTGTTGAGCCACGATGGCATACAAGGCACCTCCCGCCCGGCTCATTACATCGAAATCACTAATGAGGTAGGCTTCACCGCCGACGAGACTCAAGGAATAACACACGACCTCTGTTATACCTACGCCCGTGCTACTAAGGCCGTCAGCTATTGTACGGCGGCGTATTACGCCGACCGCCTTTGCAACCGAGGCAGGGATTACCTGCATGACTACCTCGTCGGCAACAAGCCAGCCGGGATGAAGTTCGGCGAATCCCCAAAGGCACTCGATTTGCGCATGGCGAGGGAAATACAGGACAGCGAGTACTGGCGTACGTGGCTCAGGGATCCAAACATGCCCGAGGATAAGAAGAACGAACGGAGGGCGTCTAGGAAGAACCCCTGGCATCCGAACCTTGACAACACCATGTTTTGGATGTGAGGTGCCTGGCGGGGATGGTCAGAAGATGACAGCGGCTGGATTGGAAATGAGTTGATTGAACACGAGAGAGGGGGGAGGGGAGGGCGGTGGGGGGTAGGGCATAAAAACTACAAGATTGGAAAGCCATCAAGGCCTCTTGGTTAACTAGTACTTGGATTTCTCGCTTTGGGTAGATAGCACAAATCAACATTCTTTCAGTGATGATTCCGACGACTAGGACACTACGTATTTTGTGTTTGCATACTTGAGTTTTGCGTCCATCTCCATCTTGCATGTAACTAAAACAATCAGTTATAGAGCGAGCTCCCTGGATCAAGTCAGTAAGTGCGTGCGTGAATAGTCCTCAGTTAACTGTTCCCTCCTGGCCATGTACAAGGTTCTACCTCTGGCTCTATAGCTAATTTCGGATCACTGTTACACATATAACTAAGATGAAAGACGAGAGAATGAAACAAAGAAGGGTAGGGACAATAAGAGATACAGTGTTTCATATAAACCACATTTCCACACAGTAGTAGCCACCAACAAAGCCAACAAAGAAACAGAACAAAGCCATCACAAGCCTCCACCCAGTCCTCAAACAACCCCCATCCCCCATCCCCCGCACACACCCCGCACCAACAGATCTACGCAGCAGTCACGTCAGCGCCCCGGCCACCATCCAAGCACCAGGCACCAGGGCCAAGCACCACTGACCACTGACCACTGAGCAGGACAGACCACCGGCACCACGTGTACGCACGAACGCACGCACGCACGCACGCCCCCCGGCCGACCGCGGACCAACCAACCAAGAGGCAGGCGCAAGGCAGGCGGGCAGATCTCGCATCCATGCATTCCGTGCTGCACGACACGGCACGGCGCGTCGATCAAGCAAAGCTGCACGCCATTCGCACATTACTCACACTCATATAGCATGGATCGATGGGTTGGTTAGCAGCGGGGTAGCAGCAGCAGTGACAGTAATACCAGCAGTAGCTTCGCCAATCAGACAACCTGATGCGGGATGAGACGTTGTAAATTGAGAGCCTGAGATAGGTAGGGATTTAGACAATTAGGGGGAGAAGAAGCCGAAGACGACGTAGATAGACGCACACTTAAAAGTTAAGCTCCATTACCACCGCACACACGAAGTAGGGAATAAAGGAAGAAGATCAAGCAAGGTCCATTCGTACATAGACCCTCCTCTCACCCACGCACTCTCACAACAATCTCATTCACACACAATCGTCGTCTCACCAGCGTGATGGAAGGCAGTCAGTTTCATCTTTGCGCCCGTTATCTACTTGCATACACCCGCCCAAGAGAGAGAAGAAAAAAAGTGAAAAGAGGTAAACTAAGATATCAACATACAACATGGGCGCGCGCGACGACGCTCGCGCAGCCGAGACCGCCGCCGGGCCGCCCCCATGTAACTAGTTAAGCTTTGGTGTGATGGTGGAGGAGGTTGCTGCTCCTGGAGCAAGAGGCGGCGCACACGCCGCCGTATGCCCCAAAATAGTCGTTTCGATGTCGTGTGCTCCGGCGCAGACCGCCGTCTGGTGCCGTGCTTTTTTGTCGTTGTCCGTCTGTGATGCGCACCCGATCCATGCAGGAATGTATTTGGCTAAAGCTGCCGGGAAGTCGGGTCACTCGTCGCTAGAAGGGAGCAATCTAGGAGTCGTAGGAGCAGACAACGCCCTGGTCGGCGCGGGAGTTCATGAGCAGAGCGACAATCAGACCGTACAGACCTAATGGGTCCCCGCGTTAGCGTCGTTTTTTGGCTTCCTTCTTCACCGCTCATTCGAAAAACGTACCCAAAACTTCGGCGAAAATGAGAATCAGGATCATGCCGACGAACAGCCTGGGCTGCTGAGCGGTACCACGGACACCAGCATCACCGACAATACCAATGGCGAAACCGGCAGCAAGACCGGCAAGACCGACCGACAGACCAGCGCCGAGCTGGATGAAGTTGGTGAACAGAGCAGACTGCTGCTGCAGACCGTTGGAGATCAGGACGGAAACGACCAGACCGTAGATACCAATGATACCAGCCATAATGACGGGAATAATGTCTGTGCGCCACGTCAGTCGCCAATGCCACGCACGCGGAATTCGGGCAGATCGCAGCGCTCGGGCGTGCCGAGCGGCGGCGGCTGCTGCTGCCCGTGGGGTGCCATACTCTTGACGATCAGGTCGGGCCTAAGAACACCCATGGCGGAGATACCAACACCGGCCTTGGCGGTACCGTAGGCGGCACCGAAGCAGGTGAAGACGATGGCTGACGTGCAGCCCATCGCACCGAAGAAAGGCTGTCGAAATCACCTCGTCAGCATGTCGTTCCTGATGCCTTTAATTGGCGTGCTTCGCGTGATGGGAATTGGAGGCCTGGAAGGCGGTCCGATGGTTGAGGTGTGCTGATGACGACGCAGGCGTGTTCTGGGCAGACTCACAGCATAGACGGGACTGTCACACAGTAAAAGTTAGCCAGATGTCTTCCAGGGATACAGATGGCAGGGAGGAGCTGCAGAAGCGATGCCAGCGAAGCTCCTGCCCATGCACAACAAAACCAAGCTGTCCAAAAGCTCGGCAACTCTTTCAGCGGCGGACGTACCAGAGATCGGTCATTGTGGCGGTGGTTTGGAGAGAGACGCTGGGGAGGCGCAGTTGGCGATGAAGAGAAACTGGAAGCGGTGCTTCTGGGGGTGCGAGGGCGATGGGGGTTGGATGGTGTTGGATGACGAAGGCGAAGGGACGTCGTTGGGTGTGCCAGCAGAGAGTGCGAGGTCCAAGCTGAGGCTTGGCGGGCCGCGCTGGCCTCACGTGACGACAAATCCTTGGGTTCTCTGACATCGGCATTGGGAACTTTTTTCGCGGCCAAAGCTCTCCACGCACACAACACCACAACCACTGCGCGCAAAGGGCGATCTTAGGAAAGGAACCCTTTCGTTACTCCACCACTTCTCCGCTTCTCTTCACGCGCTCTCTCGCAAAAATGTCTGCCAACGACACCTCCGCCGCCTGGCCCATCGCCGACGCTGGTCTCAGCCAGGAAATCCTCGACCTGGTCCAGCAGGCCAGCCACTACCGCCAGCTCAAGAAGGGTGCCAACGAGGTAAGCCCGTCCCCGCCGCTGCAGCCAGCACATACGCATACACATGCTGCGCGCATCCACACACACTCCCTCACAAATTACAACCAACTGACGCACTCGTTTTCTGCAGGCCACCAAGACGCTGAACCGTGGTGTTTCCGAGGTCATCATCCTCGCCGCCGACACCTCCCCCCTCGCCATCCTGCTGCACTTGCCCCTACTTTGCGAGGACAAGAACGTTCCCTACGTCTACGTCCCTTCCAAGATGGCTCTGGGCCGTGCCTGCGGTGTGTCGCGCGCCGTCATTGCCGCGTCCATCACCACCAACGAGGTACGCTCTCTTCAAACCCGTGCGCAAAATTCGGCAAGATTGCAGAATCTGCCGCTCTTTTGCTTGCGCGTGCAGTTCTTCCTAAATTTTTCGCTAACTTTTTTGCGCTTTAGGCTTCCGACCTCATGAACCAGATCCGCACCCTCAAGGACAAGGTCGAGAGACTGATGATCTAAGCGCATTCGCCGCCGACGCTCCGAGTTCTATATGCGAGTCTGTTTAAAGAAAAGCAGAATGCAAAAGCGGAGGAGTTTTGGAGTGGGTGCCAGCTACGGCTTCAGAGAACGCGGCCGTGTAGAAACGGTTTACGCGAGTTGAAAAAAATGGGGGTTCTTCGCTGAACCACTCAAATCAATACTATTGAATCGCAATCTGGTCTCACGTCGTGAAATGTGCTGACTGCTTCTAATCGCAAATTGAGACCCCCAATAAATTCCGCTAAGATGCAATGCAAGACAGGCTCCAATCCCGTTCTCTACATGCCTCATCCCACACCGTTCCCGAATAGAAATGTATCAAGTGGTCTCAATAGGAGTACATTAGCCTGTCCGCCTTAGCCATCACTCATAAACCGATTCCCCGCATCACGTGAATGACCACCCATACTCATGGTCTCATGCAAACGAAAGTAGGCAGCCAGGCTAGCAGGTGCCTAGTTACAAACAATCTCTCTATTGCGCGCAGCAAGCGCTCGAATCTCCGCACCCATCCGCTCACCAGGGCTCTTGGCCGCCGCAACGCGCACGCGGCCTCAACCTCCATGCCGACACCGCACTCTCTCCACATAGAGAGCCATCATGCACCTCCTCCCCACCTCCACAACCACCCCCCCACCACGCACACAAACCCCTACCGCCCCGACTCCGGCAACACATACCGCCGCTCGACATCCATCTCGCGATCCGCCTCGTCCTCGCCCTCAAACCTCAGGCGCACGAACCCGTCTCTCAGCTCCCCTAACGCGCCGCCCACTTCCTTGCCATCTTTCTTGACGCCCTTACCCGCTCGCGATGACACTACCTCCGCCTTGTAGAACGTCGTCGTTGACGGGTACAACGCCAGAACGTGCTTACGCAGCGGTAGCTCCGAGAGCCCGGCGTTGGACGTCGGAATCGGGATGAGGTTGTTGACGCTGGCGCGGTAGGGCTGCGGCGGCGTGGGCGGGTCGGGGTCGCTGTCGATTATTTCGTAGCTGTGGGGAGGGTGCGGATTAGTTGGGTGCGGTGGCGGTGGTTGGTTTATGCTTACCGTCGCTGCTTGCCCTCGCCGATGACGGAGGTGATGCTGCAGAGGATGCCTTCCCCTTCTGTGTTCTTTTGTTTGTTGCGGTAGAAGACTTCGGTGCCGACGCTGAGTCTGTGCCTGTCGGTTGACGTGGAGACTGCGCATTAACCAACTTGTTAGCGGACTTTTGGTGGCGTGGCGGCGGACGTGTCGCTGCTCATTTCAGCCGACAGTCCGCGAGTTCGTGCGGGACATACCTTTGAGCCCGTCCATGCTGTCGGCGTCTTCGACTTTGACACTCGTTTCACGTACCGTGCCTACGCTGCCTGCCCGGCTGCTTGCTTTACTCACTCCCAATCTGTCCTTGATCCCCGAACTGAGCCCCGGCTTTGGCGAGTCCGCTGCCAGCGAGTCCGCGTCATCGTTCGATGCAAGCTCCAGCTTGCGCTTCGGGTTTCGTTGCATCTTGCCTACGCTGGCGTGACGGGAGCCGTTCGAAGCCTCTGGCGAGTGTGCCGACGCGGCGCGCAGCGCCGTAAGCAGCTCGATGCCTTGGGTGATCGACATGCTGCTGTCGGATGTGTCGCCTGCCGTGAGCGCGAGGATCTCTTCGTGGAGTCGGATATTTTTCCGACATAGGTCTTCTAGCTCGTTGTCTACATCTGCAGGCGGCATCTCTCCCCGTGCTGGGCGGCGGTCAGCTCGAGCCGGAAGCTTGACTGGTGTAGATGGTCACGCTCGTAGGATGCAAAGACGCATTCCCTCAACACCATGCAATACGGTCACGAGGATGAACAAGGCAGGAAGAAGAAGTCTGTGAGCCATTTACCTTCTAGGTTCTGCTGTGCTATGCCCAGCTCATATATGCGCTTCTCAAGGTGATTAGACTCTTTCTGGCGTGACGTATTAGCATATGATTTTTCAATAAAAACAATATAGCAGCAGGTGTGCAAGCTTCTGGAGGAGCCCGTCACCAAACGGGCGAGTTTCAACATACGAAAGAACGCGGTGCCGCCTCCTATCAGAGCATCAAGGCGGACGGAGGGGCCCGGGCCCTGACAAAGCAAAACAAAGACAAAAGTACGATCAGATGAAGACATGGCACCTTACCACCAACGCGTCGACCTTCTTGGCATCTGCCCGGAGCTGCATCCATATGCTGCGCTCTTCATCGGCGTCGTCCTTGAGCTGGCCAGGGCGCTGCCTGCTGCGCGAGGACATCATGTGCTTCCTTGCTCTTTTTTAAGCGCGCCGGTGCGCAATTTGTCTCACACTTCTACGGCCGGTTCGGGAAAGGACGAGAGGGTGGAATCCAGCGGAATTATCAATGAGGCGAAGGGAAATGGCAAGGGTTGTTGTTTGTTCGGGAGCCCCATCGGAGGCCAGGACGACGACAGGGCGCACGACTCGGGCTGAGCGCGCACGGCTGCGCCTGGCGAGTCGTGCAGCAGAGCTTGGCGTGACGTCTGACGTCCCGGCTCAGTGCGTTTGATCGACGCTTTGTCCTCTGCTTTTCTCTGTGCAACAACTTCAAAAACAGCATCCCCTATCTCGCCTCTCTTGTTGATTCTGGATTTTGTTCCAGTGCACTCGGCTTGTCTTGTCACAGATCTTGGCTACTCGTCAGCGTAACGTGAGCCCCACGGCATCAGCACATCGACCATATCCCGCCGCTTTCCATCTGTCGCACCACTACCGCGCAGCTATTAGTGAACTGTCTTGCTTGCGGAACTACATTTGCATTGAATTGCACTAGGGCCCGGCTCGATCTTTTCGCTGTACCTGCTGGTACGTGTACGATTTTAATGGCTTGCGGTAGCGGGGTCTTTATTTGCGCTGTCTGGTTCTCTTAGCGAGATGTCGACCGTCGACACAAGTCTGCCTACACTTTACGGGATACGGTACTCTTAGTTATCGCCGTTTGAGACCTGCTTGCGGACCTTTCTTGGCATTGAGTTGCACTAGGTTCCGGCGGGGACAGCCGGTTGCATATGCTGATATGTACACGATTCCGCTGTTGGTGTAGTAGATTCGTGGCTTCTTCGTCATTTCGAGTTGCGAGTTTCTCTTCTTTTGTATCCGGTTAAGGCTACCGTCAAGTATTACTACTTGAAAAAGCCTGGACGGGCGGGTTTCCTATACTGGTTCTTAAAACTAGAATAGGGGATACTAATTTCATGATTTCCTTAAGGGAGATAGAGTCCTACTCTGCACATCTACGCGGTGTCTCCTAGAAACGTCCTTCGGAGGGAGGACGGCCAAGCAGAGAGGTACCACAAGCTACTAGCATAGGCTGCCAGCTTTTTTACCCACCGGACAACTCATCTTGACTCGCCTTCGAAAAACCGAGAATACAATACCGACATCGCAACCACATGATAGCAGTAAGCCGATGTCTTAGCCCGTTATCTCGACAGCTACCGCAACCTTAACCAGCACGCTACTAGAAGCCGTCTATCAGCACAATAACCATTCATCAATTACGAGCAATGCGATAACCTTCTAAGAGCATACAGCTCAGCCACACCTATCGCCTTTAGGCTAGAAAAGGGCTCTTTGTATTAAACCTCTACAGCTGCCGTCATTAATATCTTTACGCGCTACTCCGGGCAAATTGCCTGCTAATCTAATTTTTATTCTTACACCCTCGGGCAATTCTTCGATGAGCCGACCCCGCTGGAAGTCTTATATATAGATTGGCTTTTGATTGCCTGTTTCTTCTGTGTTTTTGCTAATCTTTGTATGTGATTATGGGCAAGAGTGGGCTTCGGAAGTATTTAGATCCGGGTTATAGCGGGCAACGCTAGCTAGCTAATGAGAACTAGGAATATCGTCGTCATCATATCGCGGTGTAGACGGTTATTTGCCTTGGCTTCGTATTTGCTTAGGGTTGATGCTCTGGTGTGCTGTTCGTAGCAGGCCATGATTGAGGTAAACGTTCAAAACCCAAAAGCATGGATACAGTTTCGAAAACTCAATCGATCCCATCTCTAGTATGTTGTTAATAGAGATGTCTGGGCCTTCCGGTTCAAAAGTACAGCTGAAATAGTATACATTGTCAGTAACAAACTCTATCCCCCTTAACAAAGCTTTTACCACTAAACATATGAAAGATGGTAAAACCGCCGTAATACCATGCCGAACGACAAGAGAACTTCAACTGAACTGTATTCATTGAAAATCATACACAGGCTGAGCCTTGCTTGGCAGTACTGAAAGCACTGTAAGTGCAAAGGCGCAGCCTACGTTATTATTTGTTTCCTCTTTGGTTTGCTCTTTGATTGCTAATCTGGAGCGCTGCTGTCACCAAATTTCACCAAATTTATAAACATGTTGTTATTTCAGCTGCCAGTTTAACATATTTGGAGCCTTGCTAAAGTGAATGAGGCAGCCCGATGACGGACGTGAGCAAATAATTTTTGTTACTCTAAACACATGCTCTGTTTATCTTTCTTCACACTTAACACACTCTTACCATTATTTGCCTCCGATGTTGATCCGCCACACAGTATAAAAGCGCCAGCCCTTCCGCACCTTTTCGCTCTCATCATCCCCTCTCAGGATCGACTGCGACACCTCACGGGCGATCATCAACCTCACTTCCAAGCCGTCGACCTCACCTCCTGAAGTGATTCCGCTTTACGCCATCTATCATTTTCAAACGGTGTAACTGGAATCAACCACGTCAGAACTTTGCAGCCATGAACAACAACATCAAGCTTGAAGATGAACCTTCCACCTCACCTCCTGGTTTCGAGCAAATGCTTGACAACATGCGCGCGCATCTCAACAATATGCATAATGAACTGAACGAGCTACACCACCAGAGGAACATCAGCGAACGGTTCTATGCGACAACCTTAAAGAACAAGGACGATGAGATCGCCGCTCACAAAGACACTATCGCGACCACCAAAGCCCTCATTGATGCGCACACTGCCACTCCCAATGTGCATGGAACCACGGTCAACTCATACCACACACAGTTGGGCGCCAAGGAGGCTGAGTGTACCCGCCTTGAGATTGAGAAGAAGGACCTCCTCAAGGCGAAGGAGCTTATGGGGGCGAACATCACTCAACTCACCAAGCAGAACCGCCTGTTGAACGCAAAGGTTAGCTTTTTGGAAGCTCAAGCGAAGGATAAGCGTGGATACATCATTACCGACGACGACAGTGTTGCGCGTCGAATTGGCGAGCTGCGGAGCCAGTTGGACGGTTCCACGAAGCGCAATATCGACATTCAGTGTGAGAAGTCCGAACTGCAGAGCGAACTTCAACAAGTTCAGGCTGAGCTCACTAAGACCAAGAAGTTCATCGAACAGACCTTAGTCAACAAAGTGAAGCTTGAGTCAACTGACAACCCTGTCGATAAGGTAAATCTTGAGTCTCTCATCGGAAAAATGGACAAGGTAAAGCTTGAGTCGTCTGACAGTCAACAACAGAAGCCTACCTTGGGTCCCGAAGGCATTCGTACCAACTCCACCTTTTCCACCAAGACCACCCTGCCGGCTAAGAACAGTATGCCGACTAAGACCACCCAACCGGTTCGATCCGCCCGATCGCCTGATCCACCGGAGAGGAAGCTCATCTGCCAACGCTGCCTCGGCGTCTACGGAGATGAATGTGACGGGACGCCCAACTGCTCTCGGTGCACCGCCATGGGTAAGCCTTGTGTGTACAACCCCTGCGTGGACTACCACACTAGCATTGCACAGGTCTGCAACTCTCGCCACTGCCACTTCATCCACGATGAGCAGGAGTACACTTGGTCGGGAAGCATTCGCGTGGAACTCACTGGTTATGAGATCCGTAGGTAGATAGAGACACCTCGTTATGAGGCTCACAAGCAGATAGTGATTGATTGAAAGCATCCGGGTGGCTCTCTCACTGGTTATGAGATCCACAAGTAGATGCCAATCACAGGTTATGAGGCTCATGGGTAGATAGAGATTGTACGCGATGTACATCATCTCAATACGACAACTACTTGACTATATTTGTGCACTCAGTGATCTCGTGATTGTGTAATAATGCTCTTGTGTTGACGTTTGAAGATGTAACTTCGACCTAAGAGGAAGCCTGGAAGCAATTCTTTTGTAAGTCCCATTACGCTCAGCTCAGCACTGTAGTGGCTGACATACATAACCTATGTTATAATTCAAGTTCCTGTTTCATATACCAGTCTTTATTCAGAAAAAAAGTACATTTATCACAACAAAGTAGAGAAATATTGCAACTGATCCATATCAATTTGTCTATAGAAACTTACCTTTAAAGCACCGTAATAGGTGCTCAACGATCAACCGAAGAACCAGCGCCGGCGACATCGTTCTTAACTACTCACTCCTTACTCGACCCGCCATCCAGGGCAGGAAAACCTAAGACACAGCGGTCAGCTCAGTTGAGTTCAAAAACCTAGATCTGCGGGCAGCTGCCGCAAACTTTGTGGCCACAGTTCATGCACTCGTTGGTGTAGTCACCGTAGTCAGTCCAGCACTGGCAGCATGTCCAGGGCTCCGGAGTGAAGCTGCCGGCCGTCGAGCCTGCAGGCGTCATTCCAGTGTTGCATTTGGCGGCGTGGACCTGCTTGGTTGCGTTGGCCTTGGTGTTGAGGGAACCGGAGTTGCTATGTCCGAGAGACATGTTGTTGTTCGAAACGTTCGAAGTGTTGAGTTTTTGTGTCTGAGTGTTTGTTTGGAGTTGAGTATGGAGGTGAGTTGTGATGATGGATGGTTTGAGAATGTAGCTAGAGGTGGCGGCTTATATGCTGTAGTGCGCTTGGGGTTGTGTACGTTGTTGTTCGAAGCGGAGTTCTAACAATGGTGTTCTTGCCAAAATAATAATAATGATTCTTTGTCGGCTATAAAGTTTATGCCAGCATTATCTATCTTAATAAAGGATATAGGAAGAACAAAGCATTTGTTTCACTCTTGTATTGAACCAGCTCCCTGGAAAGATACTGAAAGGTCCATGAATGCTAATTACCTACATGCTTGAAAATGAAGCAAAAGCGGAGGATTTACGCTTTAAGTTGGTGGGGTTTGTAAGTCCTCCGCGGTATCAATGGAAGCAGAACCAAACCGAGAAGTACATATAATAATAGCAGGGATTAAAAATCTACCGAAGCCAAATACATTCTGTTCTTGCGCCCGTTATATTGCACTCTGGTCTAAACATTTTGTTCCATGGCTTGATTTCTCCGTCCATGAAGCCGTAAGCATAACAGTCGCCTAAGAGCTCATTGCAACGTTGCCGACGTATACTTGGATCGCTGGACTCATAAAATAGGGGTGAGAGGTGCAGATATTTTCTGAGAACAAACGGCATTTTACCTCCAGGAAGTATACATATACGGTCTCCAACTCTGGTATTATATGGTCCAAGGCCCATATGCCCTTCCTTGGTGATGAAGAAAGACCTCCGGTGAGTTGCCTTATGAATTGAGGAGCCAACGTCCAAGTTAGTCTGGACGCTGTTTTCAGGTGCCTTCTCATGACCTGGGAATATTGAATGCACTGCTCTTAGCAACTGAGGTTGCCTTGAGGTATACTTCGGACCAAGAGGCGCATTATCTCCACAAACAAGCCAGCGGTAAGCGACCTCCATGAATTCTTTGAATTTGTGAGACCTGCAAACGGACATGCTCTTGGAGTAGACCAAATCCGCGCAAATAGTTCTTATGAAAGCATCACCCAGTGATTCCTTGTATGGCATGTACATGGTATAAAGGGGCTCACTGGTGATGAGAATTGACCATTCTTGAATGCTGGAAATAAAATCGTTCTCAGCAAACCTGACGGACCCAATGGCCCCGACCTCTCCCAGGTAATATTCTGGCAGCTGGAGGCAGCCTTGGCATAACGAAATAAGAACAGCGTCTCTCGGGATATCTTGCTGTTTTCAGGTTATTCTCATGTATGGAAAAGTTGTTGGTGCATTGTCTTCAAACTGAAATCCAGGATTAAGAAAAAGGCTTACCATCCGGTTAGAATTTCCAAGGCCTTTAGTCGTGTCTGGGGGTAATGCACCGAAGCCAATATCAAAAGGCGGAACTGAGGTGTTGAACACCACATAAACATAGCTCTCTCCTGGGCCCTATAGTGCCCGGATAAATTCGCACGGCGGTTTTCAAGCTCATCATAAACAGCTGTCCAGTCGGGAACCCAAGAACCAAGGTCTTGACGGTTTTTTCTTCCCATGTCGCCTATTAATACATCCAGCGATCTTTCATCATTGATGATGCTTAAAGCTGCATGCATGTAGACCGATGCTACATCGGCCGTATAGTCAGGTTGAATCCGGGTTCGGCCAGTGCATATACCAAGGAGGGCTTAGATTCTGTCCCTATCATCGGTTGCACCTCGATTACCGAATCGTCTTAAAAGTGAAATCAGGTCCCTACTAACGCGCCTTTTCCAGCACTCTCTCATATCGTCGATGTCGAGAATGACGCGCGAGAAATACCGGAGGACATTCTTGTAATCGGACGGAATTGAAGATGGCTGATTGGCTGCTATGAGATTGGAAGCCTTTGCAGCGCTTACAAACATCTCCCACAGTGAAAATGTTGAGCCATAGATCATACTGGCCTTTGTTGGCACGACGATCTCGTATTGTCCACATCCGGTTCCACCACGGACGGTGCATCATCTGCCTCAGAGCCTCGAAGAGATGTCTTTGAACAGCATCATCTAGGAGTTGATCGAGGTCTGCATCGAACAAGCAGACGGTTTTCGAAAAGTTATTCGAAAACATGAAGTCCGAAATGAATCGGATGAAACAAAACAAGTCGAGATAGCAGTCCCTATCGGAAGAAGCCGGGGTTTTCCGGTTCATGTAGCAGACCCGAAAATCCTGTAATGTCGGAACATCTCTTTAATTGCCACAAAAGACGGTGGAAGTATCGGGCTGCTCTTTTTTGACTGTAGCTTGCCTGTGCTTATGACCAGTTGCAATGCAAGCACCAGGCTTCCGAGTAGAATCCTTGGCTGTCGAACGCTTCCGGTGGCTCGGATTCAGAGCTCTAGGACGATGTTCTTCCGGTTCCCCAATGTAAACATAAGCCTCTTCGGCGCCCATGTATATGTCACGCATGAGACTGACCTGACAACTTCTCTCCGTATTGTCAGACTGATTGATACACAAGGCATCTATCCAGAGTGTGACAGGTCTAGGGCTATGTCTCTGTCTCAGTCGGCGGAGGGCGTATGCGAGGTTGGCTGTGACAAAATACTCTCTGCCATCCAGGCTGATGGGCCTGAGAACCTTTGCAGAGCCCCACACGTATGATAGCGCTTTGTACTTTGGGGATTGATCCAGAAGAGCTAGGCCGATGTCGCAACACGGAGTTTCGTCCCATAGGCCGGGATAAAGCGTTATAGTCCGGATTTGCTGATGTTTAAGCTCGCGATAGACATCCTTTTGGACTTGGTCGTTGGTGTAGAGCTGTTCAACAAGCTTGCTCCTTGGAACATCCATGGAGCTGGGTTGCTTTCGAAACTGAGATGTTGAGAAGCAGAAGGTAGCAGGACCGCAAACGAGAGTTGATATGCGATTAAGTTGCGAACATGGGGCTTTGTATGTACAAAGGTAAGCCTTTATGCTGTGTGAGACTGATAGATGGTGCCCGTTCCATTGGCCTGGAATTCCCCACGTTTAGGGAGATACGTGATGTTGCCAGGCTCCCGTGGACAACGCATTCCGAGTGGCTTAGCTGTATAGCCCCCTACTTACCGCAAGCGTTACCATTTCGAGGTATAAAGCCGTTTCAGTGCAAGACTGCCTTACCGGTCGGTGAACTTATAAAGGAAAGGTCAAAGTGGCTGTTCAAGCTGCAAGCTTGCGTAGGTAGGTAGGTTGTGTGTTCGACGATCTCGATAAGCTGAGAAAGTAGAGAAAAATAATCGCGTGCCGTGGCCATCCTCGTCCTCTTTTGGAGTACAGTACATTGATGTTACCCGGATAATTTTTATCCTTTCTCTCCACGCTCTTTGTACGTACTGTATCCATATCCAGAACAGAGAAACATTGCGCTACAAAATGTTACCTTCTGGTCTATGCTAGGGATGTACCAGAGACGGAAGTTTCTAGCCATTGCACGTACCAAACAGCACCTTCCCTTTACGCCACCACCGCACCACTCTCCAACTCAACCCCAAAAATCCTAACACTGCCATCCTCACTCGCAACGGCCAGCTCCAGCTCGCCTTCCCTCCCCTCTCTCGCCGGCCTCCACGCCAATTCATTAACAGCATCGCTGGGCGCTACGGCCGCCTCAACCGGCACCAGCGCCAACGGGTCTACCTTCTCAAAACTGAACACCGCCACGGTCACCGCGCCCTTCTCGGTCCCGTACGCCAGCGCAAACGTACCATTGGGCAGCAGCGCAGGGCAGAACGCAACAGCAGTGACGGGGCCCTCGGCCGGAAGCGTCGAGATGTTGGCGACGCTGGGGCCGGCGTCCTCGCTGCCGGGCGTGAGATGCCAGAGCTTGACCTTCGAGTCGCGACCTGCGGTGGCGAAGATGCGGAGGCTATCAGCAGCATCGTTGGAGGGAAGCGGCGCCCAGCTGGCGTCGAGCAGCATGCGCGTGTGCGCCTTGTCCTGCGTCAACGCGAGGGCGTAGTCCGTTGCGCCTGGCGCGCTGCGCTTCCAGAGCCCGAACAGCCGGTCGCGTCCTACGCTGAGGAGGTACTCATCGTCAGGGCTGAACTCGAGCCCGGTGACGGTGAGGGAGTGCAGCTTCATGGTCGGGGTGCCCGTTTCGTCTGCGCTGGCTTCGCTCTTGGCTAGGCTGACTTGGCGCCAGGTCTTGGTCTCGTAGAGCCGGATAACCGCGTGCTCGATGCTTGTGGCTCTGCAAGCTGTGGCGACTACGGTGCCATCGTGAGATGCGGCGACGGTGCTGATTTCGTAGCCATGGCCGTACAGCTTCTCGGTTTCGGGCCAGAGGAGGTGCCGGGCTAAGTGATCCTCGAGTGGAGGGTGCGCCAGGTTTAACGTGGATTTGTGCACCACTGATGCAGGATCTACGGCCTCTCGCTCGTCTGCATCGCCATTGACTGCTTCTTCGGCGGCCTGGTCATCAGCGACAGCTTCGATGGCTTTGTTGCTAAGACCCAGCACCGGTATGTTGGCAGCGTCTGGCAGCGCTTTGTCCGGTTCGGCAGCCCGAACCGCCACGCCGGCAAAGTCCTCGATCAAGTTCGCAACGGCAGCAGGTTGATCAAAGACACGAAGCAGCTTCTCGTCGGCACCAGAAACGAAGCGAAGTGGAGTAATGACATCCACGCAGTTGAGATCGTAGCCATGGATCTGAGGCCGCGAGAACTCATGCCAAGACGTCTGGCCGTCCCTCTGCCATTGCGCGAATTGGCGAGTCGTTTGGTCCGCGCTAGTGGAGAGGAGGTATGATCCGTCGTTGGACCATGAAATGCCCCGAACAGATTTGACGTGTCCAGTGATAGCAACACGCTGCGTCCATCTGTCCTCCTCGGCCCCATAACTCCACAAACGCCAGCTTCCCGTGCGACCAAGGCTGACAACACTGTTGCCATCGGGCGACCACAAGCCGATCCAGAAGCCGCCTGTGCTGCCCGTCGCAGTGGTCGCTCCCTTCTGAGCACTGATTTCGCCGAGCCGCGTTATGCACACCCAAACTCCGGACAGGGGATCCGCTTCCCAAATTGATATACTGTTGTCTGCAGAAGCTGAAAGGAGCTGGAGCTTCGGCACTTCGCTTGTACCGGCAGGTTGGTGACGCCACACTGAAGAGTAGATCCAGTCTTCGTGACCAACAAGTAGTGCTTCGAATGTGATGGAGTAAGGGACATTGTTAGACGAGAATATATGCGCCTTGTTGTGCAATGACTTGCCCAATGCACCTAAAGCGGGGTTGTCTGCGGCTTTGCTGACCTCGGGGAGCTCCTCGCCTTGGTGAATACGCCACAAGCGGATATACTTATCTTGGCTGGCCGAAGAGAGAAGAAGGTCAGAAGATTCATCCGATCCCTCGCGAATGAATGCTAGTGACCGAATCCAGTCTTCGTGACCTTTAAGTGTGGCGGCAAGAGTGAAGCCCGATTCTTGTTGAGTGTAGATTTGGATGTTGTTCTTGGTGCCAGCAGAGGCAAGGATGAGAGAAGAATTAGAAAGACGAGCTAGACTTATGGTCATAGGAAAGTATGCGGCTTGGGGCTTTTGCTTAAGGTCAATCGTCTAAATTGACTTAGTAAATGCGCTCGTCATGAAGGCAACTGGATCTTACTTGAAGGGCTTGAACGCCGCTGAACTCCCCGTCATCAGAACGTTCAATCTTGTACGTCCTAATTGTCGCATCGGCAGCACCTGATACGAATATATCTGAGCCTGGCAGTACTGCGATGCAGTTAATAGACGCGGTGTGCGCGGAGAGAACTTCTTTCTGTTGGAACCCGGTGGGGGATGACACATCGCTAGTCCAGACGCGGATGGTGTTGTCGGCGGCACCACTGAGGATTATAGTGTTGCTTGTATTACTAGTTGGAAGAAATTTGACGACATTGACCGTCTTGGTATGTCCGCAGAGAGTAGCATAACAGCCACGCTGACTAGGGTCCTTGTGTTTTGTTAGCGTACGATACAGCAATCATGATAGAGCCGCACAAGCTGCTCTTCAGCTCATTGGTAAACTAAGCCATTGGACCCGGACATCAAAGGCAATATCTCCCTCTGGTTGAAAGAGATGCTGACTAGGCATGAAAGGATGACTGGAAGCGGGAAACACGTGAAAACGGGCATTGATACTTTAGAATATCTGCAAGGGAACATGAGATGGATAAATGAAAATGAATACACACCAAAGGGTTCCAAAGCGCAACGTTATTTCCGGCGCCAAAAGCCAGCAGTCCCGAGCCGTATGGGTCCCAGTCGGCCGCAGTAGGGTGTCTGTTGCCGCCAGCCGCAACGAAGCGAGCTGAAGCCTTCACCATCTCAGAAAAATTCCTATGCTAAAACCTGAGCTCTTTCTGGACCTTCACGCTCGGATCATGTGAGGTGGAAGTAACGCGTGTTTGACGGACGGGGACGGGACAAAACTCAACACCACGACCGGCGTCAGGAATTTCTTCGGCGCTAGTCTCGCGTAATTTTGCCGCGCTGGACGACGACATCCCGTATCAACACCCAACAACCGGACCACGTTGGTTGAATGCTGCACGATAGAAAGAGCAAGGGATAACGACTTGAATTGCGACTGCACGGATATCACAAAAGCGAAAGCAAGCCTCTATTCCGACCGTCAACCTTTGCCTCTCCCTGCGTCTCACTCGATATTTCTACACCATGGCAACCGAAAACACCGTTCCTATCACGGTAGAGTTCACGTATGGGAAACCTCCATTGAGGAGTCAATCAAAATGCTGAGATAAAATCCTCGTGCCTAGCGGCGGTCTTGAGATGCTCTTCTCCAACCAGCGCAAGCACAACATCCCTTTACCCGACAAGGATGAGAGTGGCTCACCTGCCAATATCGCTTTCCTCGTGCGCTATCTCTGTGAGCATATTATGGAAGACCACCGGAAAGAACTGTTTGTGCTGGACGACACCGTGTAAGAACCCTTGCTATTCCACTCAACGCCAACCCGGAGCTCGCTCGATAGCTAGCTGTCTCCACATTTCTGCCTCATAGCTGACACTTGACATAGGCGACCTGGAATTTTGGTGCTCATCAATGATGCCGACTGGGAACTGGAGGGCGAGGACAAATACGAACTGCAGAAGGGGGACAATGTCCTCTTCGTGTCTACGCTTCACGGGGGTTAAAACGTCATATTGCGTTTGTTCCTCAAGGAAAACAACCGCAATCGTGACTGACTATGTGAATATCACAAATCAAACCCGTTCCGTACAGAAATACAGAGGTAAAATACCCTACCTCGCATTCTATAACCACCGATTGAGCATTCCTTCGAACAAGGCCAGCCTATCATTGTACTCTGAAAAACAAAGCTGGTTATTTCCAACTTTGTTTCCCAGACTTCATTAGTTTTCTTTAACAAAAAAAGTCCATGCGACCTCAATGCCGAAAAATTATTGCATGTAATGTAACTGCGTACTTTTTCCAGAATCTGCCATATACATTAGTGTATTTGAAATCTGGTTTATATAATGCAAAACATACATTATCCTCCCTTAGAAGCTCTGAAACGGGTTGTCGTGGGATTTGACTTGTCTCATAATTCATCAGTACTTACCTGTACGAAAAAGATCAGCAAAGAAGGACTCAATCTCCGCCTGGATGCCTTTCAAATGTTAGTTCGAGTGAGCACCTAGCTTGACGGAATGACCGCAATTAACAGGTAACCGTCAAGTGAGTCTCACTGCCTAACGAGATAATGACGCTTGTACAGAGTGGAAGAAGAAATCCAGTCAAGATGTTTATAATATGTGTGCTCTAAGACCTTTTTAGTCGTATTCAGGATTCAGGCCTGTAGCTTAAGGAGCAGTCCGTAGGGAATGCTTATATCGTTCCTTGTCTCGCTAGACGGTGAATCTCAGTCGACAGGGACGGAGGTTACAGGTGCTTGGCGGAGGTGATTCGGGTCAAGGCCGCTAACCCAATTAAGCAACCGAACAGATTGTTATCCTTCTCCTCCATCCACCCTCATCTTCCTGCTGCGCCTTCAATTCCAACTCGTTCCTCCTCCCATCACCCTCACCTGTCACAGCAGTTTGTTTGGAAAGTAAAAGTCTCTTCTGAAGAATTTTCACGTGACAGCGCATTCCCGCGACGCGCGCCTTGCAAGGGCCCTGGTTAGGCTGCGTCATGTCATCAAACAGAGCCTCGCTGTCTTCCGACGATTCTCAACCTCAACGCGAAAAATTGCCCGGCCGCTCTCAAATGGACTCGTCAGACAATGAAGACCTTAGCCTCGCTATCGCAATGTCTCTTGAAACGAGCAAGGCTCAGTCAGGCCCTGCAGTCAACCACCAAACGGGTGAAGCTTCAACGATGAACAACGAAGATGCATCTACCAACAAGTCACAGCCTGCAAGCACCGTCGGCCTCTCAACGGCGGCTCGTAAGCAGCTCGAGCAGGAACGACTCAACCGCCAAGCTGCACGCAAGCGTCAAGCCAGCGTGTCTGCTTCCCCGCCTTTAGCTAGTCGCACCGGAGGAAATGGTAACCCTAAGAAGCGTCGCGCCCTTGGCGCCAGAGAAGACCTAACTCCTAATACGGTAAGAACTTGTTATGCTTACAAAAGAGCACAGAGCTTGACAGATTTTACAGGGCATTAATCTCACGACTCCCGAAGCTGAGCAGGCTAATCCAAAGGGTCCCCAGTATCCTAAACCCACCATCAAGCGGACCTGGGCCCAGGGATGTCAGCGTGGTGGTGACATCAAGATTGAAGAGGTGTTACAGAAGGACAAGTTGCAGTTATGCGTGATGAGCACTTGGCAATTCGAGACTACTTGGTGGATGGACAAGATCGACTGCATGAAGACGAAGCAGGTTTGGATCATTGGCGCAGCCGACGAAGATATGGTAAGCATCTTGCATAATCCTCAGGCACTTGAACCTCTAACACACATGATTGTAGCACAACTCCTTCGCGAAGGGTCCAGGAATGATTCCGAACCTCTCTATATGTTTTGTCGATATGAAGGGTGTGGTCAACATAAACCATGCTAAATTGTACAAACCTTCCCTTTGCGACACTCGCAACCCAGTTTCCGCTGACAATTTATAGCATGCTCCTGAGCTTCCCCGGATACCTACGTATCGTCATCACTACGGCAAACACGACTAGCTATGATTGGGGAGAGGGCGGTGGTGTCATGGAGAATGTAAGTCTCGTAGGACACCGCAAATGTACCCATTTGGCTGACAATTTTAGTCCGTCTTCTTGATTGATTTACCTCGCCTTCCCGACAACCAGCGCATTGACGAAAGCAACTTGACATTCTTCGGCAAAGAACTCCTCGGGTATCTGCGTTACTGCAATATGGGCACATCAGTGGCCAACAGCATGCTCAAATTTGATTGGTCTGAGACCAAGGACCTTGCCTTTGTCCACACCAAGGGCGGCAGTCATGTTGGCGGGGATGCCTACAAAACTGGCTTCCCTTACCTTTCAAACGCCATCAAGAAGCTCGAATTACAAACTGCTCAGGACACGATGGAGATGGATTATGCCACCTCATCCTTGGGTGCGCTCCGACGTGGTTTCATGAGACAAATGCGTCTTGCCGCCGGCGGAGAAGATGTAGAAGACCCTTCGGAGGTAGCAGAGTACGACAAAGGTATCGAAGTAGATGAGAAGTTCCGCGTCTACTTTCCTACTGCCGAGAGCGTAAGAGCCAGCAAGGGAGGACCAGACAACGGCGGCACCATCACTTTCCAGAAGAGGTTCTACGCTGCACCAGGTTTCCCCAAGCATGTTCTACGCGACCACCAGTCGCGCCGTTTGGGTATGCTAAGCCACAGCAAGATGCTTCTGGTCCGCGGCCAGCAATTGGTGGGTGAGGGCGATGAGAAGGGACATCAGAACATAGCGTGGGCATACGTGGGAAGTGCCAATCTGACGGAGAGCGCGTGGGGTTTTCTGAAGAAGGCGGGCCGTGGGAACAACAAGACGGTCAGGCTGGATTGCCGCAACTACGAGGTTGGAGTGCTGGTGCCAGTGCCCTACACCGAGGCCAACAAGATCGGCAGCGTCGAGCCAGGCATTGTGCCGGGCTACGACGTCTTCGACGGGACGCTGGAGATTCCGTTCCGTACCCCTGGGCAGAAGTACGGGGTGAGGAAGCCATGGTTCTACCAGGACATGCTGATTGGCTGAGTTGAGGGGGTGGGTGCGCACGCCTTTTAGCGGGGGTGGTGTAGTGTAGCTAGCTATGGTGAAGGAGGGCGCGCGATGGATTAGGCACAGATGGCAAGCGGTAGCGACGGAATGAGTCTTCAATTGATGAATGAAAATTAAATGGTGTGCGCGGCGTGACGTCGATCGGGGGAGCTTGGGAGTCGTTGGGGGAGCTCAAGTCAAGTCACAGCGTCACGGAAGTTGGTGCAGCCGGGATCTTTGCACAACACCAATGTCAGCCGTAAATCGTTGACAGTCTCCGCGCACAGCCGGCGACAGCTTCTTCCGCCTCAGCGCCGCCGTCTGCCCCCTTCCCCCCCCCGTTTTACAGCCGTCTGTCTGCTGCCACACAAGTCGCACCCTGCGCCCATGGCCTCAGAGCGGCACTCGACTCGACCGTTGCCGCCGCCGCAGCCGGACAATATCCTCTACACAAGCCCCGTCGCGACGTACCAGGCGCGCAGCCTACCGCTGAACATCTTCGCTCTGATTCTGACCTATGTGTGTGTTTGGGCCCCGAATCCCTCTTGAAAGCGGACGCACGGCTAACAAGCTATTCTAGATCGATGACTTGGGCGACCTCGCGCGCATCACGCGCACGTCGCGGCTATGCTACTACATGGCGCTGCCGCGGCTGTATGACAAGGTGACGCTGCGGTCGTACTCGGAGTTGCGCTACACGGAAGATGGGCGGCCGGAGGGCTACGGCAGCGGCAGCCCGTTCTCCATGGGCCTCAATGGGCTGGTGACGAAGAATGTGGCCCATTACGTGCGCAGCTTGCGGCTGGTGGGCCACTGGCGCGAGAGCGACAACGACGACTTCAAGAAGGGCCGGGTGCCGGACAACTCGATGATGCTGAACATTGCGGTGCGGGCGGCCATGGACCGGATGGAGCGGCTGGAGGAGTTCCAGTGGGAGCTGAACACCAAGCCGCTGCAGACCATCTACTCGGGCTTCCTCTCGTGCCCGACGCTCAAGTCGCTGACGCTCAAGTTCCCGGCGACGCGCATTCCGCGGCCGACGGTCATGATCCCGCCGCTGCCGAACCTGCGCGAGTTCAAGGCCCTCGACATGGACCCGCTGTGCTACCCGGACGACATTTCCATGCTTTTGCTGCACAGCAAAAAGCTCGAGTCGCTACACCTGCACTGGTCGCCACGCATGCGCGAGGCCGGCGAGGAGAGCACCAACCTGCACGCCTACTTTGGCCGCACCATCGCCGCCAACTACCGCCTGCCGCTCAAGAAGTTCAGCTTCATCAACCTGTACACGCGCGCCAACGTCGACCTCGAGTCCCTCATCGATATTGAGGGGCTGGAGGAGGTCAGCTTCATCAACTGCAACACGCGCGACGCCATCACCGTCTTTGTCGACGAGACGTGGCGCATGGTCGAGTGGCGCCACAGCCCCAAGGCCCTGAAGATGATGCGCGGCGACGTGCTAGACTCGAAGCAAGCCGGTGTCATGGCCACCCTGAAGGGCCTGGAGCGACTGTACCTCGTCAACGCGCGCTCGCGCTCCGACCGCACCACGCCGCCTTGCAACAGCGTCAGCATCAACACCAACGCGTTCGACACGCGCACACCGCCGAATTCCGGCTCAACCCCGTCGACGCCCATGACCCGCGAGCACGCGTCCATAGCCGGCGACTACCTGGCCGCCATTACGCGCCAGGTGGGCCCCTCGCTGCGGCACCTGCTGCTGAGCGACCAGTGGGTGCTGGAGCCGGCGGTGCTGATGACGCTGGCGCGGGCATGCCCGAACCTCGAGCAGCTGGGCATTGCGGTGGCGGTCCATGACCTGGAGGCGCTGCACCAGGCACTACGGGTGCTGCCGCGGTTGTTTGCGCTGCGCATCCTGCTGACGCGGTTGAAGGCCGAGGCGATCGAGCTCATGCAGAGCGTGGCTGACGAGCTGCACCAACAGGTGCTGGGCTACGAGCTGCGGCATGCGCCGTGGGACCACGTGCGCTGGCTCGGGGTGGGCGACATGTCGTTTGAGCTGGGCGGGACGCACGTGGTGCCGCTGGACGCGGCGGCCGCGGCCGGCTCGAACGGTCCGCAGGGGCGCGGCCAGGGCGACGAGCTCGCCGTCCGTCGCATTGTGACGCGCGTGGAGCCCGAGGCCGTGCGCGACATTGAGATCTGGAAGATGGATTCTTTTGAGGTGTATTGAGTGGGAAGAAGGGAGAGAATGGAGAGGGAAGAAGCATCGTGTTCGGAATGGTCACGGCAACGCATTTCCTCATGCATGGCATAGGGGACGAGGACGAAGTCGAAGCCAAAGCCTCTCGCCGTGTCCAGACAGCGGGTTGCGGCGGGGGAGCGAGACATTGGCCATCACGAAGGTACGCAGGTACGCAGACACGACAGCAAACGCAGCAAACGTCGAGCAAGAGCTCCACGGCCACGTCGGCCGGCCCCGCGCCGGCCTCCTACCTACATACGTACGCGCCCTATGCAAGTAGTCATGCAACCAGCACGCGAGGGTAACACGGCAGCTACAGTCGAAAGCTCAACTCGGCTCAGCTCAGCCCTGCTCAGCTCAGCTCAGAAAGAAGCAAAAGCAAAAGCAAAAGCAGCACAGCACAGCTCAAGCCAGCTACAGCGCTCCATCAGTCGGTCCGACGACGACAAACACTCTACCCTTCCAGCGGAGGAAATCCGCCGGAGAAACGGGCGGCGGCGGCGGCGGGTCTGGTCCGGTCTGGTCCGGATGGATGGATGGATGGATGGAGGAAGAAGGCCAGGTAGCTAGGTAGGTAAGTAGGTAGCCCAGCAACAACGGCAGCCGGATAGATCAGATGTGAGGTGGAGTATGAGGGGTGAGGAAGGATGGGTGTAGCTACCTACAGCTGCTGCCGCCTCGCTCGCGTCCGTAGAAGGGAAAGAAGGAAAAAGGGAAGGAAGGAAGACAAAAGACTGAAGTCACAAAATGGCGTTATTTACCTTTCATTCATTTATCTGTTTTGATACTAAAAGGGACAAAAGGCGGCGCGCGCGGGCTCTATACCCTACTCCACTCCCCGCCACTCTACTCCAATTGAGGGTTTTCTCTTTCGTGTTCTTTTCTTCTTCGTTAATTGGCTGAAGTGGGCTGGGCTGGGCTGGGCTGGGCTGGGCTGGGCTGGGCTAGATGGGATTAGATTGGATGAATGGATGGATGGATAGCTGGCTGACTAGCTGGCTGCAGCGGCAGTGAGTGGCACGTAGATACCTACCTAGGTAGACAACTACATAGACGCATAGAAAAACGCTACAGCACACAACACAACATCACCACCCCCCCTCACCAAGCCCTAAATCCTCGCCCTCTTCATCCCCGCCCTCAAACCCACCAAGATCATCCAAATCCCCCAACTCCAAATCCACAAGCATGACCTCCCCGACCCTCAATCTCGCCGCGCCCACGGCCTCAAACCGCCACCAGCGCACCGCGCCCTCGCATTTCCTCTCCGCTTTCGGTGGCACGGGTGTCGCGCTCCCGCTGTCTCCCAACCCCCTAGACGGCGCCGCGAGCGCGCACCCCAGCGCCTCGGCGTGGATGGGGGGCGCGCGGGGGGCGAAGATCTGCTCACTATCTCCAGAAGAAGAAGCAGAAGAAGTATGCCGCACAAGCCTCACCGTCCTGACATCCACGCCGACCCACCACGCGCTAGCATTCGTGACAGCCCAGTCACGCGCCCGCTCCGGGACCGGCGCGCCGGGCATGCCGGGCAGGTCGGCAAGGGGGTTGTTCCACTGTTTGGCCGGGGTGGAGGCGTTTGTTTCCGCGACTGCGAGGGCGAGGGCGAGGGGACCCAGGTGCAGGGAGGCGGTGGAGTTTGCGCGGGGGAGGGGGGCTAGGGGGGCGGGTGATAAGGAGGAGGGGGGGAGGAGGGTGTATGTGAGGGAGAGGTGGCCGGCGGGGAGGGGGAGGGGCGCGAGCCGCGTGTGCGTGTTGGGGTTTAGGGGGAGGGTTGTGTTTGTGCTGGTGCTGGTGAGGGTGACGCTGCTGCGCGCGGCGTCGGCCCAGGACGGCACGCGCAGGTGCAGCGTGAAGGGCGCGTCGGCATTGACGGCGTAGTGCAGCGTCAGGGAGAAGGGATAGCGCGTCGAGCACTCGACGTCGACGGTCCCGCCACCCGCCGCCGGCAGCAGCGTCGTCCGCACCCTCGACGGCACCAGCAGCGCGTGCGCGATGCCGTCGTCGGCGACGCGCGCCCACGCCGCGGCGGCGAAGCGCGGCCAGCCCTGCGCGTGGTTGACGGTGCAGCAGGGGTAGTTGCCCTCGACGGTGAACATGGTGCCGCGCGAGCCGACGTTGAAGAAGCGGTTCTGAGTGGCCGGCAGCTCGGCCGCGGCGGGCTGGTTCGCCTGGCCGACGTACTGGCGGGCCCACGCGTCCGGGGCCAGCTGCGCCGGCAGCGCGTTGAAGGCGAGGCGCTCGGCGGCGTCGGCAAACGTGGCGTCGCCCAGCGTGTGGTAGAGGGTTGTGAGGCTGCGGAGCGTCTCGACTACGGTGCAGGTTTCTGAGCCGTAGTAGGGCGCCAGGCCCGCGAGGCGCTCGTCGGCGAGCAGGGCGCCGTACGTCGTGGCGTGGTGTTCGAGGGTTTTGAGCACGCCGAGGCGGGTGAGCGCGGGCAGCGTCGCGTTGGCGGGCTTTAGGCGGCGGATTGTCGCGAGGGTTTTGAGGCCTGGGGACGTAAGTGTAGGTAGATTGGCCGAAGAGGATATACTCACCTTGGCCGGCATTGACGCCGTGCTCAAACGGATACCGGGGCCCATCACTCCCCTCGGTATCCAAGAAATTCAGGTCGCCCTCGATGAAGCCGTCCTTCCACCACCACCCCCAGTCCATGGCGCCCTGGACCAGCAGCTCCATGCACTCCCACAGCTCCGCCTTCCACGCGTCCCCCGTCCCCTCCCGCTCCACAACCCACATCAGCACGCCCAGCAGATCCGCCACGCGCACGCGGCCCCACGCAAAGTCCGCAGAGCTCAGCTCGTCGCCCTCGCGCCAGACATAGCCGGCCAGCCCATCCCGCAGCATGCCCACCAAGCACGTACTAAACCTCCGCAGAGCACGCAACACCTTCCCTTCCCAGACATCCGGCTCGACCTCGACCAACCCCACCAACCCCATCAACAACGGATACCTTGCCCACAGGTTCCTGCCCCTTCCAACCTCGGGCCCAATCCAGCCATCCGCCTGCTGCAGCGCGAGCACTCTGTCCGCGGCGTCGCGCGCCTGAGCGAGGACAGCATCGCCAGCCTCGCCGCCCGCCAGCGCCCCCAGCGGCACGGCGCCGTTCAGCCAGTACGGCAGCGCCTCGCGCAGGCCCGAGTACTCGGCGCCGCTGGCGGCGGGCGCGTGCAGCCAGCTGCTGTTGGCGACGGGCGCGTAGAAGGCGTAGAGGTGGCCGGCGAGGCCGGTGGCCGAGAGCTTGAGCTGCGTGCGGAGCCAGCCGGTTGGGTGCACGGCGCCGAGGGGGAGGGGCGTGAGTGCGAAGGGGAGAAGCGTCGTGTTTGTGTTGTTGGGCGCTGCTGTTGCTGTTGCTGCTGCGGGGAGCAGCAACCCCGCGGCGAGGGAGACGAAGACGCAGACGAAGAGACGGAGAGAAAAGGTCGCCATGGCGGCATTCGTACCTAGGTAGATAGAGACTCTTGACGCGACGACAGAGCAGAGCAGAGCAGAAAGCAGGCACAGAGACAACTTAACAAAACAAGACCAAAAGAAAAAAAGACAAGAAAAAAAAAACCCCACCCACAGCAGCGCACCGCGCCTAAGTACCTACCTACCCCATTCCACCCCACAATCCGTACCTAGCTAGCCATACACCATACACCGCACGCTCGCACGATGACGTCGCTGCACCTCTCGCAAACAATAGCATTCGCAGTTAATGTACGGATCCGTATGTACCTAGCTGCACGAGGACAAGGCAAGGCAAGGCAAGTACGCATGCATGTGCCTCTACCCGCGCGTGTCACCTGCCCGTCCCGTCCTGTCCCGGTGGCTATGTAGGGCAGAGAGAAAAGGGCAAACGGCAAACGGCACCTTGCACGTACTGCATGTATTTACGTACATACATGCATCCATCCATACCGGCCGACGGCCGACGACGACGACGTCGTTGCGAAATGCCCACAAGCAAGGGGGTGTCCAGTGTGCTGTCGTCGTGTGCGGGGAAGCAACTGTTGCCGGCCAATCCCCGCTCACCACCTACGACTGAAGCGAGGTTAGTCACCCGCGAGCGACCCTGCGGGTGGTTATATCTGCTACAGATGTACCCACGTTACACGCACTCTGTCTCTTGCAGCTAATCATTTCCTAGCGCATCACAGCCATCCAATCAAATCAACCAATCAATCACTCAATCACTCAGTCACTCAATTCCATCCATAGTTAATTCTACTAAAACAGCCTCAGCCCAAGCCGAAAGCAAGCGCAAACAGGGAGGGGGAATAGGAAAGCCACAACAAGGCCAAGAGAAGAAAGAAAACCAACCAAAGCAAGCATCAAGAAGCAAAAAGCAATGCAAAAAAGACACAGCATTAGTATATACAGCTCCTACGCTGAATCAATCCAGCCATCAATCCATCAATCAATCATCAAAAGGCCGCGAGGCGGGTATCAGGAGGTGTGAGAGAAAGAGAGGGCATCAGGGCAAGAGGACCTAAGCATCAAAGCCGCTCCTGTCTCTACCCCTACAGTACGTGGTCTGCTCTGCCCTCTCTCGCTCTCTCGCTCTCTCACTCGCTCGTCCATCCAGCAAGTCATTCACCACCACCCATTCATCGATGCCATCCATCCATCCGTCCGTCCGTCTTTCCATCCAGTTGTTCGTCCGCCCACGTGAAGAAGGAAAAGAAATAAAGGAATAAAGAAAAGAAGCCTCGCCGAATTAGGATCCAATCCAATCCAGTCCCAGTCCACTCCACTCTCCCAGTCTGCGATTATCGTCCCATGTCCGGTGTGTGCCGTACCTGCGCGTCCAGGCCGTTATAACGGCCCCACGGCTTCTTTTTCCCCGCGAGAAAATCGAAAGAGAAAAGAAAAAAAAAAAAGAAAACAAACAGATTATTACATCTTCCGCCCAGTACGTTATCCACTCCCAGCTCCGTGCTATGCAATTCTGCATCTGCCAGCAGCTAGCAGCAGCCAGGAAAGTTCCACCAGGCTCTTTCAGACGCCACCAAGTTCTTCCCCAACTCCGTTCAGCAGACTTCATTTATTTGTTGTTGTCGCTCTTCTTGTTGTTCAGGCCAAAGTACAGGCCGACAACCAGGGCGATGATGCAGATGATGATGACGAATACGAACAAGGCCCAGCGGCGCAGGCGGTTGCGGCGCTTGATGTGCTCGATGCCCTTGTCCAACTGCACGTTGGCTTGCTTGGTCTGATCCAACACCTCCTCGGTGCGTCCCTCCGTCTGCTCGATCTGCGGCTCCTGCAGCACCACCTGCTCGTTGAGCTGGGTGAACAGCAACGCCAGTTCGCCCATGGTCTTCTCGATGCGCTGGATGTCGTTGTGACGCGCGCGCACCGCGCCCATGACGCTGTTGGCGTGTCCGGCACGGTTCGATTTGAGCTGTGGGCACACTCTTGTTAGCTAGTGCGTTCTTTATACTGGGGTTTTGCGCTGAGCGGCGCTCGCGCGAGCTGGTAGTGGACATACTGCAGTCTGGAAAATACCCTCGCTGCCAAAATCGGTCTCGGCCGCTTGCTCGACCTCCTCCTCTGTAAGCTCCGGGTTGACAATGCGGACCTGGCGCCTGATCTGGTCGCGATAGCGTTCACGGTAGTCGGCTTCAAGGCGCTGATAGCTTTGGAGTTCGTTGGTAAAGCTGGTCTTCAGGTTGCGGACCTGGCTGTGCTTGGCCGGGTTGCTGCCGGCGCGCACGGCATCCGTCTCGAGGAACTTAATTTCGTCCTTGATAGTCATGTTGAGCGTCTGCGTGCGGGAAACGAGGTCTTCGAGCTGCCTGTTGGCGCCGCTGTCGCCCGTGTCGGACAACAGGCGCTGATGGATGGTGCTGATCTGGGTGATGTGCGACGTCAATTCGCGGATGCGCTGCTTGGCGCCGTCGACGCGCGTGAGGAAGGCATCATTGCTCATGATGCCATGGCTGTGCACAGCTGCAGGCTGGCCAGCATGGGCGTCGGAGTACTGCGACGGCTGCGAGTAGTTGGAGGCCTCTTGGTGCGTGAGCGGCGGAGGTGCGGCGGCCGTGTTCTGATGATATGCGAAACTGAACGTTAGCTGAGGCCGTTCGTCTGACGTAGACGCGCATGTGAAAGAGGTGATGACATACCGAGCCGCCGTACGGGTTGGAGCCGTAGCCGCCGCCAGTCGTGTTGCCGTAGGGGTTGGCGGAGGCACCGTAGCCGTCGCCGCTCTCGTACGGGTTACCGCCGTACTGCTGGTAGGACATTGTGGGTGGAGGTCAGGCGGTGATGGCGCGGTGCGAGTTGTCGAGTCCCGGTCGTGTTGTCGAGTCGGCGGGCGGGAGACGGCGGAAGTTATTGACGCAATGCGCTGAGTAAGAGGGCGTGGGCGGAGAAGGCAATGGCGGGAGAGCAGTTCGTCGACGAGAGGGAATGTGCGACGAGTTAAGGTGTGGTCGAGGTCGTGGGTCGGTGAGCGAAGTGAAGGAGAGCGAGAGAGAGAGAGAGAGAGCGAGAGAGGTTTAATTTGGGGCCTTGCGCATGTTGCCGGGGCGCAGTGCAGCTGGAGCGTCGCCAGCCAACAACAAGGCACAATCACAAGGGCACTGTGGCTGCGTAGGCTCTGCGCGCGAATCACGGCGCGAGCTTCTGCTACACTGCCCTCTTTTTTGCCATTCACTCTCGCACAAACCCTCGCCGTTCCAGCTAGACACGTTCTCACCGTCATCCTTCATGAAGATTGGCGCTCCCTCGGCGCGCTCCGCGGCCCGCGATACGGTCCCCCAGCGCCCGTGTGCCTGAACATCAATCGCCTGCCCTCAGTGCCCGTTCTCCCTAACATTGATTTTCCACTTCCGATGAAACAAAATTCCACAATCCCCCGCCGCATCCGTGCTGCCGCTTCTCTGTCGCTCGATAAGATAGCCGACTGGAGGCTGCAGCCGTTCGCGGCTCAAACGTCTCTCACCGACCCTCCCGCCGTTTGTGCTGGCGTACGCGCGGGTGACCTCTGCCTGACCACCCGAAAGCCACCGCCCACCGCCCACCGCCCACCGCCCCAAAATCAGCCCCCAGGCAGGCCCCATCTGCGCTGGCCAAGGATAGAAAAGAAGGCGATGCAAATTCCCACACTGACCAGCGGTCCGCATTTCATCACTCCTATATAGCGTGACTTCGGGTACGTATCGAGGTATCCATTGCCTGATGCGGATACGATGTATTCGTCACCACTCGCATACTTGGCCGTCTCCGCGCACCGTTTCTCCACGAATGTCTTGGGGTGTAATGCCGTTGCTCGCATTCACCCTTGAAATCTAGGGCGAGAGTTCGGTGTAAACAACAGAATGCTCTAGGCCTTGGAGACAGCCTGGTAAGCTTATGCTGCGGCAACAGCCAGATGGGGCAGTGGCTGCGAAAACAAATGTGGAGGATTGCGCGAACCATATCACTAGCCGTCTGGTTGGGCGTCGAAACACGTTTAGGTGACTCTTTGTCATGACACAGCCTCTCTGCACATTGCCACTAAGGCGTATGTAGTAAAGAGACATTCGATGGACAACAAAGTCACCGCCAGTTTTAAGTTTAGCCTTGGCTACTATTACAAGGGAAGCAAAGCTTGACGTGGAAAAAAAAATATTGGCTTCTCATGCCTAGGTCCAGCCCACCAGGCTAAAGGATAGGAAGGGTTATTGTGCTTCTTGAAGCACCAGCGACTTACCGTTCGACTACTTGAATGAGACCCTGGATGCTGTCCAATTCCAATGGCGGAGATGCTCAATGCCTCTGTTGAAGCTGAGGTCTGTGCAGCATACCCCGTCACCGTTCTTTGAAACAGTTCCTTCACTGAGCCAAGTTTTTGAATCAATGCTTGCAATTCTTTCGTCAATTGATACCACGATAACAATAGGGCCTTTCATCGATGACTGATTGAATTACAGACGTTGTATCTGCTTGAGCCATCTTCGAGAGAGTAACGTTAAGCTTGGGATGGATCACGGGTAAGACGAAAGATATTTACTAAAAGAATCTAATGACTTCTTTGCATTCCAACAACTGTGGTGCAAGCTAGTACTGCCTTAAGTACATCAGACTGTCATCCAAAACAGACTCATGCCCTCAATCATGCTGCAGACCACGGGGCTTGCCAGGCTACTCCTTCATTCCCTCTTCGAAGATGCTCATCCAGCGAGACCACTCGCAAGGCTTGTTCTCGCTGGAACAATGACTGCAGTTGATACAACCGTCACAGGTCTTGCCTTCAACGCCCCAACAGTTGTTGCACATGAAGTTGGTATCCATTTCCTTGATCGTGTTCTCGAGGGACTTCTGGCGGCCCTTCAGCTTGGCCACAGCTGCACGATCCACCATGCGCTTTTCCTTCTCGGCTTCGACTTTCATACTCTTGATTTTCGCCTCTAGAGCGAACCACTCGTCCTCGATGGCTCCGTACCGCCAGGTCCTAACATCGTCCTTGGGCTTCAACTTGTCAGCGACGGCCTTCCCCTTGACAGCTTCGAGCTCTTCTTTGATAGCGTTCGTGTCTAGATCACCTACGTCGACCATGGTGGGCGGGAACGTCTTGTTGAGTTTGTCCTTGGGACGGCTGGGCAGGACGCGAATACCGGTCAAGTTCAGGTCAATGATCTCGTTCGCGATGTCAAGCTCTCCGGTTAGACGGCTGATTTCCTTGTCCTGGGCAATCATGTCCTCTTCTTGCTCCGCAATTTTCTTGTCCTTGGCGGCGATAACGTCGATCAGTTCGGCAATTTTGTCCTTTAAGTCTTCGACGCTGGGAGTAGTGTTGACGAAACTCAGGCGCGACATGGCGTCTTCCGGTTCCTTCGTCATGGTTATGTCTGGATGGGAGTGATCTGTTTCATGTCAACGTTGTTCAACCAAACCATTGGCACTTGCTGCCATTAAGAGTAAACTTTGTGCGCATGTTGGCATTTTAGACTTGGGTGCGTACATTTGAAGACAATAAATGCTGCATTGTCTGGTTCGTAGCGAGACGGTTGGTTGATGGATAATTAGAAAAAGAGAAGACGTACTGCAAGGGAGGATTTATAATGGAGCAGAGACGGCCGATCATTAGCGACTGCCGTGGTGTTAAGTGAGTGGGAGTACGCGATTGGTTACTGCTGATGTTTTAATAGCGAGTCTCTTCAGATCTTCTTTTTCACCGTTTTTCAGTCACATCCACCGAGGGTGAGTGACCTTTCAGTCTTAAATCAACCCCCCTTCCGCTTCTTCTTGCTCCGCCCGACCTTCATCTTCCCCACATCACTCACCTCTTTACTTACCAAAGGTACCAATTAACACACTTGCTCTTAACATAAATTCCCATCAACAAAGCTAACATTCGCACTACTAGACTTCACTGCAACATGGTCGGCCTACTTACACCCCAGCGTATGGGTCATCGACATACAAAATCAGACTCGGCCTTCGTCGTTCACCTCACCACGCGTGCCGCCCTGGACAATGAGCGTGACCTCGTTGCCAACATGGGAAAACTCACCTTAGACGTCGAGGGCCTCAAGCAAGAAGCTTCAGTGAAGAACAATAAGATTGAGTCCCAGAAGACCCTGATCGAGAGGCTGGAGGTCAAGAACGAGAACCTCAGAACCAGCCACTACAACAACAAGCAGTTCTTCAAGAACGAAGTCACCGAGCGCGATGCCAAGATATTCAAGCTCATGACTGAGCTCAATGAGACGAAGACATCCCTTCACCTTGCCGAGAAGCGAGCGGCCCAAGTCGCAAACATGGGACGCCTCAAAGAGCGCAACCAGGAGCTTGAGCGGAAGCTCGCAATGCTAGCCACCAAGAGCAATGGAACGGGAGACACGGAAGCCAAAGCCGGTGGCACGCACGAATCGCCGAAGCGTTCTAACCTCACCGAGCCACCGCGTGGAGTCTTCATCTCAAAGGAGATCCAGCAGGATGCCGTGAAGTGCCACAAGAGACGTCGCACTAACAGCTTTGGAGAACGAAAGGACTACAACGGCACGAAGAAACTGTCCTCCAGCCCTTGAAACTGGATCGGAATAACATACGCTACATGACGAGAAGGGCGGACATCCGGACAGATGATGGCTTGCAGTTTTTGCTCCATGGTAAATGGTGGATTGGATGAGTGGTTTTGGATGACAACAGCTTTCTCTTCTCTCGGCTTGAGATCTTTTGAGGTAGACAACGAATCAATCTACGTTCCTTCACGTCTTGGTATCCACATTTGAATTCGCGTTTTCTTCTGACGAGACGGTACGAAGCCAGGTCACTGTAGAGCGAAGCCAGATGGGCGGCCACTTTCTGCCAACAACTGTTAACACAAACAATCAACATCAATCACCACATACGGCCATAGGTCACAGAGAACATGGCATCCCGTTCGCTCTGCCAAAATTAAGCTGTGAACCGGCTGATTAGTAGTCAGGTGGGTGACCACTGGCGAATCCCAGCTGTTGTATGTTTTTATTTTCATTTTTGCTCAGTGGAGATTCTGTTGTTGATACTGATGAGAGCTGCTGTAAACGGATTCGTTTGTTTTGGCTCATGGTTTCCTAGCTCTTGCGAAGTGTTTGTTTTGTAGTTGTGGTGGAGTCGGAGGAAGTGGAAGATGGAGACCGGCTCTCACGGATCAATTCCTTCTCCGTCCCTATTCCAGACTTCACCTTATCTCCTTGCACCAAAGCTTCAACAACATTTTATGCAAAAAGACCACTAATATGCTTGATGAAGTCATTCTGTCTGTCAGAAGCACCAATGGCAAGGACTCGTGGTTGAACTATCGGTAGCAACTGCTGTCCACGCAGAAACCTGTATTCACTGCACCGGAAGAGCCGGTTGCTTACCTCGAATTATCGGCCTGCACTGTCGGATCATGAGACTGATTTGCACTACAATTCATGTGCGCTGACGGCCGAGCCGGGATTTCACCACGGTATTGTATTGCGAAAGAGCAAGGGTTGTCTATGGCAAATGACCGACCGCGATTCCACCCGTATTTGGTTGGGTATGCCGCGGTCGGGTGCGCCTTAAACATGCGCCGTGATAAAATTTGGCGGTAGGCTAGCGAGCAAGTGAATAGGAAGCTATCCGAAAGGTAGAAGTAAACTAGTGGGACAAGCGAGTGCGGGAGTTGAGATGGCGTATTTGTCTCGCATCACTGGGGATTGATCACCATGATGGTCATAATGATCATTCCCAAGTTTGTTAGTGTGGGCGGGAGTTGTGTCTTTACAGGACTGTTAATGCAAAGGTAAAAGCCTTGATTCCGGCTGATTTACCCGTAAGTACCGATCCGTACGTTCACACTGCACATACGATGTGTGATAATGTGTGAAGAAAAAATAGTCCCGTTTTCCTGGAAAAATATAATAATGACGTTGTCGATTTTAACACCACTTATGTCTTCTTAACATGTTTCTACTTTTAAGGTTTGCCATTGTTATGACCTTCATAAATACCTGTCTTTCTTTGTTGTGTTGGAGCTTACAACTCACCTTTCGCCTTCCCTCCCTTTCAAACAGCTCATGTCTCTTTCCAGGCCACCAAAATTTCTCGCAACCCCAATCAATTTACCAGAATGCGACCATTCCTCGAGGCCGGCCTTCGAAACTGGCATAGAATGCTAGGACTCCCTCAACAGGCCACCCGATTTTGGCACCGGGATCGCCTTCGCAAGGAACTTCGTGAGGCGCCTACGCCATTACTGAAGCTCAGCGAGTCTTCCGATGTCTTCTTCAGCATCAGTCGGGCTCGTTACGACGGATTTGCCATCCGGAGCCTGCCCTCGCTGGCTCCTCCACGTCACCTCCTGGTATACGCATACATGCTGGGCAAATTCACCATGAGGTGGGCGTTCTACAGGACCGTCGCCGTCCTCTGCAAGGCCCCGAACCGCCAGATGGTGAACGAAGTTGTCAACCCCGGTAAAAACCATAAGCTTTTCGAGGTCGCCACGCGCCACAACATCGATTCGAAGAAGTTCTTGCGGGTTGGCCTCCTGGTGCGTCGTGTCTGGCCTCTACTTCCGTAGAGATGGGCAGGGTGCATCACAGTGGCATTTGCGGTGCCACAATACAAAAAGTTTGGAACGACAACACAACTTAAGGATTTGGCCATGTTGTTCCCTTGTCGCTTTAACAAACTCCAATCAAACCGTCTTAATCGCATATGAATTGTTGCAGGCCTTGACAGTGCAGTACGGCATGCTAGCACGCTCTTCGGGTTTAATCACTAAATAGCACGCTGTTCTTTTCGGCTTACCGTGGTCCTTTTTTCTTTAACACCTCTCTCAATTCAACCTTTACCGAAAATGCAGGGCTCTAAGCTCCTGTAGCTCCCGCTAAACCCCACCTGCGCCAGGTGTCATATCACAGACACTGAAATAGTTCATCACAGTGCTCACACCAACGACACAATAGACGCTTTCCAGCAGGTTCCAGGCGTACTGCCAACCTGAAATTATGCTATTACCGCCCTGTCGACTGTCCAACCGAACCCCGATAATATTTTCCTTCAAACTTCAAGTGACATAACTCCCTCGATCGCTCAAAACGAACAGCCCCGGCCTCAGATCCGTTTGGCAAGACAATGAACTTGCGGATCTGTACATTGCCCATGTTAGTCTTGTCAAAGCGGTCAAGGATAGGGGTTGTTGTACAAAAACACACACAAAAGTTCATTCTGTTAAGCAACGAGACAGAATAGCGGAGTTGGAGAATATGGTCAGAGAGTTCAATGAACAAAACAAAAAGCTATCAAGAGACTGGCAGGGAAAAGCAAACAGCTTGATCATTTGATGTCGTACATTCAGGACACGGCTCTTGTCGTCAGCACAACACTGAAATGGAGATTGATGGGAAGAAGGCTAAGTGTATGGCAAGGTTCGCGGAGCTCAAATAAAAGAACAGCCGTTGGAAGAAGGAGCACCAGGAATATTGTAGGAACCCGATCAAGCAGCGGGAAAGCTACCAAATGCAGATAGTCGAATTGTAAGCAGACAACAAGCGCTTATGCAACATTGGCCACATTGAAGTCATCCAGCGCGTCAGTCATACTTCTAAGTTGTCGGCAGGACAGTGCAAAATCAATTGCCGCCATTTCATCTTACGCAAGCGGCCCTGTAACGGTGCAGCGAATGCAATGGGCAAAAAAGCCCATGCACATGCCTAGAGTTCCGTCCAGGGGCACATGTTCGAATCCGGGCTGCAAGAACATACATGGCGAGGAAGGTTACGAACATGTAATAAGTCGCTTTTTAAGACACTGTATACCATAAAGTCCGGCAGGCCCAGCTAGTTTCATTTTCTCCGCAAAAACAACACGTAGCAGCAGCTTTCACCACATTCGCCTTGCGCTCTGGACTTCCTCAGAAGCTTCAGTGTCAAGTTATCAGCAAAAGTGCTGTAATACCGGCAAACACCACCCCAGAGCATATCTTACCCCGCCTTCTCTGACATCCCAGCATTGCAAATACCTCAAGTTCTATCTTAACCACCACGGCGCTATCAGGACAACTAGCGTCGACTCCTGCCGCCTCAGTGTGGCAATATAAGACCAGTCAACAAAGGGTGTGTTGATGAGTTTGGTATTGTAGTTCGGCTTCCAATATAGATTCTCCACTGATAAGCCAGACAAGCCACAAACCATTCAATTGCTCTGCGCTTGATGAAATTGAGTGAAAACCGGTTGCATTACGCGTACGCCTTTGGCATGGATGTTCCTCACGACGATCCTATATGATATGCACTACCGCCCTCTTAGCGCTTCCACACCGCGCTCTCCAACACCAACACCAACACCATCCCACACGCCAAACCCACTTCCAAATCCCCACAAACACGCTCACCATCCCCACACCACCAACACACCCACCGCAAACCGCCCTCCCGACACCGCTCTTGGCTCCATGATAACAAAGCCCCCACATCGCGTGCATGCCGCCTCCCGTCAGCTACGCCCACGCGCTCTCATCTCCAGCGCCAGCGCGCTGGTGCACGTGCAATCGTGCCATCCCGTCCGCCACTCACCCGTCGTGGCCCTTGGCCCTGCATGCAAGCCCACTTGCATCATCCCGATCCCGCCAGTGCCAGTGCCAGGCATCAGACACCGCCCCCCGATCCGGGGCCCCGCACGCCACGCGCCCCTCCCACCAATCCAACATCATCGCGCCGCAACTGACGAAGCGGCGTCGGCCGGCGTCGGCGCCGTCGGTGCCTAGCGCTGCTGCTAGCTGCAGAGCCGCCTGGAACGGACGTCTCTCGGAAGAGGAGACAGACGCTAGAGTACTGTGCGTCGATGGCTGCTGGTTGGGCTTGCGTCCAGCTATTTTTTTTTTTTTTTTTTTTTTTTTTTTTCAATGTTTCGCCTTGCCTTGTCGCAAGGCGGCAGTGGGGCGCCCCCGGGTGGACGTCGGTCGGGGCCTCTCTCTCCGTGCGGAACTAAAACGACACGGCGTGCACGGCAGCCGCAAGCAGCAGGAGACGAGACGGGACGCCACGGAGGGAGCGTGCAGCCTCAACTACCGAGCCCCGGCACTGCTGGACTTGGCGGTGGGCGATAGATAGCACGACCGTTTCATGAGGTTTCATTCAGTTGAGAGCTTTTTTGACCTTGCGGCCGGTGCGCACGTAGGATGCTACCTCTAGCCGATGTTGTTGGGCGACGTGCGGTCACGGCATATTGGGCTGAGAAGGGCGATCGCGCTCGCAGGGCGTTTGGGGGCCTGGAAAAAGGGTCTATTGATGCTGGGTTTATTGGTCGGGGGTGTTTGGAGCTGTCGTCCCCAGGCGCTCAGTGCGGTCGACGCGCAAAGGGCGGTTAGAATCGGTCGACCTCATCGGGCGCGGGTTTCACGCTGTTGGACCACGCGTTGTGGTGTTGGATGATGATTGACTGGCTGCCTACGACGTGGAATCGTCAGACAGCTCTGCTCTGCCTTCAGATTTCTGCCAACACCTCAATAAATCACCAGACTCGGCATTCCTTCCGTTTCACGACGAGCGTCCCCCGCGAGCGAGTCAGCCCCACATCCGACTGTCGATCACTCTTCAGCCCTTCCGTCGATTTTGCGGAGAAATGGAGTGTGGATCCGAGCTTAGTCCACGAACTACAACCGCGTGAGAGGCGTAATGATAGCCGAGGTCGCTATGGCAGGGTGCCAATATTGCTGCGTTGTCTGCTAGCAGGCTTCCATTGAGACCCTACTGGTTGCGTCACTGGCCGATGACGCTACTGGATGCTCTTCTCTGCTATCCAGCCGGTTCTTACGCCATCGAGTCGTCCGCTCCAAGCGGAAGGGTTGCTCATCTTTAGCTCGCATGAAGCGGCGTACGAGCGGTTCCATCTACCACCAACACTGCCGCGGTTCGTCAAGACGCCTGGAACGTATCGTTGAGATAGTCAACGAATAAGTCTTTAATCCGTGTCTTCGATAAATTGTGCTGACGGTTTAGCGCGATAAATTGCCGCCGTATACGCTGCATCTGCGGCAGACTCAACGGTCGTGCAGGCAGCTCGATTGCGTTCTCTGCGCCGGGGATGCTAACTTCACCACCACCTTCGCCGGGATGATCGGCCTGGTAAGACTGTATGGCAGAGATGATGTCAGAGGTGGTCTTGTCCAGCTCGTACAGGTAGTTCTGCTCGGTTGCTGGTTTCTGCAATGGCGCCTGGTCAGCAAGTAGTAATGGACGGAGGCATTGCTAAGATAGCGACGGAAAGGCATACCAAGACAGTCGCGGCATTGGGCCTCACAACCTTGGCCTTGCTATCATTGCCTACCATGGCATCCCAGATCTGCTCGAGCGGCGGCGTGTCGTCTTCGTAGACGACGGTGAAGAGAGGGCTGTCCCATCTAGTCATGCCGTTTGGCTCCTCGTACCTAAAAACGAGATTCTCAAAATCCTCTTCGGCATATCCGCCGTCCTGTTCGCTGTCCTCGAGTAGACGCTTGTTGATTTCACGGCACTTGTCCGCCCGGGTTCCTACGTGGACCTCTGGGATCGTCAGCATGGCCCGCGTGCGGAGAGAGTGGCGGGATGCATACAACGCAGCTGGGCGTCTGCATGGCTTTGGCCTCGCAGTAGAGCTGGTATCGGAAGCCCTTGATGTAGTACAGGCCGTCGGCAATGACGACGTCGTCCCTGCTGAGGACGCGCTTTATGGCCGACGCCTGGGTGGCACGGGCATCCTTCTCGGCGCGCGCGGAGTGGTAGACATCGCGCGACAGGGCGAGAGAGTGGTCGCTGATGTGGTGGAGTCGCAGGCGGGCAATGCGGGCGTCGTCGGCGCGGGCGATCCTGTCGCGGAAGTAGTCGACGAGCTGGTGGGCGCGGTGCGTCTTGCCGGCGGAGGGATAGCCGGAGATCAGGATCAGCTGCAGACGTCAGCGACCAGCCGGGGCGTGGAGACGGGGCTTGCAGCAGCTCACGGGCATGGCTGGCACCTGGGCGGGCTGGGCAGGCGTGGAGGTCCAAGCAAAGCAGGTCGGGCGGCCGTCGGCACAAAAAGTGTTCCATGCGCACTGGCGGCCGAGTGGGTGGTGCCACAAGGGTCCTCCGGCGCAGGAAAGGACATAAGAGAGGCGCCTCTGCCCGTCCTGCATACCCCAGACTTGCACCGTCGCGCGATCGTCGATTGCTCCCATACTCCTCCCAAGCTCCAGCGCCGCCCGTGAACGCCTCCGCGTCATTTTACCTGCCGATTCTTCCCCTTCTCTACATCGATATAACTATCGCCAACTCCCACCACCACTCGACACCATGGACTCCACCCCCGCCAGGCACAACTCCTTCGCCTCGCAGCGCCCGACCTTTCCCGCTGTCGCCTCCGCTTCCTCCTCCACCACCTCCTCCGCCAGCCAGTCCTCCAGCAGCCTCTCCACCCTCTCCTCCTCCGTCTCCTCCACCAACGCCTTCCCCGCGCCGCATCACATCCCGCAACACCCCGGCTCACTGCACCCTTCCGCCGCCATGAACCTGCCCCCGCAGCAGCAACAGCAACAGCAACGGCAGCAGCAGCAGCAACAATATCAACTACAACAACAACAACAACAACTCGGCCAACAGCCGCAGGCACAGCCCCACATGCAAAGCTACGACTACAGACCGAACCGCGAGGGCGCGGGCAGCACGGCACCCGAGACCATGTCGTTACTGAAAGACTACAACCTGGTCGCCGAGGCGGCGAAACGAGCACAAATGGCGGTGCTGATGCGCGATCTCGAGGGAGTGGAGCTGTAGGGCGGGCGAGTGGTGTGATCGCTACTTGGATAAATTGACAAAAACTCACCCCCGACCGAGGCGGGAGCGACCGGTTGACTTGGTGGGCTGATTGATTGCCCGTCCCGGTTTTCCGAGGCGTGTGAGGAATGCAGCAGGGCGGCTCCTGGACGCATCCAGCAAAAACTTTTTACGGACTTATACACATTTCTGCCTGAGCGGGGCGCGGGCGCGGGTCGGGCACGGCGTTGGAGCGGGCTTGTTTCGAGTGTCGGTGCTGTTGTTTTTTTCATGGATACCAGCAATATATCTCAGTGTGCCTTGCCGCGTTTCGTGCTACGTGTGCCGTGTCTCGCGTCGCCGTCAGGTCCCTTGCGCGTGCGGCCGGGAACGGCGCGGCGCCGTCGCAGGCGCTTCCGAACTCCTAGCTATGTACGTGCGTGTACCTTGCGTGGGGCTTTCCATGTTCTTCACGATAAGCGTGCATACCTGTAACTTTGCTCACGCTTGCCGGCGGGAAATCTCCGCCCGCCTGCCTACAGACAACCCTCGTTGCACAAGCCCTTGAATCTTTTTGCAATGGCCGAAGCATTGGCATTGGAATCAGTCGCCGAGATCCTCATTTTACGCACGTAGTAAGCAAGCGTTACGCGCAATCATGACGGCGATCTCTATCTCGAAACAACCACCAGCTCGCCCAAACTGCCCCCGCGTCCTTCTCCTCCGCCCCCACACTCCTTTCCTTCAAATGGCCCGTTAGCAGCCTTCGCGCGCACCACAATAGCCTACTGCTCAACATGCCGCCGCTCTTTCGTCCTGCCCGTCGTCGCTCGAGAATCCGCATCGCTCTCTACGCTCTCGTTGTCCTTCTGATCATCGGCTTCCTGACCAACTTACGCCGCACCGGCGTCGACGACGCCAACTCCCTCTCCGACGACCTGTACGACTCTACCGCTGCCCAACATGCCACCGGCGAACCCTCGCGCCGCGGCGAGAAGGCCTTCATCATCGCGAGCCAGACGGGCGATGACGTGGACTGGTACTACCGCTACTTCCCTGACTGGAAGAAATATAAATACCTTGTCGACAACCCCAAGGCGAAGTTGACGGTGAAGAAAAATAAAGGTCGAGAGTCGATGGTGTATCTCACGTAAGATTGCCCTTTGGCGTAGCAGACCTCGCAGCACCATTTGGATACGCCGCCGCACCCAGGGACAACATTGACTAACGCCAGCCTTGCTCAAACAGCTACATAATTGACCACTATGAAGACCTCCCGGATTATATGCTCTTCCTCCACCCCAAACGCTTCCAATGGCACAACGACGACCCCGATTACGACGGTCTCCCCGTCCTGCGCAAATTCCAGCTCCCCTATTTGGCCCGCGAGGGCTACGTCAACCTACGCTGCGCCTGGGTGCTTGGCTGCCCTTCCGAAATTAGGCCATTTGGCGAAGATGCGATAGCTCAGCAACAGGCGCAGCAACAATCACACGCCGGACACTACTACCTGAAGGCTTTCAAGGAGATCTTTGGAGATGACGTGGAAGTACCGAGTCAAGTCGGAGTCAGCTGTTGCGCCCAATTTGCGTTGACGAGAGAAAAGGTCACGGAGTTGGGGAAAGATGTATTTGTCAAGTTGAGACAGTGGCTAGAAAAAACCGAGCTACCAGACGACATCTCGGGACGAGTTTTGGAATACTCTTGGCACAGTAAGTGGACTTCATCCTTTTTTCTCTTGAGGCTCTTCGGAGCGCCTTGTGCTTTACACTGGACTTCGGCGGGGACGTGAATACCATCGTTCATGTCGCGCGAGGTTGCATGATGTGGCACTCAGTGATGCAATTTGATTGGTTTGCGTCACTTTGGCTTGGATCCTCGCAATTTCCCTGCACCAAACCAACAGGCCGCTCCTCAGCCCCAGCAAACTTCACTATCAAGCTCTTTAGGCTAACGTAGCACGAAAGTTCTTTTTGGAAAACCACCCGTCCACTGCCCGAATGCGTCGGAATGTTATTGCAATGTTTTTGGTCTTTGCGATTCTCAATGCCACGAGGAAGGAATGTGTAAGGATATCACCGGTTACGACCGTTATGTCCTGCCTCCTTTCGCGACCATGCCCCAGGGCTGGCCGTATGTCGGCTGGGATGGCCAACCCCGCGAACGGGTCGTTGAAGTCGACGCTTAGCCGCCTCCGGTCCGACAGCAGACCGTGTTAGATGCATCAAGTACCTGCAAGGGAGCATGCTTATCCTCCCTGCGGCATCCGGTAACGACAAGCTGCGGGGTCGGGTTTACATGGCACAGACCACGGGACGATACTTGGTAGACATCTGCGGAGCCGTCCGTACTGTGGGCATCCGTCCAGATCAGGCTATCGCCGACCGAACGGGTTCACTTTGGACTACCAGAGAAGCGGGTCTGAATTGCGGGGCTCAGAGGGGCGTTACTCTGTATCGGCGGATCGAAGCTAGGTGAGCATATTGCTAGGCGCTTATTACAGCACAGTTATCGAAGAGAGCAACGCTCGACAGCCTGACGAGGCACCTACTCCGCGATCACTGCCTTTGTCACCAAGCCGCAGGGTTCTAGGAGTGAGAAGTGCGGGGTACGCGGGGCTAGGTGCTCTGGGAATGTTGGTACGGTGTACCGATGTGGGATAGCTGCAGGAAGATCTTGGGGGCGAAAATGAGGCTCTGCCCACTGCCCATAGTGGCCGGGCGTCTGTGCAGGAAGCCCTATCTCGCGGGCCCAAACGTGACACCCGACGGATACGAAAAACCGCAGGTCACGATCGTATGCATTATCGTGCCTGATGCGGGTCATGGCAGAGTGGTTTTTTACTTTTGAGTCTGTAGCACAATGACTTTGATTATCGACGTGTAGCAATCTGCTGATCAGGTCTTACTGGGTCAGCTGCATCAGTTTTCGGAGGGGTCTGTTGAGGAGGCTAGCTGAGGATTCGCGTATTCGTCTTCAGAACCGCACTACTAGTCAGCGTTCAACGGGTGAGATTACGTGGAGCTCAGCCTCGCTCGGGCGCTCAGAGCCGCATCCATTACTATCACAGGCGTCATGGTTCGAAAGCCGGCTCGGAGATTAACAATGAGGCTAATGATCCAGCTTCTGGGCTTGGACATGCTGTGTCACATTCGTGTCTGTGCTATGCAGGCTAGAATATTGCGGCTCAAAATCACAGCCTTGCTCGGCATGGAGGCTCAACTGAAATCTCCACATAACTACCATACCTCCCCCGTTCCTATCAATAAGGAAACGCCCTGAATTCTCTCGCTCTTCTAATCAAATGTCCATATAATCCTTCTTTCCGCTGCTCTGAGCGATGCACAGTTCGATTATCTACGTCACTGCCAAAGCTGGATCCTTGGGCTGCCTTCTTTCGGAAGCCATCTTCGTCATAGGAGTATTTTTCCTTTCCTGTAGTGATATTCATGTCTCTTACGCTCGACCGGCTTCCCTTCGATGTTCTTTTCGCCATAGCCTCCTACGTGAGCTTAGAGGACGTAATACATCTAGGCCTCGTATGCAGGCAATTACGACAGCTCTTTTTGTATGAAAATACGCTGTGCAGACGGACCATTGAGGTAAGAGCACCACACCCTTGCACGTGCAGAATAGTCCCGCTGACAAGGTAGAACCATGCTCGCTTTACGCAAGAAGCACAACGGGCTGCCCAAGGCCAGTTGTCTTATCGCGAGGCATTACGCAGTGTGTATTCCCGGCGGAAAGCATTTGCTTCTGCGAAGCCAAACTCAGCCTGCGTCATTGGCTATGGCTCTTCCTTCATTTATCGACAAGGTGTCGTATGCTACATGTCTCAGGGCTTGATGCTCGTACGAAGCCTGCATGGTAGCACAACGCATAAGGCCATCGACATTTCTTCCGTCCGTGCCACCTTGTTCGGACCTGGTTCACCTCAGGCGGATTTTCAGCCCGAGGTTTCTCTGCTCCATTACAGTGACGACTTCGTGTCGATGCACTACGATTACACTGATTATCTTGACCACAGCTTCCTCATAGTCATCGACTTGCTAAGATGGAACCCAGCGACGGCCCAAGGTCTGATTAAGCGGCAACTTTCTTCCGCTAATAAGCTGTTTGTCCGGAACACATCGGCTTACCTATACTACGGAACCCACACTGGTACGGGAACCCACGGTCATCACGAGTGGAAGATACGAGGGATGCGTCTGCGTGAAGACCATTACATGCCGCCTAATATCCCCGCACTACAACTCGACGAATTTGTGGGCTCTGACGTCGGCTCGACTGTCGCCTTCGAAATCCACAATGGTTTCTTTTACGCCGTAAGCAACCAGACCTCGTTCGACGTGGAGGAGGTTGATTGGACCTCATTCTACCACTGTATCCGGTTTCCCTTGAACAATCCCGTCAAAGAGGCTTGCGAAATCAAGAAAGATGTCTATCGTCGTCAGCATAAGGAAGGCCCAATCAACGACTCGTGGACGGATCTTAGCTTACAGGTCGACGAAGCGACCAATTCGCTGAGGATTATCGAGGCCAGACGTGAATGGCTGGATGGCGGTAGCAAGCAACTTCGAACGTTCTACACCCGTAACATTCCGTTCCGGTCAGACGAATCTGGTCCGAGAGGGGATCCAGTCTTGTGGTCAGCCTCGCTCACCCCACCAAAGTCGGGTCCCAGACGTGCATGCGACACGGCTTTAGACATCGATGTCGACATGCTTGGCCCGCCACGCTCAGCGACGAATGCAGATGCCGGTGAGCGCTCTTCAATGGCAGCAGTTCCACTGCTACCTCTTCTGCCGCTGGATGATCCGCTTGCTCGCACCATTGGCTCGGGGAACAATCCGCATTATGCACCAGAACGCCCACGGCTGTACCGGCATACGCACCCCGAACACAGTCATTCTGATAACACTAGGATCTTTCCAGAATTTATCCTTTCCAAGACCAAATTCAAAGCCTATAATCACTCCTGTGGCGCATTCTTAGACCTCGTAGAAGACGCAAACTGTTGTTCCGGCGCGGGACTAGGAACTCCTTGCCTACGCTTGCGTATAGGATCACGAAGACCGGAGCCGGTAGAACCCGTACCCATAGAAGAAAAAAGGAAGGCTAAGGGCAAAGCAACCACTGGTTGTAGCAGCAGTAGCCCTGAAAACTTCATGCTCCATAACCCAAGCAATGCGTCACCTCTTCCTTCGGCCTCTCTCGATCCCCGCGATCGCTTCATGTATTCCCCGATCCGCCTGTGGCCACCACCATGTGCAGCTCCTCAGCTCAAGGCGCCCGACTGCGCGTCTCTGCTCCATAGAATCCTCAACGCGCCACTGCCGGCCACCACCACATCTTCGAAGGCATCCGCTTACGCGCCGCCTGCTGCTACTGAAATCGTCGCCGCGTCGGATGAGCGCAGCACTGTCTTTCTGAGGAAGCCGCGGTATGGTGACGGCGAGGGACCGATCTGTCTCGTGAGCTTCGATGCGGGCATTAATGCCGAGAAGCTTGCAGGAAGAATGGATCGGAATGGTGCCGAGGACATGGTTTTTAGTGGAATCATGGGGCAGAGTCCGATGAGAAAAGACAGTGCGGTTTCAGGATGTGGTGAGTCTCCTCCGGATGGGCCTGTTCTGGTGTGGAAGGGGTGATTGTGTAGTGAGGGGTTCAAACATCCAGGTGTATAATAAATATGTATGGCGCGGCGTAGGCCGGGCCTGGGTCCAGTGATGGGTCCCGTTCGCTTTAAGGTTTTATTTGAAATCAGAGTTAAATATGTAGCTTCTCTGTTCTTTTTCCAGACCTGGAGCTCTGGGGCAAGGCGGTTGCCCGCCTCCGGGTCGTAGGTCATCGGTGAGCCATTGGAAAACCAGCACCGGTAGAAAAGGGCAGTTACGGTATCAAGCCCAGGCCAGAGGTGTAGTGCCTTCAGTAGTAAGGACTAAGGATGGCTTTGGGTGTAGAGTGTCGGTGGCTCGTGCTGGTTGCACGGAGAAGCTGAAAGGTATCCCTGCTCCAGCTGTTTAAAGTCTTTACCTCGCGCCTCTGGGCAATATAGGGAACACTCCTACGCATAAAAGGAGAACAGGAAGGTCCATAAATTATTTGAAGCCGTTGTGGGGTGCAGAGCCGTGGTGGAATTTTTCGCCTATTCGCGATGACTTTCTCTTGTTTGTCCGTGTGAAATGTGTGTAGGCTCTTGAGAGTGCACGACGTCTTTGAGATACCAGACGCAAATGTACAATTAATATATACGTTCCCCCGCATGGTCGAAGCGAGCACAATGATCGAATAAATCAACTGAACGGAAGCCCAACGATTGGCTTATATACATATTAAATTCTGTGATTGCTAGCCAATTAGAGTTCATCCGGACACCAGGATTACCTAGCTCAAACGAACGGTGTCGCAGACTCGCAGCAAGAGAGATTGATCGGCGGCACGCGGGATGTGGGGTGTGGGGGTGCGGGTCCGGCGCCAGAATTGATCCACGCCGGTCCTGGCAGACTTCAGACTTCACCTTTAGTCTTGCATCTAACATTACACCACCGAAAAGATCAATGTTCTAGTTATGTTGCGACGAGAGGTATAAAAACTGACAGCATACCTTACGCTGTCGACTAAAGTCAGCCGCGGGCGCACTGTACATATGCCACTGAAAGTTCTGCATCGAACACTGGTTGCTAACACGCTGCAAAAAGGAACATTGAAAGAGCAGGGAATGATCTTGAAGGTTTCTGCTACGAAGATCTAATATACTACAGAAATCAAAACCTCCTTCACCTGTTACTACTTCGTTGATATTCAAAATGACCTTTTCCCCGGATACCCGAGACCAAGATGCATCTTTTCAGGATAGCAGTGCGCTGTGCCCGGCTTACAACAAGGGCCATGCAACTGGCGCTGACAAACTGTGTCAGTGCCGGCGTTAAGCAGTATTCACCAAGTTAGGAAACAAAGTAAGCTAATCAAGGGTTGAGCGAAGGTTGTGCTTAAAAACTAAACTGCCATTTGCTTTTGCATACAAGCTAGGACTAATGGCCTATATGTTCTAGCACTTTACAACACACCTTGATGCCGACTCATCTCGCCTGTGCTCGAATCCCGCTCGTACCGAGCAATTAATATTTGGAGGTCACCCATACTGATCGCAGTCGATCATTAGACCAGCGGCGGTCACCCAACTGATCGTAGTCGATTATTGGACCTGTGGAGGTTACCTATCTTTTTATCTATTTTCTTTTAATGCTTTAAGTATAATTATATTCTACTTTTTGTAGAGACTATACCGGTTTTAGTAATGTGCTTTCGGTATTTATCCTTAGCGACCTTCCTGCGCTTTCACCCTTTACCTTATACTTTTACCGCTTAGTCTAGCCTCCTCCGCTTTTAAGTTTTCCTCTCCCTCACTTTACGAAGCCTACTCTTCTAGCGCTGTTGCCTTACCACTCTCTCGCTTCAATCACTGTCAACCGCCGCTATGGATAAGCATGTCCGCCCTCCAGGTATATCTGCTTTATCAACTCTGCTTATAGTGCTTTGGTCTTTGCGCGTGGAACACAATTACACTCACATGGAGCATTTCAGACAAATGTGCAACAACACGCGACATCATGAAAGGTACATGTCTTTCCGCCAGTTGCTTCTTCCTGGTTGATGCTAAATTCACCAGTTGAACAAACTTCATCCACCGCATTCCCTAACACACGTCCGGGATCCGAAGGTACGTTTACAGGCTCTTCCTGCTCAACGGAGACCATGGCCTAGCATTGTCAAGAAAACAACTTTGCTTTATGCATTTCTGAGAGCTTTCAAATACATGCGAGCGCATTTGATCAACACAGGGCATTGGTCCTGAGGCAGGACTTTATATCAAATAGCTAACAAATTTATCAGCCATCCAATACCCCATCGCACCAATTGCCGCTCCGCTTGCTCAACCACCTGCACCTATTGCCCCTATGGCGGGGGAAAGCCAATCGGCACATCCAACCCCACCTGTTGTTCAAGTCTTCATGCAGCCGCCTGTCAACGTCGGCACGATGATACCTGATCAAGGCATCCAACCTACGACAATTCCCTGGGCCTTGGGTTTGGCTCTACAAAGTGCGCGTCACGAAGTTGAGTATCGTGATAACCAAATTAGAGCCCAAAGTGCTCACGTTGGTGCTATAACACGTCGCAATCAAGACTTGGAGCATCAGCTGCAGCAAGCAACCGAAAACCTCACGAGCATTCAAGCTGAATTGAAGGATATTGAGGCGAGTAAAGAGCAGGCAGACGAAGTCAGAAAGAATTTCATGTTTGAGATTTCGAACCTGAAAGAAGAGGAAATGATCTTGCGGGATCAGTGTAGAGAGACTACGCTATGCTTGAGAAGAGAAGCGAGACGCAGGAACGCACGATAAAGGAGCTCAAAGCTAAGCTTGAAAAAGAGGAAGAGCGCTCCTTTGACTTTCACATTGTGTTAGAAGAGGAAAAAAAGAAGAGAAGGCTTGCTGAGGCAGAGACACGTCGGTTCAAGGCACAGCAAAACACAATGCCAAACAGCATACACGGAAAGCATAAGAGGAAGTGCTCGGATTCTAGTCCACATATGCAACCCAGGCGACTTTGTTGCAAGCGCTGTGCTGGACTACCTGGCGTTCGTTGTGATGGGAAGACATCCTGTACTCGATGCATCGCTGACAAAAAGGCATGTCGCTACTGGAGAGGCGGAGAGTATGCCGCTATGGGTTGTTGCTCGAAACATAACTGCAACGGTATTCACAATGAGAGTGGATACACCACATCGTAGTTAATGCGAGGACTGTTCGGATACCTGTAAAGATAAAAATAAAGCGGCTATTTACTGAGATAAACATATTTTATCAAGTATTTTTTTAAGATACACACACTACTTCTAAGATACATATATTTAAACGGCTATTTACTAAGATATATATATTTAAAAAGATACTCTAAGATACATATATCCGTTTATTAAAGCATATTATAAAAAATGTATATCTTAGAAACTAAATTAAAAATATATATTAAAGTATTTTAGAAGTTATTTTCTAAGTATGATATATATATCTTTAAATTCGAATATATATATATCTTAGAAATAAATATCGAAAAATTGTGTATCTAAGAAATATATTTTAGAAAATTGTATATCTTAGAAATATTGTTTAGAAAATTATGTATCTTAGAAATATTGTTCAGAAAATTATATATCTTAGAAATATTTTTTAAAAAAATATATTCTTAATAAATCGAACATATTCTTTAGAAAAAATTGAATATATTCTTTAAAAAAAATTATATCCTTAAAAGCGAATAAACTCCTAAAAATAATTAAAAAAAACTAATAACTATTTATAGAAAATCGAGAACATTTTTAAAAAAAAATATTCTTAAAAAAACGAATATATTCTAAATAAAAATATATATATTGTGTTTTATTTAGTTATTTTTTAAGAATATATTTTAAAAAACTTTTTAGAATTTATTAAGAGTATATTTCAAAAAAAAATTTAAGAAATATTTGCTTTTTTAAGAATAGATTTTTTTAAGAATATATTCTATTTTTTTAAATAGTATATTTGCTTTTTTTTTAAGAATATTTGCTTTTTTAAGAATATATTTTTTTAAGAATATTTGCTTTTTTATAAGATTATATATTTTTTTAAGAATATATTCGATTTTTTTAAGAGTATATTTAATTTTTATTTAGAATATATTTGGTTTTTTAAGAGTATATTTATTATTTATAGCAATATATATATTTTTTAAAAAAAAGAAATATTACTGAGATACACAATTTGTTTTAAACTAATTTCTAAGATATATATATTTCTCGAATATATTTCTAAGATATACGCTTTTTTTCGCTACATTTCTAAGATATATATATTTTTTAGTTTTTTCTGAGATACATATGTTTTTGTAATATACTATAATATATTTATTTACAAGCGAAATAAGTAAAAAAGCATATATCTTAGAGAGACTTTTTCGATATATGTATCTTAGAAATATTATATGTATCTTAGAAATTATACGATAAAAAATATATATCTTAGTAAATAGCCGTAAATATTCATAAAAAATCGAATTTCTTATTAAAAAAAAAATACTCCTAAAAAATAAATTCTTTTAGAAATATATTCTTAAAAAATTGGATTTTTTTTTTTAAAAAAACGAATATATTCTAAATATAAAAATCTATAAATATTAGGATTACGCTATTATTATCTAATTTAATTAGTTTTAGATTCTTGAAACTTAGAATTTACGAAAACATTTAGCTTAATTAGGATCTATATTCTAGAACTTAAAATTACGCGAATAATTTTATAGTTTAATTAGAATTTAAATTCTAAAACTTAGAACTAGACGCCTAATATTTAGTTTAATTAGATAGGCGCCTAATATTAGGCTATAAATACTAGGAACTTTCTTTTTCTAATTTAAAAAATTAACTATAAAGCTATTTTTAATTAGAACCGAATTTTTAACTATAGAAGAGGTAAGAAAATAGGCCTTATTCTATATTAACTAGCGAGGATAATTATAGAGAATAAAATATAGTAATTTAAAAGTATTATACTATATTTACCGTAATCTAGTAGTAAATAGCGATCTATTTAAAATATATATCTTAAAAAAGAAAGGTATATTTTTAAATTTTTTTTTTAAAAAAAAAAGATATACTCTTATTTTCGCTTTTTTTTTAAGAAGATAAACTCCTATTTCTTTTTTTTAAGAAAATATACTAACGTTTATTAGATCTTTTTATTATTAAACGGCTTATAAATTATATATACCCTTAGTTTACCTACGAAAATTAGAGATATTCGAATTTAACTAAGTTTCTTACTTCCTATAGCTAGGAATTTATTATAGATAACCTAGTAATTCGCCTAGTATAAATTTAATTAAATAAGCGAATTTTATAATAAAAAAAAGGTTCTATATTACGTAGCTTAAAGTGCTAAAGATTTAATTTCTTCGAATATTTAGGGCGACTAAAAAGAAATAATTTAAAAAATTTAGGTACTATTTTTTATCAAAAGTTTATTTTTATTAAATATACTAACTATTTTAAGCCTTTTTTCTAATAAAAAACTCGAAGAACTATAAGGAAAAGAAGGAGGCCTTACTAAATTTAAAAGAAATTTAGAAATAAAAGACTTCTAGTAAGTTTTTTTTTAATAATTATTTAGAAATATAAATTCTTAATAATAAAAAAAAAGCGAAAACAAGAGTATATTCTCTTTTTTTTTTAAAAAAAAATATGAGTATATTCTCTTAAAAAAAAAGAAATAAGAATATATTTTCTTAAAAAAGCGAAAATACTAATATATAATAAATAGGTATATATTTCTTTCTCTAGATATATTTTTAGAGGTAGCTATCTTAAATTTACGCGAACATATTTTAATTAATACTATCTATATAAGAAATTAACTAGAAAATGCGTTTTACTATTTATTAATAGTAATAATATTAGATTCTGATAATAATATTATTTTAATCTATTTTAGAATCGTTATAGGTACTAAAAATAAAGAAAGTTAGGTTTAATTCCTTTACTTTTTAGAAAATTATTTTAGTTCTACTAAAAAGCGAATTTTCTCCTATAAAAATTAACTAGTTATACTAAATTCTAGTAAAATTACTATTATTTTAGATTAAGGAAAAAGACTAGTTCCTATAGTAGCCGAAATTTACCTATATACTTAGTATTATTTTTACTAGTAGTATATTACTAAAAAAAAAAAAAATATTACTACTAGTTTTAGTAGTAAAATTACTACCCTTTTTTATAATATAAGTTTTTTTTCTAAGAGAGATACAAATTAAAAAAAAGCTTTACTATAAAACTATTTAATAAGAATTTAATAGAATTTTTTCGTAAATTACGTAAATCGACCTCTTAGCTATAGACTATATTCGCGAAATTCTTATTATTCTCTATAGAGCGATCTCTGCCTATTCTATATAACAAATCGAATTTATTTATATTATATAGAAAAATAGTAAGATTAAATCTATATAGTATTTTCTATAAATTTAAGATTTACTAATTATACCTAGTAAAAATTTAGTATTAAATTATATATAGTAAGTCTTTTTTTACTAAGAAGTTATACTCCTCCTATTTTCGCTTTTTTATAAAGAAAATATACTAATTTATCTAATAGTATTAATACTAGATAGTCTCTATTTCTAATAGAGAAAAGTAAATTAGGCTTATTTCTTTAAAAAAATTTATAATTTCTTTAAAAAAAATTATAATTTCTTATAAATATTCTTAAAAAAGAATATTCTTATAAAGATTTTATAGAATATAAGCTTCCCTATTAATATACTTACGCTCTAGCTACGACTTTAAGACTAGATTCTAAAGATTTAATTAATTTTAGCTAGAAAATCGATTCCTATAGGTTAATTTATTACCCTAAAAGATTTCTTTCTCTAGTACTACTTAATTAGCTAGAATCTAACGATACGCAGCTAAAAAAAAATAGTACTAGAAAGAGAAAGCTAGGGCGACATCCTACCAAACGCCTATAAAAAGAAATAGTAGCTAGTCGCTATAATCGCCTAGCTAAAAGGTAACGCTAAAAACTTTTAATTAGTATAGAATTAAACTTAAATGATCGAATTTTAGGAGAATAAGAAAATAAAATTTAAGTTTTTCTAAAGAAAATTCGAATTCTTTAGAAAATTTAGAAGAATTTTAAGGTTTCTCTAGAAACCCGGCTATCAAGAATTAGCCTAATTTCTAAGTTATAACGCTTTACTAGCTTTTATTTAGATCATAGTTATAGGAAGAAGAAGAAGAGATTATTTCTATATAATTCTACTTTTAGGCGTTTAGGTATTTTATTTAATAATTTTCTTTAAATATATTTTATTTTTTTTAAGCTTTATTAAGAGTATATTTCAGATTTTTCTTTAGAATATATTTAAGAAATCTTTATAATTTATTAAGAGTATATTTCGATTTATTTTTAAGAATATATTTCGATTTTTTTTAAGAATATATTAAGAGTATCTTCTAACTTTTTTAAAAGATAAGTTCAATTTTTTTTTAGAGTATATTTAGTTTTTTTAGTAATATAATTTCTTAAAAGAAAATTAATAAGATGTATATTTCTTAAAAAGTATTTTTAAGATATATAAATTTTACAAGATAAATTTTTTAGTATATACGTAATTTGGAGATATAGTTTTCTAAAAATAAAATATTTTAAAATACGGCTATTTACTAAGATATATAATTTTTTCGTATGAATTCTAAAATATATATAGTATTTTTAAGATATATAAATATAAATATCTTAGAAATATATTTAAAATATATATATATTTTATAAATAATTATCGAGAAAATATATATCTTAAAAATATTTTTCTAGAAAATATATTCTTAATAAATCGAATTTAATCTTAAATATACATATTCTTAATAAGTCGAATATAATCTTTTAAAAAATATATTCTTAAAAAAAACGAATATCCTCCTAAAAAAAAAAAAAACTAAAATAATTAAAAAAAAATAGTGTATTTCGATTTTATCTTAGAATATATTCGGTTTTTTAAGAGTATATTTTAATTTTTTCTTTAAAATATACTTAGTTTTAATTTAAGAGTATGTTTATCTTTTTTTAGTAATATATTTTATTTAAAATATTTTCTAAGATATTAATTTTTTTTAATATAACTTCTATGATATATATATTCTCTCGAATATATTTCTAAGATATACGGTTTTTCAAGATATATTTTTAAGATATATATATTTTTTATAATATACTATAATATATTTATTTATAAGCGAAATATAAAAATATAAATATCTTAGAGAGACTTTTTAAGTATACTTATCTTAGAAATATTATATATAGCTTAGAAAATATTTAAATATATATATCTTAGTAAATAGTTTTTTTTTTCTCTAGTCTTTTATACTTTTAATTATATCTTGCTTATTTACTAATTTTTATCATATATATTCTTTTTTAATCTTTTTTCCTCTAACCTCTATTAAGCTATTTTTTTTTAATATATATATTAGATTTTATAAAATATTTATCGGCTATTTAATAAGATATATATATATTTACTTAAAAAAGTTCTAAGATATATATATAAAAATTGAACTTAAAAATAATATATATATCTTAGAATTTTTTTTAAAAAAATATTATTTTTCTAAGAATATGTTTCGCTTTTCTTAAAAGTAAATTCTTAAGAAAAGAATTTATTTCGCTTTTTTTCTAAAAAGAAAAATACTCTTAAAAAATATTTCTAAAAAAATTCCCAAATTATTTATTCTTAAAAAAAGCGAAATATACTCTTTAAAAAAAATTCTTTAAAAACATATTCTTAAAAAATATGTTCTTAAAAAAGTTTAATAACATACTCTTTAAAAGATATATTCTTAGGAAATATATCGGCTATTTACCGTGATATATTGTTTTTCATAAAATTTCTGAGATACAAATAGTATTTCTAATATATATAAATATGTTTATCTTAAAGTTTTGCGCTTTATATATAATATTTTATTACTAAAAATATGTATCCTAGAAATGTATTTAAAAAATATATGTATTTCAGAAAAATTAAATTCGAAAATATTTCCAAGAAAAATATTCTTAAAAAAAACGAGTATATTCTAAATAAAAAATATATATATTGTGTTCTATTTAGTTATTTTTTTTAAGAATATATTTTGATTTTTTTTTTTAGAATTTATTAAGAGTATATTTCGATTTTTTTTAATAATATATTTTTGCTTTTTTAAGAGTATATTTACTTTTTTAAGAATATTTTTTTTTTTAAGAATATATTTTATTTTTTAAGAGTATGTTTAATTTTTATTTAGAATATATTTGGTTTTTAAGAGTATATTTATTATTTGTAACAATAAATTCTTTTTAAAAAAAAGTATTCCCAAGATACACATATTTCTCGAATATATTTTTAAGATACATATATTTTCTTAAAGAGATTTCTAAGATACACATGTTTTTGTAATATACTATAATATATTTATTTACAAGCGAAATATGTAAAGAAGCATATATCTTAGAGAAAAAGTTTCGATATGTATATCTTAGAAATATTATATATATCTTAGAAATTATACGATAAAAAATATATATCTTAGTAAATAGCCGAAAATATATTCACAAAAAATTAAATTATATTCTTAAGAAAAAAGTATGTATACATTCGAATTTAATTTCTAAGATATATTTATTTTTTAAAAAAATACTTCTGAGATACATATTTTTTATAATAAATTACTATATATATTGCGAAAAATTCCAAGATATATATATATATATATCTTAGAAAATACTCGAAAAATATTATATATCCTAGTAAATAGCCGAATATTTATATATTTCTAACTCTAAATAAAGTAAACTTAACTACTTACTATAAAATAGCTAATATATATATTCTTTATAGTATATTTTATTAAAATAGCTACTTACTAAGATATATATATATTTCTAAGATAAATATTTCTAAAAAGTCTCTCTAAGGTATACATATTTTTATATATTTTTATATACTGTAGTATGTTATAGTATATTACAAGAATATATATTTTAGAAATTAAATTAAAAAAATTTATATATCTTAGAGATTATTTTCTAAGAATTTTTTAATTTTTTTTTTTAAAAAAAAAGAAAAAAATTAACTTTTAGTATACATTCGTAATAAAAAATATCTTAGTATTAGAGAGAAAAATGAAGTTCCAGTATAGATCTTAGAAACATGCCGTTTTAAGTAAACACCTAACTCCTTGATATGCATACGTGGTACTACCTCTATGCTATGCTACACACCTATTTCTTCTTCTTCGCGAGCCTCTTGTCTGCCCGGACATCCTTCTTCAGCCTTGCATCAACCATCTTATACTTACCCTTCGTACCCTTCGGTCTACCTGAAATACCTCTGTTACCACCACGCGCAACCACTACCGCAACCTTCTTCTTCGGCTTCTTCTTCGCTGCCTTGCTCATCAACTTCGCAATGGACTGCGCCTTTTCCTTCTCCGTCATGCCTTCCTCATCCGCTAGCAGCGCCGACTTCTTCTTCAACTTCTCCAGCCTTTGTGCCGCCTTGAACTTCTTACGCGCCTTCGCCTCCTGTACCTTCTTGATAGGACGGGCGTTGAGTGCGCGCTGCTTTTCCTTGATCGCTGCGGCGGCAGCAGCAGTTATAGGCCGTTGGAGTTTGCTGTGCTTGTTCTCGTCATCCAGGAACCATTCCGGCAAGCCGTCAGTGTCGCGGTGTGAGTAGCGGTGGAAGCTATCATCAAGCAACTCGCCTTTCGTCTTCTTTCCAGTAGCGAGCTGTTGCGCAAGAGTCATGGCTTCGGCCGTGATAATGTCAATGTCCGGGCGTCCGTCCTTCATGGGAACGTCGTCATGATCCCACTGGGATTCGTCGCGCTTGACGGCCTCGAACTTGTTGTTGTCTTTCTCATCTTCCGACGACCATTCATCTTCATTGTCCGCGGTGGAGACCTTGGCTTGTTGTTTCTTCTCAGCCTTTGCTCCCTTCTCCTTCTTCAACGCGGCATTCGGTTCAGGAGATGGCGCTGAAGACCCATCCATGTCGATGCCACTGTCCTCATCGGCGTCCCCATCCAACCCATCAATGCCCTTGAAGATGTCTTGATCAAAAAACATCGCGGCCCGCTTCGTTAAGCCATCCGCGGTCTTTCCATCCTTCGCGAGGTCCGTGACCAGGGACTTCGGACTGTCCTCATCTTCGTCCGAAGACAAGTCGCTGTCTTGGTCTTCCATAACCTCGTCCTCATCGCTGCTCTCCGCTTCCTTGTCAGAAAAGCCCTCCCATTCGCCATCCTCGTGCTCTTTTCGCGCCTTTTTCGCCCGGTACTTTGCATCGGCCGCAGATTTGCGTTCCTGGTAACTCTCATACATGCCATCCAGCTCCCTTTCCAGAGCATCCTCTTCAGGATCACTGTCCTCATCCTCCTCTTCGTATCCCTCTTTGGGCTTCTGCTCAACAATTGTGTGCATCTTGCCCTTTGCGATCTTGTTGAGCGCACCGGCCTTATCCACAGTCTTAAGCGCAAACATAGCATCCTCACCATTTGGCCCCTGTTGTTCCATGCCTATTTCCATGGGTGTGGTCATATGCATTTGCATGCGAACGATTTCCTTTTGCTTGCGCTCATTCTCCTTCCGTCTCTCCTTCTTCTTCTTCGAGTCTTCTTGCTCTTTCAACTTTTGCATCTCTTCCTGTATTTGCATTTCCTCGTCCATTGGCTCAATCTCAGCAACTTCCTCATCCTGTTCAGCTTCTTTGGCCTTTTTCTGTTTAGACGAGAATCCGAAGATTTCGCGCACTCGCAGACGCCACCTGAGTAAACGCTTGAAGTCTGCTCGGCCCAAAACTTTTAGATCTGCGCAGCAGTCTCTGACCTCCTGTGTAGTCTCGGGAAGCTTGTCAATGGTGGATTGTGCAATATCACCATTTGGCTTTTGCTCAAAGCTGAGTTTGTTTAAGCTGCCAAGCATCGCGATGGGATCTGCAGTTTGGATGAATTCGCTGACTGGGGCCTCATGGAACTGGGTCCAGTCGCCCTCCTCATAACCCTCACGCTTTCTCTTCTTAACTTCGGGGTTGAAGACCTTAGCTTCGTTATTTGGCGTGGGAGCAGCGAGCTCGGCGAAGACGAAACGTGCATCGAGAAATTTGGGATCGAGGCGTTTCGGGGCCTTGTAACCGCGGCAGACAACAAAGATTTCTGCAGATACGTTACGGGACGAGGGAGGTTTAGTCGCCTCAACCTTGGTGAAGAGTTGGTTGAATACCCAGAGCAGGGAATTGTAATCCTTGGACCTGAAGATCTTCGTGACAAAATTGCCGCCTTCGCGCAGGAAGTCCGTAGCTAAGCGCAAAGACTGCAGGACCAATTCGGCTTGCGTGAAGGCATCTTGCACCCAGGCCGTACCGACGTTGGGCGCACCGTCATGCAGAACCGTGTCCGCCTTCCACGTCTTCAGATGTTGCCGGAGGGTCGCACGGCATTTGTCGGTAGTGATATCGCTCTGAAAGGTGATACACCTAGGGATGGGCTTGATAGGAGCCAGATCTACACCGACGATGAGGCTGTTGGGAGGCATGACCTCGGCAGCGACTTGACACCATGACTGCGCAAGTTAGCCGACGCGCAGACGACCAGGCAGGCTGCGACTTACTCCTGGCGCGGCGCAAAGATCAATCAAGACCTTGCTCTTCTCCAAGAAGTTGTACTTCTTGTTCAACTGGATGAGTTTGAAGGCGGCGCGGGCGCGGTAGCCCTTCTCCTTGGCGAGCTTGTACCATTTGTCAAGACGGCCCTTGCCGTGCTGCAGACGGGGTCAGCAATGTGCGCACGAGGGCGGAGGGGGGGGGCTCACCTTCTTTTGGATAGCCATGGCGGATGGTGGATGGTTGCTCAAGCCGTACGGGCGCGCGACAAAAAGTCGAAATGTTCGCGGCTGACCGCCTTCACGTGCCGGCAAATATTAGCACCGTGGCACCAGGGGCCGCACACCGCCCGCGGCCTATGACGCCCCACGCGCGCCGCCAGCTGCCAACATCCATGCCGGCCAACTTCAAGCGGCGCTTCAGTCTTTTGGATCGCTTTCACGATCACCTCCACATGGGGCCCCGCAAGAAGAACAAGCCGAATCCCCAGGCGCCGCCCGCTCAAAACGCCCAAGCTCTCGAAGACCCAAGCCAGCCGTCACCCGAGGCGGTAGGGGCGTCGGAATCCGCGCAGCCACAGGGCGAAGCGGCCAAGCCTGATGAAAGCAGAAATACCCAGTCTGGTGGCCCGCGCAAGGGCTCTGCTACAAGGAAGAGTTGGTACAGCGGGGGGAGCTGGAAAGCAAAGGCCTCGCCTATAGCCCAGGTCGCGAAAGAAAGTATATCCTCGGCTGCGGGTGGCATTACTTCCGATACCTCTAGCCAAGCGAGCAAACAAGACGCAACGCCCGGCATTCCGGCCAAACTGCTGCCAGGCGGAATGAGACGGTCAAGCAAGAGTACCGCATTGGCAGCCTCGACCACAACGGTAAACGCAACCTCCTCCCACGCCAACGACTCGAAGACCAGTCTGGTATCAGACACGAAGAAAGCCGTCAAAGAGGGAGAGGCCGATCCACCTCTGCCACCAGACCCGGTGGGTAATGATGCCAAGCCGACTGCAACTGTCAAAGAAGACATAACTCGAGAAACCGAAGGGCCAAAGCCGGAGAATAAAGAGGTCAAGCCTGCGTCGGGTTCATTACGTGGCTGGTACGGATGGTGGTCCAGACCTGAAAATTATCAGACGGAAAGCAATGATGCCAAGACACCGGACAACCAGGTATCGGCAGACACAGAGGGAGCACAGCAAGTTCCTCTCCCTGAGGATACGCCTATGGAAGAGGCTCCTGGACCTGATAGCGGACCAGGCGAGAGTGGTGAAATGCAGACAGGTCCTGATCCAAATCAATCTATGGAGAATGGAGTCCCAACACAAGATGATGGCAGTCAACAAGGCATGGTGAGCAAAGGTTGGTTTTGGATATGGAGTGCAGCGCAAAACGCACGATCAACAGCTGCCGCCATGGCAGGAGCCAGACAGGAGCCCAATGCTACTACTGCTGAAGAGACTGACACTTCGGAGAATGCGGCGGGCACAGAGCCACGAGATATTCCGAAAGCGACCTCACAAGAAGTCACGCAAGAAGACCCATCGGACAATGCTCAGAATGCCGCGCAAACAAGCGAAGCTGAGCCCCAACAAATTCCAAAGAAATCTACAGGGTGGGCCTTCTGGTCGCGGGCTCAGGCCAAAGACGATAGCGCATCTGAGGCGGGCTCGACTCACAAACAAGTCGGCGAACTTGCTGTGGCCGACACGCCTTCAGCATCCCATCCCGAGGCAGCACAGTTTAACGAACACGAGGAAGAGCAAGCGAAGGAGCAGACCAAAGCGCCCGTGAGGGCATTGTCACTGCGTGGACGTCGGGGTAAAGGTCCAAATGCTGACGGCAAGCCAACCACGCCAGTAAAGACTACACCATCGCACAGCCCTGCCCGGAGTGCTACTGAGGCCGCTAAAGTTGGGGAGACTGCTCCTGTGACTCCAGCAACACCAACAACTTCCAAACAAGCCCAGAAATCCCAGGCAAATCCGAACTTAATCTTACCCGAGTTTCGTAGCACATATTCCCTTTCACAAATGCCTTCCTACTGGGATAAGGTTCGACGCTATTTCCTTGGGGCCGGTGAACCGGAATCGCCACATCTTCATATTGAGAGAGAGCCTGCACGTATACAAAAAGCTCTAGCAATCGGCGTCCACGGCTATTTTCCTGCGCCTCTAATACAGAAAGTCCTTGGTCAACCTACAGGCACGTCCATACGCTTCGCTAATGCCGCGGCAACAGCTTTAAGAAGCTGGACTGAATCTCACGGTTATTCATGTGAAGTGGAAAAAGTCGCCCTCGAGGGCGAGGGATTCGTCTCTGATCGAGTTGACACATTGTGGAAGTTGCTGCTGAATTGGATCGAACATATCAGAAACGCAGATGTCATCCTCGTAGCATGCCATTCTCAGGGCGTACCGGTGGCAATCATGTTGGTCGCAAAATTGATCCAATTCGGGTGTGTAAATACGACAAAAATTGGAGTATGCGCCATGGCAGGAGTCAATCTGGGCCCGTTCCCAGAGTACAAGAGTAGGTTTTTCGGCGGAAGTGCTGGTGAGCTATTCGAGTTTTCCAGACCAAATAGCGTCGTTAGCCAGAAATACCAGGGCGCGCTAAGGGTTGTGTTGAGTTATGGCGTCAAGATTTTGTATGTTGGTAGCATCGACGACCAGCTGGTATCTCTAGAGGTATGTTTACCCTGTTCCTGGTTTGGCACCTGCTTTGGCAGCTGACGGAACATTGCCTGCAGTCTTCGACTTTCTCCAACATTTCCCATCCATACATCTACCGCTCCGTCTTTGTCGATGGCCGCATTCATGCGCCAGATTTCATAACGCACCTCGTCGGCTTCGCGCTTAAGTTACGGAACCTCGGCCTTCCCGACCATGGCCTGATCCGTGAACTATCGCCTGCGCTCGCAGGCTCTCTCTATTCCGGTGAGGGACACAGTAGGATTTATGACGATCCGAATGTGTACACACTGGCCGTGCAACATACACTTGAGACAACAAGCCTACCATATGCACTGAATCCGCCGTTACACATCAAAGACTTTGAAGGGTATGTTATCACGCTAGCTCGACCCGAAGCGACACAGTACTAATGAGATAATAGTGTTGGTACCGTGGGCAGCAATCCATTTTTCCTGCCATGGGCTATGCGTGGTCTACTGGAAGAGGACTTTGTCCGGAAGGAGCTGAGCGCTGAGGTTGAGGGGCTGTTGAATTTGTTCGAGGATTGGAAACCGAATACAAAGCCACTCAAAGATATACGCTTCAGGTTGGAGGCAGTACGGAGCAAACTTTGATCAGGATACTTTCCGATCGCCTATCGGTGTTTTGAGCGAAATCATCACCATTTCAATGTGGGTGGCGTTGGTACATAGGATAAGGAATGGGTCGGCGCTGGGTTTATGGTTGACTGGTATGGGATATGGGTTTCATTTTCTTATGGACCTTAAATACGCCTAGATTATGCCTTGTACAAGAATATCAACCTTTTCAGAGGGTGCTGGAATTGTCTGGCAGGGCGTTCTCTAATTGCTGTTTGCGATTTCATAGCATTGTTTCAGCTCGAGTTCCTTCACTCAGTGGAGCCGGTACTCCGTGCTCGAAAGTTCAGGCCTCATTCCTCGCTACCGTAGAAGATCTCTTTGTAGCGGTGTGTTGCGTCAACGACCGCCTCCGCAGCCTTGAAATCTAGGTGAGTCAGAGTTAGAGCGGATAGCCAGTAGAAAGGTGACTGGATTTACCGATTCCTTGGCCAAAGTCGGTCGAGGTGAGCACCTTGACGCTTAGATCATTGTTGACCTTGCCAATGACCTCGACAGCATTGTTGGGTACGAGGTGGGCGTCCTTTAGTTGGATGAGCTCGGAGTCAGGACAGAGGCGCAGTTGAGGCTTACCCGGTTAAGGTGGAGAGTGATTGATCCACCAGCATCAATGGTTGCCTGCTCGCCACGCAGCTGAGCCACCTTGCCCAGGATACGGACAGTCTGGTGAGTGAAGTTTTCGAGGTAGGGCGCAGTGATGCGCGGAGTCGTTTCTGCCATGGCGAACGGGTGGTTGTGTTGCAATGGGAGTCGGAGAGTTTTGAGAGCTTTGGTCTGCAGAGGACGCGTTGACGCGACGCGCGAGCATGTGACGGTTCGGGCCGTGAGTCAACGGGCGCGGTGGCGAAGTCGTAGATGACGCATCACTAGACCGCTATCGATACCTCCCTAGCTAAATTGCTCGAGCTCCCCGCCTTTAAGCTCCCATAAGACCAGCACTGCTCCCATTCGTTCAATGACAGCACATACTGACAATTCCATGGACTTTGCCTGGTCTGTTCTCATTTCTACGAGGATAATACGATTGCTACGGAATGCCTACCACACGGCCTGAGAGGCCCACCGCCCAGGACAGGCGCCGCGGCGAGTCTGTACGTTTCCGTCTTGTGTATATGTTCATGCGACGCGCTCGCTGACCCGTTCCAGGCCCTCAGCGATTTTGCTGAATACGTCCAGAAGCAACAAGGCAAGCGCCGTCCCGCAACCGACCAGGACTCCGCCTATGGCACTGCCACGCCATCTGTGGTCACCGAGGAGCACGACGAGCTCGACATCATCGATCAGCTAGGTCTGGCCGATGAGACTCAAAGCATCAAGCTAAGACACATTCTTCTCGATGCGTCTGTTGACGCCGACGAAAGCGCCACACTCTTGACGAACTATATTAACGGCCGCTTGATCGAAGGCCACGGCGAGGTACTCTTTGACCTTGGTCTTGAGGACAACGGGGATTCTATGGGCTTCAGTCGGGAGAATTGGGACTTTGCGCTGGAGCGGCTGAAGAAGGCGGCGGCAGTTGCCAATGCCGACTGTAGGCTGCTAATGACGAGAAATGTCGATGGTGAAGTAGAAGTCGGACCGGCAAATTCAAAGGATACGAGCGTGTCTGGGAAGCTCATCGTAAGACGAAAGCCCGAGACGGTCGACGATGTCATCGAGACGCGCATTGCGGTCGTGGGCAATGGTACGGGTAACTTATCTCTTGGGTTTGGCGCTTTGCTAATACTTCGCAACAGTTGACGCAGGCAAGTCCACCATGCTTGGAGTCCTCGTTAAAGGCGGACTCGACGATGGCCGCGGTAAAATGCGCGTCAATCTTTTTCGACATAAGCATGAAATCGAGAGCGGACGGACCAGTTCCGTTGGCATGGAAATCATGGGTTTTGACAGCCACGGGGAGGTGGTTTCGTCCACGGTACCCGGCAGAAAACTCACTTGGGAAGAAATTGGTCGACGATCTGTACGGCATCTTACGGTCTACAATTTTTCTACTATTCTTTACTGACTAGATCAGGCCAAAGTTATCAGCTTCACCGACCTTGCGGGTCATGAACGGTATCTGAGAACTACGGTGTTTGGCATGCTCTCCAGCGAACCTAACTACTGCTTGCTAATGGTCGCTGCCAACAATGGACTTATTGGCATGAGCAAGTAAGCATTATTCCCCTCTTTAGGTCTGATCTTTCGCTCATAACACTGTAGGGAGCATCTTGGAATTGCCGTCGCGCTGAATGTTCCAATCATGGTTATCATTACGAAAATCGACATCTGTCCACCGAACATTCTTCAGGAAACCATCACTCAGCTTACCAAAATCCTCAAATCCCCAGGCGCCAGGAAGATACCAATCTTCATCAAGGATAGGGAGAGCTGCATTAACACTGCAACTCAATTCGTCAGTCGACGTATCTGCCCTATATTCCAAGTTTCCAACGTGACCGGCCAGTCCGTTGATCTTGTTCGAACATTCCTAAACATCATCCCACATCATGGTAACTATGATGCTGATGCGCCATTTGAGTTCCACGTCAACGATACGTTTTCTGTTCCTTTCGTGGGTACTGTCGTCTCTGGTGTCGTCAAAAGCGGCGTTTTACATGCTGGAGATACCGTACTTGTTGGTCCAGACTCTCTGGGACAATTCACTACTACCAAGGTTCGGTCCATCCAACGTAAGCGTATCGACGTTCCTGGATGTGCAGCCGGTCAATCCGCCAGCTTAGCGTTGAGGAACGTACGACGGAAGGATGTACGGAAAGGAATGGTCGTATTACCGCGTCCTGACCCAGCAGCGCCTCCGCCAAAGGTATACCGCGAATTTATCGCCGAGGTGTTGATCCTTTCCCACGCTACGACAATCAAGACGAAGTACCAGGCCATGCTTCATGTGGGACCGGTATCTCAAACTTGTGCCATCATCGATATTGATCGTTCATACATACGGACAGGCGATAGGGCAGTAGTTGCGTTCAGATTCGTGCAGAGACCTGAGTATATCACTCCTGGCGAGCGAATACTCTTCCGTGAAGGGCGAACCAAAGGTCTCGGTATTGTCAAAGCAGTCGGGTACGATCCGAAACATCCGCTCAATCCCGAAGCAGCGAACGAAGCTAGCGACAGCAATGGGAGAGCGTAAAACAGCGATACGTTTTGGCCTTTGAAGGGGACTGGAACTCAGGTTTGTATGGATGGCTTCTCAGCCTTGGCGGAGTTTACGCAAGGAGTTCTTGGAGCATTTCGTTCCGTTGGTTTTTGTATAGCGTTAGGCGCTCGATCCTTTTTTGCTGGTCTAGTTTTAAATTGTTCTCTTTGTCCTTGTTATTCTCGTTGTCAACTATCGTTCTCTGAATCGTAAAAGCTCTGTAGGTGAACTTCAGTTCATATAAGTGCGTGCGTGTTTATATGTTCATTCCTATATAAAAGTGCTAAAATGAATTTCGTAGTTGCAAATGCAATTGAGATGCGTGAATATTTTTAGACCTGATGGCATGATACCATTTAATATATAAGTCGGGACTAGAGTCAGCATTGTTAAAGATTATACAATGCCATATCGTTTGGGTAAAGTTTTAGGTGAATCATCTCTTTTACAACCTATATGCTTGTGTGAGGCCGTATGCTCAGGGCAATTACCACGTGGATGTGTTAAACAAAAGTCCATAAAAAAGCTATATCTTATGCAGGTGTTTATTGACACATTTGTTTATAGGTATTATTGTTTGCATGACCTTTATAGCTGCAGAATAGCCTATCAAATCCAACACAGCTAAAAAAAAAACATTCGCGGGACTTGTTTCCTTTTTCGAAGGAGCATCTTGCTCGGCGTTGAGTTTATCCTTGCCGGGGCCCTCACTACCTACTTCATACCAACGTCCTATCTACGAAATCATGCCTCACCACTATTTTATTCGAATACATACCGTGTACCGTAGCTCTGATCTTTGAGAATCGTAGTTCGAATCTTAGTAGGTTTGCGTTAGACTATTTGGGCAATTCGATGGCGTTCAAATTGTGCGATTATACCTGCATTCCGGTCGAAACGGTTACACGGAAACAAGATGTTATACATTACGCTACTTGATTGACAATGGCCAATGGCATAAATAGTTGCTCAATAGTTAGCCATGGCTCGACAATACAAGCTCCAGCTGATAGTGCAGATTACTAGGTAGTCCATCTAAAAAATCGGACGAAGGATGATAGCGCTATAACTTAATTTCGTCCAATGCTTGAACTCATAAGATGCAGCTATAAAATAAACAAGATTTTGCCATTTACAACATGAACTTCTTCTGTGCCCCCTGACAATCGAGCGACATTTAAATGCGGGGTTATTGATTTGTAATGCCACCTGTCTTCATTTCGACGCTATGACGTCGATACCATGCGATTAGCTGTTCGGCAATGGGATCCGCATTGAAGAAACCTTGTACTTAGCGCCCTACATTTGTAATAACTACTACTTAGTGGTGTATAAAGGGAAGCAGTTATCTCACATCGACCTGTAAATATACCTACCCATCAAAGACACGGCATATTGTCAACCACCAAAGATGGCACCGCCAAGATACGAATCCGCCGATGTTGATCCTGCCCCTCTGGGCAAGCCGCTCAGGTTTGAATTTTCAGGCAAGACGGCGCCAAACCGATTTCTCAAGGGCGCCATGACGGAGCGGCTCTCCTCCTGGGACCCCAAGAAGTTCGAGGTCAGGGGTGTTCCCTCCAAAGAACTGGTGAATGTATACAGGCGTTGGGGAGAGGGGGAATATGGCGTACTTCTGACCGGCAACATTGTACTTTTCTTGTATCCTATAGTAAGCGCCTTGACATGCTAATGCCATAGGCAGATGATTGAGTATGACCAGCTTGAGGCTGCTGGTAACCCCATCATCCCTAGGACAGCTGAGTTCTCTGGAGAGCGCTTCGAGGCTTTCAAGCAGATGGCCACCGAAGGAAAGAAGCATGGCTCTTTGATGGTCGGCCAAGTGAGCCATCCAGGAAGGCAATGCGAGAACAAGATTCAGCCGAACCCGGTATCTGCATCTGATGTCCAATTGCAGGGCAATGTCATGGGGATGAACTTCAACAGTATGCTGTCGCGCAACCTGTAATACGGACGAATGCTAATAAAGACTAGAGCCACATGCCGCGAGCCAAGAGGAGATTGACAGAATTGTCGATGGTTTTGCTCATGCTGCTGAATACTTGGAGAAGGCCGGTTATGATGGAATCCAGCTACATGGAGCCCACGGCTACCTTTTGGCGCAATTTCTTTCACCAACCACTAACAAACGTACTGATAAATATGGCGGTTCTTTGGAGAACCGGGCGGTATGTGCACAATTCGATTTGAAAAGGAAATATGTACTGACTTGACCACAGCGGCTGATTATCGAAATCGGCCAAGAGATCCACAAGAGGACCAGCCAGAGCTTTGTCGTTGGTATCAAACTCAATTCTGTGGAGTTCCAAGAGAAGGGATTTGAACCAGAGGAGGCCAAGACGCTCTGCGCACTCTTGGAGGAGCACAAGTTTGACTTCGTCGAACTTTCTGGTGGTACTTACGAGCAACTCGCGTTTGTTCACAAGAGGTACAGTACATTTCAACCTCACGATATATGGAAGTATTACTGACCGTGAGAAAGGGAATCTTCCAAGAAGCGTGAGGCATTCTTTATGGAGTTTGCTGATTTGATCGCCCCTGTCCTTTCGAAGACAAAGACGTATGTCACGGGCGGTTTCAAGACCGCTGGTGCAATGGTAGATGCCCTCAAATCAGTTGACGGTATTGGCATTGCCCGTCCAACTACTCAGGAACCTCGCTTCGTCAAGGAGCTTCTGGAGGTAAGACAAGTGCTGCCTGTTCATCCGATAATGTGCTGATGCATTACCAATAGGGCAAATTCAAGGGCGCCATCCACCAGCGAGTTGATCCGGAGAATTTCGGTGTAACCAATGTCGTCGCCGGTACTCAGATCCGCCAGATTGGGAAGGATCAGGAACCGATTGACATGAGCTCTGAAGAAAACGAGAAGGCCTTTATGAAAGACATGGGTGAATGGGCAGAGATGATGGCCAAAGATTCCGAGAAGCTGAAGTACGGTTACATTGACCTGACTAGTTCATCCCCAGTCCCTTACGGAACCCCTTCAGTTTAAAGAATAGGTCAAGCAAAGCGATGACTTACGCGGTATATTAGGATAGAGTCCAAAATGTTTTACATTAGCTGCACAGATGATAGTAATGAACTTATACTCCTGAAGGAGCATCATAGCCATGGTTGATGTATGATCCGAAAATATTGTTGCCATGCCCAGAACGTTGATTTGATGCTTACTTGAATGTTTGAGACAAGAAAACCTGGCTCGCGTTACAGTGCTATTAACACAAAGCCGTCGGTGTGCTTTGTGAATTCATTGTCTTGAAATAGGACGATAACAAAGAGTCGAAAAGGTGTGCGATTAATATAGATAACAAGAACTGAAAGAGTCCTCGTGTCTTTGTTTTGATATTTTTTCTATAATGACTTTTTTTTTTTTCATTGTGCCCGGTAATATCATTTCCTATATAAATATCATTGCTACCAACAGTATGGAAGGTTAGAGAATTTACGACACAGAAAGAAACTCACCTCTGGTAGGGAGTTAATTATCACAAATCCAGCCCGAGTTAACAACATGTACGAAATCAGACCGATACCTGGAAAGGGCCTAGGTGCTTTTGCTACACAGGACATTCCACGCGGAACCAAAATCATCAACGAAATGCCGATAATGACGACGACGGGGGGAGTTAATGATAATCTGGTGAATCAGTTTTGGACGAAGTTCTGGGCGTTGAGTGTGGCGCAGCGAGTGCGTTTTCGAAAGCTCCATGCATCCCAGCCCTACTGCGAATACTGGAAAAAGCGGTTTCGCATACGCGCAGACATTAATGATGACGAAATTTTAATGCCTGGCATATACTCGACGAACGCCTTCAATTTAATTGTGAGAGAAGAACAAGTCAAAGCCGAAGGGCTTTTCATAGAGGCATGCAGGATCAACCATGCATGCGTCAGTAATGCCCAACAACTTCCGGAAATCAGGTCTTACAGACAAATCGACTCTTGCAGACAAGTCATTGTAGCTGTCCGCAACATAGACAGGGGCGAGGAGATCACGCTGCCTTATACCCATGCTGTTGTAATCGAGCACAAGAAAGGGCGGAAGTATCGGATCAAACCAGTATGTTACAACGACCGACAATTCGAACTCAGCCGGTATGGGGTTCGAGTGCACATGCCCGGCATGTGAGCTATCCACATATGCAGCCGCAACGGACGTCTTGTCGGCGGAGCTGGAAGCTGAGCTGAACGACGCGTTGGCTGTGATACTCGTGTGGCAAGGCTGTGTACTCGAACAGGAGCATGACGAGGGCCGTAGGATATGGATGGCCAGGGCGGGCATCACCTTGGACGGTGTCATGGCGGATTTCAAGACGGCACGATTGGTCCTTCAGCTCCGCCTCATGCACGAACCGGCTCGACAGCAGACAAGGAGCAATGCGGAGATAGTGCAGAGGTGCATAGCCGGGCTGGAAGAGGATTTAGTGTATAGTGGAGAAGCACGGTGAGGGCGGCGACAAGGCGGAGATTGGCGAGGAGTTGAAGGGTGTTAGCGAGCAGGACCGTGGGTGGAGGGCCAGACAGAAAGTAGAAGTAATATGGAGTGATTGGCTGGGCTAGGACGTTGGCCCGTCGACCAGCCGCCCCCCCACATGCCAGCTCAGGATCGTCAGGGACTCCTAGTGCCCAAGTGCGTGCACGGGGTGAGACCAATGGGCTTTTGGGCGATGCAGGGACTGGCTGCGGCTTTGCAGCATCAGAACACAAAACTTCGACCTCGACCTTCCGCCGACCCGGGCGCGTGCCTTGCTGCTGCCCCGTCTCGCCCGCCTCGCCCGTCTCGACCCCCCCGCGACTTGCCACAGAGCAGCCTTTGCGGTGTGGCTCATCCCTCGTTTCCACCTGAGCCTGAAACCGCCGACGCGACTCGCAGCCGCCGCCCGTCGTTAAGACTACACCATCGCCCGCGCTCTTCCTCTTATCATGCCTTGAGCCTCCCTCTCCGAGCCGCCCTGCAGCACCATGAACGCTTGCTCCGACGCCGCAGACGCGCCCGCCAGCAGCGATCGGCGCATCTCCACATCGCCACCCACCTCGCCTGCGGAGAACACAGACATGAAGAAGCTATCCCTCGAGGACATGGACCACGTCGATGAGCTACCCGCTGCTGCCGCAACGCCGATGCACCCAGAGACGCCGCGCCGCCTGACAGACCCGACCCTGTCGGCCCTCCTGCAGCCCCAACAGTCCCCCATGCCGCGAAACCGCTCCCCCTATACTCGGAACCATCTGCGCTCCAGCTCTCTGAACGTCCCAGTCATGACGCGAGCTCATTCCTCGCCCACTGTGATAGGTCCCTCTGGTCATTTGACTTTCGCCTCAGTGCCGAGGCCCTCTAGTCCGATGCGCTCACCTGCGCGCGTCCGTGGTCCTCCCAAGCTGAGCGGTGACGAGCCATATCCGCACCCGAGCAATTCAAGCGCCTCAGATATCGGCAGCATCTCAGAAGACAGGGAATTGAACTTCGTGCCCCGTTCAACTACCGATCGTGTGGCGGAGAACCTATCATCCTTCTCCCATTATGCTGGCAATACCTTCCCGCGTCAACGACGGCGTCCTACCTCTCCTTTATATCACCCCTCCAATGCTCCGTTTGGCTATTCCAGCGCTCCATCGACTCCTTCGCATGCTTCGCCACCGCTGCCGTCGGCTAAATTCAACGAGTCATTTCCCCAGAACATCAGTTACCCCAGTTCTTTTTCCTCCTCATCTGTCCCCTCGACGCCAACATCAATCCGCTCTCGAAGCCCTAGCATCTCCAGTCTCGAGACCATTCCCGACACCCCTGACGCAGAAGAAGCTGCCATTGAGGCCGACAGAATCGCCAAGCTGGAAGCCGCAGCGAAAGCCGCCGAGGGAGGAAATGACGGCATGAGAAGAAGCAGTCTCGATGTTCCCCGCGTCCGTAATGCTGGCTTTGGCGCAGGCAGCAGGGACAAGAGAAAGCGATGGAGTGTCTGCGGAGCCGAAAAAAGAGGCGACCTTGACCTGGAAACCATCTGGGAGGACTAGTCCCTCAAAACTCTAACACTGAAGCAGCTAGACTTCGCTCTCCGGTTAACTACGACAACACCGTGATAGGTGGTTTCTATATGCATACGCGCGCTCACAGCGCTCAAGGAGTTCATCGGGAGGATTATCTGGGCTTTTGCTAAGACTTGGGCATGGTTAGTTGATGGGATGTAACCTGGCGTTTTTTGGTTTCTTTTGGCGGGAGCTTTGCAAGCAACACAAGCGACCACAGTACATGAGAAGCATGATACCCAGTCGTTGTGCATTTCTTTCGTCAATTTTGAAGATCGGCTGGGTATCCAGACCTTGCGAACTACTAGAACAAATGAATACATGACATTGCTCATTGACGTCCTGGCGGAGGTTAGGTACAAAGAGAGACTTCATGGAAGGGCCGGGCTAGTCATGTCGTGATGTTGGAAGGTCCAGGCGATTCATGACCCCACACGATGAGTAACGTGATGTAAGTAGTGGCATGGCTCCGGGGCAACGTCCGACCACTATTTAAAACGCTCCACATCGCATCGCTCAGTACTCGCCAGGTCGCACACCCACAGGACTCCACACAATGATCAACTTCGCAGTAATTGGCACGGGCTGGATCACCGCCTCGTTCATTGAGTCGGCCCAAGCAACCAACGAATGGAAGTTGGCTGCCGTTTACTCCAGGAAGGAAGAGACGGCCCGCGAATTCGCAACCAAGCACGGCGTCGACAAGATCTACACTTCTCTCGAGGATCTCTCCAATGCTACCGATATCCAAGCTGTTTACATTGCCTCTCCGAATGCACTCCACTACGAGCAGGCCAAGTCAATTCTCTCGGCGAAAAAGCACGTCATTTTGGAAAAGCCGGCGACGTCTACCGTGGCCGAGTTCGAGTCACTGTACGCGTTGGCCAAGCAGCAAGGCGTCTTCTTGATCGAAGCGAACCGTCACATCCAGGAGGCGAATTTCAAGGTTTTGCAGAAGAACCTGGAAAAGCTGGGACCGTTGTACGGTGCTTCATTAAACTATGCCTCTTACTCATCGCGATACAACGCCGTACTCGCTGGGGAGACGCCCAACATCTTCTCCCTTTCGCTCTCGGGCGGTTCGCTCGTTGACTTGGCCGTGTATCCCATCTCGGCTGCCGTTGCCCTTTTTGGTGCCCCGAAAGCGCAGTCATACAGCCCAGTCATCATTCGTACCGGCGCTGATGGCGGTGGGCTCATTATGCTGCAATACGACAATTTCGCTGTTAGCATCAATGCCTCAAAAATCTACACCTCGACCGCCCCAAGCGAAGTGTTTGGCGAGAAGGGTACGCTGGTCGTCAACGGCGTGACAGACATTGACAGCATCGAGTATCTGGATGCCAAGGCGAAGCAGAAGACGCAGCTGGCAGGAGAGAAGGCCAAGTTTAACCTAATGGAAGAGGCGGCCGAGTTTGCCAGGATCATCAACGAGAAAGATGCGGCCGCGGCCAAGAAGCTGGAAGAAATGAGTCGGATTGTTATTGGCATCACGACCGACTTGAGGCGTCAGAACGGCATCGTATTTGATGTCGAGAAGAAATAAGCATGTAGATTGATAGCATGTGGCTGGTTACACAGCATAATGCACAGGCTCTTTGAATATATGTATAGTGGTCTGTGCATATTCCGGGTAAATGCCTTGTGCGTCATCGGGGCGTATCGCCCGAAGTCGCGTCGCAGCCTCACAACTCAAAGCTCAACCCGTCTGCACCATGGGCAAAGGCACGGACAAACTCTACATCACCCACTCGGAATGGGCTTCTGAGGACGCATATTCGGCCAGCTATGGATCTGGTGTCAACAAATCCAAAGCGGTCGGCGCGTCATTTAGGCGACTGCCCTTCAACTTCTGCGCTCTCTCGCTCCAACCCTTCAGCCACCCGGTCTGCACTGCTACCGGTACCATCTTTGACCTGACCAACATCCTCCCTTGGCTGAAGAAGCATGGCACCAACCCCGTGGACGGCTCGCCACTCAAGAGCTCGGAACTCGTCAAACTGAACTTTGCGAAGAACGACGACGACGAATATGTCGACCCGGTCACCTACAAGGTCTTCACTGAGAACACCCACATCGTCGCACTGCGGAACAGCGGCAATGTATTCGCGTGGGATACGGTCGAGCGACTGAACATCAAGGCGAAGAACTGGCGCGATCTGGTCAGCGACGACGAATTCACGCGCAAGGACATCATCACGTTGCAGGATCCGTTAAACTTGGCGGGGCGGGATTTGAGCGAGTTTAAGTATCTGAAAGAAGGGACCAAAACTTTGACCGAGGAACAAGAGGCTGAGAGAGCTGGTGGTGTCAACACTGAAGCTTTGGGCAGTTCGGCCAAGGTGCTTAAGGCTAAGGAGGCCGTGGCGAAGGCTAGGGCCGAGAGGGAAAAGGCCGCCAAAGCCAAATCTTCTGGTGGTGTTGCTGCTGCGCTTGCATTGGCAAGGAAAGAACAGGGTGCTAACTCAAACGCGCAACAAAACAAGTCAGCACCGTACAATGCAGCACAACACACCACCGGCAAGGCGGCAGCGTCTTTCACCAGTACCGGCCTTACTCCGCATACGTCTGGCGAGCGAGCGCTCTTGTCTGAAGAGGAGTACATGCTGAAGCCTCGCCGCGTCAAAATCCCAGGCTATGCTCGCATCCAAACAAGCCTCGGAGAACTCAACGTCGAATTACACACCGAATATGCGCCCAAGGCGGTATGGAACTTCGTTCAACTGGCCAAGAAAGGGTACTACCGCAACATAACGTTTCATCGTAACATACGCAACTTCATGATCCAGGGTGGTGATCCCACGGGCACCGGTCGTGGTGGCACGTCAATATGGGGGAAGAATTTCGCCGATGAGTTCGACGGCCCGAACACGCATGACACTCGTGGTATCCTAAGTATGGCGAACAAGGGGAAAAACACCAACTCTTCCCAGTTCTTTATCACATACCGTCCGGCCAAGCACCTTGATCGTAAGCACACGATCTTCGGGCGCGTCGTCGGTGGTACGGACACTTTATCTAGGCTGGAAAACGCAGAGACGGATTCTTCAGATCGTCCACTCGAACCACTTATGCTGGAAGATGTTGTTGTATTTGTTGATCCTTTTGAAGAGTTCCAGAAGCAGAAGGCTGAAAAAGACGCCAAAGAACGGGAGGATGAAGAGGTTCAGAAGGCGGGTGGTACGGTGGATGATAAGACGACGTGGACGGGCAAAAGGATTCGTGGTGATGGATCGGTAGAACAGGCAAGTAGTTCTGGGGGTGTTGGAAAATATCTCAAAGCGGCCATGGCAGAGCAACAAGCGGACGAAGATGAGATTGTGGGGGAGTGGGATGCGCCGGAGGAACCGGTGAAAAAGAAGGCTCGGACGGGCGGGTTTGGGAATTTTGACAACTGGTAGTAGGCATCGCAAGGACCATGGCGTTAGGCGCAGAGAATGGCAAGAGGGGCCTTCGTTCTGTATCTACACATAAGCAATCGTGCATAGCATGGTGATGATATGCAGAGAAGTTCACTTGGACATTTAAAAACCATTGGATTTAAAAGTTGTTTCCTGAGTTGAGCGAGGTATAGACAGGAACTAGGACTGGACGTACCAGATGTTGGGAATTCGGACCGGCTTCGTCCTGATTGGCCAGTTCCGCTTATATCTCAACTTCCTCCTTGAGGACCTCAGTAATCCATCCCAACATTGCTAATATCAACAGACCACTATGGATGTGCCAGTGGCAGCTAATGTCCTAGGCACCATTGGAGCCGTACGTTGCACCTTTGTTAGCGGTATCAAAAAGCTGATTTTGCCGAACCCTTAGATCTGCTGGTCTATCCAGGTATAGCTCAATAACCCCATATAACCGACTTATCGGGTGGCGATGCTTATGTGGCCTTAGTTGATACCGCAGATTATCATAAACTACCGTCGGCACCATGCTATCGGGTTGCAGCCTGGGATGATGATTCTTTGGGCCTGCGCTGGTGTACCGCTGGGCGTATATAACATCGTCCAGGACTTCAATATCGCGTTACAGGTCCAGCCCCAAATACTCACGTTCTTGAGCCTTGTGACATGGATGCAATGTTATTACTATCAGCGGGTGCGTACAGCGATGTTTTCCAAACAAACGGCTATTTCTTATTTTATCTCCATCAATGTCATACTCCTTACCTGTTTTCCCTATTGTCTCTGTTCTATAGACTTAACAATTTCATGTGCCTGATGAACTCACCCTGACAATATCTTAGGGCCGCATCGTTCTTCAGTCTCTCGTCGTTGTCCTTCCACTCGCCATCTTCATGGCAGGCATCGAAGTAACTTTGATATTCTCGCTCCGCATCGCATACCGCCGGCACATCGATTGGCCCTTGACCCTAATGGGTGTACTAGCGGCCGTTTTCCTAGCTGCTGGCGTACTTACGCATTACGTGGACATCTACGTACACCGCACCGTGCGTGGAATCTCGTTTCTCTTCGTGGGAATCGATGCCGCCGGAGACCTTTTCAGTCTCATCAGTGTGTTTTTCCAGCCAAAGCTGGATGTCTTGGGCATGGTTACGTATGGGGTTGAGTTGGCGCTTTGGCTGGGTGTGTTCGGCTGTGGTGGGTATTTCAACCTATTGCCTTGGCTTAAGCGAAAAGGGTATCTGAGGGCTGCACGGAAAGATGAGGATGTTAGAACGAGTGCAACGGCTTCTGAAAATGAGAGAGCGGGCGGTGGTGCGAATGTGGATGATGTTATGATACAAGACCTGCCGTCTTCGACGTCAGTCTTTCGGACACCCTCTTCTGATGTGGAACTCAGAAGGGCTAGGTCAGCTGGGGCCAATAGAGAACAACCGATATAAAAGGATTAACAGAGACTGTTTCCACTCAAATTACTAGCTGTGTTTAGATATCTTGTAAAGGAAAATTGATCCATATGGGCTACCACGAACTGTATCCACTAATATTTGATAGCACGGAGCTCAACCAGTTAAGAATTGCACGAAGATTGCTTGAAAGATGGCATTGCAGGCAATGCCGGCATATAATTTTTCTTGACATGAAAAAATGCTGTTAAACGCCGTGCCTCTTTTTCCGACCCTCATTAACCAAATGAAGACTCCAGCAAGAGCAGAGCAAATCATCTATGAGTCTACAATCATCATGGTATCATCACCTCCATTTCCGGCCTGCGGCTCCACCACAACACCCCTGCCTCTTCCCTCAAGAAGTTCTCGCCTGACCTCTGGTCCGATCTGCTTGTGGCCCTTAACGAGCAGCAGATCCAACAGGGCTTCTCTTTGGTCCTCGGTAATGTCGTTTCTGTAGCGCTGCGCAAAAGCAAGCAAGCACTGGTGCCAAAGTACCGGCAACTTGACATCGCCGCTCTTAGATCCCGGGCCAGCAACGTCAGTCATAGCATCTGCGTCACCCGCCAACAGGTCCGAGTTCTTGAAACGGAGGAAATGGAAAACCAGGGCGTCGATGACCTTGTACGGGAGAGCATATTTCTTCTCCAGCAGCGTGCGGATAAAGATGTTTGTTGCGCCACCGGCGACCGTGCTGACAGACATCTGCTCAGCAGCAATCTCACACAACCTATGCAGTGCCGCCGCAGAGTGGAGAACGGGAATGGAGACACGAGCCAGTACGCTGGCTATGATGTGAGCTTCTCTGAGAGTGCAGTCCCCGCCGCCGACAAGCGGAAACAGAATACCCTTGAAGAAAGCAGCTGGCTTGTACAAAGCTTTCTTGAGCGCCTTGTACAAGTGCACGTTCAGCTTCTTCTCTTTAGAGTCGTGGATATCGGCCCGGACCCGCTCAAGAAGGATGCTGTTGAGGAAGATTTGCGTAGTTTGAGGGGTCGAAGAGACGAAAAGCTTCGTAGCTTCATAGCAAACGTTGGGGGTCCACGAATCAGGCCGCGTGATGGATATCAAAGTCTCCCACTCAGGAAGCGAAGGCAAGATTTTGAAGGGCTTCGGAAGCTTGCCAGACTTGTAGCGCGAAAGGATAAGCCCGACTCTGTTCGACTGTTAGTGAGAGAAACCGGAATGCAAATTGCAAAACATACTGTGTGTAGACCTCGACGACCCTAGCGGGCAGTTCTACAGCATCCTCGGGCGCACCTCCGCCTATAATGTCCCTAGGTCCTTCTGCTGCCTCCTGCGCTTCCCTCTCGGCAATCTTTTCAAGAATCAACTCGGCAAGGTTGGTGCCTCCGGCCTGCTCTTCGCCACCACCTGGTTGGAAGAGGTGCGAGGGGTCGGAGGTAGGGTTGAAACGGTTGAAGAGGTCGAGATCTTCCGGATCGATTTCCTACAAGCCAGTCGGGTCAGCGATGTGGCGCTACCAAAGGATGTCCGCTACAGCACGTACAATCTCCTCAACTATCTCTTCCTCGTCTTCGTCGCCCCAGGCATCGTCGTCATCTTGGCCAACAACCTCCTCGTCCGATTCAACGCCATCGTCGAGCCTCGACTCGAATGCAAAAGCAGGGTTTGGCTTGGGCGGCCTGCGAGCATTCTGCTCCAGCTCCTCCTCATCGGCCAAGTCCTGACCGATTTTCAAAATCTTGCGCGACGCCTTGGAGTCGACGAAGCCCTCGTCATCGCGGTTGTCGCTGTTCGCCTTCTTCCTCTTGGCGGCCTTTTGCTTGAGCGGGTGGGTGGGCGCGTAGTCCTCGGAGAGCGGGTTATGGCGCCTGGCCTGGCGCGCGTCGGCGGAAGTGGATGCCTTGGGCATGGCTGTGCAGGAGTGGTGCGGTGCAGTGCGGGCAAGAAACGGGCGAGTGAATTAATTTTATGGCGGACCGCTCTTATCGTCGCGCGGACTGTCCTCACCGCCTTCGGCTCATTCTTATTATTGGCGCGCGCGCATTAACGCCCGCATCATCATCAACAACAACAACACCACCACCAATGGCCGATCCCCAGCCGCCTTCGCGGGGAACCACCCCGGGATTGACTGCCGGCGTCAAGCGCGCCCACGAGGAAGACCACGTCCCTGCCGTACCCTCGCCGCTCAACCCCGATTCCGCCGCCCGCCCTCGTCCCGCCAGACCTCCGCAGCGCGAACAGCGCGAGAAACGGGAAACATTGAAAAAGCGCGAAGCAACAGCCAGCTCGCGCGCCAACACGCCTGACTCCAAGGGGAAAGCCAAGGTCGAATTGGACAATGTGCCGTTGAACTACCTTCTGGAGGAATCTCTCCAGCTTGCGCATTTCGACCCGCCCAAGGATGCCACCTTTGTCTCGCATGAACCGCCGCTTCTTACCCCCGATGGCACGGCCGAGCTTAAGAGACTTTCCGACCAGTCCGTACATAATCTTATCCCGAAAAGCGATCAAATGCTGACTAGCTGGCCAGCGCTTCCAACCGACGGGCCTACCGCTATTACCATTGTGTTGCTGACCCTCTTTTCCGCCACAAACAGTTCTACCGCCAGTCAGACATCAGACCGTTTGCGCCCCATTTGAGCTTCGAAGACAGCGACAAGTGGATCCATTTCGATGATACCGCAACCATCTTGACCAACGAGCGCGGCTGGCGCATGAGTCGGGGCAACGTAGTCGCTCGAGAGGGAAGGTATTACTACGAAGTCAAGATCATTCGGGGCGTTCCGGCCGAAGGCCCGCCAGTCCCAAAAGGCCAAGAGAGCAATCCCCAACCACATATACGCATGGGCTGGGCGCGGCGAGAGGCTCCACTCGATGCGCCAGTGGGCTTCGACGGCTACAGCTATGGCGTCAAGGATATCGGTTTCGAATCGATGCATAGATCACGACCTGCCAGGCTCTATAACTCTACATCGCAGGGCGCGAAGAAGAACAAACCACCCGGAAGTAAGGTATTCCAAGTGGACTATGTGGAAGAGGATCACATTCGCGAAGGAGACATCATTGGCTTGGAGCTTACGCTCCCATCCATATCTCTGCACCGCAAAGTGGTCGAAGGCATCTACAATCCCGCCGTTGATGTCAGTGATGGCTTTGATGATCCGGTAGAAGCTGCCCACGACATCATCAGGGATCGCATTCCCGTGCCATTCAAGGCCAACATGTGGTTTGAAGTGAACGAATACCAGCCCACCAAGCCGATGGAAAGCTACGCGGACCGTGGCACTTCAACAACTGTCCATCCCAGCCCGAACAACAACGACGTGCCTCTGAGATCGCTTCCCCATTCCTCTATTAAGGTGTACAAGAACGGTAAACCGGTTGGAACAGCCTTTGAGGGTTTGATGTCATTCCTGCCTCCTGCTTCATCCCCCATACCAAGTAACAATCCAAAGGTGAGAGCGGGTCTTGATGATGGAATGTTGGGCTATTTTCCGGCCGTTGCTGCATTCTGCGGCGGAATTGCGCAAGTCAACTTCGGACCAGACTTTTGGTGTCCGCCCCCGGAATTGCAAAACGAAGATGTCGACATGATTGGAGCAGAAGCTCCTGTCGCTAGCGGCAGGAAGCTCCATGCAGTCGGGACTCGCTACAAGGAGCAGGTGGCGGAAGACATCGTCTGGGATATTATTGACGAAGTTACCTTCTTCGTTGCTGATCACAACAACAGCAGCCAGAATGGCACAATCAAGGCGGCGCCTGCAGCAAGAGGTATTACAAATCTCAGAGAGGACGACGGGTTTTGATTTTTGGAAAGTAGGGCGGCGGAGCCTCGGGTCCGCTATGCCTTTAGTCTCCAAACCCGTGCCGAGACAGGGATCAAAGATGTTGAGGGTATCCGTGCTTGCTCGCGTAGGAGTATGGCAGAGCGAATTTGACCGACAGCAGAGACCACACGGGAACTAATGGCGAAATCCTGATTGGGCGGTGTGCAGTGTGAGGAGAGAGTCAGGCGTTCGATGCGGGGCAGCTGACCGTGGGCTCGACACAGACCCCGAACTCTCACTCCGCCTGCTGGTCTGCTTTTCAAGCCTTCTCCTTTTCCAAACCCCCCCGGCACCGCAAACACTCAAATCACTTCCCGTCAAGGTCCCAGAACAAACTCCAACAAAATGCAGTCCTCCCAGGTCCTGGTCAACTCGCACGACTCCTCGTGCCCCAAGTGTGGCGCCGCCATTACCGAAGGCACCAAGACCTGCAGCTCTTGCGGAAGCGTACGTTCATGCGCCGCGCGCACACTTTTGCCGAGTTGTCCTGCTGACATGGTTCCGTCGACCAGACTTGCCCCGTTTAATCTATGCTGCTCTCAAGCTGAGACCTCTCGACGATTGCAACGGCCGCACACTGTTCACGGCGCGATAACGAACGGGGGGGTGGGGGGCGGATTTTTTAGAAGGCTGATGAGGAATGCTGGGCTTACGGCTGGGATAACGCGGGCACGGCCTGCGCAGTTTACGAATCAGACTATTGCTTTGTCGCATTCGCACGGTGGTGCCACTATAATGTGCAGTTTCATGCGCCTTCCGGATCCGAGAGGTGCATGCCGCATGTGAAATGTACGATGTGCGCGGTCTGTCGCGGCAAAAAAAAAAAAAAAAAAAAAAAAACGAAGTCCGATGAAGTTAAAATGAAAGAGCAGTAGTTTAGTGAGTCGACAAAGCTTTCTTGCAGCCAGGAGCAGCAGGCAGAGGTTAGCTGACCCCGCCGTTATCGATATCGAGCCCGCGGAACCGTTGCTAGCAGGCCGACATGGGTGGTGGTGTGCCAGGGTGTCAGTGAAGGTTACCATAGGTATCAAATAATCCGTTTTCCCGCGGGAAAGAAACACAGGGGCCGGAATACTGTAGCAAACAATGTTCAGCCAAGGACGGGACACGGGACGTCTCCGAAACAAACACGGACGTGTTTGCTCCGAGTGCGGAATCACGGCCTCTTCGGAACCGTTCCGCACTCGTCTGAGCTCCTCAGCTCATTGGTGGAAGCAAAGCTTGTCGGAGGTAGGGCGTGAATCTTGACGTCCTCAAAAAAAAGCTCGAGATACGGGAATTTGAAGTTTCGTTTCTCCAGCTTTCAGACCCGTTTCGGAAGAGGCCTTGTTACGCGCCAAATGGACTCCAATCAGTTCCGCGAGGCAGCTCACGCTGCAATCGAAGAGAGTCCGCCACCCCCACCACCACTACTGCCGGCACACTGACCTAACCCTTCAGTCATCAAATACTATGATACTCTTCCAGAGCGCCGCGTCCTCTCCGACGTCACCCCCGGTTATTTGCGTGAGCTTATCCCCACCGTGGCACCGCAAACGCCCGAGTCATGGCCGTCCATCCAATCCGACATCGAGCGCGTCATCATGCCCGGCTTGACGCATTGGCAATCGCCAAACTTCATGGCTTTCTTCCCCGCCAGCTCAAGCTTCCCGGGAATGCTCGGTGAGCTGTATAGCGCCGCTTTCACTGCCCCCGCCTTCAACTGGCTCTGCTCGCCCGCCGTCACCGAGCTTGAGACTGTGGTCCTGGACTGGCTGGCCCAGATTCTCGGTCTCCCACAGTGCTATCTCAGCCAAGGCGAAGGCGGTGGTGTCATCCAGGGAAGTGCCAGTGAGGCCATCGTCACTGTCATGGTGGCTGCTCGCGAGAGGGTCTTTGGCAACTTGAGCAAGGAACTTGAAGGTAAGGAGAAAGAGGACAAGATTGACGGCCTGAGAGGTAAATTGGTTGCACTGGGCAGCGAGCATGCGCATAGCTCGACGCAAAAGGGAGCTATCATCGCTGGCACAAAGTATAGATCAGTTGCTGCGTCAAAAGAACAAGGATTCTCCATGACGGGAGAATCCCTAAGACGGGCGCTGGAGGATTGCAAGCGTGACGGCTTGACGCCTTACTATCTCACGGTCACCCTAGGCACGACATCCACCTGCGCAGTTGACCGGTTCGATGAGATTGCAGAGGTTCTCAAAGACTGGCCCGAGGTCTGGGTCCACGTTGACGCGGCGTATGCAGGCGCAGCCTTGGTCTGTGAAGAGTATCAGCATTTGACCAAGAGCTTCACAGCATTCGACAGTTTCGACATGAACATGCACAAGTGGCTGTTAACAAACTTCGATGCCAGGTAAGACGACTGTATTGCGTGATGCTCAACTATGGAGGGAGCTGACCCACTCGAAGCTGTCTCTTCGTGAAACGTCGGTCAGATCTCACGTCTGCGCTCTCGATTACGCCGTCTTATCTTCGAAACACCTTCTCCGATTCCGGGCTGGTGACCGACTACCGTGACTGGCAAATCCCGCTTGGTCGGCGTTTCCGTGCCCTCAAGATTTGGTTTGTGCTGCGCTCCTACGGAATCGAGGGCCTCAAGGCACACATCCGGCGACACATCAAGTTTGGCGAGCTCTTCCACCAGCTCGTCAAGTCAAGGGAAGACGTCTTGGAGTTGGTGACTGGCCCGAACTTTGCTCTGAACGTCGTCACCGTGGTGCCGCGCCGGAAGTGGATGAAGGGTCGGGAGAGAAGAGTCAGCGCTAGTCGACCGGATCCGAATCACGAGGCGTATCTGAACGATTTCACGCCTGACGCAGAGAACCAGGCATTGCTAGATGCAAACGAAGTCACAAAGGAAGTCTATGAGCTAATCAACAGTCGTGGCGAGATCTTCCTGACGAGCGGGGTCGTAGGGGGCACGTATGTGATCCGAGTCGTCACGGCTACACCGAGCGTGGAGGAGAAGAACGTCCGGAGGGCATTTGAAATCCTGGTGGAAACGGCCGAGGAGGTGCTCAACAAGGGTGCCAAGGCGTGAGCGGATGGCAGCCAGACATGTCTAGGAAGAGTACGAAGTAGGATGAATACGATTTACGTGCCGGCGACGGCCAAAACGAAGCTGGAAGCGCTGGCAGGGTGGCCATGTCTCGAGCGGCGTGGTGTCGCAAGTGTTAGGTTCAGCTTCGTTTTCCCACATGCGCGCGCGATGCTGTACATTAGCCTGGTAGCGGGGTGGGTTGCTCCACGTTACGCCGTTGCTCAAGGGCACGACATAACGTTGGACGAGCTTGCTTTTGAGAGTGAGCGGCAGCCAGACTGCTTCCCCGCACACCCAAGTAACGTCATGCGGAGGCAAAAACAGAGAGAGGCCCCCTTTGTGACTGACTGGCTAAGAGATGCAGCGGCCGGCTCCGAGGGTACTGCGTGAGACGCTGGAAGAGTGGACGGTGGCACGGCGAGCGAACGTCGGGAGTCGGAGGAGAGGACAGGACGCGCCAAGCCCAGCCCCGGCCCGCAACTTTGTCGAGAAGCAACGACCTTTCCATCCAGCTGCGACGCCCCAACCGCTGCAGCCCGCAACGATGCCTCCACGGTTAAATGCCTTTCGCGCATGCAGCGCGCTGACGGCCAGCTCGACGCACCGTACCTCCTTTGCCGCCTCCTTCCTTTTGCAACCGCAGCAGCTCCGCGCCGCCTCCATCCTTGCCAGCCTCTCCGACCTGCCCGGCGCCTACAACAAGAGGATAAGACGCGGTCGTGGTCCCGCGTCTGGAAAGGGAAAGACGTCTGGAAGGGGTCACAAGGGTCAGAAGCAGCATGGCAAGGTGCCCGTCGGTTTCAATGGTGGTCAGACTCCGCTCGAGGTGACGCATCCAACCAAAGGCTTTGAGAACCAGTATGTGCTGCCGCGGCTCGCTGGTAAGGATGAAGCTGATGGCAATGCCTGTGCAACAGATTTGCTGTGGAGATGAGCCCGGTCAACCTGGACCGCTTGCAGCATTGGATCGACCAAGGCCGCATTGACCCGTCGAAGCCCATTACCATGAAAGAGCTCAACGACTCTAGGTGTGTGAGTGGAATCAAGGAAGGCGTCAAACTGTTGGCAAGGGTAAGACTGCTTGCGCACGCGAAGCGAGACGCGACGGAAAGTTGACCAGTCTGTTGGGCAGGGCTCCGAGCAATTCAAGGCTCCAGTAAACATTGTCGTGTCTCGCGCGTCCTCCTCTGCCATTGCAGCGGTCGAGGCCGCGGGCGGTAGCGTTATGACGAGGTTTTACACGCCATCGTCTATCAAGCGAGTCCTGCGAGGACTTACGGACCCCATCAAGTCCCTACAAAGCCAGCCCACGCCAGACTCGACGGCTGTGTCACCAAGCGCTTTCACGTACAGATTGCCGGATCCCACTAGCAGAAAGGACATTGAGTATTACCGGGATCCGGCGCACCGCGGCTATCTCAGTCACTTGGTCAAGGAGGGCGAGACGCCCAGTTTATTCTTCAAGACGCCAGGGACGTTCAAACGCGCCAAGAAGGGGTCGAAGAAAGCCAAGGGTGCGTCCAAGGCGGTCGAAAACAAGATTTGGTAGTGTTTGTTGTGGTGCTCGTAGCAGAATGAAAATGAATGAAAAGCACGCTGGGACCGGCGGGCGCGAGAGTTGCACAAAGCTCCCGTTTATTCTTCGGCAGGATTGTTTAGTTATGCCTCGGTGACATGTACGTACGAGATGAACAGCTTCAGGCTAACAATGGCATGGCTGACGCCGGAGCGGCCATGATTAGCTACATGCCGCGGTGGTGCGTCTGCAGGCATGGGGCATCCATGTCTCGGCGGCTGAGCGATGCGCGGCCAGGGATGTGCCAGGCCTGAGACGCGAAGTATGGGACTCGGTGATGAGTGCAGCACGAGGGCGCAGGGGACGACAGAGCACGAAGCGGCCTCGTACTTGGGTGCCCGTGACAACCGGTGAAAGGCAGCAACCGCGAGGAGGAGGCTACAAGCGAAGGCGAAACATCGAGGGGGCACGGGCCTCGCCGCGGAGAGAAGCTAGGGTGGGTGCTAGGGTCTTGGGGTTGCTAGGCAGAAGAATTGGAATATAAAAATAAAAATAAAAATAAAAATAAAAATGAATGAAAAAGGGAAAGGAAGAGTCGTCGTCGTCGACCAGTAGGAGCGTGAAATGCACGTGGACCAAAAGGCACGCGTACAAATAGAATTCCTGGCCCTGTCCCTGGTAGTTGTTACAATAATAATAATAACGACGACGACGCGCGTGGGAGGGTGGCTGTGTGATGAGGGTTGGTGGACATGGCAGCAGCAAGGACAGTGTTTTCTCTCTTGACGTGGAACGTTGCATATCAATCAGGCTGTATCCCATGGGCGCGGGGGCCGACGCTCCAAGAGGCGCAGCGCCGTGGGTGGAACACGTACATGTCAGCAAGCTTTGGGAGCAGAAAGGGCCGGTTCTTGTAGCGTGTCTCGGTGGCACAGCTGGAGCGGCTAATGTTTCCCAGGCCAAGGCAGGATACGAAGGGCAGTGGCAGCGACGGCACGGCATCCGCGGGCGCGCAGGTTATAGAGCGACGATAAGGAGGGGCAATTACCGGCCTATCGCAGGCTCCTTGCAGCGGTGATCGCGCCTGCATCGGGCAAGTCCAGATGAGGTGTCCGGCCAGAGGTGCAGCATGATTCAGACGCCCAATATTGGGCCCGTGGTCTGAGGCGGCGGTTACGTTGAGCGCGCTGCCACCATGTGGGCTGGGGGAGATCCATCGGACCGGAGAGCTGGAGAGAAGAGCAGAGATTGCCTATCACGCGCATTGTGACGCGGGCGCGGCGTAGGCCGGAGCCTCCTGAGTGGGAGACGCTTGCAGCCATCAATCTCGGCCAGCCTCCTTGCCTGGCCCGGAATGCTGCATCACGAGGCGCGCGACGCTTGCAGCCGCTCATTAGCCAGCATGCCCATCCTTCAGCTTGCATATCCACCGCGTTGGTTGCTCTGACATCAACTCCCACATCAATTTGGATCAGCCTCTTGGGCCGACGCCTGGAACCTTCCGCTGTCGACACGCCTGACTAGTCCTTGAATAATGTTTTATCAAAACCGTCACTGCTCCGCGCCCCAAATGCGCGGCCTAGCCTGTCCCGAGACGCCATCCTCACTTCCCGTCTCGCCCACTCGGCCGCTGCCTTTCTCTTCATACATAGCGTTGCACCCGGGAAACCGCCTCTACATATTTGCCAGCCGTCCTTGCTTGGCCCCGATGCCGCTTCTTCTACTGCTCTCCTCCCCGCCATAGCCATAGCCTCGACTCGATGCTTCAACTACAGCGTCCCCAGCCCATGCCGAACGCCCTCGCGCTCCCAAGGCAGTCACGCTCCAGCCTTGGCAATCCCGTCACGCCTCCCGCCGACATGGCCACCGTCCTCTTTGGCAACAGGCCCCATCATTGCCTTCCCGACTCAACTACTGCAACAGCAACAACAACTTCCACCTCCAATCCCAGGCCCGTCTGGCACAATGGCCCGTCTTCTTCTTCCCATCCTCACCACCACCAACCTCTCCAACTCCACCACCAACAACAGCTACACCACCGCTCCGCCGCAACCCCGCTCAGTCCCGTCAACATGTTCTCCGCCGCCGCTGCCGCCGCCGAAGACTACCGCCGGAGAGCCTCGACCACCGCCATAGCGCCCTCGCTGCAGATTCCCTCGTCGATTACCACGCCGCAAACGAGCATGCCCCAGCTCGCTGCCGAGGTGAATATGCCTTCACTTCGGCCTCCCACCCCCTTACTGACGCCGGCCTAGATCACCTGCCTCTTCTGGTTTGAGAACTCGTCAACGCTGCATCAGGCCCTCGACTCGCGCTCTCCCCCGCTGCCGGTTTCCAGCCTGGTTCCCGACGCCCAGCCGACCACGGGTTTCCGCAAGTGGGTCGCGACAATCCTCTCAACCACCCAGGTCACGCAAAATGTGGTCCTGCTTGCGTTGCTGTTCATCTACCGCCTGAAGACGATCAACCCCGCCGTCAAGGGCAAGCCCGGCAGCGAGTACCGCCTGCTTACCGTCGCTCTTATGCTGGGCAACAAGTTCCTTGATGACAACACGTACACTAACAAGACCTGGGCGGATGTGTCGGGCATTTCGGTGCAGGAAGTGCACATCATGGAAGTCGAATTCCTGAGCAACATGAAGTACAATTTGTACACTTCCGGTGAAGAATGGAGCGAATGGCACAAGACTCTCGGAAAGTTCGGTACCCACTTCGACAAGGCTTCGCGAGCACACCTTGAAGTTCCTCCGCGCGCAATTGGTCCGCCAACTCCGTCTTTGCATGTTCCGCCCAACCTTCCTTCGCCGCCGAACTCGACGCAAGCTTCTCCACCTTTCCTGAACAACTATTCACCCAACCACTCGTACTCCACCACCCCCACCTTGCTTCCGCAAATTGGCTCGACCGTCGTCTCGCCCATTGGTCCTTTGCCGGAGCTGAACATGCGCCCGGGTTCGAGGAAACGCAGCTACGATGACCAGACCCAGGAGCCCGCGTCGAAGCGTCCTCTGAAGAGCTTCTCTCAGACGACCGATTCCAGGGAAGGCTATCAATCGTATCCTGGCCTGCCTCAGCAGGTCTCCACGCAACCCCCTCCGCCGGCGACCAGTGTGCCGATGCTACCACCGCTGCCGAATCTGTCTGTTCCCCAGCTGCCTCCTCCGGTGGGACGCCCGGTGTCTTTAATCTACCCTCCTCCGATGCAGTGGTCTCAGCCGTCCTCGGCTCCGTCTGCGCCTGCTCCCACGATGACACTGCCCCAGCCGCAGCCCAACGGTACGAGCGTGCCCTCTCGCCAACTGAGTCCCTACAACATCGATTCGGCCAGGAATTCTCCTGTGAACGGTCCTTACGGTACTTCCTCCGCACCGAAGCAAAACAGGCTCTCTCCTTCCTTCTACCTCTCGCAGCGTAGCTCGCCCTACAGGCCTGTCCGCGGTGTGAACACGCTTCTCGTGCCTCCCCCTTCCGCGTCAATGAGTCATCCTCCGCGCCTCGACTTCGACCAGATGCAGTACCAGCCGCTTGGCAGGCCTCTCAACGAACGCCGCGCCGGCCCGCTGCCTTACATGAACCATGACGCGTGGCCCACCACGAACCAGTTCAACCAGTGGCCGGTCCTCCCTCAACCCAACTTCACTCGATAGATTCCACTTGGATTCTGTCTCTAATTTTGCAGTTATGGAACGTCATACCCCACGACAGCATTGCCTTTTTTGCATCCCTGATGGAGTTTCTTTTCTTTGTTCTTTTAGATTACGGCGTTACACGATGAAAACGACACCGACATCCCCTCTCGGATCGATCGCTTTCGCTTTGCTCGCGTTCAAGCATTTGCATGGGATGGGAACTGTATATCTACTTTTTTTTTTTTTACCCTTTTTCTTTTTTGGCTGGCTCGGAGCGTAGTTTTAACTACGGTTCGTAGAACACAAGGTGCATTGGTTTGGCGTTTAGGGAAAAAGCAGGGGAGCGATTCCCCCATGGTGCTCTGCCCGCAGTGGCTGTCGTTCGGTCCTCTCAAGAAGGGAGGATAAGGGAAACTGGTGCCGGCATGCAGAGATTATCCAAAATCTCATGCCTAGCGCCGAAATGCTTGTAGTTTCAACGCCCTTCAGAGAGTGCATTGGCTGGGTTGAAAGTGACATCAGCCTTTTCAGCTGAAGGGCAGCAATAAAGATGACAATTTCGTATGATGTTTCGAGTGTTCAGACGCTGCCGAAATTGCTGGTACCATGTAAAGTGTGCCAGGTGTCCATTGTTGCCAGTGCAGCACCAGGCCTGGTAGATCTAGTCATGTCCGCTTTTGGCGTGCGGTCTGCATGGATATGTCCAGGGCTGAAGTAGACACCAAAAGCGGATTGTGAGATTTGTTAAATCACGTGCCATGGACTCCACTGCGGAATTGCTGTTCCGGTTACGTTTGGAGTCGTGTGCCACACCGCAAACTGGTCGATGTTAATCCAACCGCGGTTCGGCAGTTGTATATTGGATTGTTGAAGATTGAAGATAACGTCACGTGCCGTATGCCCGAGCTAGGTTTGGTGCCTGGTGCCTAGCGCGACTGCCGAGGTTCAATGGTAGGATCGACCGTCTCACAACGCGGAGACGAACACGGGAACAGCATCCATTTGCTTCAAACAATCCTCGACTATAATAGAAGCGCTCGTTTAGGCCCGCCTTGTCAATGCAAAGCTAGGATCACCTACCCAAGCTTCTATTCTTGTGATTATTCTGTTCATCAATGGCTGGCGATAATTCCATCCACGGCAACCGCTACACGCCCTTTGCCGAGCTTATGAGATTGGAGAGGACTGGGGACCTTACGTTCAAGTCGGTCACGAAGGGGTATGGAATCGCTAATAGCTCTCGTAGCTATGGCGGACATGTTTACGCGCAAGCTGTCTGGGCAGCGGCGCAGACGGTGAATGAAGGCCTCGTCGTTCACGTATGTGTCTATCTCCCATGTTTTACTGCTCGGTTTTCCGTTTCATGCTTCTGCTTGATTACGTGCAAAGAAAATCTTTGGACGCCGTAAATTCGGCGACATTCTTCATCAACCGCATATTCGTTGCTCGTGGCGCAATGAGGCTTGTCCGTATCAAAATATTCAGAATCGTGGAGCTGATGTATGCCATAGACCGTCACCGGTTTCTTTACCCGTGAAGGTAAAACGAATGTTCCATTCGTGTATAAGGTGAGAAGGATAAAAGATGGCAGACGCTTTTGCACTCGAACAGTAGAGGTCGTGCAAGAACCCGAGAAAGGAGTATGCTTCACCTGCACATGCTCGTTCAAGAGAGACGAACCCGATGTCGTGAACTATCAGGAGACAGTGAACTTGAAAGAGAAGTACAAGCTCGCATTGGGAGACAAGCAGCCGCACGAATGGCCTGAAGCGCCAGGGGTCGATTCGCCATGGTTTGTCTTCCACGGAGCCAGGTCGTTCAGCTCCGGCAGGCTGACACATGACACAGGTATTGGAAAAAGTCAGCTGCGGATGACAAGTTCAACGATGTCTTCCCTGGCCTCTCGCTGCGCAAGGTCGACATGACCCCGTACAATGCAACGCTCCAGCCGCTTGAGCGGCGTCAGCTCCAGCTCTACTCAGCCATAGGACGCATGCCCCCGGTGGGTGAACAGGCGAACCTGCATGCGTGCGCACACCTGTACGCGAGCGATCGGAACAGTCTGTTCATCATCCCGAATCACCTGGACGTGGGGGATGGATATACGGAAATGGCGAGCCTAAGCCACACGGTCGTGTTTCATGTAGGCTCTCAAGGGTTGGACATGGGCTCGGGCAGATGGTACTGCCAGGAAGCGCGGATGACGAGAGCAACTAGTGATCGGGGCTTGCATGAGAGCAGGATTTGGAGCGATGGGGGTGGGCACGTAGCAAGCACCTGGCAGGACGGACTGGTCAGGATTGGGGACGGGAAGCTACACCGGTCCCTGGGCGTCCTGGCGGATGGACGGTGGTCCAAAGGGAAGCTCTAGGGCAAGCGGGGAAGTCATCTGTGCAGGGATGACTTTCCGTCGCCTGGCCCGCGCGGGCGGAGCAGCGACGCGCGCGCGCGCGCAGACTGGAGCTGTGGAGCGTCAGCCGGCGCAAAGGAGCTGATGGTTGGCGAAAGGCGAAAAGGCGCCCCCAAAGGGCGACGCGGCGCGAACATCAACAATAATGCCGCATCAGGGAGCGTGTTGGGAAGGCAAGATGCAGCTGGGACGATGGTGGCATGATGGGACGATCAGCACACTCACACACACTCTCTCTCTCTGGTTGGTAATGGCACAGGTATATAAGACGGGCCACCCAGCTGAGCGCGTGTGTGTGCGCGGCGGCAACGGGGAGAAGCAGAGCCGGCTTTTTCCCGCCGCCTCGATGGCCCGCCCGGTTCTTCGCGAGCTTGCCCCAGGAGGGGCCCCGGGAAGACGCGGGCAATGGCGGGGACAGACTAGAGCTTGGAGCTGCTCGAACCAGGTCTATCACACTGACGGTCCCTTTCATCCGCAGCTTGAACGAGTGGAAACTTAGGTGTACATAACCTGGCGTCGTGGACGCTTATCGGTCAGAGGCCGAGGCCGGCGGCGTCATAGCTGGCTGTGAAAATCCTCAGGGCCGTTTTCTGGCGCACCTCTTTGTCGTATCTTCCACCACTCGCCGTCCTACTTCGATTGCTTCTCCGACCGGCTCACATGGCTGCCCCAGCCGTCATGAGGCCCTTCGCAAGCGCCTTTGGGGCAATGCGTCAGGCTGGCCGTCGCACTGTTTCCAATGCGCGTCCCTCCATCGCCCCTAGAGATACCTTCCGCCGCAACCCGTCCCTGTGCAGAACCTACGCCGACTCGGTCAGCCCCGAGACCAAGGCCAAGGTCAAGAAGGGTGGCTTCAGGTTCTTTCGCTGGACCTGGCGCCTGACGTATTTGTCGGCGCTGGCAGGAGTTGGCTACACCAGCTATGTCGTCTACCAAATGCGCAACCCGGCCGACCAGCCTGACCCGGACCCGAGCAAGAAGACGCTCGTCATTCTCGGTATGAGCGCGTCGCGTCGCATCGCATACTCAATCGCTGACCCTATGCGCCAGGTACCGGTTGGGGCTCTGTCTCCCTCCTGAAGAAACTCGATACGGAAAACTACAATGTCGTCGTCATCTCTCCCCGCAACTACTTCCTGTTTACCCCGCTGCTCCCGTCATGCACTACCGGTACTATCGAACATCGCTCTATCATGGAACCGATTCGTAATTTCCTGCGCCACAAGAAGGCCGCCGTCAAGTACTACGAGGCCGAGGCTACCAAGGTTGATTACGAAAAGAAGGTTGTCTACATCAACGACGAGTCCGAGATCAAGGGCGATGTCTCCGCTACTGAAGTTCCTTTCGATATGCTCGTTGTTGGCGTCGGTGCTGAGAACGCGACTTTCGGTATGTCAGCTTCTTACTTGCCCCACGGGCGCGCGTCTGACTGGTGGAATTAGGTATCCCTGGTGTCCGCGAACACGGTCTCTTCCTGAAGGAGGTCGGCGATGCCCAGCGCATTCGTAAGCGTATCATGGACTGCTGTGAAACTGCCATCTTCAAGGATCAGGACCCCGAGGAGGTTAAGCGTCTTCTTCACATGGTTGTTGTCGGTGGTGGCCCCACTGGCGTCGAGTTCGCCGGTGAACTGCAGGACTTCTTCAACGACGACCTCAAGAAATGGATTCCGGATATCAAGGAGAACTTCAATGTCACTCTCGTCGAGGCCCTTCCTAACGTACGTTCGCGCTCTCTCCACGCTGCAGTGGATCATTGATGCTGACATCATCCAGGTCCTTCCCATGTTCTCTAAGCAACTGATTGAATACACCGAGAAGACCTTCAAGGAGGAGACTATCAAGATTCGTACTAAGACTATGGTCAAGAGGGTCACTGATAAGTTCATCGAGGCTGAGTCTACCGGTCCCGACGGCAAGAAGCAGCTCGAACGCATCCCCTACGGTCTTCTTGTTTGGGCTACTGGCAATGCTCTGCGCCCCGTCGTCAAGGATCTCATGTCTCAAATCCCCGCTCAGAAGGACTCTCGCCGTGGTCTCGCCGTCAATGAATACCTCGTCGTAAAGGGAACTGAGAACATCTGGGCTGTTGGTGACTGCGCTGTCGCCAACTATGCTCCCACTGCTCAGGTCGCTGCCCAGGAAGGCTCTTTCCTCGCTCGCTTGTTCAACCAGATGGCCAAGACTGAGCAGATCGAGGAAGAGCTGAAGAAGCTCTCTACTGCTCAGGAGAAGGCTCCCAGCAAGGATGATCGCGACCGGGTTTTCGCTAATATCAAGGATCTGCAGAAGCGTCTGCGCCGCGTCAAGCAGATGGGCCCGTTCGAATACTCTCACCAAGGCAGTCTCGCCTACATTGGTAGCGAGAAGGCTGTTGCTGATATCTCCTGGTTGACTGGTAACTTTGCCACTGGTGGTACTCTGACCTACTTCTTCTGGAGGAGTGCCTACCTGAGCATGTGCTTCAGCAGTAAGTCTTGGCTTATAACCCTTCTTGAATACTAAAGCATGCTAACCAATCCGCAGCCCGCAACCGTGTTCTCGTCCTGGTCGATTGGGTCAAGGCCAAGGTGTTTGGCCGTGACGTCTCCAGGGAATAAATTTTCTGTTTCGCCCATCCACTCAATTGTTAGATTTCTCCGTTGCACCAACCACTACCTCGTGTATCACTAGCTCAGCTTCGAGTCAACTTGTATTGCTAGAGATGATAGGGGACCTGCTCGGCGAGGCTTTTTGGCAAGCTTCAGCATGTTCAACGCGTCGGTCAGGCACTTCTCCTTTTACTGTTCTCTAGGGTTTTGGGTTTCTTGAAGATAGATTAGACTGGATTGGACTGGTCACACGGCCTGCTTAATGTCAAAAATTTCACGCCAAGTTTGTTGCTGCTAACGTCTCGCCGTCAAGCGAGATTCACAGCCTAATGAGATAACGATGCGTATATGGAGAAGAAACGAAATCCAGTCAGGATATTCGTACGTATGTATATGCCTAAAGATGTTTTTACTTATATCCAAGTCTCAGGTATGTAGCTAGACAAGGTGTATTCTATAGGGACTGATTGTATCCTCCCCTATCTCGTTAGACGGTGAATTTTGCTCAATGGTGACGGACTTCAGCGTCCATGTTGATATGTTTTGAGGGGATGATGTTGGGCTGGGTACGTACCTATGAGTGAACGCGGGTCGCGTGACGGCGCGTATCTTGAAAGCATACCCCGAAATCGCACTTGTAGTCGCTCATATATCAAATAGGTAGCAGAATGCTGGCTTCTCATTCCATGGACCCGTTCGCATCTCTCTCTACTACGGGCTTTCTGTCACAATTCGCCGGCATCGGTTTGTTGGACTTTTACCACAAAGGAGTTGGAGTTGTCTAGTCGACAGCCTTGTGGCGCTGGCGGTGGGCCCAGCACAGCCAGGACGCCACGAAATATCAGACAAGGGATACCAGTAAGCATTTGTTCTTTGTCATGATAAGCGAATGGGGCTCAATCATCACGGGAGCAGCCTCGCTTTGCTTGTTCCGGCGGTGCGACAACGAGGGATGGCCGCGTGCAACGAAGCTAGGGGCCCTGGTCGTTCCGATAGGCCGCCGATCGGAGGCGCCGACTTGACTATCTTCCCCACGCCCCCAACACTCGGCCAACTGCTGCCACTGCTCTTATCTTGCAACCATGCGCGTAATAGTCCGGGGAAAGGATGCGCCTTCCTTCGGTGCTGGCGCTCGCATGACTGTATCTGCTGCCAGTCTAACAGTCATCGGGTCTCAGCCACCCAACTAAAATACTACCAACTCCGTCTCTCTCTCTTCCGTATTCCTATCTCTCACCTCCCTCACTTCCCTCCGCAGCCTCATTCTCAGCATGAGCACCACGTCTTGGACGCTCACCTTACACCCTGCGCTCCCGGAGTACTGCGAGCCGGAAAACGGCTTCCTTCGTTTCCTCTCTTCTACGTTCCACACATGTGTCCCAACAAACCTAGCCTTCCTTTCGACGCTGCTCGGTACCCTCAGCGTCGTGTCATGGCTGTTTGCCCAGCTGCCGCAGATCTATAAGAACTACACGCTCAAGTCCACGTCTGGGCTCAGCATCTTCTTCCTAAGCGAGTGGCTTCTGGGCGATGTGTCCAATCTGGTGGGCTCGGTGCTCACCAAACAGGCGCTATGGCAGGTCATCATTGCGACCTACTACTGTTTCGTGGACTTTATGCTAGTGGGTCAGTGGCTGTGGTACGAGCGCTTGCGCCATGGTAGACCACTGATCCGCGTATGGCGCCGGGGTAACAAGAGACCTTACGGTGGGAACGGACCTGATGACTTATCAGAAGTCATCGATGGCATGTCTGTAATGAGCGAGTCAGAGACTATATCGGAGGATAGCAAGAAAAAGGATACCAACGATGGCTCAGACTCCATCTCTCATTCTGACCCGAAAGATGTATTCCGTTCGCCTCGGTACTCATCTTATCCGTCAAAAGAAGGTCCGGGGAGCCTAACATCAACTCCCAGCCGTACCATTACTCGTACCGGACGGTCCAACTCTCCCATGCCATCTCCGCGAACGGCCCTCTACTTGACCATGCTGCTCGCAGTCGTAGCACGAGCGTCGCCTTTGACGCCGCCTCCTTCAACAACTTCGTTTGCTAGCCAAACCGACACGACGGAAACTCCTGCCGAGATAGCGGGCCGCCTCTCCTCTTGGCTGTGCACGATGTTGTACCTGGGCTCGCGCCTGCCTCAGCTGTACAAAAACTACATCCGCAAGTCTACTGCTGGTCTCTCGCCGACTCTGTTCTTGGCTGCGTTTTTAGGAAATCTTTTTTACTCTTCCTCTATCGCTACGAACCCTTGCGCGTGGGGCTCGTATCCAGCCCACGGCGCGGGTGGCTGGGTCGACGAAGAAGGCAGCCAACGCGGGGAGTGGATTAGCCGGGCGGTGCCCTTCTGGCTAGGAGCCGCAGGTGTACTGATTATGGACGCTGCCGTTGGTGTGCAATTATGGTACTATGGCGAGGCGCCAGCGGCGGAGAGGGCCGTGGTGGTGGTACCAGAAGAGGGAGGGAAGAAGTGGAGGTGGAGAAGAGTCAGTGGATGGATGCGGGGCTGGATACCCGCAGTCAGCGAGCTGCCCGCGCCAAGGGCGGAGGAGGAGCGGCTTCTGGGAACCCGAGCGGACGGGCGCTACGGCGCCGTTTGAGCATCTTAACGGCGGTGCAATATAACCGCCCCGGCGGGCTCGTTTCGATTCATGCATCTCCGCTGTTTCAGCTTTACACGACCTTGGGCATTTTTTGGGACGGACTACGGATTAGGTAGCCACGCTTTCGTTTGGATTCAGTCAGTCATCCAAGATGTGCATGGGAAAGCGCGGTGGTACAGAGGCGTTTTGTTTGTCATTTGTCACGATGCGGACGACGGCGTTTGGAACTGAGTGTTAGTCTTTGGGAGTACACTATCTAGAGGGCAATCTGCTGTCGCTTGAGCATATGTGGCATTTTAGGCAGAGAGAGCATGTTTTAGAGCACGGGCGTCTCCTTGCTTGAGTAGATATGTACAGCGTGTTTGCCGGTCATGCCTATCTGTTTCATAACATGAGTCGAAGGTCGATAGTCCCCAATCACAGGCGCAGCAAGAGCGGGGAAGGACGGCAACACGGCAAGAGAGCGTAGACGGAACGGCCGCGGGACAAGACAGTTCCGCCAAAGGGACATGGCCGGGAGTGAGCGGAGATGGCGCGGCGCGCAGGCTCCACCAAACGGCGTACGCACATACCATGATTGCGCGTGTACGCCAATCAACTGACGATGCGCTCAGCTTAACATCGCGCTGGCGCCAAGACACATGCGCGGAAGGCTCGGCAAACGAGGGGTTGCAGCAATGGAGGGGGTATCAAATACTGCCAGATTGCGGTGTGGGGTTTGCTGTTCACATATAAAGCCACTGCTGGCTAAAAGTCGCCAGCCTACCCCCCCACCTTACCCTACCACTCCCCACCAAACAAACAATGTCGTTCCTAAAGAAGCTCACCAAGGACTTTGAGGGTCTGATGCACGACAAGGACGGTCAGTCCCAGGGCGGCCAAGGTAAGCCTCCAATCTATTCCACCGCCGCTGTCGACGATGCTCACCGGCTCCTCCTGCAGAGTCCAGTCGCGGCCACGACCAGAGCTACTACGGAGGCCCGCCCGAGCACCAGTACGGCCAGCCGCCGCAGCAGCATTACGGCCAGCCTCCCCAGCAGTACGGCCAGCCCCAGCAGCCTTACGGTCAGCCGCCTCAGCAGTACGGTCAGCCTCCGCAACCCTACGGACATTCCCCGCAGCCTTACGGCCAGCCGTACGGCGCACCCCCCTCGAATTACTCGAGCCCGGCTCCTCAGGGCGGCTACGGCGCGCCTCCCCCGCCGCCTCCTCCGGCCCACGAGCCCGCTCCCCTTCCGCAGGGCTGGTTCTCGTCTTGGGACTCTCGCCGCAACCGCGCCTACTACTTCGAGCCCGGCTCTGGTCGCACGCAGTGGGAGCAGCCCGGCGGACCTCAGGGTTACCCCGGCGAGGCGCCGCGCAGCGACTTCTACCAGGAGTATGGTCACGCAATGCCGCCTACCGGATACGGCCAGCAGGGAGGATACGGTCAGCCGGGCTACCCGCCACCGGAGGGCAGCCACGCCGACAACTCGAGGGCGTATTACGGCGACGTGGAGCAGAAGGAGAAGAAGAAGGAGGGCCACGGCATGGGCACCGTCCTGGCCGCTGGTGCCGTCGGTATCGCCGGCGGTGCGCTGGTTGGCGCCGCCATTGGTAAGTCATGGTGGTGTCCTTGTACTGGGGCTGAGCTGACGTCGGAATCACAGCGCACGACTCGGATTCGGACGAGGAGCACCGTGCGCCTCCTCCGCCACCTTCGGGCGACTACTACCCCGACGAGACGCGTTCCGGGTCTTCGGTGTCGAGCAGCGACAAGGAGGAGCTGGAGGAGCGTAGAGAGGAGCTTGAGGAGGCGCAGGAAGAGTACGACGAGGCCTACGAGGAGGCGTACGACTAGGGCAGCAGCAAGGGGCAAGGATTGTTTGTGGGTATTAGGCTATAGCTCCCAAATAAAGTACGGCCACGTTTAGATTGTTTGTTTGTTATGTATGTCGGGCGCGGCGGGGCGTGTGGAGTTTGGCGAGACCCTTGGACAGGGGGCAGCTGCGGAGACGCGCCGAGTCAGCCAGATTGTCGTATCTGTGGCACCCCCCCTCCCCCTGCTCTCCCACGAGAGGGTTTCCCTGAAGAAAGTTGTTCGTACCTGCTGCCTACGCCTCTATTGTTTCTCGCTATTTTGCCTATATTCACGCGTGCTGTGCCGCAACACACCCAAGTACCGAGTCACTACCGACGTCACTTGTCAGTCAGCGCGACTAAAGTAGCTTCCTCCCAAAAAGCCGCTTCCCGAAACCCGCCGCGCGCCGCCGCTGCGCTTATCCAAGCACCTGCAGCCATCTCGAGTCGCCTCTCTCTCTCTCTTTCTTCGCCCTCGACGCATGGCAATGGCGAATCGGTAACGCTGTTGTTGGTCGCATCGCTCGACCCCTTACCCCGTACTATCGCACGCCCCGCGCGAGCCACCTAATCCATATCGAACCTCCCCGAAGCGCATGGCGCCTGGACAAGCATGGCGCTTCCCACCTTCTCCTTCGTCGCCGGCCTTCTTGTCCTGGTCTACCTCTCGACCTTTGTCATCTTCGCCGTCCTCCGCATCCTTACTGGCATCTCCATACAACGCATTGGCTGGTACGGGCTGCGGCGCATCTCCTTCACCCCCAAGGATGGCATTCGGATCGACCTCCGCGGATTGAGGCTATCTCTGCATAGGCCCACTTTTGCGCAGCCTACATACGTCAGCATTGTCTTGGAGGAATTGAAGGTCTCCCTTGACCAAAAGGCATTGAATGCGGCCAAGCCGACCCGCCCGCCGGGGGCTGGCCTCGCCAATGGATCATCGGAAAAAGTAGAGGAAAATGGTCGTCTGCAGGGGGAAAAACAACCAAAAGCAAATGATGGGAAGAAGAAGAGGAGTGAAACATGGCAGAAATTGACGGAAGTCAAGGAGCGCATCAAGAAGCTGCACCGGCAGCTCGACTGGATCCGGATGGTCGACCTTGTCGCAACTACAACCTCTGTGGTCATCAAGGATGTAGGTTCGGTCCAGGTTGCGCAGTTCAGCGCAGCCGTTGACACAAGGCGGAAAATGGTCGACCGCACCCGTCTTTTCCAGCACCGGAGGGCCAAGGCGGAAGACCAGAGCCCGGCCGAGTGGATCTTCTCCGTGCGGAACATCTTGTTCAGCCCCGAGGGACAAGAATCGACGGAAATTTTGGATCATCTAACACTTAATATTCATGGCCTGCTTTTCAAGGACTTGGATGGACTCCGCGATGCATCAATTGCTCTCAAGCTGGGCCGCCTCAACTTGCCAGTCGATGACATCCACAACTCCCTTGAGCGGATGAAACGGATCCAAAAAACACACAGCAGGAATGAAACCGTTGGAGTCGACTCCAAGTATTCATTCGATGATGTTATGGAAGAGTTGGACAACCCTGGCAGCCGAGAGGACGACATCGTGCAAACGGTGTCCGATTCAAAGGAGTTTGTCAGTTCGATCTTGCGCGGAATCCAGGAAGTCCAATTTGCTGTCAGCTTTTTTGGCCTCACGAAGCGAATTCGTGCCGGGAACGCCAAGGAGCGCCCGGTCTTCCTCAATATGTCAATGAAAGAAGTTGGTTTTGACTTGTTGCGTCTTGATCCACGCAGCCCAGCCCATCTAATGTATTTCTCTCCTCAAGACATAGCCCATCAGGCTCTGCTTGCGGCCATTGCCATCTCCGTCGGAATCGACCATGGACAAGATCACCCGGAGAGGCTCTTGTACATACCCATGGCCACTACGACTGTCAAAACTACACTACCAGCGAAAACCATCCAGTTTGATAGAGATAGGAACGTCGCGGAGAAGAACACCAACATCCTTTTTGCAAACTTGGTCGTTACGTCTCCATCGCTCGACCTCGACCCCAAGCATCTTCCTTTAATAATGGCGCTGCTTCAGAAACCGGAACGCCGGAGGCCACCCCCGGCGAGCCGTTCGCCAAAGAATTCGGAACTGATTTCTCGCCTTTTGCCCAAGGCAAATGTAAAGATTTCGGTCCATGAGCCTGTCATTAGGGTGACTTTGCCCCCGACGGAGCCGGAGAAGAAAGACACAGACGAGTTTGATTTGTTGATCTCGTCCATGTCTTCCATATCCCTTGATTTGGAGTCATCGCACTCTGCGGGCGGCGAATTGCACTACTCTTTGGGCAGTCACCTGCGTGTAGCATCTCATCAGCTTTATTATCAAACTGCATCCAGCGTGAAGCACAACCTCTTGCTCACTGACGCTGCGGAGGCCAAACTATCGTTGGACGCTTCTCCGCATGTCTCTGTGGTTTTGGCTCTGAACTTCCAGACGTTCTCGATCTACATGCTCCGACCAGAGATTAGCGAAGGTGTGCGCCAGATCGTCACCCAACTCCGCAGTTCCGAGTCAGAGTTTGCTGGCCGATCATCGCCAAAGTCGCAGTCGAACTTTTTGCGTAAACTTCCTAAGTGGCTCAATCATATCGAAGTGCAAGGATCCGATTTCAACGCAGAAATCGCAGGCATTGATCCGGATGTATCGGAGCACTCTCGAGGAATCGCGGTCCATTTGGACTCTTGGCGGGCCGAGTACAAGGCAGACAAGTCTGAAGAATCTGCTGCTCGCCTTACGCGCCGTCGTGCTACGAGCAGGAACGTCCCTACGGAGAGTCAGATTTTGAGAGCGGCTTCGCCTTCTTCCCCGACTGATACATCTGTGCCGACCCCGCGAAAGAGGAAGGTTACCGAAACAGATGGTCGCCGGCTTGCGGTGCACATCCAAGGACTGGAAGGCTTCGTCATTGAGTCGTGGGATTCACGAGAAGAGGAGTCTTTCCTCAAACTCCCTCGGTTTGAAGCGGCCTTTACCACGTCTACCGACCATCAAGGACCCGTGTTCCACATCAACTGTCATGCCAAGGCTCTTTTCGTTAATTACTCGCTGTATCGCCACTTTGCGATCGGCGTCGCCCTTATGGTGCTTCAAAGAGCTCTCGCCAAACAGCATTCAGACCGTGTATCTGGTCCTGCCAAGGAAGCCAAAACCTCATCTCACCAGGCTCATCTTTCAGTACCAGAACTCGAAGATGAGGCATCGCCGCTGTCGCCTATCAAGCCTGAAGTTGTTACCTTTGATCTGAAGGTGATGTTTCTGCAGGCCAAGGCCACAATGCCGGAGGATCCGCCGCTCATGCTCCAACTCCATGGCCTCGAGGCTGGCCGTCACAGATGGGCGACACCGTTCGTCCGTGCACAGCTTACGCGCCTGTACACTGAAGCGCCTGGCCTGAAGAAGATCTGGGCACGCATGGTTACCGTCAAGGGCCTGCGGCTCGACCTCAGGAAGGCGAGAAGAAAGACTGGGACCACGGTCGTTGAAGAAAAGTCGATAGACGTCAACACCGATGCGATCAGAATTGCTGTACCCCATCAGTTGACAGTCCACAAGGTCTTCGACAACATCACGAACACCATAAAGACAGTTGAGCAGCTTCACCATCGCTTCCAGACGCAATCGAATGAGTACGTTCTTGATAAGCCACCGGAGGCTCCGAAGAAGGTGCCCAAGGTTTCTATTCGAAGCCAAGCGCTTCTCTTTGAGATTGAAGATAGCGGTTTTGAGTGGAAGCTGGGTACTATCTACCGTCTGGGTCTTTTGGAGCAAAAGCAAAGAATTGCCAGGGAAGAAGCCTTCGAAGCCAAAGTCAAGAAGCTTTCGGAAACTGACAGACGCCGTCCAGCCGGCCGAGCGAAATCTGCGCATCAGCCTCGTGGACGGAGTCGACAAAGGAGAGGAACCGACAGTGAAAGACGCAGCCAGAGCTTGGAGCGTGAGGGTCGCCCGGGAACTTCGAGAGAGCGCGGTCGTCGTATGCGCTACAATCCCGATGGCACTTGCGACCTGAGCGATGACGCCCGAGTTCACGTTGAGCAAGCTAGAGAGAAGCTGAACAGGCTCCACGCCCAAAGCTGGAAGAAGAGGATCGACACAGGTCTGAAGAATCAGACCAATTCCATTCGCGACATACGAGCAGCGTTCTGGGGTGTGGATGATATGCCTGAAGAAGTTGGCCACAAAGAGACGATTCTGTCGATCCCACAGAGGCCAGCCCTGGCAGCTCTTCTCATTAGCGACCTCAGCATTGTTCTCGATAAGCCTTCATTCCCTCTGGAGCTGTATCCCGAGTACATTTACCGGATCGGCAAGGGAATGCCGAAGGACATGAAGTATTCTCTTCTGATACCCATGAACCTACAAGTTAGCATGGGCGAAGCCCGGATGAACATGCGGGACTACCCTCTGCCTCTGCTGCATGTGCCGGCAATCAAAACTGGCCAGTCGATGCGACTTCCAAGTCTTACCTTGAAGTCAGACTTCATCATCGCCGAAGAGTACAGAGATTCGGAGTCATCACGGATGATTGAGGTCGAAGTTGTGCCACCAGAGACCCTTGACACGGGAGAAAAAACCGGCGGCTTTGCTGTCAACGTCCGCCGTACGATTGCGCCGGTCAAGATGTACTCTGATATGAAGGTCGAAGTCAACACAAGCCAACCGACGAGGATTACCTGGGGTGCTTCTTATCAACCCGCCGTTCAAGACATGATGCAGGTGATTGAAGGCTTCTCGAAGGCGGCCATGGATCCTTCTGAGAAGGTCGGTTTCTGGGACAAGATCCGCCTGTCGTTCCACTCCGAAATCAACGTCGCGTGGAAGGGAGACGGAGATGTTCACTTGCTCCTGAAGGGTTCTAGGGATCCGTACAAGGTCACAGGTGACGGTGCTGGTTTCGTCATGTGCTGGCAGAACGATGTTCGCCTGAACGTCTGCCAAGAAGACGACCCCAAGAAGTTTATCACTGTGGATAGTGGAGTCTGCGTACTTGCAGTACCGGAGCTGAGCCACTACGCGCGGCAAGTGGAGCAAGAAGAATCTGATACGGATAGCTTGGCTAGCGGCTCGAACAACAGTTTGAAGCAGGGTACATCCTTCAGAAAGACAGTCATGAAGCTATCCGGAAATGTGAGATGGCTGTTCGGACTTGTCTTTGAGCGTAACGAAGATGACGGCAGACGATCATTCGAGTTCTCACCCCACTACAACGTTATCCTGAAGCATCCCGACCATGCGAAACCTTTCGAAGGCCAACCTCACGATGCTTTCCGGGGCTTCCGCAGTCATCACATCCACATGTCCGTTGGTATCGCGGCTCCACACGATCGGGACTGGTCGGTAGCAAACACAAAGGCGTCGACGAACTACAACAGTCTCCACCTTACTCCACGCATCTTCAGTCACTTCTACAGCTGGTGGTCCATGTTCTCTGGCGCCATGTCTCTACCTGTCCGTCAAGGTGCGCTCTTCCCAGGTGTCGAGAAGTCAAGCAAAAAGTTTGGCCGTCATCTCGCCACGATGAAGCTGGGTGTTCTTCTGTCGCCGCTGTACTTGAGCCATATCTACAAGCATAAGGATCCAGATGACTACGGGCAAGCCGTGGTATCTGCCACGGGCTTGAAGGTGCGGTTGGATAGCTTCATGCTTGATCTCCACATGAGGAGAGAAGAGTTCCAATTCCAACCACCAGGGACCAAGGAAACCACTACGACCACAGGCATGCGCATCAACCAAGTCCAGCTGGACTTCATGTCGGCGGATATCAGAGCCGTCTCGGCAAGCATTAATGGCACCGATAGCGTAGATTTGGAAGAAGCAACAGAGGAGACATTGGCTTCTTACCAGCAGCAAGATTCGCCGAAGGTGGATCTGTCCAAGTTTACGATTCCCGACAACGACCTTTCATGGGTTGATATGGATGACTTCGTAGAATTGGATTGGATATTGCCCGCTGAGGCAAACCCTGAAACCAAGATCTTGCCGTTGGCCTTCGCGCCCCGGTTCACGTACTTCAGGCAGACGGACCATCAGGATCACATTTCTGGAGATCCTCACAGATCGAGTCCTTTCGGGAACGAGCCAACTCACTTCTGCGTCATGTCCAAGCAGAACGATCCTCGCCGCGTCCAATGCGAACTCATTGCTGAGCGTCTGCAGATTGTCCGCGACAACATTGAACAAAACCAACGGGCCATTGGCGAGCAGCAACTCAGGATCTTGCGCGCAACAGAGGATGTTGAGGAACTCGAAGACCGCCTGTCCGTGTACAAGCATCACCAGAATATGCTGGAGAAGAAATACGAAATTCTCCGGAAAATGTACGACGGCCTTGAACGCCGCCTGCAATCCGATGACTCCTCTGCTGTGCCGGGCACAGAGGGTGGAGACGAGATTTATGATGAGAACTCCGAGCTCTACGACCCCACTGACAAAGAGACGCAAGGGTTAGACAGCACACCGCTGGCGGACTACATCAGTGATTTCAACAACCGTTTCGTAATCCACAATGCTCAACTGAAGTGGAACAACGGGCTTCGGAACATCATCTTGCGCTACATTCACCAAGTCAGCCAACGGAGAGGTGTTGTGTATTACATGTCACGACGAGCAGTCAAGTTCATTTTGGACATTGTGGAGGAACAGAACAAGGTCAAGGATCAGGCTCCCTTGACACCAGAGCCGAGATCTCGCGCTGCTTCAACCCCGATGTCGCCAGAGGGTGACGATGAAATGGACATCAACGAACGCATCCAGCAACTGCTGAATGACGGCAAGAAGTTCGTCAACGCGGAAGACCCCGAGCAGCCCGCAACTGAGGGCCAGCAAGGCTCCGCGGACAAGGCAAACGAAGACATCGGACAAGAGTTCACGGCTCAGAACACGTACCACCTCCGTCTCATTGCACCACAGATCCAGCTCCAGAGCGAAAAGAACACCAAGTCGGCGGTCCTGGTCACAGCCAAGGGCATGCAACTCAAGGTCATCCAGATCATGGACAAGGACAGAGTCACGGACGATGTCAGTGGTTTGGTCCAACGCCGTTTCTCTGCCGCTATGGACAGTCTCCAGATATTCTTCACGAGCACGCAAACCTTCTCCACCGAGTACCTGCACATGTATTCTGGCAACCGTTACGGATGTACCTCGGGTACTGCTTGGCCGCCGTGGGTGCCATTCGAGGTCATGTTCGAGTTCGATACCAACCCCTACGGCTTCTCTAGGGTCGTACAGAGAACATCGGCAAGCATGCGTTACGATAAGTACAACACGCTTCGTCTCAAGTACAACGATGACGTGAGTGGCGAGGAGAATGGTGCTGTGAACAGTCCTGACAGTGCTGAGAGCCGCGTCGACCACATTTGGATCGAATTCCCTCATGTGCGTGTCGTTTGCGACTCGACGCAGTACTACACCATGTACATCATTGTGCTGGACTTGTTGCTTTACAGTGAACCACTTGAGAAGCAGCGGACCGAGAAATTGGAGAAGATTATGCTTGCTTCGGACTTCAGTAACCTCAACGGCATCCCAGAGCTGGTTGTCTCGTTGCAGGAAAGGATCCGTCAATTGGAGGAGATCAAGCTGCGCTTCCAGATCAATGAACAGTACCTTGACCGCGAAGGCTGGAAGAACCGAATCGAACTTGAGAAAGTCTTGGCTGAGAATGAAGAGGAGCTTTTCTTCATGATGAAGGCCATCACGACCTCGCAGCGTAAGACAGAAGACAGGGCAGCAGAGGCCACCCAACCGACTGGCCTGATCCGATACTACATTGCCGCGTCGGACATTGTCTGGCATCTTGTGAGGGAGACGAACAAGTCCCTTGCGGAGTTCCAGCTTGGCAACGCCTCGTTCGATCGTACCGACAATAGCGACGGCTCCAACGTCAACTCCTTGGAGATCGAAAGCATCCGGGGTCTTAACCTCCTGTCGGACGCCGTGTATCCTGAGATGATCTCGCCCTACTTTGGCGAGGCGAGCAGGAACTTCGGCGAGGGCAGGGACACTAAGATGCTGCGCGTGCACTGGTACATGCTCGAAGCCATTGCTGGTATCCCGGTGATGGACCACTTTGAGGTCAACCTCTTCCCACTGAAGGTCCAGCTCGAGCTCGAGATTGGCAAGAAGCTCTTCGAGTACGCCTTCCCTGAATCTGACTCGAATGAATTCGAAAACGCAAACTTCTCGCCCTTCATGATGAAGCAGATGATGCCGCCCGGCGAAGACGAGGACAACGAGATCGAGGAATTTGTCAGCCAACAGATGTCTCCCGAGGCCCGGTCGCGCCACAGCATGGAACGGAGGTCGATTGATGGCTCGGGCCCTGGTGCCCTGGAGCTACGCCTGCAGCCTACGCTTACCTTGGCGGATACAATGGCAGAGGAGAAGAGACCGAAATCGTCTTCAGCTCTCAGCACATCGGCTCTCAGCAGACGGCCGACTGGTCTGATGGGTGGCTCAGGCTCCCAGATGGAGCTTCCGCAACTGAAGATGTTCGGTCCTGACAGTAGAGCGGGCACATCGTTCTTTAAGAGCTTCCACAGCAAGGACAAAGACAAGGACAAGGACAACTCCGACGCACTGACCATTGCTAGCCGCCCGTCAAGCCGCAGGTCGTCGGCGACAAGGTTGACGGGCGACGACAAACCCAGGCGCTTCGGGCGGCATAGGGACCCCAGCGCCAGCAGGCACAAGAAGTCCCAATCGGACGACCTCAACCAGATGATGAGTCGCGCGTCTAATTACATGACGTTTGCGTACATCAAGATCCCGAGCATGGTGCTCTGCCTCAGCTACAAGGGCAAGGGCCAGCGCAACTTTGAGGACGTGCACGACCTGGTGTTCCGTATGCCGACGATGGAGTACCGCAACAAGACGTGGTCGAACCTCGACCTCGCATTGGCGCTCAAGAAGGACGTGATACGCGCGCTGATCTCGCACGCGGGCACCATCATCAACAACAAGTTCTCGCATCACAGGCCGCACAAGCAGGCGGGTAGCCGGCTGAAGCAAATCGCCAACCCGTCGATCCTGCTCAACACATCGGAGTCGAGCGACGGGGCGACAATCAGCAGCTCGCGCGACCGCAGCCCCGGCGACTACGCCGAGAGCTACTACTCGGAGCCGCGGCGGTCATTTGCGTCGGGGCGCGACAGCCAGGCCAGCCACCCGGAGTCGTACACGTCGAGCCCGCACTCGACGACGGGTAAGGGCCTGCTGGTCGAGGAGCCGTCGTTCGCGGACGAGCTTTCGCAGGTCGACATTGACCGCGAGAGCATCCGGCAGCCTAACTCGCTGCATCGCGCCATTACGGCCATGAGCTACAGGTCGCGGGACCGCGAGCCGGAGCTCGACGATCCGGAGGAGAGGTGAGTCTTTTTTGTTTGTTCCTAGTACCCTGACCCTGACCTTGACCCTTACACTCACCCACCCATCCCTACACCGAGTCTCCATGAGAGAAAAAGAAAGCCAAAGACTAACGAGTGATTCGCGATGCAGCAACCGCATGAAGAGCAAGCTGCTCCTAGGCAAGAAATTCGTCAAGTCGCTCGGCCACAAGTAGACGCCGATGCAGCCTGCAGCCTGCAGCCTGCTTGCGCGTTAGCGCCGCCGCCGCCGCCGCCAGCCGGGCCCCTCCCTCCTTCCCTTCCTGAAACCTTGCAACGGCCAACGACCTGCGCGTGTGCGTGTACATATGGGCACACCTACGTATGTACTCCGTACTTCGTACCTCGCACCTGCCTCGCCTAGCCGCCCGGGGGAAAAAGCGGGGGCCCAGCGTCCCTGCCGTCCCTGCCGATCGCGCATGCAGGCTGGCGCCGGATCGGCGGCCACCTGGCCGGGCGGCCTAGGTGGCTGGCCCTATGCAGGTGGCTGGTTGGGTGGGTGGGTTGGCTGGCTGGCTGGCGGGCGGGCTTTTGGGGCCGCTGCGTGCGCGCGCGCGTGTGTCTGTCTCAGTCTGGCAGAGGTAGCGGAGAGATTTTTCTCTTTCCTCTTTCTCTCTTTCGCTTTCTCACTTCAATGCGAGCGAGCGAGCGCCTCGGGAGGGGGGAGTCGGGCGCTTACCCTTGGGGACCCCTACCTACCCTACCAGCCAGCTGCTGTAATTCCATCATGTACTACCATTCTTTGTTTTGAGGGGTTTTTATTTTCATTTTTATTTTAGAGATTCCTTTCGTTGTTGTTGGCTAGGCTAGGCCATGTAGCGGCATTTTTCCTTTGATGTTTTGATTGGTCTAGGGTTTCAACTTCTTTTTCTTCTTTTGTTTCTTCTTCTTTTATGCTTTGCGCTTTTTTGTTCTGCGCGAGAGAAAGAGAGAGGGAGAGAGGAAGAGGAGGTCAGCATTATCTGGGCGTTTTATTTTTTTTCTTCTTGCTATCTTCACATTTCTTGTGCATGTCATTCATATATTTTTTCCTTTCCTTTCTCGGGAGCATTAAGATAGGAACACTCGAGGGGTGGCGACACAGGCACTGTCTGTCTGTCTGGCCCGCTCTACTGCTACTGCTGATGCTAGCAAAATACACATAAGCTCCGGATGCTGAATTGGAGCATGAATAGCCGCCGTCCGCCATGATGAATCAACCCCCCTGCCACTTGTTTGTGAAATCGTATCCACCCACATACCCACCCACACACTCTCTTACTCTTGCTCTCGAGAAGCAAGTCATCATCCACTCCACTCATTCATTCGCTCGCAAGGAGCCATTGCCCACCCTCCCTCCTTCACTCACTGACTGTCTTTCCTCTGACTGTACTTTCAAAGCAACCAACCAACCACCACCACCACGTCCACACACACACTCACTCACTGACTCACTGCCTATACTTCTGGTGAATCTGCCTAATCTGCTCCTCGACATTCATGCCCTGCATCTGAGCAAGACGAGCAGCGTCATTAGCGCCAGGCTGGCCACTGTAGCTCGTGGCGGCGCGCTTGCGGCGCTCCTCCTCCTCGGGCGAGATCTGCTGGCCCGTGACGGGGTCGAAGACGTCGCTGCGCTGCGACGCCAGGCGCTTGAGGTTGTTGGCCACGTCCGAGGTCGAGAGGTTGGTCGTCGCGTAGCGCGAGTCGGCCTTTGCTTTTTGCTCTTTCCAGCGGGGGTCGAGGAGCTCGACTGCGCGGGGGAGAAGGGGGCATTAGTCTGACTCTTTCTTTCTTTTCTTTTTTGTTGTTGTGTTTTCGCTCGCTCATGAGAGAAGGGAAGGGAGGGAATGGGATGGGACGGATGGATGGGCGGATGGTGTTGGGGTGCCGGTGCTGCTGGGGTGGGGGAGAAGGGAAAACTTACTTCGCATGTGCTGCTGCAGCTCGTCGAACGGAATCTGCTGCTTGCAGTTGGGGCACAGGGCCATCTGCACATTCTGGCGCTTCGCCTGCGCGCGGGGCACGTAGTCGGACCTGATCTTCATCTGGCCGGGCGCGCTCTTGGCCGCGGCCTGGGCCTGCTGCGCGCGGTCGCGCTGCTCGGCTCTCTCGCGGATGAAGCGCTCTTCGTCGGTCTCTTGGGCCGGGGCCGGGGGAGGCGCAAACGCCGGCGTCATGGGCGGCTGCGGGCTGTATGGCAGCTGCTGGGGCGGCATCTGTACCGGAGGCGCCGTCTGGTTGTAGTAGTTGGCCGTCTCATCGTCGGTCGGCATGGCTTCCTCGATGCGCATGTTGTGCGGCGCGAGCGACATGGCGGCCTTTTGCTCCAGTGACGCCGACTGCAGGTCTGAGAGTGACGGGGGAGGCGGCAGCTCCGTCTGGTCGTCGGCCTCGGTGAAGAGGACCGTCTCGACGACGACAAAGTCGTGCCAGTCAATCTCGGCGTATGCCATCCTGTCCTTCTCGTCGGCCTCCTCCTTCTTTTGCTTCTGCTGCTCCTGGTACTTGACCCATTCGGCGCGATCCCTCGCCTTGTCCAGCATGTGAAACCTGTTCGTCGAGTTCTCCTGCAGCTGCGCCACTCTTTCCTTCTCCGGCTTGCCATCTTCCACCATCATTCCCTCCAAGAGCTCCTTGTACTGTTCCACCAAGCGACTGTAGAACTGGTAGAGGCTGTGCTGCGGGCGCAAGAAATCGAACTGGTAATTACTGGCTTCACGCTGCGCCAACTGCGTCTGGAACGAGCGACCATTCTTTGCGGTAAAGAGAGCAGTTAGTTTCACCACCTCCAGATCCTGCGCGCTGATGTTTGGCATACGTGCGGAGAAGTGAAACTGCGGTGGTTCTGGCGGGCCCGTGGGCTTCGGCGTCTGCGAGACCTCACCGACCCGTCCCGCTGAGACTGCGGTTCCTCGGCCTTGCTTGATCTCACTGACGCGCCACGCGTAGTATGGGTTGTAGGCATCGCCCTGCTTCAGGAAGGAGAACTTGGGGTTGGAGGTTTCTTTCTCGCGGATGCGGTCTTCGAACACTGCGCCGTTGCGAGCGACATAGCCCGCCGTCTTCTCGACGATGCCGCGGATTTCTTTGGGAGGCAGAACGACACCCTCCGGGGGCTTGGTCGCGCCCTCCATGGCAGCGTCGATCGCGTCGGCTGACGCCATTGTCGGCTGCGTCACCTGGGTGGTGGTCGGAGGCGAGGAGCAGACGGGGTGCGAGGCGGGTTGCGGGGGAGGTGGAGGCGCGACTGGTTTGCGGTTGGTAACTAACTACCTGCTCTGCCACGGCCTGGCAGCGTCGCACGTCGGGGTGCGGCCATGCTCCGCTCCGGCAGGTTATTCCGGCGCCGGGCGAAAGCCTCCCCCGTGCACCCATCGACTCTTTCACCCCAAAGTCGACTTTTTCACACCCCAACCTGACCATGCAAAAGTCGCCCAATCTCCTAGAAATCTACATAGCAGTAAACGCAAATGTGCAAATCTCAGCCTAGGCTACTTTTCAGAAAATTTTAAGCTTTTCGCGCACGGTTGTTTTCAGGCACAAACTTCACGCGGGGGGGTGGTCAGAGTGTCCACATTTCAAATCCCCCGGGAACATTGCTACGGTAAAAGAGGAACACGGGGTGGCAATAGATGGCCGAGGTTGGAGGAACATGAGGGCCGTGTTTCACTCCTCGTGATGACGAAGAGAAGGGCGGTCAAGAGGAAGAGCAAGAGCTGTTGTTTCAGGTAGTGTTAGAAAAGGCAATGGAGAGACCCAGAGACACGAAGGGAAAACGCGTCGACGCAGGAACCGACAGGGTGGCTGTGAGAGAGATGGTGCGGAGGTGGCCAGCGATTGGGTCGCGTTGGCCGACAGCGCGGCCTTCACTGCGGGTGCGCAGCTGCAGGGCTGCAAGGATTCTTTACGTAGGATCTGCGCGGACCCCAGCAAGCGAGTAGCGTGGCCCTTTGTGTGGCCGCAACAGTGGCCGGCCTGAAACACGACCGCTCCAACCCGCCCCTTCGGCCGCCGCGGCTCTGGCCCGCACGCATTGCTCTCCTTCGCCACGCATTGGCTGGCCAGGGCACTGGCTGCGTGGCTGTAAGGAGGCCCGATCAACGACGGGACCCCGTTGGCTGAGAACGCGCCGATCTTGTGTTTGGGGCGCACGCGTCGTCCAGGTCTGGCAAGGAAACGGGGGTGTGACTTGTTGTTGGTTGGTACTATGGCTCTGTTCTGGCGCTTTGTTCGGACCAGCGCGCTTTGTTATGCCGATGAAAGAGAGGTGTGCCACTTGGTGTATATAAGTCTGCGTCCTCGCAGCTCTGGAGTCTCACCATCAGACCTCAGATCTTCCACAAGAGAGAGCCAAGTGCTTCGATTCTCTTTTTCCTTTTACTTCTCTTTCTCTTTCCATTCCCTACCACTCTTTGCCTTGGGATTACTAGCTGGTCTAGTACGCACTCATCGCTCTTCCACTCCTTCAGGAATACCCAACATCACAGTCGACCTGTCGATATCAACAACAATGGCTCCTAAGCTCTTCACTCTTGCCATTGCCATGCTGGCTGCCTCGCCCATGGTTAGCGCGCACATCAACCTGATGAAGCCGCTTCCCTATGATTATGAGGCGCACAGGCAGGACAAGGGCCCGATGACGGCCAACGAGTACCCGTGCAAGACGCAGACGTACGCTTTCGACAGCACAAAGATGGAAGGTAACACCTTCGCGGCGGGAGAAAAACAGCAAGCCGAATTCGAGGGCAGTGCTGTGCACGGCGGTGGCTCGTGCCAGTTCTCCATTACGACGGACAAGAAGCCGACTAAGGACTCCAAGTTCAAAGTGATCGGATCAATTGAGGGCGGTTGCCCCGAGAAGCCAGAGGGCTTCACGATCCCCAAGTCGGTGCCTACCGGCGAGGTCACCTTCGCCTGGACCTGGTTCGCTAGGCTGTCCGGTGGGCCCGAAATGTACATGAACTGCGCGCCCATCAAAGTCACTGGTGGCGCGTCCGACACGACTGAGTTCGACAAGCTGCCCGACATGCTCATTGCGAACATTGCTGGCTATACCGGCACTTCGGGCTCCACTGGCGATACTGGCTCTTGTACTCAGGTCACAAGCACTGACCTCAAATTCCCGAACCCCGGCTCCGTACTCACCACAGACTCCGGTGCGGACCTGAAGGCTCCCACTGGCTCTTGCGGCTCCTCCGGAAGCTCCGACGACTCTTCGTCTTCTTCTGGCGGCGCTGAGTCCTCTGCTGCCGCGGGTACGCCGGCCGCCTCTACGCCTGCGGCCTCCACCCCTGCGGCCTCCACTCCTGCGGCCCAGAACACGGGTGGCGTTTTCGCGCCTGGCGCCGCCAATCCTTCGTCGACTATGACCACACTCCTTACTGTGACTGCGAGCGGTGCTGGCACCCCCGCGGCCTCGACCCCTGCCGCCGTGGCTACGCCCGCGGCTGGTGGCTCTTCCTCTTCCAGCGGCGGCAGCAGCTCTTCTTCCTCCGGCAGCTCCTCGGGCACTTGCTCCTCCAACGGTGCGATTGTCTGCAATGGCACGTCCAAGTTTGGTCTCTGCAACAACGGCAATGTCGTCTGGCAGGACGTCGCTGCCGGCACCCAGTGCAAGGACGGCGCCATCACTAAGCGTGAGCTTCCTCATGGCGGTCGCTACTTCAGGCCTCGTGGCTCCTATCTTTAGGCGCTGAGCTCCTCTGGTTAGGACTCGCGTCAACTCGTCTGGTTAGACTTTTTTTCGTTCCGGTCTTGATGATCGAACTTCATGACACCATGACTACTGCATACGACGGAGGGCCTTTTTCATAGGCATGAACAGGACTCGCTGTCATGCTACTAGATGTACCGTTAGCTTCTGCATTTCTGTTATTCGCTTCTTCACATTTTTAGATGGACACGATTACGAACAAATAAGATTCTGACAGGGTTGCAAAGACCCTTAGCTTGACTTTTATTCCCCGATCTGGTTTGGTGAGATGCGTGAGCGACGTGAGTGACATTCGTAAAGCCGCGGATCCTTGGGCGGTGTTGTTTCAGCATCTGGCGTTTCAGATGCAGAAATCGCAGGAGGTGGCAGTCGCGACCGTCGCCTCTCGACCAATGGATCGTCAACGCCACCTTGCCACGCCCAACCTCCTTCCTGCCTCTCGCACCCAATCCGCTGGCAATGCGGCTCCGCGCAAATCCGAACTGCTTGCTGCCATTACAAGTCTCCTTTCTGTAAATGCACATAGGTATTCCGACTCTTCTATCAGTGCGTGCCCTTCGGCGAACTAGCACTCGACCGGGTAGTCCCCAGATGTTACATCTAGCATTCGACCAGCTCGCGCGTCGCCGTTACTTCTTCCCGCACACGACCATTCTCACACAGACAGAACCAGAAAGTAGTTAGTAGTAGTATTAAAAAGAAAATTGAGACCAAAGCGCGGGCAAATCTCCGTGCCTAGCTGACAACCCCGACGCGGCCCGCGCCGCCATCGATAAGCTGGATACGCACGGCCTCACGCGAACGGCCGTTCTCCTTTAGCTGCGCCTGCACTTGGTCGTCGCTCTTGAGCGTCGCTGTGCGAAGCAGTCCCTCGGTTGCGCGCGTAGAAATCTGCGCAAGAGCTGCCCATGCGTTGTCTAGCAGCGAGTAGCGTGTGCACGTGGCGAAGAGCGCGATGACTGTAGTCATGAAGGCGATGTGCGCGCCGATGTTGACGAAAATGGCAATGATGCCGCGGCGGTATTTGGGGTAGACGTGCGTTTCAAATGTTGTGGTTATGGCGGTCGTGTTGTGGGAGAACATCGTGAGTGCGTCGTAGTATATCATGCGGACGAGGTTCGTTAATTGTGCTTGTAGCGCGAGGCTCGGGTCGTTGGTTTCCTTGAGAATATCTTGGAAGATGGCGGCTTGGACTCCGTTGACCGCGGTCGATAATTGTTGGTGGTCGAAGTTCCCGCTAAAGTAGCAATCCATGCAGAATATGTAGTCTCCAACAAAATTGCCGTCTGTGACGACGCCTTGTATGAATGTAGGAATGGAATATGCCGGGTACGAACTACTATTGATTTTGCTTGCGAATTCGTTTACCGCTGCAAGATCTAGCGACAAAATACCACGGTCTGTCAATGATCTTTTATTCTTCGTAGCGCCAACTTGTAAGGCAACGTCGTCGACAATAAACCTACTCGCGCTCTGGTTGTAGCGCAGAACGGGCTCTGTTCGGTTTGAAGGCGAAGATATTTTGACTTCGATATTGCTCGACATACTCCTAGATTAACGTTAGACTAATAATGACAAGTTGATCATTGTCTTTCCTTACAGTGCATCATAACATATGGTCGCATTGATCGCGGGTTGCGGTGAGGATATTCCATCGAGCGGGATCCATCTAGTAGGACGCAGCTTCAACCAGGGTCCATCTTCCGTGGTGTCCCAGCCATCCGTTGATGGGCTGTTATATATTGGAAGGTATAAACTCTGCGACGTGATCCAGCCATGGTTTACCGAAGTGTTACCAGTGTTTCTTGTGAAGTTGAATGTCTGAGCAGAATTGTATGCCAGTACCATATGGAGACGGCCAGGGCTTAAGTCTTCCTTATTCGTTCCACTCCTATGCTTATCTACATAGGACGAAAGCCCCATGCCTCTAATTGGGCAAACGACATGGGTATAGTTGCCTTGGTTCTGACCTTCGCAATCAAATTCGATATTTTCCGTTGGATTTATGACGTCGGGGATAGGCGTGCTCCAGGTCATAGTGCCTGCAAAGCGTACCCAGCCTTCAGAGTTCCAGAACAGAGTCGTATTCGTAAATTTCGGCCGAACGCAGGCAACTCGGGCATCGTAAATAGTCGTCTCTCCACTATAGCTTTGCAATGATCCGCGTGTAGCTTCGGAAGCAAACGGCAGTAACGCTCGGATCGTTGGTCCGGTATCTACAATTTCTTCGGTGTGGTTATCCGGTGGTACTGATGCTTCGGCGAAAGCCTGGTATCCTGGTGGTGTAGAAGCCCAGTAATTTTCGCCGGTGAATTTCTGGGTTAGATGATAGTCGGTCAGACCCATGGAAACATTTGACGATTTGGTAAGTCCCATTACTGTTCCAGGTGGAACATCCAGGAGTAGAATTGTAGAAGTGAACTGAGAGCCAATGGTGGTAATTGCTAAGAGTAGGGTAAGTAAAAAGATGATGGCACCGCCAGCATTCTTGATGTTCTGGGAGAAGGCCAACAAAGAAGCCAATGGCCCTGTGTTTGTGAAGCGCATGGTCGAGATCGTCATGGATTGACCGATGGGAACGCTCCAACGTTCCAGAGCCAGTGAAGCGAGCATTGACATGGCCACTGAAGCCTGTGCTGTTATAGACAACTGTATAACAAGCGCCGCAAGGGTGACTGCAATGGTTGCCCGGTCCTTGAGTACGATCCATTTCCAGAAAGTATTGCTATGTTTTTCCCACCATAAAAATATCAGGAAGATAATAGCAGCAATTAAGAGGGTTAAACCGAGGACCAAGATGGTAAGACTATACTTTCCCACTCGCCGGAATAGTGTGATTCTAGGAGCTGCCTGCTGCTTCTCCTGGTCCGTTGTATTCTCCGAGGGGGTTCCGTTCTCGGCCAGCAATTGAGCGGATACATTGTCCCGGGAGGGGTGTCTCGACGGAAAGCCATCCGGCTCGGACACGTCGTCTCTTGGTTGGAAAGCTCCCGTGGCAGCAGAGCTCGGGTGTAGAGTCTGTGACAAAGGGGACACCGCCCGACTCATTTCGGAAGGATGTCTGGAGATCGACATACAGGAAAAGAATGTACAATGAAGATCAGGGTTGAAACAGTGTGGGGAATTAGGGTGGGCAAGTATAGGAAGATGTAGCAGCCAGATTAGGCCGGGGGGACCTCAGATGCAACCAAAGACAAATGAATTTGCGAGCTCAAAGACACGCGTGCAGCGAATTGAGCGAACGCTGTCCTACTTACATAGTACAGACTGTGCCGCTGGCGGCAGTTCCTTAAGCGCGCGGACAGTCTCGCGGCGCGGCGACGAATGAGAGCAGGTTCAGAAGCGCTGGAAAAGCAGATCGAAGGAATCGCAACTCCACATCCAAAGGGAATTTTTAGCATATAGGAGAGAGATTATGCGAGCTAATAGGCCGCTCAGTGTGATGGAGGCTCAGGACCGCAACCCCCCGGCAGCGTGTGATGCGGCAAGGGTGCGCATAGCTTAAAGTCCTACTCGACATGAAAGTTACAGGCGTCTCCTGTCAATCGCGATGATCGGTGGAGACGAGAGTGTTTCGCAGGATCCGTCGCCTGTGTCACTGCGGCACGTCGAGAAGCGTTGCATGGCCCGGAGAGCGTCCCGCGAAGGCTTGATCGCACGCGTCAGATGGGACGCCGGTTTCGCGGAGAGGGGATCGGCATGAAGATCGTGGGCGGAAGAAACGTCGACAAGGGACATGGTTGGAAGATGTTCGAAACCATTGCTCCTCCCGCTGACGAGGCTTACGAGATCACCGAGGGCCCCCGGCTCCGGCAATTGTCATCTCATGTAAATATTTCCATTCGGCATTCCCTCGACTGCTCCAGACGAGCCGCCTCAATAATCCCACCTTCTCCCACCTACTTACCTACCTACCTATCTATCCACTACCTACCGAACGGGCGCTCACCAGCCATGACTACCCTGCCCGCTCACGCCTCGCCCGCCTTCACGGCGATCCACACCCCGCAAGCCGAGCGCCCCAATCCGACACGCCACATCTCCGAGATGGACCTCGACAGCACCTCAACCGCGACGACGACGACACAGGCGCAGGCGCCTTCCGCCGCATCGCTGCACGCCCCGCACCTCCCCCCGCCATCAATCATCTCGCCCGCCTTCACTCCGCCCAGCACCCCCGGCCGCTCGACCCCCGCTCCCGTACGCGATGCCGTCTCGGTTCCCGTCGACACGACCGCCGACGGCACCACCACGCCGCCTGCCCTTCTCGAGACGCTGCCCCATGTCGAGTGCATAGTGCGCGCACGCATCCCCACCACCACCGGCCAGGAGATGTTCCTGCACGTCTACCAGAACGACGTCGACAACAAGGAGCACCTGGCCATTGTCTTCGGCAACAAGATCCGCAGCACCTCGCTCGACACGCCGCGCGAGGGCGAGTCGGAGCGCGACCGCATGATCCGCGGCGCCTACGTCGGTCGCCTGTACCCCGGTCGCACGAGCAGCCGCGTCGAGCAGCTCAAGCGCGACGAGGGCATCGCCGGCGATGCCACTGCCGACTCCGTCTCCGAGAAGTCGCCCCTTGTCCGCATCCACTCCGAATGCTACACCGGTGAGACGGTCTGGTCCGCGCGCTGCGACTGCGGCGAGCAGCTCGACGAGGCTGCGCGCCTGATGGCTCTGCCATCGTCGAGCGGCGGTGTCATTATCTACCTCCGCCAAGAGGGCCGCGGCATTGGCCTCGCCGAGAAGCTCAAGGCCTACAACCTGCAGGACCTGGGCAACGACACGTACGAGGCGAACTTGCTGCTCAGGCATCCGGCCGACGCCCGGAGCTACGGCCTGGCTACCGCAATGCTGTGCGATCTGGGACTTGGCGGCGACTCCGGCATCCGGCTGTTGACCAACAACCCCGACAAGATCCGCGCCGTCGAGGGCCCGAACAGGGAGGTCGTCGTCAACGAGCGCGTGGAGATGGTGCCCCTTGCCTGGAAGAGGGGAGAGAAGGGAAGTGTAGAAGTGGAACAGTATCTCTCCACAAAGGTAAGACCAATCCTCTGAGATATCCGACCCGCAAATTCTAACATTGCATTCCAGATTGAGAAATTCAAGCACATGCTGAGCCCTGAGGCCACCAGCTAAGCGTCGACCATGATGGTATTTGTATTTGTTGTTATATCTTCGATATTGCTGAGCCTACGCTGGCTCAAGCATTTATAATGGCGCACAGGAGTTTTCTTGGAAATGGCCATAGAGGGCCTTTGCATAGACCAATACCAGCAGAAGCGCAAAAGCTTCATTATCTTCAATCTAGAAATTATCATTCAGAAGCTTATTTCAACCGAATATTCTGGTTTGGCAGAGAATTATGAAATGTTATTTATTGCAGAATTGACATGGGTATCCTTTTCGTCGTCCTAGCAGTGTTCCTTAAACCGACTCCCGTCTCGCGACCATATTTGCTCGGACCTTCTCTCTTGTGCATTCTTAAAACCAAATCTCCTCTACAACCCATAGGTTGACTTCCATTCCATGGACGCTTTACGAAGCGATAGCCAGCAGGTAGACACTCCAGACCAACACGGTCCCAGGGTGGCAGTGTGACGGCAAGGGGAGTTTAGATCTCGTCGATATCGGCCTCCTTGATGTTTTCCTCGTCGCTGGAGCGGTCCTCATCGAACTCGAAGCCGATGCCACCCTCGTCGCCTTCGCCGCCGTACGTCTCAGTCTCGTTGATCTTGGCCGTATCAGGAAGCTCGCCGTAAGCCTTGAGGCTGCGAGCCTCGTCGGGCGCGTACTTCATGATGACATCGCCCTTCTCGTCCTGGTACTCGCGCAGGGAGAGCAAGATGCTAGTGGTCGGTCAGCAGGCGTGTCGCCGCTACCACTCGGAGCACGGCTACTTACATGTCGCCCTGGTTGATCCAGACCTTCTTGCGCAGCTTGCCGCGGATGTGCGCCAGCCGCTTCTCGCCGTCGAAGCACTGCGCCTCTAGTCGCCCGTTACCGAGCATCTTGACCACCTGCGCGTACTCCTGGCCCTCTTCCTTGAAGACGAGTTCGCGCTTCTCTTTGTCCTGCGATGATGTCAGCGCCCACCCGCACAGACTGTCTAGACGCTCGCCCGCTATACGCCGGCGGCGGTTGCTCTTCTTAGTGGAGTTGGTGTCTTACGCTCTCGTTCTTTCCTCTTCTCCGGTTCTTGCCTCCCTTGCCCTTGTTCTTAGGCATGCTTGCGGTGGCTGCTCGTCGCGGTTTGGACTTTGCGTAGGAGTTGGTGAGGCTGGACTCGGGTGGGCAAGCGGTTGATTAAAAGGCGGGGACGGGTTGCGTCGGATCTTTATTGTACCGCTTCACCGACTTCCGGGGGCTGGCGCTTAACTAATTTGGAAATATGACATCTCCGGTACGACAGTGAGTCAACCAAAGTCAACTCTGGTTCACCATGACACATTCACTTGACGGCAAACGATGTACGTGGACCTCTGATTCGTCTTGCATAGAGCTTTTTACTCTAGACTTCTGCTGGCTCTTTTTTATATTCGTTCGGTTAGAACTCGCCAATACTCAGCTTGATCTTTACGGCTTCAAGATTTCAGCCGCGCGCTCAATTCCCTTCGCCGTCTTCGCAACCCACTCCGCCGCCAGCGTCAGGTTGCCTGCCTCCACTGCCTCCGTGATGCCTGGGTACGTAACCGCGGCATAGCCTAGCAAAATTTCAGTCAGCGCACGCACAGGCAAAACATGAACAGCTCAAGCCCAATCTCAAGCCGCAAAAGGACACTTACCGGTATCGACGCCCGGGGCAAAGATAACGTGCTTATAGAACTCCCTGTCCGGCAGCCCACCCTGCGACGTGAACGCGCGCTGGAATTCACGGAACTTGGTATTGACGAGCTTCAGCAGCGCAGCGCCGTCCTGCGCATCCGCGGCCGCGGCCTGCGTTGCCAGCGCATCGACCTGCTGCGCGCTCTCGTCAAACGCATCAATCGCGTCCACCAAGGCCGCGGTATCGAGCTGCGCGCCCGCGCCCACGAGCGTCTCGTTCAGCGCATCGTAGTACTTGCGCAGCTCGGTGGTGTAGTTTGGCAGGTCGAAGGGGATGAGCTCGTCGTCGGCCAGGTGGTATGCCAGCAGCGAGAGGTACTGGCCCACGGCCTTGTGGACGTGGAAGCCCGGGTCCGCGAACGTGCTTATCCAGTGGTAGCTGTCGTAGTTGCTGTGGTACATGTAGACGGGGTCGGTAGCGCCGTTGCCGGCGCCCAGATCGATCGAGCCTATGCCATTGTGCAGGAAAGCTGTGTAGTCGGAGCCGCTGCCCAGGACGCCGAATTCGCCTTCTGTGGAGCGCAACCATGCGTCGTAGAAGGTTTCATTGAGGCTGTCCGTCAACGTTGTGCCCGCGTAGGGGAATATCACCTTGCGCGCTATCTCTGTCGCGATTTTGTGCAGCTCGGGCGAGGCGGAGATGTCGGGACGGGGACCAGAACACCCGACGTCAACATTCAGGTAGGATACCGTTGTCTCTGATAACCAGGGGATGTACTCCTCGACCCACTCGGTCGATCCGAGCAGTGCATACTCTTCTCCATCCCAGCTGCCGAACACAATGTTACGTTTAGGTTTCCAGCCCTTGGCAAGAAGCTTGCCAAAGGCCTTTGCGAGTTCGACCAAGATGGCAGATCCGGAGTTGGGGTCGGCTGCTCCGCCCACAATCCAGGCATCGCGGTGATTGCCTATCACGATCGTCTCGTCGGATTCTGTCCCGTTGATGATGCCTATGGCATCCCAAATTGGCGTGGTGGCATCTTCCATCAGGTTTGACAATGAAATGTTGACGCCAGTGGCTGGCCCGGTGCTATAGGAAACATCGAGTCCGCCAGTCCAGCCAGTCCGGTTCACCTGGCTGCCAGGAGTTCCGTGGCCATCCAGGGCGGCGAGGATTGGAAGAGCATCCTTGTGAGAGATGGGGACAGAAGGAATCCGAGGGGTTACGGAATCGGTGTCTGCTCTCGGAGAGTCCTTCTTCGAGGGATAGCCAGGTGTCGAGGGATCACCAGGGTACTGCGAAAGAAACTGCACAGAACCGCGTTGGATAGCGGTAGGGTTCCGAGCTGGGCCATCCGGATATGCTGCGTAGCCATTCGCTTCGGTCACATTACCGTCGTCACCGGGGTCGCTGAAGATTACACAGCCAATCATGCCGTGTGCCTGCGCGTTTTTGACCTTGAGACCGCGGAAAGGACCCCCGTACTTGGCCAGTGCAATCTTTCCCTCGAGAGCCACGCCTAACTTCACTAGTTCCTCAAAATCGGTTTGCTGGCCTCTGCCCACGTAGACATACTCGGCAGTAGCATTCCCAGAGAATGAATATCCGTGGAAAGCGTGGAGACTGTTTGGATATGAAGTCGTTTCGTCAACGTCCAAGGCGTCTTCAATCAATTGTGCGTCATAAGTGCTGCCGTTTCCGAAATCCACCGACACCGAGCTCGACACCGGGTAGTTGAGTTGAATGTAGTATTCGGCCAGTGTGGAGGGTATTCCGTATGATGACCATTTGTCTGCCGTCCATTGTGCCATGGTTCGGTTCTTCCCCGCCAGGTGCAGGCCATGGGTGTAGTAGTACGACCAATCATTAATCGACGTGTTGTCAAACGAATTGACGAGTATGGACTCGGTGTCAGAGAGGACAGGAGGGAAGTCGGCTTGCCGTCGTGCAAGCTGGGAGTCGTGCTGCCTTGCACGATGCCCAGAAACGAGATGGTCTCGCTGGCAAGCAGCCGCCCCAGCCACCAACATAAAAGCTACATTAAACATTGAATAAACCATTATCGCTAACAAAGCTTGCCTGTCGAACAGTGTTGGCAATACCAGTGATGCGAATGGCCTTTTACATAGTATTCGAGGGCTGCTTGACGTAGCCCCGCGATGTCGTATTCCCGGCAGGCAATGACGATATTCCCAGATGTGCGGCGAAAACCAACAGCTCGGCAGTTGCGTTTCTCTCCCACCTACCATATTGAGACGTGAAGCTGATGTCTTGGCGCGGGGTGATTGTCCGCCAAGACAGAGATAAACCATCTCCTTGCTGCGATGAGGGGAGGATCAGCGAAGCTCCGTGCCGTCGATGACATCTTCCCTAGTTACCTAGATAGTAATTGCAGCGTAACTCTCCCACCCAAGTGCTCGCAGTCACCCGTGGCTACGAAAACCGCAGTAGCCATAGTGGGTCCAACATACGACTGACGGTACATCTTTGTGTCTCCAACCTCAACAGCCTACCCGTTTCTTGGTTACCGTTGCAATGTTGGACAGCTGCAATGCAATGGAGAAATTTCCGGTACCTGATAGGCGTTCGGGAAACTTGCCGAGGAATGCTCAGAGAAAACATGTCCGGGTATTTGTTTGCTGTTTGTTGCTTGATAGAACTATCCGCTGCAAAGTAGATCATTACCTGTGGGTTGAAAGCTGATTCTGCAAGGGCATCGTCCCTCTGCTGTTATGACGTCTTGAGCCCCGCCGCACTCAACAGCATCTACGACATACTGAGGAAATCCTGCCTATCCCTTCAATTCCCTACTGCTTCTTTAATTACAAATGCAATGTTATCCTGCAGCTCATCGACCTTCTCAGTTGTCCTGGTTTAGGTCATGCACGCCCTTGTAATCGCATCAACTCCTGCGGCTATTGTCAGAGTTGATATGCTTCGGCTGGTCAGGGTCTGCTTTCTCATACTCGATCGCTTTCTCGTTTCCGGTAGCTTCCTCGTACCAAGAATTGGTGGCCCACTGCGCGATGAAGTCTTTGGCTTTCTCACCCATGGCGTAGTAGCCTGGGTTGTTCTTCGGCTCAAACATGTTCATGTGCGCCCAGGTCTCATCTGGAGCTTTGTCGTTGACAGCCGGCACAAAAAAATCCTTGACGGCCGGGTCAGTTCGGGGAATGGTGCAGAAGGTTCGCTGTTCTCCCAAAACACCAGAGCTCCATTTTGTACTGGCCTTGCCCTCGTTCTGCGCAGCTTTACCGAGTTGCGTGAAGAGATCTGCAAAACCGAGATCATCTTTTGTGAGCTTAACAATAGAAGCCACTCGCTTCTTCAGCTCTTCTCCGCGAGCCAGACAGCCCACAAATTCAAGATGTGAGCCTACCCAGTTCCAACCTTCAGTCAATTTCTCTCTCTGCCCATAAGCGGCAGCACCCGCTAAGGCAACAGCACCCGCAGCGCCCGCATACGCAGCATACTTGCCGAAGCGCTGCCAGGCCGGTGCAGCCGCAGAACTGGCATTGGTATTGGCAGCTTGCTGGCTTGCGACAAGCGCCTTACTAGCTTCTACAGCACCCTCGGAGGAGTTGTTGGCTTTGCCCCACCCAAACATGTTTGACACATTCGTGTAAGCAGAGTAGGCAGCCGAGGCAGTATTCCAATGACCTTCGGCACCATGCGCAACGACACCTGGTGCAATGCCCAGATACGGCGTGTCAAACGCGAGGATGCCTTGGATGTATGGGAACATGAGACCGGACTTGGACAGAGAAGCGTCAGGCTCCGAGCCGCCGCTTTGCACGGGCTGGTCATTCAAGATTGCGAGGACGGTCTCGGCGGCGACGATACCTCCTAGACAGCTTTAATATATTCCGTCTGCACACGGGGGTCAAGGCGCCATGCTAACCCATCGAGTGGCCGACGAGAATGGTCCGCACAGAGGGATCCACCGTAGGCGACGGGGTGCCGTTTGCGACTTCGAGATCGATGACCTTGTTCTGCAGCCTGCCGCCATTCAGCTGCTCGCTGTTTAGCGCGCGCCTCTCGGGGGTGCATACCAGTCTTTAAAACCGGCGACACACTCATGCAGGTCGCCCTTTGTCTCATACTGGGGGTACACTATGACGGCCACGGCGACTTTAGGGAGCGCATGGCTGACGACGGCGCGAAGGTGCTGGGGGAAGTTGCCAAAGGTGTCGTCGTTGCCCTGGAGGCTGGCTGTCAGCAGAAGCACGAGCAGAACAGCGGCCGGGATCGAGGGACCTTGAAGCCGTGAATGAAGCACAGCAGCAGCGTCTTCTTCATCCTGAGCAGCTCATGTCGTCGTCGTCGTCGCCGTCGAAGCACTGGGCAGCAGACAGGCCGCACCGGCCCTGCCTTCCCCGGACTCGGCACGTGAGGATCAGGCTTGGCATGGCACGTGATTGGTCATCCTGGACTCAGGCTGAAACACGAGGAATGCAACAGCGCGCATCACGACTCCTCAACCGTTGCACGAGGGCCTGTCGCCTCTCAACCGGCAGGCCATGATGGCTTCGGCCATGCAAGACCTGGTCGTGCTAGTCGTCCGTCCGGCGCCTATCTAGAGGCCTCCCCACACTCCGCCAGGTGGTATCGTGAGAAGCTTTATTGAAATACACCGGCGCCCTTTGCTAACTCTATGTAATCCGTACCTACCTACCTATCTCTGTCGCCTCGCGCCCTTGCAGGAATGACGCTGTCGCTACCCCGGCCCCTCATTCTTTGACCGCGTGTTTTACTTGCCCTCTTCCGCCTTACCTGCGCAGGCAGCAGTTTGCAAACGTCGCGGGAACGTGGAGCTGCTTCCTGCTCCTCTGCAAACGCCCTCTCGCCCCCGCCCCCAAAGCAACCTGAGCTCGAGGGCTAATTGCTTGCGCACTGGTGCTTCCTTCTCTATTTTCGTTCGCCTCATGCGACCCTTTCTTCTCTTCTCCTCATCCCCTCCGAGTCTGTCGTTCTTTACTCGTCTCAAACCAAACGCGTCTCACCGTGCTACACCTTGTGGCTCGTGTCGCCTGTCTCACATCAGCCCTCTTCTCTCCCCACCTGTCCGCAGCTGCTTCTACATTTCCACTCCTACGTCTCGTCGCCAGTTACTCGGAGCATTGGGCATCGAGCCTTGACTTTCTCCATCATGCATCTCAACACCGCACGGCTTCTCGCCTTTTCTCTGGGGCTTTTCGCCGCATCTGCTAGTTCTGCTTCTCTTTCCGACTTTACGCCGCGGGTCCAAGGACTTACAGGGACTTGCATGAAAGTCTACAACAAGGACATTGATGGCTGCACGGGAGATGATCTTTCGACGGGCGAGAACTGCTCACTGTCATGCATCACCGGATTGATCAAGGTCCAAGGCGAGGTACAAGCCAGTTGCGCTAGCGCCGATGTGGAAGAGAACTCTATAGTTGGCGTCTTCTTGCGCGGCGCAGGGCCGGGCATCATCTGCCGGAATGTCGCGGCAACGACGCTCGGCGGTTCTTCAAGCACCAAAACTTCCGACAGTTCAGCGTCAGCCACGATGCGTATCTCGTCCGTCACTTCAATACCAACCAGTATCGCTTTCGACACCAGCTCCTCATCCACCGCCAGTTCCACCAAGTCCACGGATACAACAAACACCGCCGATAGCACTTCAGCATCATCGACGGAAACTGCCATCTCGACTACTGCTAGCGGTACTACTACCTTCAAGTCGTCTTCTTCGGTGAGCTCAACTACGACCGACAAGCCGGCCTCCACGAGCAAAGGCTCAGACACCAAGACTGGTGGCGGCAGTCCTTTCGACATAGCCGAAGAGGGGTCTGGCGCCTCCGCCCCAATCATTTCAGCATGGCTCCTAGGAACAGCACTCCTTTTGTGCGGAACCCTGGCTTAGAACGAATCGCGTTCAGACCGTTTGAACTTTCTCAAAGACCGGCGCCGTTGGCATATTCTTGTTTGCATGACCGACTTTCGATTCATGATACTAATACTGTTTTACTACTACCCATGTTTTCCTGGCCCGGGTCGAAACCCTGATGGTTTGAAGGAGGTGTTTTTTGTGCACTTGCAGCCTCGCTGCTTGTTAGCGATTTTTTTTCGGATGTTCTTGCTTGCAAAGAGGAACGTAATGGCTGCAACGCCACCAAAAGAGCCACTGGATTGGCCTTGTTACACTGTGAGGATTGTGTTCGGATGGGTTTGGCCCCAGTGGTGTATAGAATCGTCTGTAAGATATTAAATGAAAGACGAAAGACTTGAACTTAGCATGTGCTCGATATTCAGAACATTTGTGTTAAACTAGCCCAAGATGTTGCCTCCGAATCAAAAATATTCTTGATGAGTGGTGGGTTCATCATCACGAGTGACTCTACTACTCTGCCACTAAGGTCGATTGCCATCAGTTAATGGCAATCGCTGAGCGGCATGGTCGGTCATATGTAAGGCCAGGCCCCTTAAATGATGTGTGTATATAATTAAACATTACCAGCAAATTTTTCATCCAAGCGAGAAGCTCAGCTTCTCAACTCTCCGCTTGGTGTAGTTGGTTTATCACGTTCGACTGTAATGGAATTCAATGCCATCGAAAGGTCCCTAGTTCGATTCTGGGAGCGGAGACATCTTTTTTGCTTTTTCTTTTTTTCTTCACTGTCTTTGAAAACGGATGCATCGTTCATCAAGCAAGCACCATCGTCTTTTTGCGCATGGTGATAACTTCAGAACCCTTGGTGGTGTTGGACATGAATGATGTCAGAATATGCAAGGGACGGTGTCACAACATAAATTCAAACAAGCACTTGCTTTTTGTTACGACATACAATGATTCTCCTGGCGTCCGTCACCGTTAAGAGGTTCGTCGCGATGAGATAATAATAATGATACTTGTGTGGAGTGAAACTAAAATCCAGTGAAGATGTTTGCAGGTTGTTTGTTATTCGCTGCACTTTTAGGACTGACTCTCTACAAACCTCCGCTACATGCAAATGCAAATATTCTCAGGTTTGTCTTTCTATTTGTTTCAAGGGCTACCTCACGTATATAAGTTAGCAGTCTCACGCAGTTGAAAGAAAAATCTGGAAATAGCTGAATAACTATCTAAGGTCAAACAGTTGTGTGCGTTCTAAGATTTTCTCACCCATATCAGGACCCCGGATTAAAGCTAGACCATGAATATTCCACGGAAGCTTCTCGCATCCTTTTGTAGGTAACAGTATCAAGGTATTTAGAGCGCATCATCGAGATCTCAAATTCAGAGCGACTAAATATGGCAGATGATGTGAATGGCCGCAAAAGACGATCTATATCGTCAGACGGTGATTCTCTCTTGACGGTGAGAGACATTAGCGAAAGACAAAAACCTTTGCCATATAAACCAAAAAGCAAGTTCATCAGAAAAATGCGCAGCGAAATGGAAGAACCATTAAAAATCGATGTTGCTGAGCAGGCAGCGCAAAGAACGAGCAGCGGCAGGCCTCCGCTCCGCCCCGGCGTTTTCCTGCCTCCAGCATTCTCCCGCTCGCCGGCGCCTTTCCGCTCCGCCGCCCACCTACCTACCTACCTACCTACCCACCTCTCCGACAACACCGTCACCCCCCACACGTCTCGCGCAACACGTCAAGAAAGTCAGCGAGCGGTTGGCGCACTTCGCGCAGACCGGCTACCAACCTTCCGATATACCCATCCGTTCACGAGAGAACCCATTACAGCGGCGCGCGCGAGCGCAATCTCTCGAGCCCACGCACAGCTTCACAAGCTCACTCCAAGTTCACCCTCACAAGTTCGCGCTCTCACGCACCCATCCATACGCGCCCGTACGCTCAGACACCTACGAACGTCAAGATGCCTAGCGACGAATACAAGGTCGCGACCGGAGGAGCGCTAAAGCTCAAGGGCGGCGGCGGGGCCGTCGAGAAGAAGCGAAAAGTCAAGAAGAAGAAGACTGAGGTGCCCAAGCGCGCCGACTCTTCTGAGGGAAAGAAAGACGAGGCTACTGGCGCCGACAGCACTACCGAAGCGAGCGTCAACAAGGACACGGCTGTCGCGGAGAAGAGCCCTGAGCGCAAGAAGGGCCAGGGCGCTGTGGAATACCGTGGAAAGACAGAAGCCGAGAAGCGGTATGATGAGAGGAGGCGCAAGAGGGTGAGTCTTGTCTGTCTGTGCTTCTTTGTGGGTCATGATGGCTAACATAGGTTGTTTCTTCTAGCTTGATGAGCGCATCAAGCGTGAGGGAGTGAAGACGCACAAGGAGCGCGTCGAGGAACTCAACCGTCACCTGAGCTCGCTCAGTGAACACCACGACATGTAAGTTCTAGCTCTTTGACGCCGTTGTTGCGTAAGGCGTGACTGACCTGCTTTCTCTAGGCCCAGAATCGGTCCCGGATAACACGTGCTGGGATTCCTCTCTGGTTGGTTCTGCTTTAGGGATTTTTTGGAGCGTGGCGTTTCTGGCGCAGATGGGCTCCTGCACATACGATTCCTGGTTGCAATGTTCTTAGATAAAAGGCTACTAGATACAAGGTTCCTAGATGCAACGCTCCTTGATAAAAGTTTCAATTGATCGGTTTCCGGGCATTCGCATCTAATGTCAAGTGTTGGTGTGGATTGGAGGAAAGCAACGGGGTAATGTCAACACCAGGTTTTCACTGACAGCTTGTGCAGAAAGGGAGTCGTGAAATGTCTTAGATTTTGGAAATCCCCAAACGCCCGACGAGCTACTCACAGACGTGAGATTCATATCGCTCGCACGTCACCCATCGTCTCCCTCAATGAAGCAAGATCCACCTGCAAATGGCTCCCATTCAGGACATGCCTGAGATCACCTCAAAGCTGCCAACCCGTAGTAGCCTACTGCATCTAGTCGCCCAGACCAAGGATGTTCTTCTCGTAGATAGCGCTAAGCTTGTGGGTGTGGTCGTTCTTGATCTGCCACCAAGGTATTAGCTCGCTGGCCGAAGCAATGTCACTGTGAATGAAGAGATGTTTACCTCGTAGCGAGGCTGCTCTTCGGAAGCGTTGCAGTGGCCATGGGCGAGCTGCCCGGGCTCAGTGATGACTTGAGTGATGGTGCCAGAGGTCTCGGGCGTGTTGGAATCGGGACCTAACGACGCAGTGGTCAGCGAGGTGAGAACAGAATTGTGCTTTGAATGAGCTCGCTGTTACGAACCTCCAATGGCCTTGTAGCGGACCGACTGGCCGATCTCGAACTTAGGCATGGTTGCTGATTGAATGGTCGAGGAAGTGGGTAAGTTGTGCTATGCAGTCGTTGACTGAGATTTGTGTGCGTTCGTGGTGGATGGTAGGAAGAAGGACGGAATGAAAGAGTTGGATACTTATACCTGTCGTACCTGCCTGATGCTGCGTATGGAAGCGCATGACTGCGCCTTCCTCCTTCACACACAGCATGACGTGCTTCAGTGTTTAGCCAGACTTGGTAGGTAGGTACCTAGGCACTCGGCCCCTGTCCTCGCCGTAAATGGTATTCCGTAGATGCGAGAACAAGTCAAGGCACTCTGAACCTTAGCATTATCTAATTAACCTGTAGGAGCATGTAGGTGTGCACTCAGTGCTTTCCAAATGCTTCATACAGATCACTCCATAGATGGATTGAAGGCCGCGCTCATGGTTGGACATGTTGCTCACGAGAGACATGAAAATTATAACAATATCCGCCCTCTCCGACCGTTGTATACTTCAATTCCAGCATGTTAAGGGAACCTAGTTAGACATTACACATAATCCCGAACGATTCACCCACCTCCTCTAGACATTTATCCACCCTTTGTGGTAATACATCTGTAAAAATATATAAGTTACTTTCTACTTTAAAGATACTTTTTCATTCTTATATCATCATAAGTAATCTTATACCCCTTGGGATTTTTTTCATTTTCATGATCTTATATGATCACTTAGCGACTACTAGCCGTATTATATCTAGGGTAGACGTATTATTCGGGGACCTTGCGCAAAGAACATTTTTAACAATTTAACCGTGAAAGGATGAACAGCACAATTTCACAAGTAATCTGTCTAATGTCTGCATCAACACCCATTACATCACTTAGTTTTAGCTAGGCGTCTATTGTACATCCGAGCACATTCAAAACTCCAGAGTGCAATTGGTATAATTTGGCCCGCGGGCCTTTTTCACCTGAACGCCACACTGGTTAAAAAAATCTTGCCGAACATTCAACTTTCACTTAACCCCCGAAGATGGTATTGGAAGTATGAAACAAGAAGGGAATTCTGCAATCTTGTTTGCCTACGAGCACGTGTCAGCATGCCCTCCGTCATGGTTGTGAAAGTCACGCTTACCAAATTGGTTGCTTCCTGTTACATCTACCCTCGTTCCCAAGTTTGTTGGACAACAACCCAGGAATTGCTCGGAGGCCGACGCCCCACAGGCCAGCGATCTTGCTGAAAATAATCTCCTATCCTCTCAACGCAGATGTCCTCTGCATTTTGAAGCTAGGTGTCGTTGAAACACCATTGCCTATGACCACTCCCCCTTTATCGGCCTTGGCGCCGCCTTCGCCCTTCCCTTCAGCAAGCACAGCACTATTAGCAGTGCTATTGATTGAAGAACTGTTCGATAAAGACCGAGAAAGGCCGGGGTACCTGAGTAGAGCCCTGAAGCCACCAGCTTTCCGCGCTGGAATGTCTCCCTTCCCAGCCGTAGCAACGTATAACAAATACTTCAAGTTAGGTAAAGTCTGGCGGATATCCAAGAGCTTGAGGCCAATCGAGTTGGACAAGATCTCAATGTCCTTGTTGAGGAGAAACACACCATACTCGAACCGGTAGCGCACAGAACCCCTCATGTACAAAGGATAAACGCGCGGCCCAGTAGTCATAGATATTGGATCTTCGATTGTGGATGTTGAGCCCCGAGGCGTGATAGGATACGGAGGTGGATGGGAAAAGTAAACAGCGATTTGAGCTACCGCCTGAGCGACGAAACCCAAAGCGGCAGCTGTGACATCTTCTTTGACATTGTCAAACTCAGAATTGGGCAATGGAAGGCCGCGTATTGTAAAAGCCAATGAACGCCCGGGAATTGGTTCAATCGGATAGATTTTCAGAAGGTCTTCGCAAACACGGCGACGCTGGCCGACAATTTCGTCCTGGGTTTGTTGAATTGCAAATTCGCGTTGCTTGAGCTGTTCCTGCCCGTTCAAGACATCCTCAAGTGCTTTTTCCTGCATTTCACGGCCTCTTTTGATGGCGTCACGGCGGGACTGTATACTGACTTCAAGCTCGGCGCGTTTCTTTTTGGCTGATTCCAACCTCTTCCGCTGAGCATGAACCGTGCTTTCAATGGTTTTGACGCGCTCTAGCGCCTCGGGAACCTGATTCACCATGGAAAGAGCGTCTTGTCCAGTTTCGACAACGCCGTTGATGTCCGAAGCGAGTCTGTCGCGAGTGGCCAGCGCATCTTGGATACAGACATCAAGAGTAGATAGGCGCATAAGCTGGTCATAAGATGATGTGGGATCAGTCCGACCTGAGGTAGTCTTGGTAGAAGAGTGGCTCAGGCCAATTGTATGTTCTTCAGGTGACATATCTGTGAAACTGGTATAAATGCCATCGGTGAAGTGGAACAGCACGCAATTCTGCGGGAACGGATGATGAAAGCTGTCCAACTGGGAAGGAGCTTGTCAACTACAGCATCACGACGGGAAAGTGCCGACTCACTGCTTTGCCGATGAACTGCAGGGCACGAAAATTGACGGTCAGATCAAGAAGGTGTTGATGTTCTTTCATCGCTTCGCTCTTAACCCAGACCTTGACGGTGATTGCATCTAGCCGTGTCACTGAAGGGCCCCACGAATCCAGATCGAAGAAACGGAAGTTTGGGTTCTCATCCTAGGTCAGTGCCGGCGCGTGGAGGGAGACAGGCAAAACGCACCATGGCCTTCTCCACCTCTTCACTGACATAGACTGGGTCTGGAGCTTTGGTGAGCATGCAGGTATGGCAACAACGATTTCCCGCTCGACTAACCGTCAATGGCCTCTACGTGCAGCGAGAAAAAGACATCGGCCATACGGCCGCCAGCGACCTCCTCAAGTCGTTTCTGCCTCTCGAGAGGGCTCGCACCAGACCATTCCATGGTGCTGCGCCGGCGCGTGCGCAGGAGGGGGCGCGGCGGACTGTCCTGAAGGCCACCATCTTCCTTGGAGCTGAGATCTGCCACGACGGCTTCGCCAATAGGACGGAGGTCATTGGACGAACGGGAGTGCTCCAGTCTCCTGGATTCACGCTGGGCCACGGCCTTTGTGGGGGTGCGTAGGGCAGAAGGGATGGCGTCGTCGTCAATCGTCTTGCCCCGCGGCCTTTGCGGGGCGTGGACGAGGGTCAGGTTGCGGATGGTGATGCCCTGCAAATGCCTGATCTTCCTGTTCTGCGCCAGCCGGTCAGCGATGCGGGCAGGGTGGGGCAGACGAGGACATACGTATGGCAGCAGCCACGGTCTCTCGCGCCGCGTGTGGGAGTCGGCGGCCATGGCACTGATGGGGGTATTGCGGCGTGGGCATTGCTTGCGACGGCATCCAGTCTCGACGTCGAAGGACAGCTGGTGCTGCCGTCATCGTCTGCGGCTTCCGGCGTCGCATGTCGGCGTCGACCCGGGGGCGCACAGACGCCAACGACCTGCCTGTCCGCGCGCCGACTTTTCCAATCGCGCTCTCTCTGCACACCCCAGTGTCCAGCGCTCATTGACGCTCGCCATGTCCGCGTCCGCTGAAAAGGCCATGCGTGTGGCCGAACATGGCCGCCACATCTTCATCTACTCCAACATCCGCACCAACCAGGTCATCTACTCCCTCAACCGCTCTCTCAACGTACGCCTGCCCGGCCCTCCGCCTCCCCAAAGCCCCATGCTAAGCCCGCGCAGAACCACTCGTCTTTGCAGCAGCTAGTCTACGCCGGCAAGAAAACCGTCCCCGCAAGCTTGCGCAAGGACGTATGGCGCCCCTTGGCGACCGTCACCTTCCCAAGCCCTACGCAGGGCATGACCGCTTACAATCTCCTGTTGCAATTCCGGAAGCTCCATGAAATGCACTGGGACACCGGCGAGTACCCTATGCTGCCGCCCGATGTCCAGAAGAAGCTCAAGGAGACTGGCAATCTGCCCACGCGCAAAGAGCGAGCAAAGGTCATCATGGATCAGAAGGCAAATACCGTCGCGGATTTGGCTGCTGTGCTGGAAAAGCAGAACCAAGTGGGCGAGAAGCAGAGAGCGGAACTTGAGCGGAAAAGTGAATCTGCCGCGAAGCTGGAGGCGGAGTTCATGAAGCGTCTGGAAATGAAGGCTGCAGCACTCGGAAAAGCTGAGGGGTTTGAGAGCGCCGCGAGCGAGCTCGAGTCGATGGACCCCCTGGACAGGCTCCCAGATGGCAAGAGAAAAGCGCGGATAACAGAGATTAACCGTCTCAAGAAGATTGCGAACTCTTACAGGCTGGCGGCTAGGCAACTGGAGCGAATACGCGCCGGGGAAGTGACCGCCAGAGAGCTTTTGGACCAGAGACTCAAAGGGCCAGTCCCAAAGAAAGGTTGGCGGCGGAAGCTGATGCTTCGTGATGAGAGCAAATTGGTGCCCTTCACGAGCGAGGGCGTCAGCGTCAGCTGGGCGGATATCCTGGACGCGCAATACGCCGAGAGCTGGCCGTCTGGAGTGTTGCACGGTGTGCTGGATCAGTCGAGGCACACAGCACCCAAGCCGCAGCAGATTCTCCCGAAGCACGAGATAGCGGCAATTGAAGAGGCAACAACCGAGGAGGCAGCAACAGTGGAGGCAGCAACAGAGGAGGCAGCAATCGAGGCCGCAGCAGCAGACGAGGAGGCAGCGCCTAAGCAGGCAAGCCAAGAGGCGCGTTAGGAGCAGATAGCACGATGAGTAAAATACTATAAAACATGTTATAGCTAGAACATTGTCGTGAGTAGCACTGCAATCACATGCGCGCCTGGACAGGATTATGTGAGAGGAGTTGGGAAGGGGGGTCGTGCTCATTGGTTGCGCCGTGGGTCCTGTAAGATGATTTTCGGCGAGCCAGTTCACCATCTTGCCCGCTCACCCTTCCTCGACCCTCGCAAGCGACAATGGCTCAAGCCGCGACCGAGCCCTTTCCTCCTGTGCACCCGGTGCGCAAAGACGCCAGCGCCACTCTGAGCAGCGGCTCGCGCCGCCGCAGGAAGTCTAGCAACCTCGGCGACGACCCCAGGGGAGACACTTCGACCATAGCTTTAGCTACCGCCTTTGACGGCCAGGCCCCGGTCAGCGGAGTATGCCTCCTCGCCCATTGCTTTGCCTGCGATCCCAGCTGATCCTCTTCTCCTTCGCAGCGCACCCCGGACAAGCATGGCCGGCACTCGAAGCGCCGGCGGACAAAGTCCCTCCTGAGGCGCTGGTGGAAGCTGTCCATGCGACACACCTGGCTCAACCCGCTCATCCTCTGCCTGATCATCGTCTCTCTCTACCTCGTCAGCCCCACGCCCGAAAACCCGCTGCACGCCGCCCTGTTCCTGTCCTACCCTCTCCCGCGCGCTCCCGACGCCGACCCCTCCACTCCCATCCAGTATGGCAAGGGCGCCAAGGATTTTGCTTTCGTCGGCTTCTATATAATCGTCCTCTCCTTCACCAGGGAGTTTCTCATGCAGCGCATGCTTCGTCCGTTGTCCGTCTACGCCGGCATTAGGTCGCGCGCCAAGCAGGCCCGCTTTATGGAGCAGGTCTACACGGCCATATACTTTGGCATCTTTGGTCCGTTTGGCTTGTACGTCATGTCGCGCACGCCCGTGTGGTACTTCAACACCGTCGGCATGTACGAGGGCTTCCCACACAAGTCGCACGAAGCCGTGTTCAAGGCGTACTACCTTCTCCAGGCCAGCTACTGGGCGCAGCAAGCAATTGTTCTGCTTTTGATGCTTGAAAAGCCGAGAAAGGATTTCAAGGAATTGGTCATGCACCACATCATCACGATCGCTCTGATTTGGTGCAGCTACCGTTTCCATTTCACCTACATGGGATTGGCCGTCTACATCACGCACGACATTAGTGATTTCTTCCTTGCCGTGCGTTGCCCACGCACCGTTGTTTACACATTGGAACAGCAGGCTGACAAGTTAACAGACATCCAAGACTCTCAACTACCTTGACTCGTCCTTGGTTGGCCCTTACTTCGGTTTCTTCATTTTCGTCTGGACGTACCTCCGTCACTATGTCAACCTCAAGATCCTCTGGTCCATAGTCAACGGTCAATTCTCGTCCATTGGTCCTTTTGAGCTGAACTGGGAGACTCAGCAGTACAAGTGTTGGATCTCGCAATACATCACATTGGCACTGCTCAGCAGCCTACAGGCCGTCAACCTCTTCTGGCTCTTCCTCATTGTGCGCATCGCGTATCGGTACGTCGTTACCTGGGGTGAGGAGGTCAAGGATGAACGTAGCGAGTACGAGGAGAGCGACGTCGAAGGCGAGACGCCCGAGAAGAGCTCCAACGGTAAGGCCGTCGAGCCTGCGCCTCAAGTCCTTCTTAACGGCGAGCCGGTCGAGGGTGAAGCGGCTACGACCGCTACCGAGCCTGCGGCAAACGGCACACAGCGCAAGGGCCGGTAAAACAGACGCGCTTCGAGTATTTGTTCACCAAATGATCCGCGGCCGCCAAGAGGCTGGGGGGGGGGGGGGGGGGGGGGGGGGGGGGGGGGGGGGGGAATGTGCAGTCCCTCCTTCATTCGAGTGGCTTCGCCGGGGATGGTAATGCAACACTCCTTCCATGACTCTTCCCCCAAACATGCCTTTGTAACACGACAAAAAATATTTTCTGATGCAATCACGCCTTTTTGATGGAACGGCATTCCTTTTCGACTGTACAATACCTTCATCTACCTTCGCTTCCACATAATAATTGGAGTACGTACGTACGCCAGAGCCCTTCGTTTTTTTCTTGTCGCAGCTCGGGCGCTCCTTTTGCGGGTTGGCTTTCCTGGGCGCCTTGACGCTCCAAAGCAAAGCAGACAACGAAGAGCATTTCCGAGGCTCTTATGAATCTACGCTGCGGAGGTCGGTGCGTTAATAGTCTTGTGTTGATGTAATTTAGACGGTTTGTTCGGCTCTTTTTGTGTCTTCCTTCTTCTGCGGTACGATAGGTGCTTCTTGCCCTTCTTCTTCTTTTCCCGGGGGTCGATGGGCTTTCAAACTCGGTCATGGAAACGAAACTGTATGTGGGTGATGAAATGGCCGGACGTGTGGAGGAGTCGGGATGGCTTCCGAAAGAACATAAAGAAACCATGACGGTCATCATGATTTTTGTTTTTATTTGTCTTTGCGCTTGTTAGGATGGCATGCACGTGGGAAAGAGGTAATTATACACCTCCTGACCTGGACTCGCCCTTCACCACGCACCCGCCCATAAATAATTAACTACCCCTCCCCCTCCCCTCCCCCTCTCCCGCCCCGACTCGCAGCCCAGACCACCGAAAGCTCTCTCATGCCCCATCCCAAGCACACGGCCCCGCTGATCCGGTCGGCGATCGCCCAATTACGTACGTGGTACGTGGTAGGTAGGCAGCAACCCGCGCGGCGTGCTCTCTGCACAGTCTGTACGTGGTATGTACGACGTAGGTAGCTATCAAACACCTCTCTCTTTCTCTCTCTCTCGTCACCATTCCCTTGGCCGAACTCCCGGTCATAGGGATAGGGATAGGGACAGGGATTGTTACGCCATTAGCTTGTAGCATACACATACCTAGGTAAGACACACGCACACACGCACCCAAGCGCCAGATCGACAAGACCAAGACCAAAACCCAAAAATAAAACAAAGCAAAAAACGATGAGCCCACTCATCTTCTGCTACATAGCCCCAGGGCCCCTCCGCGCATCCGCATCCGCAGCCGCTGCCGCTGCCGCGTGCCGCGGACCCCGCTGCCCCCGAGCCTGGCCTACCACATAGCCTGGCACCTACCTAGGTACTAGACTTCCGCGGAAGCACCTAACGTAGTCAACCGTGGCCTGGGACATCCATATCCGCCCCAGCTCCCGCGTCTTGTCTTGTCTTGTCTCGGAATACTCTCAGGAACAGAGAGAGAGAAAGAGAGAAAGAGTGGATAGAAAGCTCGGCTCGGAGCTCGGAGCTCAGCTCCACCGGCCAGCAACGACCTAGTGGGAGTGAGCAGCAGCTGCGTTGGCGCGTTATCTATAGCACATGGAGTAGGGGGGAGGGGGCTGAGCGAGTTAGTTGGTGGCTGTGTGGAGTGCTGAACTGTACACCTCGAGCGAGAGTGAGAGTGTGTGTGCACATACGTACGCTTTGGTTCGCGCAGCTCTGAAGTAAAGGCAAAGGCAAAAGGTCGACGACATTTCTTCTTCTTCTGCTCAGCTGCTCAGCTACACCGCGGCACGGCCTAGTACTGTGAGGGGGATAGTAGTGTATTTATATCACACGAAAAAATAGGCACTCGGAGCGCGAGAGCTATCCGACCATGCGCAAATGGGTACTCCAACGAACGAGAAAGAGACAGTACAGCTTTGCCCGATGCCAGCCCTGACGCCTTTGATTCAAACGCAACACTCTCCATCTATGTCTATGAGTTCAGGCGCACGTAGTTTCCTACAAAATAAAGTGTGTTAGCAGATGTTATTCTTTCTCGTCGCTAGCCAATGCCAGCGCTGTCTGTGATGACCACGGAATGCCTTACCAGGAAACTGTCCCTGTTTGTACCCAACTTTCCCGATCCACCACTCATTCACGTTCTGCGTCCGCGTGATAATCTCAATTGTGTCGCCCGCTGTAAAACTAAGATCGCCTTCCGCCTGCGCCTCGTAATCGTACAGCGCCGTACACGTCTCCGGCGCAGGCACGCCGCTTAAGCGCGAGGGCTTGGGTTTGGGTGGCGGAGGCGCGGCCTTTGCCTTGGCTGCCGCGCTCCAGTTGCTGCCTGTGCTGGCGCTGCGCTTCATATCTGCGCCGCCTGCCGCCAGGCTGGTTTGTATCGTCGGCGAAGCGAGAGCGGGGCTGTATGCGGGTGGAGGCGCCGTGTCGGCCGAGTCCATGGTCAACCGGCGACCGGGTGATGCCGTGCGGTCCTCGATGGCGAGTTGTGCCTTTTGGCCGTACTTGAGCTGCGGCGGGCGCTTGATTCCACCTGTGGTCTTGAACTTGACAATGCCAAGCGCTTCTGCCTGCTCCTTGATGTCGCCGCGAGCCTCCTCGAAACCGGCCTCGATTTCCAGCTGAAGGTTGAAGTAGCCAATGTCCATGGCCTGCATCTTCTCGTGAAGCGTATAGAAGACGTTAAGCTGCATGTAGTAGAAAGACTGGAAAAGAGGCTTGATGAACTCGCGCTCCAGCTGGAAAAGCTTGGGCATCTCATCCTTCATCAGCTCGTTGAAATAGTTGTATTCTTGCGTCGCCAGCTCCACATCGTTTTCCGCCTTGTATAGAGCCTTTTCGTCCTTGAGCGTCTTGTCCTTCTTGTCCTGCAGCTTCTTGAGCGTGGCGCGGTGCCGGTCGTAGTCGAGCTGCTTGTGATCGCGCTTCACGGCCGCCTTCCGGATGACCTTGATAATCTCCAATAGTTCGTCGGCGGGCTTTATTACGCGCGACTCGATCATCTCGAGCTCGGGTTGCAGGGTTGCCTGCAGGTCTCGCACCACAGCCTCATACTCCTCGCACGCGCGGATGCCCTCGGGATTCCCTTCCTGCACGAACGAGTCCGGATCGGATACGCGTCCGGATATGGGCTTGTAGATTTCGGCGCAGGCGCGGGAAAACTCGATCTGGTGTTCAAGCATGCCTGCGGACGAGGGTCAGCGATCTGCCAGGGTCCGAGGGCGGTGAGGGCCAGTACCATTGATGGCGTCAAAGTATCTGCATGCGTCAGCAAAGGGCTCAGGCGGAACGATGGGCTGGGTGCTTTACTTCTTGGACTGCTCATGTAGCTTCTTGGTCTCCTTTTCCAACTCTTCAAAGCGGCGCTCGGCATCGACGTAGACGGCATCCTTTGTGATTTCGCCCTGGGCAGAAGAGGCACTGTTAGGGACACGGGCGCTCATGGGAAGTGCACGGCGACTCACGATGTTGAAGCGCTGCTTGACTGTTTGCGGGGCCTGGCGGGACGGGCGTCAGTTGAGTTCAGACAAGAGAAAGTGAGTGGGTATGCGCTTACGCGGACGACGCCCTTGGTGAAGCCTTTCCAACTCATGGCGCAAGGAGTTTGTGGGTTGTGAAAGTGGGCGAGCTAGCAAAGAGAGGGCAGGGTTCGTTGTTACATATGAGCCCAAAGCGCGGCAGGTCGATGACGAAGGCGGCCGTGGCTTGGGTTTTTGCCAAGGACTTTGCTGCGGCTTGTGCTGCGTTCAGCTTTGGGGTGGCGCACGCAGCAGTACTCGTAGTAAAGGCAACAGCATTTAATTAATAGCCATGAGTTTATTGATTTTCCATGGAGGGGGGAAGTTGGTCCATTATCCCTTGTCGGGGGCTCATCTTGCCGTGTGCCGCTTCCTTCCAACCTAGCAGCGGGCTGCGGATGCCCTCGGCATCGTCACCCGGCCCGTGCTTCCCGCAACTTATCAGATCCTCGCTTTCGCCCTCGCTTCCCACCCTGTTGCTCCACCCAAGCTAAAACTTCTTTCCCTTTCCCCTCTTCTTTTCAAAATGTCCTCTCTAGCACCATCTGCTGCGAGGCAAGCTCTCAAGCTCGGCGCCAGGAGGTTTCCTTCCCATGCCCTGCCCAGGAGCTCGTTGCGCGCCGCCACCGCACTGAGTGGCGACGCCCGCCGCACCTACGTCTCCGAGACCAAGGCCAACAATGCCACCGTCAACGTCGACACGGCCATCAAGGCCGACCAGAAGGCTTTCCTCAAGGAGACCGGCGTCAGGCCCAAGGATGCCACCATGCCCTCGACCGGCATGAGCGCCGACGCCATGATGAGTCCCTCTGCCGGCATCCTCAAGCAGGCCACCGTCATGGACGCCGGCACGCGCCCCATCTACCTCGACATGCAGGCGACAACTCCCATGGACCCCCGCGTCCTGGACGCCATGCTTCCCTTCTTCACCGGCCTCTACGGCAACCCCCACTCGCGGACCCATGCCTACGGCTGGGAGACGGAGAAGGCGGTCGAGCAGGCAAGAGCGCACATCGCAGCTCTCATCGGCGCGGACCCCAAGGAGATCATCTTCACCAGCGGGGCAACCGAGTCCAACAACATGAGCATCAAGGGCGTTGCGCGCTTCTTCAAGAGGTCCGGCAAGAAGAAGCACATCATCACCTGCCAGACCGAGCACAAGTGCGTTCTGGACAGCTGCAGGCATCTGCAGGATGAAGGCATCGAGGTCACCTACCTCCCTGTCCAATCAAACGGTCTCATCAACCTCGAGGACCTGGAGAAGGCCATCAGGCCCGATACCGCGCTTGTCAGCATCATGACCGTCAACAACGAGATTGGTGTTGTGCAGCCGATAGAAGAGATTGGGCGGATTTGCCGCGCAAAGAAGATCTTCCTCCACACTGACGGCGCTCAGGCTGTTGGCAAGATTCCCATCGATGTCAACAAGATGAACGTTGATCTCATGTCTATTTCCGGACATAAGATCTACGGCCCCAAGGGAATCGGTGCTTGCTACGTTCGGAGACGGCCAAGGGTCAGACTCGACCCCATTATCACTGGTGGTGGTCAGGAGCGCGGTCTCCGGAGTGGCACTATTGCTCCTCCTCTCGTTATTGGCTTTGGCGAGGCCGCGCGGATCTGCAAGGAGGAGATGGAGGTAAGCATCAATTTCCCCTATTCCCTCATCCCGCTTCCATATGATTATTTTGCTTTATACATGCATGGCTTTCTGAAGTGCGTCGGGGAGTCATACGGTGCTTGCACCGTACCTCGAACACCGTGTTGCCATACAGCAGGGGTTATGATTGGAACAAGAAACTCGCTGTTATTTTGTGATTTGCTTTCTTGACTGCAAGCTAACGATTTACCCCAGTACGACACCAAGCGTATTACCGCTCTCTCTACGCGCCTCAGGGATGGCCTCCTTGCCATGGAGCACACCACCCTGAACGGTGACCCCACTCGTCATTACCCGGGCTGTGTCAACGTCTCGTTTGCGTATGTCGAGGGTGAGTCGCTTCTCATGGCCCTGAAGGACATTGCCCTGTCCTCCGGTTCTGCCTGTACTTCTGCATCTCTTGAGCCCTCGTACGTCCTGCGCGCGCTAGGCAGCAGCGACGAGAGCGCGCACAGCAGTATCCGCTTCGGCATTGGCCGTTTCACGACCGACAGTGAAATCGACTACGTCCTCGACGCGGTCAAGAACCGTGTCAACTTCCTGCGTGAGCTGTCGCCTCTCTGGGAGCTTGTGCAGGAGGGCATCGACCTCAACACGATCGAGTGGAGCCAGCATTAAATCTTCTTAACTGTGAATAATCCGGTAGTGCACCGTTTACTTGAGCTTACGATTGGCGACTGGGGACGGCGTTTTGTGTGAATATCAGGGAGGGACTCTCGTTACGAGCGGATTGGACAGTCAGTCGTGACGTAGCTTTGAGAGGGACTTATGGGCCCTCATTCTCAAATACATGACCAACCTTTTATGAAACTTGTACCTTGGTGGTGCTTCGGGCGAGGGGATAAAACAAATATAAATACTGTACAGGATCAAACAACTGACTCGCACCCCTCGCGCTCGTGCGCACCCGGCCGTTGTCCCGCATCTGACGTCTGAACATCACCACCACCAACCATGCCCCCAGTCAGCGACCGAGTGCTGAACTGGCTCTACAGCGTCCTAACAAACGTACTCCCCCGCCACCCCCGCGCGCGCCCTCACGGCATCCGCTAAGCTCCGTCTGGCCCTGCAGGAATACCTCGATGTGAAGCGCACCTACACCGACGTCGCCGACGCGCTTGGCCAGTACCCGTCGCTGGCGCCCAAGACAGAGGTTTACAGTACGCACGCGCATGCACGAGCTCCACCCCGCACTCGCATACACGAGATTTCCGCGCGCTGACAGAAGGGCGCGCATAGCCTACGAGAACGGCGCACCGGCCCTGCTCCTGCTCGTCAGCGGCACCGTGCCCGTCCAGTTTCGCGGCGCGGTCTACAGATTCCCGGTAGCGATATGGGTGCCGCAGGCGTATCCCAGGGAGCCGCCGATGGTCTATGTCGAGCCGAGTCGCGACATGCTGGTTCGGCCGGGGCAGCACGTCAGTGCGGATGGCAGAGTGTACCACCCGTACTTGAGCGGGTGGGGGCAGTTTTGGGATGTGGGTGGAAAAGGACCCCTGGTTGCGGCTTCCTCAAAAGTGCTGACCCTTCCGGCGCAGAAATCCTCCCTCGTCGACTTTCTTACCGTCCTGCGCGGCGTCTTTGCGAAGGAGCCCCCGGTCGTCGCCAAACAGCCAGAGCCCGCACCACCAGCGGTGCCCCCGCCGCCAGACGAGTGGAGGCGCTCCATGCAGCCGCAGCCTACCATGTCTCCAGCACCCATGAATCAGGCCACGCCCCCTCCGCCTCCACCAAAACCCCCTAAGCAGGTTGAAGGTGTGAACGGCAGCCCATCTCCATATCCTAATGGTCATGTACAACAACAACAGCACCAGGCAGGTCCCCCACTCCCACCATTGCCTCCCGGTATGGGAGGACTGCCGAGTTATGGACAGCAGCAACACATGCCTCAACGGCAAGCGAGCCTGACAGAAAGGCCTCTACCCCCGACGCCGCAGTCGCAGATGCAGACTCCACATCCATTCCAGGCAGCACAATTCGAAAACGGCACCCCAGCAAGCCCCAACTTCCCCCACGGCCAATACGCGGAACCGCCGCTCGCAAGATACCAGCAACCGCCTCCGCTGCCACCGCAACAAGCGCCATACTCTGGATCCCCGGCTCCAATGCCACCGCAATACGCCGGTCCCCCTCTACCGCCCAATGCCCAGTACCCAGGGAACGCCTACCCGCCCCAAGCCGCGTACATGCCGCCCGCTGCGCAAACAGCGGCACAGCCCGCACCCCCAACCATGGACCTCCTCACCTCGCCCCTCGACGTAACGCTGCCGTCGCAAAACGCAGACGCAACGCCCCTCCCTGTACCCCCGGTGCCGCCGAACCCGCAAAAAGACGCGCTCCTCCGCGCGCTGTCGACGGCGCTGCGCGCGCAAACAATCCAAGCAACGCAGGACAACGCGGCGGCGATCGCGCCGCTGCAGGCGCAGCAGGCTGCGCTGCGGGCCGCGCACGCGAAGCTCCAGGGGGAGCTGGACGCGCTGACGGCGCTGCAGGCGACGCTGGACACGAACGAGCGCGTGCTCCGCGGGGCGATGGGGCAGGCGGACCGCGTCATGGAGGAGGCGCGGGGGCGGACGGTCCCGGACGTCGACGACGTGCTTGTTGCGCCTACCGTCGTGGGCGAGCAGCTGTGGCGCGTCGTTGCTGAGGAGAGGGCGCTGGGCGAGGCGATTTTTGTGCTTGGACGGGGGCTGGATAGCGGGAGGGTTGGCGCTGAGGGGTTTGTTAGGGTGAGTTTTTTGTTTTGTTTTCTTGCTGTTGTTTTGTTGTCCCCTTTCATTCTTTTTTTTTTTTTTTTTTTTTTTTTTTTTTTTTTTTTGAGAGAGTGTATGCTAACACCACGTGTGCGCGCGCGCTACAGCAAACAAGAAGTCTAGCCCGCGAGCAGTTCCTCAAGAAGGCGCTGATCAAGAAGATAGCGAAGGGCATGGGGCTGGACGAGGACCCGCATGGCGTGGGCGCGAGGGGGTTCTATTCGTAGATATGATGGCTGGCTGGCTGGCTGGTTGCGGGGGTGAGTGTACGATGCAGATGGATGCAGTTGCGGAGGAGTGGAGTGTGTATGTATGTACGTGTGTGTGTGTGTGTGTGTGTGTGTGTGTGTAGATATGAGCGGTGGCGGCCAGACACAGACAGACAGACAGACAAGATCACGAACATGATCATGAATGAATGTATCATGACCTGACCTGCACACATGCACGCGCACGCGCACCAGTTCCATGAGAGATAAAGAGGGAGAGAGGGAGAGGGAGAGGCTAACGGTGGTAGTGGTAGTAGTAGTACATAGTGGCAATCCGATTCAACCAAGCCGATGCCGCTCCACGCGCCCGCTCTACTATCCACTCGTACATACGCAGGCGAGGACGGAGGGGCGGAGGCAATGCCTGTCTGTCTGTCTGTCTAGCTAGCTGCCATCATTAGCCGAGCTAGCTAGGTAGGTATCAAAGTTAAGAAGAAGAAGAAGAAGTAGAAGAAAAGGAAATGAAGCAACAGGAACAACAGAATAAAAA